ACGGCAGGGTGCCACGTTTTGATATTTATTCTAGGGTGATTGTCGGTCGCTTGGCTTCTTTCTCTTCATTTATGAGTATGTGTGGTCGCTGGTGTGAGTTTCTCTTTCCCTTTTACACGAGCGCTCACTACACATGTTCTGATGTTGGATTCTCTTGTCTCGGGCTAAGATCGGCCGATTCAGCTGTAAAATAGTCTTAATGATGCTAAATGCGAACAACTTTTAACTTTCTTAGCGAAGTGGTTTACGTAGTCATCTACTGTAAATATGCTTAGTGGTTCCATTGGTGGAATCCAGAAGAGCGCCATGTTTGCTTGGTTTTATTTTATGGTGTAAAGAATGAGGCAAAAGGAAAGTTTACAGATGTGGTTTTTGTTTTTTCTTTCTCTTGCGCTAGAGTGGGTGTGAGGAGCATGATTGGATTGCTCTTCATACGTTGGGCGCCAATTTGAAGTGAGCCTTTATCTGGTAGATGTCAGGTTGTTCTTGATGTTGTAGACGTTCTCTTTCTTCGGGGTCGAATCGGCTGACACTTCTGTAAAATTAACTTAATTCTAACGAATGAAACTAACTTTCCACCTTTTCACTTTTCAGAAATAAAATACTTTATTGCAAATTTAATTCTATAAACTTATACAATTTTTCTAGCGGCTCGACCATCACCCTTTGACACTTTTAAAAGAACTCAACTCACTAGGTGGTTTTCACGCGCTTTTATACCGCGGAAAATCACCTTGGCCAAAGTTAAATTGGCGGCAGCCCGACCGTCTGATATTCATCTTCTTCCTTTTTTGTCACTCTGAATTCTTCTTGCTTAAAAAGGCGTTGCACCTCTTCTTCTGCCTGCGCTGATATTGCAGCGAGATGTGCTTCCTTTACAAGGTTTCAATTAAAGCATCATTCTTCTTGTTGATGCGTATTGATTTTTGTGACCTTTTAAAATCATAACGGCAGGGTGCCACGTTTTGATATTTATTCTAGGGTGATTGTCGGTCGCTTGGCTTCTTTCTCTTCATTTATGAGTATGTGTGGTCGCTGGTGTGAGTTTCTCTTTCCCTTTCACACGAGCGCTCACTACACCTGTTCTGATGTTGGATTCTCTTGTCTCGGGCTAAGATCGGCCGATTCAGCTGTAAAATAATCTTAATGATGCTAAATGCGAACAACTTTTAACTTTCTTAGCGAAGTGGTTTACGTAGTCATCTACTGTAAATATGCTTAGTGGTTCCATTGGTGGAATCCAGAAGAGCGCCATGTTTGCTTGGTTTTATTTTATGGTGTAAAGAATGAGGCAAAAGGAAAGTTTACAGATGTGGTTTTTGTTTTTTCTTTCTCTTGCGCTAGAGTGGGTGTGAGGAGCATGATTGGATTGCTCTTCATACGTTGGGCGCCAATTTGAAGTGAGCCTTTATCTGGTAGATGTCAGGTTGTTCTTGATGTTGTAGACGTTCTCTTTCTTCGGGGTCGAATCGGCTGACACTTCTGTAAAATTAACTTAATTCTAACGAATGAAACTAACTTTCCACCTTTTCACTTTTCAGAAATAAAATACTTTATTGCAAATTTAATTCTATAAACTTATACAATTTTTCTAGCGGCTTGACCATCACCCTTTGACACTTTTAAAAGAACTCAACTCACTAGGTGGTTTTCACACGCTTTTATACCGCGGAAAATCACCTTGGCCAAAGTTAAATTGGCGGCAGCCCGACCGTCTGATATTCATCTTCTTCCTTTTTTGTCACTCTGAATTCTTCTTGCTTAAAAAGGCGTTGCACCTCTTCTTCTGCCTGCGCTGATATTGCAGCGAGATGTGCTTCCTTTACAAGGTTTCAATTAACGCACCATTCTTCTTGTTGATGCGTATTGATTTTTGTGACCTTTTAAAATCATAACGGCAGGGGGGCACGTTTTGATATTTATTCTAGGGTGATTGTCGGTCGCTTGGCTTCTTTCTCTTCATTTATGAGTATGTGTGGTCGCTGGTGTGAGTTTCTCTTTCCCTTTCACACGAGCGCTCACTACACCTGTTCTGATGTTGGATTCTCTTGTCTCGGGCTAAGATCGGCCGATTCACCTGTAAAATAATCTTAATGATGCTAAATGCGAACAACTTTTAACTTTCTTTCTTCAACTTTCAGGAAACTTGATTAAATTTTTACAAACTTTCTGATTGATTCTTGATTGACGAGACCGTCACCCTTTGACAACTTTAATGTCGAAGACGGCGCCAACCTGCTCGTGGGCGGACACTCGTCTTTTCAGGGATTGCGGGATGTTGCACTTTCCCATGTAACTCTTTACGCAACATTTTTAACGCATGCATCGAATCCCTTCGGGAGTTTTATTTCCCCTTCGATACCTATCGATTTTTCATTTGGTGACCTTGGGTGGCGGCCGACTTTTGTGTCTCGGGCGATGTTCTCGTCAATCGTCTCGTCATCTTATTAATGTTGGTGTGCGCTGGTGTGAGTTTTTCTTTTCCCGAAGGGAAATAAGATCTATTAAGTTTATGGTTACATATATTTCTTTTTTCTTAAATATTTGTTAATACAAATTTATTAATTATTGAAAAGAAGGTTGATTCTGAGTTATATTTAGTTACATGTTTACAGAAGAAAAAATTGTTCTCAATTACTAATGCTGCCTCTGTTCGTGCCAGTCACCCGGTGATGCTATTTTTGTTACCCATCTCGTCCGTTTCACGTGACGGATTGTTGTTCTTCCAGTGTTCCCCTGCCCCGGGACCGGGATATATTCCTTGACCTGATCTGTGAGTTTCTCGTCGTACACTAAAAAGCTGTTGTGGATGTTTTTCCATTCGGCTATTGCTTGTTTTCTTCTAAGCATCATTCTTGGTGATAGCTGGGCGGTTGCAGGTGGTTATAATCCCTAGAGTTTTTCATTTCCATATCTACTTCTTTGTCCCTTTCTGCAAATGGTTCTTCGTTTTCTTCTGATTCTTCCTGGTTGGTTGGGTTGTCGAAGTCTTCATCGCATGTTAGTAGAGGGGAAGCATCGAGTCTGAGGATGATGTCGGCCCTTGGTGGTTTTATGTAGCACCAGGTCGGTGGCATGTCTCTTGTAAGTTCTTCTTGGTTTTCCGCGTACAGGTCGTTGTAATTGTACACTCGTGGTAGGCCCGCCTCTTCTCTTGTAAAAATCAGATTGTTTAGTGTTGCTTTATCTTTAGCAGATAAGTAGTTGAGGCTTAATGCTCTCATTAGGTTAGGTACGTAGTTCTCATCTCGTGGTTGTTTTGCTGTTAGTAAAAAAATTTTTATGATTGGGCATTTGTTTGATTCGGGATTTGAACTGAAGAATGCTACATATTGGTCCACCGATTCCACTCCTAGTGGTTGCATTGGGGCAATCCAGAAGAGTGCCATCAGGATAAGGGAGTTCGCAAGTTTTTGCTATTTATTCTTCTCTTCATTAGGGTTGGTGCGAAGAGCGTCATTGGATTTCTTTTTCACGTTGGGCGCCAATGAAACGGCCGTCTACTTATGGTGTTGTTAGTGGAGCTCTCTACTTCGGGGGTTCGACGGTTTCCGGTTTCGTTCTGTAAATTCTAACTTTGAATGAAATGACTGCGAGCTATTTTATCTTTAAACTTTTTATTCTTCCACAATATTTAAAATCGTTACACTTTAACGAGAACTGACGAGACCGTCGCCTTAGGCAGGTGAAAAAGGAACTCGAGCGATAAGGGATTTTCCTCGAGCTTTTATACCGTGAGAAATCCCCTCCACTCCGTTGAAATCAATGTCGTAGTCGGCGCCAACCTGCTCGTGGGCGGACACTTGTCTTTTCAGGGATTGCGGGATGTTGCACTTTCCCATGTAATTCTTTACGCAACATTTTTAACGCGTGCATCGAATCCCTTCGGGAATTTTATTTCCCCTTCGATGCTTATCGATTCCTCGTTTGTGAAGTGAGCCTTTATCTGGTAGATGTCAGGTTGTTCTTGATGTTGAGGACGTTCTCTTTCTTCGGGGTCGAATCGGCTGACACTTCTGTAAAATTAACTTAATTCTAACGAATGAAACTAACTTTCCACCTTTTCACTTTTCAGAAATAAAATACTTTATTGCAAATTTAATTCTATAAACTTATACAATTTTTCTAGCGGCTTGACCATCACCCTTTGACACTTTTAAAAGAACTCAACTCACTAGGTGGTTTTCACACGCTTTTATACCGCGGAAAATCACCTTGGCCAAAGTTAAATTGGCGGCAGCCGGACCGTCTGATATTCATCTTCTTCCTTTTTTGTCACTCTGAATTCTTCTTGCTTAAAAAGGCGTTGCACCTCTTCTTCTGCCTGCGCTGATATTGCAGCGAGATGTGCTTCCTTTACAAGGTTTCAATTAACGCATCATTCTTCTTGTTGATGCGTATTNAAGTTCATGGTGTGAAAAATGCAACAATTTTCAAACAATTTCTTAACTTATTTATTCCTGTAGCTATTATTAATGCTTCAGTAATCATCAGTGAAGTAAATGATTTAATTGTGATAATAAATTAAATCATTTTCAACATAATAATTTTTGGAATAATTCGAACCAAAAAGCTCTTCACAATTTTAATTAATGTAAGTAATAAAACTTTTTTCAAAGTCTTGTTTTTCAGTTTAATTTTGTAATTGATGAAGAAAAATTTCTTGAAAATCAAAATTTCTATTTTTATTATTTGAAGAGTTTCATTGAAATTTCACTGCAAACCTTAATCTCAATTAAATTTTATGTCTACCATCATAAAAAGTATATTGAATATTGAATTTAATTAAGCAGTCATTCCCATCAAACTTAATGTGAGTATGTCCTCTGTAATAAATATTCGATGAAACGTCATGTGAAGTTCTAACAAATAATTTGGAAATTGTCATCCTTCTATAGAAAATCTTCTCAGTTTGAAGCGTGGTTTTTTAATTTATTGCGATTGAACACGTTGATTAACGGAGACGACCCTTATGACACGGATCCTCTATTTATCAGGATCGCCGCATGAACCACTGCCATTCTGATAAAAAAAACGTCACCAAACGGTAATAAAACTGCGCTTCAATAAAGGAGACATAAAAAAACTAATCAAGAAAGCTGAGAAAAATAAATTAATTTAAAAGGCAAAAAAAATTTCTGTGTGTCTAAATGTTCTTCAATTTAATTAATTTTCAATGTTTTGTTTATAATTTTAGAGAATCAAAAATGGATTTGATGAAAAGTTCATACCTGTTTGTCACGCTGAAGAGAAACCGATGGCTTCTAATTGGTAAGGGAAAAAAGATCATAGCTAGCTCTCAATAAAATAAAGAAGTTACAGTCATCAAAAATCCCTGTAGACCATTTAGTTCTCATTCAGTGTATTAATGTTGATAAATTGAATTTCTTATTTATTGGGAGCTTGCTGTAGTTAGCATGTAGAGAAGATCAAATTGAATGATTTTTGTTTATGATGGAAAGACAATAGTAGCGATGGGTGAAGCGAGCCTGTTCTGATGTTGTTGGATTCTCTTGTCTCGGGCTAAGATCGGCCGATTCAGCTGTAAAATAATCTTAATGATGCTAAATGCGAACAACTTTTAACTTTCTTTCTTCAACTTTTATTTCAGGAAACTTGATTAAATTATTACAAACTTTCTGATTGATTCTTGATTGACGAGACCGTCACCCTTTGACAACTGCTGTCGTTGTTGTTCCCACCGGTGATGTTATTTTTCTCACCCATCTAGTTCGTACATAGCTTATTGCTATCCTACCGGCGTTTCCATGTCCCGGGCCATACTCTTTTACTCGGTTAGTGAAGCGTCTGAAGCGATCGTCTTGCTCTTCTCGATATTGTGGAGCTAAACTATCTTGTAATCTAAAAAAATTGTAAAGCTAAAGAAAAAGGACCATTATGTCCGGAATCCAAGTTTAGCCGCGACATTGTCCCAAGGTGTCGAAATTAGGAGCTGTCGAAGTTAGGGTTATTATCTATATGTTTATGCTTGTCATAAGGACTTTAAAAAGTAAACTGTGAATTAGAAAAAGTTATTTATTAATTATGAAGAGAGAAGAAATTACGAGCTGTGGGTATAAAAGAAGATATTTATTGACGATTATGTGCTTATTTAGAAAAAAATTCTTATTATTAATTCCTACTACTTAAAAGAGAAAGAAATTCATGATTTATAGCAGATATGATTGAATGTTATGAAAAATATTCTTAAAATAATTTTTTGTCAAGTGATAAAAGGTAAACTTAAGCTTATTTAAAAAAAAAAAAGGTGTTTTGTGTATTCATTGTTCCCCTTCTCTTCAGTCTCCTGGGTGTATCATGTACGTCACCCATCTCGATTGTGCTGTTGTGCGTTAACGCATTCTCCCGGTGGCTTCGTGACCGAGTACTGGGACATATTCGGTTGCGCGATGTTGTTGCTTTTCATCTATCCACAGAAATCTGCTGTTAGTTTTTCTTGTTTCTTCCAATGCGCGTTGTCGTTGTAGTGGGATTGTTGGGTTCCATTTCTTATCATTGATTTGCATATGAAAGAGCTACTTGAATGTGAAAATAGTTTTTGTTTCTATATATTTTAATATTTACAAAAATATCATCGATTTTTTCTTCTTTGGCTTCTAGTTACCTTTCGAGTTACCAGGTTTTTTGCGCTTGGTCTCGACACTTTGATGGATTATTTCGGCGCCTGTGATCTTGTGTCTGGCGATTTTTATTAGTAAAATCATTTTGGTTAACCATTGGGTAGTTGGGGGTTTGATTTATTGGGGGAAAGTTATATCTATTGAGTTGTGACTGAGTTTGAAAGTTTTCGTTTGTGTTTTGGGGTTGACGTCTTTGATAATTTTGTAGTGGAGGTTTGCTTTGAGGAGGCGGGGTTTGTGGACGAGGTTGATTCATTACTGCTGTTCTATCAGCGTAATCGTTGTGATATCTTTCTTGGATATTGCTACCGAATTCCTGTTCTCTGGCGCTATTAAGGCGTCTTACATTGTTTGGAATGAATCTTTCTTGGGAATTTTGACGGTGTTTGTAATTTCTGAACTGGTTTAGATTTGTATTGTAGTTTTTGTAATTGGGTTTATATTTTGTTTTAGTGTCTTGTACGAAGCGTACCTTGTTCTGCGCAGGACTCTTGCTACGGCTGTTAGTCATGGTTTTATTTTGATGGGCAAAAAGTTCATTTGAACTTAATCGAAGATATTCTTTTAATGCTGTATAATTCATTTCACTCGCCTCTAATGGCCATTTTCGTTAAGAGATTTGCAAGAGCATTGGAATCAAATAAGGGTTGTTGGTTTGAAATCTTTTCAGCCATTTCATATTCCGCTTTTAAATAATCTATTCTCGCAGAGTAATAACGTTATATCGTTATATTGTTTGATTCGGGATTTGAACTGAAGAATGCTACATATTGGTCCACCGATTCCACTCCTAGTGGTTGCATTGGGGCAATCCAGAAGAGTGCCATCAGGATAAGGGAGTTCGCAAGTTTTTGCTATTTATTCTTCTCTTCATTAGGGTTGGTGCGAAGAGCGTCATTGGATTTCTTTTTCACACTGGGCGCCAATGAAACGGCTGTCTACTTATGGTGTTGTTAGTGGAGCTCTCTACTTCGGGGGTTCGACGGTTTCCTGTTTCGTTCTGTAAATTCTAACTTTGAATGAAATGACTGCGAGCTATTTTATCTTTAAACTTTTTATTCTTCCACAATATTTAAAATCGTTACACTTTAACGAGAACTGACGAGACCGTCGCCTTAGGCAGGTGAAAAAGGAACTCGAGCGATAAGGGATTTTCCTCGAGCTTTTATACCGTGAGAAATCCCCTCCACTCCGTTGAAATCAATGTCGTAGTCGGCGCCAACCTGCTCGTGGGCGGACACTTGTCTTTTCAGGGATTGCGGGATGTTGCACTTTCCCATGTAATTCTTTACGCAACATTTTTAACGCGTGCATCGAATCCCTTCGGGAATTTTATTTCCCCTTCGATGCTTATCGATTTCTCGTTTGGTGACCTTGGGTAGCGGCCGACTTTTGTGTCTCGGGCCATGTTCTCGTGTTCTCGTCAATCGTCTCGTCATCTTATTAATGTTGGAGGGCGCTGGTGTGAGTTTTTCTCCCCTTCACACGAGCGTACACCACACGTGATAACCGTTGTGAATGGTTTTTGCTTCGGCGAGTGCTTGTTTTCTCTTGAGTAGCATCCTTGGTGGTATTGTAGGGCTCCATTCGTGCTGGAATCAATGTTTCTTGAGAGTTTTGCCAGTTTTTGTAGGATCTGGTAGGATTCTCTTGCCTCAGGCTAAGATCGCCAATCTATTTCGTCAATCTATTGATGTTAGTGAGAGCTAGTGTGAGTTTTTTTCCCTTTCACATGAGCGTACACTACATAGACTTTCCATCTAAACAATTGTCATTTGATTTGATCTTCTTGAAATAATCTTGCTAATATCTTTTTTTCCTTAGATTGAAATCACGTTGCAAAAAATGTTTGTACAAACAAAGGATGGAATCTAAAAGAGGTGAGAGAAAAGGAATTAGGTATTAGAGTTTCCCAATTTATTTTAAGTTGAAATAATTAATTCATATGTTTTAAAAATTTGTAAGTGATTAACGATTAGCTTGAGCTCAATTAAGAGAAAATCTTTAATGCTTATTTAGTGGCCTATGCACTCATCTCGATCTTTATCTCTAGAGATATTTTATAAGTGTCCATAAATACAATATCTTATATTGAAAAATGAATGAAACGAAAAAATAATTAATTTTATTTGAAGTTTTGAACCAGTCTTAAATTTAGAGTCTGAGCAGATCCATTTTTAATTCTTAAAATTTTCTTTGTTTTATTTAATTTATTATAAAATCTTGTAAAATTTTAACGGAAATTCAATTTTCAAATTATTTTCTAAATTATTCAGCGAGTTGTTCAGCAGTAGTAGATGATTCCAATTATTGACATCTAAAACTTTTTTTTCTAAATACTTCAATTAACAATTAAACACCAGATCACTCAAGCCGGTATTGATTACGAAAATCTCAAAATCAATTAAATCACCTTAAAGTGCAAATAAATCAAATTGAAAAGATGCGTGATTTTTCATGTTTTTGTTTAAATATTTTGGGAAGTTTTCCAATACAAGAAAAGTTAGGACGAATCAACTTGAAAACAAATGACCTGCCAACCAAAGGCGATGATTACGAATTCTTTTTATCGGTAATACTGTTTTGCTTTGGTTTAAGTAAATTTTTATTCCCCAAAGAGTTCATTTTTGTTTGTGCAACAGCGTCTCTATATATGTGATCATTAAAAAATTACTACGTCATAGTTATAACAATATCGCTAAAGTTTTTGTTTCTACTAAGAATATAAGAGCTAATTCCAAGAAATTTTTAATTAATTCTTCGTTTTTAACAGGCTTTGGGTCCATTTGAGAGAGAATCTGTTAGACTATCAACACAACATGATCAGCTGATGATTCGCCAAAGAGTGATGGAGTGGACTATTTATCGGTGTTTAAATTGTGATTCTTATGTATATGCTACTTCTCAACAAGGCAATCTTGGAACGGTATTGATCAATGGAAATCTTGAAGTAATTGTTTTATTTCATAAATTATTCAATTGTAAATTTAACTTAAATATTCTCATTAAGAGGGATGAAGGTGAATTGACAAGAATGATGCAAAGTGACAAGTATTCGATGCCATTTAAAATTATTTTAAAGCCAATGGAATCAGTAGTGCCTGCATTTTCATCTGGCATAAACGATGACGTTCGCATTAAAAACTTCTTTGGAAAATTACAAGAATATGTAAGAATTCATTTAGTTACAACTTGAATGATCTTGTCTCATTTTTTTTTATTAGATTTCAGAAGATACTTTGAAAACAGAAGCGGAGATTCGTCGTTTGACTATGGAAATGAATCAACGTCGTGATCAAGCAGAAAAAGATTTTAAAACAATTGCTGCACTAATTGAAGCTTCCCATTTTACTGAAGCACCTAAGTCGACAATAAACATTGGGTCATTGACACCTCCTGTAACTCCTGAAAGTATCAGTGATAAAATGATGGCAATTGATGATCAATTGCCTCATAAAACGATTAAATTTAGTGACAAAATAAATCGACACGATGGCTCTTCTAAACATGGAAATTTGCTGAGACAACAGCAAACAACTAGAACGATTGATTTTGACGAAGACATTTTTGAATTTGATGGAATACGTAGCAATGGTATGAATGGTATTCATAATCCTCATAAGTATTCTGACAACGACGATGGTTCAGACAGTGATGGCACTGAGATACGTGCCTATAATCGTGGTCGCTCTGGTAGCATCAATATCGCGCGTTCTGCACCTATAACAATGCCTCAATTTAATCATGCTGCTCATCCATTGGATGAAGCTAAAGCAACAAATGATCAAATGGATATCGCATCATCAATTAAAATGCTCGCAAGAAGCATTCATAACGATTCTAAACTTTTTGGTGACTTACCAAATCGTTCTGTTTTACGCTTCAATGATAATTTTTGAATGATTATTAATTAGCAGCTTGTTTAAAACTACTTTAACAAGGACATTAACATTTTTATACATATGCTGACAAAATCATTTTCTCTTTTTCAATGAATAAACACGATGTTCTCAGTTATAACAAAATTATATTTTTAATTCGAATGTTTAGGAAAGAATCTTTAAAGTGATATAAATTCATACAAAGTCAAAAACTTCTTGCATCGTTGAAATTTCTTACTTTTGAAGTTAAGCAGCGTGAATTATTTCAGTTTAATCTTTAAAACTTCTCATTCTATTTTTTTTGTCATCATTTTTTTTGCAGTCAAGTGTGACAAGAAAGGAAACAAAATTGTCACAGATGTTTCTAATTTATATTCGTTTCTTTTAATATCAAAGAGTGCTCATGTTTTAATATTACCTAATTAAGGAATTTTTTCAGCTGATGGAAGATTATTCCACAGACATCTAAAGTAAACGAACTTCATTGAAATTTAATATCAAGTTTTTTTGTTTTGAAAAATTCTTCCTAATCTTTGTACAATGAACTTTGTCGATAAACAATTTCATATTGTTAAATAGAATAGAAAAAAATTCTGAAAAAAACTGACGACCTTTGAGTTAAAGAAACCTTTAGAAAAACGAAATTAATAACAACAGATAAATAATTTATGACAACATTTTTATCAGTCGTAAACAAACACTATCACAGACATTCAACTTTTTCATTAAAATTATTTTCTTTTGTGGAGATTGGCATTGCGAAAGATTTTTGTGATGCTACTTCTGTCAATCTTTTCAGCTTCACGATCATAAACTGGATTTTCGCCGTTGATAAGCCAACTTTCTTGTGCTAAATGTGCTGCTGTTCTTGGATTGCTATAAAATTTGTTGGATTTGAGAAGTTCTGGTGGCAATTGTTGTTCCCACATACTGTTTTGAATGACAGCCTGATGGGCGATTACAGGTCGGTGTGACAAATGCGCCTACACGAAAAAAAAGAATAATTCATGAAATCTAACAAAAACTTTGTCCAATAAGTCCTTGAATTAAACACTTACAACCGGTTGTACAAACACTTGAGCGGAAATTGAAAGCACTATGGCTGAGACTAATAAAATTATCTTGAACATTTTTTCTTCGCTTTCCTTCCTTTTATTGTCAACAAAACTAATTTCTGTGGTTCTGCGAATTAAGATTAAATATAAGAACAAAGCTTTTCATTGAATGCTTTTAGAAACGTTTAGATGGAATACTTTTTTCTTCTCAAACTTACTTTGTTTGTGGGTAAGAACCAAACACCGATTATTCTTTCTTCTACGACAAGTTTCAACGAACTAAAGTATCTATAGCCAGTTCCTAGCTTTTATATCGATTGGAAGTACATATATGTGTCTGGATGCGTCTTAACACACAGCATAGATACAACTACATGAATTCGCAAGGTTTTAGTTGACTAAATAGAGCTCGCAAATCATAGTAGGGCTGAGAGTGCGAGAGAGATGAACAATGACAACAATGTGATCAATGTTAAGTTAATTAATCATTTGTAAATTCATGAAATTATTCCGATATAATCGTAATTTGCTTTGCAAAGTAAATAAATGCATAAATGTTGTACTTGTTGGTAACATAAGTCATTAACCTTTTTACTATCTTTACCATCGATGATGTCGCTGATATTTACACTGATAAATACGACGAGTTTTGAATCTTCACTTTTTATGCACTTTTATCTGTGACCACTAAACCTTCACTTAATAACAGTAATAACAATTCTTTAAAATACTTATATCGATTTCCTACTCTCACCATTCATTGTCATTGAGAAAGGCAAGGCTTTTTATCCGTTCGTTTATATTCTCTCCAGTTCCTGCAACAAGTACAGTTCATTGTCAAGGGCGCTTTGCTTTTGTATTTGTATGCGGTTTTTATATTTTACTTTTATAGTTTTGTAACGCGATTCATGTATCGCTTTGATGCATGCTGCTGTACTTTGCGACCTTTTATGCAAGTACAGAAGAAGCAGTCGACATAAAAATATGATTGCGGTTAAACATTTATTAACCTTTAGTGTTGGATTACTTGAAAGAAAGAGTTTTGCTTTATATACAAGAGCATGAGTTTATTATTGAATATTTGAAAACGTTATCTCTCTTAAATAATAAATAAATCGCTGTTAAAATATCAAGGAAATACAATTTACTTAAAATTTGATTATATATTCGAATATTTAAGAAACATTTCACAAAACATCACAAACATTTATTGTTGCTTCTTATCATGTCTTTATTTATTATGTTAAGCGAAAAGCAATCATTTGTTTACGATTAAGCAACTGTGTTGTTTGCTGATACCTACATAAATATCAGAATGATTTAAAGGAATATAAATGTCCAAAAAATTCGAACTTACTTCGCAGTGTTCATTGAGTTTAAAGTCAAAAATGAAGTTGAAAATAATTGTTTTCTTTATTGCTGTAATAATTCTTATCGCAAATGGAGCTGAAAATTCAGACGGTAAATTTTGATTCAAAATTTCGTTCTTTTAATGGAGTTTTAAAAAGCATAAAAATAAAACTTTCAGCAAATTGTTTGTTGAAGCCTGAAAGGGGTTCATGTGATCGAGATGTCACTCAGTATGCCTTCAACCCAGACACAAAAAAATGTGAAGAATTTAAATATGGGGGTTGTGGAGGAAATGGGAACCGATTTATGACACTGAGTCTTTGCCGCAGACATTGTGAATAATTCTCGATTCTCAGACATTGTCGATAATCTAAAAATAAAGTTCCTAAAGTAAACATTTGTTTCTTTCATTTGATATTTTTTGGAATGTCTTCGTTTTATATCAAGAGATTTCCTTTTAACTAACTTATAAATAATTCAAATTTCATTTCCTTTCCATCCAAAATCATGTCTTCTTCCTACGCTTCTTTCAAACAGTTTAATGTTACAAAACATGTATCACTTTGACAAGGTTGTGATCCCTTTCACTCTCAAACTACTGACTACAACAACAGGTGCAGTTCATTGTCAAGGTTGTCTCACAAAATTGCATTGATTCGCGAGTAAATGAATCTGAAAAATAACCGTAATGTTCACGTGTAAAATGGATTTATTCGAACTTGAATGGGTACAATTTAATACGAACACAAAATAATGAATAAGTTGAATGATTCAATACTTTTTATGGAACTGAGAAAACTAAATAGACATTGAGAAGAGAATATTTTTTTTATTAATTACATAAATTCATTACATCATTTTTCAGTTTGTCATTCACATTACTTACTGTGTAGATATTTGTTTTCAATCTGTATAAATGTAGAGAAGAAATGAATGAACCTCAAGATGAATCTACAACTGTTTGGATTTTCTCATAAAATAAATATTTAAATATTTTTCAGAAGTTTGGTTTATGAAAATTTTAACAAGAAATGAGAAAAGAAAAATCAATTATTAGTTGCCTAAAATTTGTTTCCTTTATAAATGTTTAATAATAAGCAAGTTCAGCTTTCTTTTTGTATTCATCTTTTGTGTAAGGATTAGTTGCTGGGTCAACATTCAACTGGTAAAAACGTGGAGCTTCATGACAGTCAACATTGTACCAATAATCGCATGTGAAATCTTTTTGACTGAAAATCATACAAATTGAAAGTACAAATTTGTTCTCCAATAAAATATAACAAAATCATCTCAAATACCTGAAGAGTGTTCCATTTGTGCAAAGAAATTTAGATCCCTGTGAACCTTCTCTGCCATCATTGCAAACGTGATAACCCTGAATTGAATTTCATATTATAATAATCAATAAAGCTTATGTGAATGCTTTTTGCTTCATGTATTTAAATATCTTATTATTTAGATCAATGAAATTTATCGATATTGGTCTAGTTTCGTGATTGTTGGTAAAGTTACTTGCATAAAAACATGTGTGAATAAACGTTCAATCATTTATTCATTTAAATACACACCTGGCAACCTGTCTCAACATTAGCATACATCCCTGGGTGAGCTGGCATGGCATTACAATCAAAATTAGTGTGAGGGAATTCATGATAAAGTGGATAATCATGACCCGGTATGCCAGGAATTTTTGATAGATCTTGTTCTGGTTCTTTCTTTTCAGCTTTCACATATCCATATTGCTGTTAGAAATAATTACATAATTAAATTAATAAGACGTTCCTTTTGATGAATGGTTCTAACAAGAACAATTTATTGCAAACTGACATCAACTTTCAACTTGATGGCTTCCGACGAAACAACTAAAGCACAAATTGCGAAAACTTTCAAAAACATGTTTCTTGATTTAAACTCGAGCAATGAAGTTTGAAGTATTCCGAATCTTAAGACGGTCCAAATGTGACTGAGCAAACAAAGGTCGCTATGAATGAAAAGCCTAGAAGTGGGAGATTGAATATTTAACTCGGCTGACTTCAACACAGCCACCTTGAAGACAAACCAAAAAATTATTTGCAACATAATAACGCGTTCATATGTTGTTCATATTAATGTAACCACTCAAGTAGTGCTGAAGTGATACATTAGCGAACAATAATCAGGTTTACTAAAGTTATTTAAGATACTTTCACTGCACTCAAAGAAAAACTTTATGATAAAGCTTCAGCTTCAGTTTGAAGCAATTAAAAAATTACTTTCAGTGTTATCGAATATAAAACGACGACATGAATTATGTAATATCGTCATAAATATATATCTAATATATTGGAATTATACAATCGATACCAACTGCAAATAAGAGTAAACTAAATAAATGAATGAAAACAAAAGTCATTTGGAATTTTTTATACTTAAAAAAGAATTATGAGCGAAGATTTGGTTTTATTTTGTAATTTATTTTTCTTAAAGGAATCATTTTACATTGTCAATGTTACTCTCCCAATTAAATTCTGTCCCTCCATTCTTAACTGCTATATTGCCTAAATTGGAAAATCGAAACTCAAAATCATTGTCTTTGGCTTTGAGCTTTTCAAATCTGTTGAAATGGAAGAGAAGAAAACAAAAGGAAATTAGATTTATGTTCCATTGTATAATTTATGCTGTAAATTTTATGTGGATAAATTATGTAAGACTAATTAAGAGCAATTAACCATAACTTACCTTTGAAACATTAATTGTTTTGCAAAATCATAGAGTTCTATGTCAAGTGCATTAATATCTTTTATTTTCTTTTTTTGGAACGGATTGAGACCTTCAAATGCTTGCATCGAAAGTGTTGAATTGTGCTGTTCAAATGGTATGGCGAACCTGAGATTAAATGTCTCTTCAAAAATGTATTGAGATATCTTTTGATATTCGGTGAGACCAAAGAACGACATCGCTGTGAAGAAAATAAAAATGAGAAGAAAAGTTTAAGAATGTAACCGACGAGGTCAACTTAATTAATCTTTTGATTGAAAATATTTACCAGCTAAGTTTCTCTTTGCACTTGCTAGCATAATTCGATTTCGTTCATGTAATGGCATCGAAGTTTTGTTGTAGCAGTTGACTAATGCAAGATCTGCTAACATTCTCGTCTGTCGATTAGCTGCTAAGTTACTTTCACAATCAGCAAATTCGTCAAGTGTTACATCAACCCAGTTGTCACCTGGAAATACAAAACATTTCAAAAATGTGTAAAGGAAATTTTAAGGAAGTGTAAGAAACCGCTGTAACAAGCTGGAAGCTCTTCTGCAGTTGCGGAACGTCCGAGACAAAAATGTCTCGAATTCTTCCATGTCGCTCCTCTTTGTACGTGACGAAATTCGGAAAGATATCTTGGTATTGGAGATCGAAGAAGAGTGATGTAAAAATATCTTCTTTTGGTGGTTTCACCTTCATTTTTGTCAAGTTCTTGATCTACACAGCCTGTCAATTCAGTCCAATCGGCGTGTAAACCACACTTCCATCCTGTTGAGTATCTTGAAAATAACCAATTTTCATTTCTATTGGGTCTGAAGCAATAACATCGCTTCTTTTTTCTTTGGCACGTGCATTTTCTCTGTTTTTTAAAATAAACATTCAAGTTATTTGAATAAATATTTTAGCAAACTTTCAACATGAGTTTCAATCACCTTTAGATCTAAATCTCTGACTAAGTGCTTTCCAAAGCTTGTACCTCCCGTCTGGAAATAGTCAATCAACCATTCATTTCAATTATCGCTTATCTGAATCAATAATAATAACGATAAATTACCTTTTGTATGTGCAGAAAAACCTTGAAAGACAAAAAACAACGAAATCATTTTTTACACATAAAGCGTTATGATAAACAAACAGAAAAAATTGTATTTAGATACAAAGAAAGAAAAAAACACAAATTTCATTCTCACCATAACATCAAACTTTGTGATGTCAAATTTACTCTGAAAATCATCGTTGAGCACTTCATCGTAACTTAAACCCTTTAAATGATTTTCTACTTTGTGCTTTGTGAGACTACTTAAATTATCAGTTTTATGATTTAAATGAAAGTGATGATCTGTGAGAAGTTTCTTCTTACTGAAGGCGCACATTTCTTCATTGCAAGCGAAGAAGCCGAAAAATACGGTCCCGATTATAGAGAGAATAATTATGATAAAAAATATAAGTAAGCATCTTCGTTTCTTTTTTAAACTGTCCATTCTCATAACTTCATTATCAGGGTTTATCAGGTATACTAAATCAATCTTTGAAACTTTGACTTGGAGTAATGATTTTTCACATCTTTTGTTTATTTTTTCCTTTATGTCTAATGACATAATTTTCGTCTCGTTTTGATTATCTTTGCAACATCAGATTCAATTATCATTAGATATTGAAACCTTGTTAACAACTTTAGTTAACTTTATCACGCATAGTTTGTGTTAATAATTTAATTTCTTAAATTCTTTTAACTTAGAAATGAACTTCTCGGTCAGTTTTTTTCACTATTTTAGTACAAGTGAGTGGCGTCGTAAGAAATTGAAAGTGTTTCGTTTGTCTCTTACGTTTTGTAGATGTACGTTACTGAACTGAAATATTTTAGAACTAACGTTTTGACGTAACGTCGGATACGTTTTTTTTGTTTTTTCCACATACGTTAAAATCTCAAACTTTCATTTGCATAATTTATCCATGAATAAATATTTTAGATAATTAATTATTGTGGATAATCTTCTTAATCTGAAAAGATCTTTTATAAATAAAATAAGCATAAGTTTTTATAGTGACATGGAGGAATGTTTGCAGCGCATTTATTCGAAAAGAAATCGGCATATTAAATTTATTACGATTACCACTTTAATTATTTTATTATCCTTGCTAAAAGTCTCCCGACTTCTTATTGTTAATATGACCTAGGATATGACGAATGACGACTAAGTTTAATTTAATGCTTAAATCACAGGTTAGTTAACTAATCCAAAATTCACGCTTAAAATTAATTATTGAAAAAATTTCAATCGAAAATATAATTTGATGCTTAGACTGCAGCGGCAGGATTCGTTTGTTGTCATTTCCATTTCGCCTTTTGAGCTAAAATATCTTGTCGTAAGTTTTGAGCAAAGCAAATTCCCAAAATCTAAAAGAAAATATAAAATTCAGCATTAATGTTTGAAGTTTAATTAACTTTTCAGCATAAAACGCAAGCAAAACTCAACAAACAAAAATTCACCTGAACAAATATGCAAATTATAAACAATGATGAAATAGTAATCAAATTTTCTTCAAATAATTCTTCTCCAGCTAGGATGCATCCTCTTTCGTAAATAATCTTTGAAACTTCCAGACTCTAACATAAAAACAAATCAAAAAAATTCATTGCAAAAACATAATTAAGTTATCTTGCATGCACACAGACATTTTTTAGGAATGAAATTAAAGCCATAGATAAGTAGATAAGTTCAAACACCTTTGTTATCATTAGTAAAATTGACGTTCCAACAACGTAAAAAATATTTTCTTCAAATAAGCTCTCGCCAGCCTTCAAACAACCTCTTTCATAAATATATCGTTCAATATACTGTTGTGGGTTAATGGAGTGTTGAAAGATAACAGAAATTTGTTAGTTAGCAAAAAGAATTCTTTTGAGAATAAATTTTGAAGAACAAAATTAACTTACAAATCCTTCTTTTCGAACATCATATCCGCATTGCTAAAAATACAATTTAAAATTATTAATTTATTCAATTTATTCCAAAATTATCATCTTCACTGACCTTATTAGCGATGATATCATTAGAATTTGTTTTGCAGCATGAAAATGGAACACCGCAAGCTTCACGTGAACCGAGAATACTTGAAGTGCAATTAAAGTAACGGTTTGCATCCCAGTCTGTTGATTAAGAAAACAAACTTGCTTTGAATATTATTTCTATTATTAATAATGTCTCAACAATCACCTGATGGAGTGTCAATTCCACAACATTCCCACTGTTGTTGAATGTAGTCTATAAGATTCTGCTGATCAGCATCTTCACGATAATGAAGAATAAAATTTCTCAAGCCATAAGTCGCTTGACTCTTAATCCATCCTTTGTCCTTAAGTATAAAAGTCAACACACCTAATCCAATCTCCAGCAATAATAGAACAATAAGAAGAATCGAGTGCTGTAAAAGAAAATTTATTTGAAGTTCGAGATTAATAGAAAGAAATGAAAATTACTCACTATAGATAACAGTAAGGTATTTTCTCTTAATGATCCAACACATCCAGTAAAACCTAAGAATAAGAAATCTGAGTCATGAGACTGCACTAATACCAGTTTACCTCATTACCTATTAAAAATGTTATTGAGCCAGATATGATGAAGACAAATGCTGGATCGTATAGTAAATTGGACGATAAATTGCTAAAGACGTTCTTCTCATTAAGCGCCCAAACACCCACGCTTAACAAAAATAATCCACATATCTATAAATGTAATAGACGTAAAAAAAGTAAACAAGAAATTTAAAAACAAAGATTACGCATTACCCAACAAACCATGTTAACGCTTAAAATGGAGTATTTGAGACAACAACTTATCTCAGTGCGATCACGACGCAACTTTTTAATCTTTCTAATTGGCATTTTGGAAAAAAATAAACAGCTAAATCTAATTTTTAAAACTATTTATTCGACTTCTTTTTGCAATCTCTTTTGCTTCATTTGGAAAAAATCTTATTAGATTCACAGCATCGTTGTTGTCTCTAAACAACAACTTTGCATCTTTCGTCTTTTCAACACTCGCATTCCCTGCGTTGTAGCAGAAAAATCAGCGAACAGACAAAAATGTGCGAACGTGCCGTGCCGTAAGTTCGTAGGGCAGTTCGAATCAACGATTCAACGATGTTCAATTTTTGTTCAATAAGAAACATTTCTTATAAGAATTCGTTGAACATTTCAACATTAAATTGCGCATATTAATTAAAATGTTTAATCCCTAAAATGTAATTTCTCCTGAAATTTCTAAGCATTTGTTCATGCAAAATTTAATTTATTAAATGATAATTAGATGATTTTATTCACATGTAATTAATAAATTATCTACACATGACAAGGTATAAGGTTGACGAGTTTGCCTAAACACAAACGATTGACTGTAACTTTATTAAGATTCTTTGAGATTAAAAATTTTCTCAGTATTACGATTTATGAACACATTCATCATAACAGATCTAATGAGATAATTTATGATAATTACCTGTAATTAGTTTGCTTACTTTACTTCCTAAATATCTGACAGAGAAAAAAAATTAGAAGAATGTTTAAATGAAGCCAAGAACGAGTCGTCTTGAAGCTATTTACATTTCAGGAAATGAAACAATTTATTTTCTGAAATTTCTTTGAAACTTTTAAAAATGTTTGCTTAGGAAAAGTTTATTCATGATTCATGAATAAAAAAAATGAAATGAAGGTCGCAAGATGTAAATCAAAGAAATGTGAAGACACAAACTCACTTTTATTTATTTGACAAACTCATGTTTGGTTTCTTTATTTAATTTGTTTCGTTTTGAAAAGTTTCTCTTAAATATTTACAAATTTCTATGTATGTCTGACCTGTTCTACTTTAACTTCCATCAAACTTCAAAAGTAATTTCTTTTTCATATGAAAAATTCTTTTTTTTTAAAGCGCTTGATTTAATTAAGAAGAGATGACTCGTTGGATCTACATAATAACTAGGTACATGTCATTATTGTAATCTCAATTCATTGTCATTCGAGCATCAGAGAGAAAACCATTTATTTTCTTAGTTATCTAAGTTCCTTTATGTTTTTTTTCTTAACAGTTTAGAAAAAAATTAAGTGATTCGCTCAGTGAATTCAACAGTTAATCGTTTAGTCGGAGATATTTGTTTGTTATCATCTCGCCACTTTCACAAATTGACAATTCACTTCAGTGATTAAATTTATTCTATTGTTTAAATAATTATTTCATTTCTTGTTTCTGGCTTTGATTAAATGCTAATAAGATTAAAATTAAAAAGATAATAAAAATATAAAGTTGAGCGAATAAATTCATCCGTCAACATTATCCACAAAAATATTTACAACTTTCTTTCTCTCTTTTTAATGGGCATTGATTTGAGTCATGATTATGGTTTTTAATTAAATAACACAACATTTAAGACATCACGTTTTTGTTTTTTTCTTAACAAGCAATTGAAAGAAAGCGTGGATGAAAATAAATGTCTCACTTAAGAATGAATTGCATCATGTGATGGACAATTAATTAATAAATTAAATGGTCAGCAGGAGTACATAAATATTTTATTATTAATTTACAACCTGTCACATTGATATCTAAGCTTCGTCATCAGAACAGAGGGACGACACGTTTTACATTTATACTGAGAAGAGAGAAAGAATGAAAACATGTAAAGCAAGTTGTCAGATCCATTTTTTCATTCATACAAAGCTCTGTTCATATTGTGTGGAAAAAATTCATTGATCATGTTCGTTTTCTTATGCTGCCGTAATAATTTCAGCGAAACAAAAAAAGGAAAACTCGAAAGAAAAATAATCAAAAAACATTCACTGATGAGATCCAAATGCCAGTGACGCATAAAATTGGGTTCAAAACATCCTAAAGCAGCTGATTGCTGAGCATTGTGATCATTTGAAAATGAAGATATGATGATGTGATGAAAAATAAGTGAATTAAGAAGAAACGCAACAAGTCTTGGTGCACAACTGTTGGTTGAACTTCTGATGGATAAGCAAACGATCCAGTATTATAAAAATTATCCAATAATTCTTCTTTCTCGATAAAACGATCATATAACCACTTAGTCAGTGCTTCGTCTTCACGTGGAACCTGTAAGATAAATTAATCAACATTTCATTTCATATTCTAAGAAATATTTCCACAATTTACCTCAGAACATCGATATAAACGATACAAAAGATGTGTTTGACAAGACCTTCTCATTCCCGTGACAATATTTGGCAGATCTAATGGCTTTCCATCTGGATAAGCAATTGTTATATCCAATACATATTTGAGAGTCTTTTTCGAGCTTATTTCAGCTTCACCAATTTTTTCTTTTAAATTCTCATCGTCGCTGATAATCCTCTGAACCGTTTTATTGTTGTTATGGTTGTTGTTTGCATTGTAAGCGTTGCGTAACGGTGTTGTTGGTGGTGTTTGTTGATTCGAGTACTCGTTATCAATATAAAATTCATCAGAATCACCATTTATCACTTTATTTATATCCTTCATTGACTGTGGGGGTGTCGTAGAAGCGGCGGGATCTTCATCTTGTCCTGGTCCAAGAACATCGATGATTGTTTTCATTGCCCCATTTCTTGGCAATGTTACATGATGAAGCACTGGCAAATTGTTCTTGTTAGCAAATCTGTGAAGGAAATAAAAATGTTTTTAACAAAATAATGGAAAGTTTAATTCTTATTCAATTACCTCTGACTGGCTTCACGTCTTTTTCTCAAAAATCCACCTTCAGGAAACAAAACCATCCACTCTCGTTTTCTTGGAATGTAAGCTTTCTCAATATGCTCGCGAAGTTCTACGAGCGCTTTCTCTCGATGCCTTGGACCCTGAAGAATTAATTTGAAGGTAATTGAAAGAATTTAGAAATTAAATTAAAACTCACCGATCCAATAAAGAAATCCTTATGAATAATGCTAACAATACCAAAGTTTGTGTACATAAAAACTTTATCCATAATCCACATGATGTTCGGTAACACCTCTTGTTTAGTGTTAAACGTTGTCATTAGCAAAGGCACATCAGCTGTAGATTGGTGGTTGACTAGCACGAGAGTACGTTGATCTAAACATGGCGTTATATCATCACCTACTTCAACCACTAAACAAACAAAAAAATGAATGAAGAAATTGAGTAATTAAAGATCACAAACAAACAAATATTTTCGATCAATAAACTTACTGTCGTAACCTGCCATGTAGCTCCACATTGCAACATTTGCCAGAAGCCAATGAAATAATTTTCCTTCAATCCAATAATAAGTGTCAGGATGGAGTTTTCTTAAGGGCAAAAGGAGAAACATCCATATGAGGTATGTGGGAATACAATAAATGTTATTGACTATCACAAAGAGTATCCGGAGAACCGCTCGCGGATATTTGATGATGTTCCTAGTAAAAGAAATAAATAAATTGAACATCTAATGATTTTACTTTTTATGTGCTTTTTATAACTCACTCGAAACAATCTGATGGCATCTTTCTCACAGCAGGTCCTTTACATAAGTCCGAGTCTGAGTCCGATGTCGTTAAAAGTGGATTCAGTTCTATATTCATGAGAATAAAGGAAACATTAAGACTTCTGTATTGTCTAATGTGAAGCTTGAAATGTGATAATAAAGACATACAGAAAAATATAGAAAAATAATGAAGAAGAATTCTTATGAATGATTAAATGGCACGAGCAGGTCAAAAGTTTATCATCCGAAATAAACGAAAAGATTTTTCTCTCGTCTCATCATTACAAAGCCAGACATCAACATGACAAACGTGAATGAACGTTACTAATAATTAATCATAAATTACAGAGATTTGTAGTTCATAATTTAATAAAAGAAAAAGTTCAATAAACAAATCGTAATTTTTTTTGCACTCGGTAAAACAATTTACGTGGCTACAACTAAGAAACACAAACAAAACATCAACAAAAATAAACTAACAGAGTATTTTGATATTTATGAATGAGTTGAAATGTGAAAAAAACATTCTTTTCGAAGGTAAATAGTTCTCATCATCTTGCAAGAATGGCCAAAGTCAACAGTTCAATTCCCCATTTTAAATAATTTTTAATCATTTTCATGTCGCTACCTCACCTTGAAAGAGCAAGTATCAAGTTTGTGAGACGATGCTAAGAGCACACAAATCCATACATACACACAAATAATCACAAAAAAATCACGCAAAAAAATGTTTAAAATCGCAGCGACAAGCATTAAAAAAATGTGATTTTTTATTTGTACAGGTTTTGTTTCTCTGTTGACTAAATCGTTGGAGAGAGATGGAACTAAATTTACATAAAGTTTTGATGATCGTTGGCAAAGTAAAGGAGTTGTTTAGCGATGATATCATGAGATGGCGATTAATGTTATTCTTCTTTTTTTCTTTGTTTATTAAAAATTCTCCATTTTCGTTTTTGCTTGCATTCATTTAATTTATGACTGAAAAATCCGTCCATATCAAAAGAGAGATGAAAGAATTGATGTCAAAATTCACGAATATATTTTTTCTTCATTGCAATGAATGAGTTGACTGAAATGGAAGGTAACTTTTATTATCAAAGCGGGATTTGTCATTGTTTATAATTAAATGAACGACGTCATCAAGTATTCGTCAGGTGATTTCTGTTAAGCGATATGGAATAAATGTAAACAACTAGCAACAGTGAGAACTGATATGAAAGGTCTCGTTTTGATATAGAACGACCTCAACAAAATCTTGAAACTTAAAGATAATCAGAACTATAGTTTGAAGAAGATAAGACACTGAAGAACATGTTCATTTATATCAACAATTAGCTGCTGATTTTTGTAAACTAAAACAATCAATGTCTGAGTAGTTAAATGACGAACATTGTTTAACTCATTCCAATTACAGTTTTATTAGTTTGCATAGTTTTTTCTAGTCTATAAGGCCCTTTTTCAATGGCATGAGTAGCAACTCTCGTTTCATTTTTTTATGTTAGTTGTAATTGATTTATTGAACTTTACTCATGGTGCGGATATTTTGTTGTGCTATTGCTTCGTTTTACTGATAAAAATGATAGCATTTTGTTTTAGTTTTAATCGATTTGTTTACGTAATAATTTATTCCAGAGGAATTAACGTGTGAACGACATCGCGATGAGTTTCTAAGGTCTTTTCATCAACTAACTCGAGCACGAAGTTGAGCACGGTTTACGTGCTTATTTTCTTTTTTTTGCTTGCGCCGGTCAAGGAGGTTCTCCTTCTACATCTTTCAAGTACATCAAGTTCTCCAACAAAAAGACTTGAGAATAGCAAATGATGAAATTTCACATGGATTTAATTTTGTGGTCCTACATTAAAGCCTTCAAGTGCGTTCATAAAACAAAGCTTCGAAAAACGTATTTGAATCATTACATTTAACATTGTGAATGATGTAAAAGACTACTTAATACATGCCAGTGAAGCTTTCATGCAATGTCGAGGTCGCTAAGGGTAAAGTGTTAATTTTTTTATCGATCAACCATCTTCCGTCTTACTCAATCACATTAAGTTATTTGAAGCACGCTTTAAATCTTTCCGCTTGCTTTGGTAACTCAGGACTTCCCAATTAGTTCTTAAATGAATGACAATCGGAAGCAATGCAAAATATGTTTGGCCAAGGCCGAAAACACAATTAACACTTTACATAAAGATGGTATTCAACACGCACTCTTACGATAAATAAAATTCTCTTTGTGTTTTTTAACAGCACGTATCCATGACCACAGAAACTTTAGAATCGCGCCACTTTAATTGAAGATTTACGTTTTTAATTCATTTTTAAGTGGTGTAAGGATGGGACAAATAAATTCTTTATTTACAACTGCCAGAGTTCTCAAACTGAGTAATTCATAAGGTCGAAATTGTTTGGAATTCAAACTTTTCAATTATTGATAACAATGAAAATACCGGATGACAAATAAAATTGAACCCTCTCGACGAAAAATCGTATGATTTCGATTGAGTGAATGTGTTGAATTCATGAGAACATATGGATGTGAATCATCTAAAAACAATCGTGGCGAGAATTAAGTGTGACAGACTAAATAAATATGCAGCAGAAACTTTTTTTTCTCTACGCAAGCAATAGATTCCCGTTCAAGAATGAAGCACTTTAAAATTTATGATAACGAAATCAAACGTCACTGAAAAATTGGGCAAGTCCCAATTAAAAATAGATTTTTTTCTGTGTGTCTTTGAAGATGATTTCATCAAAATTTCTCGGATGTATCTTTTTTTTCTTTTCATTATTAGATACTCTCGGAAGTTTTTGTTCTTTTCTATTTCGCACTAATAAATATTAACTGGAAAAGCTGCACGACTTTTAAAAGTCACAAAATGATATCATGAATAATAGTGATGATAACCGCTACAGTCTATAACTTCTAAATTATTAATCACCTGGTTCAATTGTTGAATTTATTAAAAGCCACAAAAACAGAAGAAAAATCGAATGGAGCCTCTCAAAAAAAGGCAACAACAAAAAATTTATGGAAAAAATATTCTACACAAATCAATTAACTGAAAAATCAACATAGGAATTTCACCACTTTCTGCACCTTATCTATAACTTTTAAGCGATTATCATCTAGCTTGAATTCGTTAACTATCAAAACAAAACTCACAGACTCGTTACTTGTAATGAACCCAAAATGTCACTGAATTAAAACTGGTGAAATATCCGTCACTAGATTGTGTTGACCATATGGTTAAATTTGAATTCATATTTTTCACTCGTTAAATTTTCTGACAAAACTATCAAATAATTTCTGAACTCCCCTAAATCTAATAATTTTTTAAATGGCGATATTTATAAATAATAAATTCAATATTGAGTGCATAAAAACCCATTGTTAAATTAAAAATAACTGAATACAGGAAGATGAAGGTCAGTCTGACAAAAAGTTAAGTTCAATATACCGCTGTTTACTCAAAGCTATTTAAAGAAAGCATTTTTAAGTTGCAATATTTTCGATCTCGTCTCAGACGTTTTTTTATTTTTGTGCAAACTTATAAAAAGTTGTTAAATACTTAGGCCACGTAATAGTTTGTTAAGTACGAGTTCATAACTATATAAAACTCTACATTTCTTGCATTTGTTCATTCAAGGATTAAGAGATTTTATAAGGAATTTTGTAGACTATTTAATTTTGCACCACGTCAGAGTTCTGAAAAGCAGGTTGTTAGAAAAATGAAAGTTAATAATTTATAACGTCAATGATAATGTTCTCTCATTACAGACCTTTGAAATCATGAAGATAGTGATGAAAGTCACTTTTATTCCAGTTCTGTTATTTATTACGGTATTCATACGTCATGCATCAGGAGCTGCGGTTATGTCTGTCGATCTTGGAACTGAATGGATGAAGGTAAATTTAATTCTTTTCTACCATTAGACATTTTACTTTAAGTAACAAATATTCAAGGTTGGAATTGTTTCGCCGGGCTTACCTATGGAGATGGCATTAAATAAAGAATCCAAAAGAAAAACTCCGTCAGTGATTGCATTTCGTGAGAAATCGAGATTTTTCGGTGAAGAAGCTGTAACGTTGGCAGGAAGATTTCCAGCAAGCAGTTACGCTTATCTTATCGATTTATTAGGAAAAGATGTGAATAATCCTATCGTTGCCTTGTACAAAAAACGTTTTCCTTACTACAATATTGAAGCTGACCCAGAAAGAAATACTGTGACGTTTAAGAATGGTGATGAAATGTATACAGTCGAGGAACTTGTTGCTCAGCTTTTGCAGCGTGCTCAAGAATTCGCTCAAGATGCCACAGGTCAAGCCATTCAAGAATGTGTTTTAATAGTGCCAGGATTCTTTGGCCAAGCTGAACGATTAGCATTGCTGTCAGCAGCACGATTAGCTAACTTAAAAGTTCTTCAACTCATGAATGATTATACAGCAGTAGCATTAAATTATGGAATATTCCAAAGGAAAAGTTTTAATGATTCGGCTCAATATTACATGTTCTACGATATGGGTGCAAGTAAAACAACCGTTTCAATCGTCAGCTATCAACTTGTCAAAGACAAAGTATTGAAAGAGAAACTTCCTGTTGTTCAAGTGATTGGTGTGGGCTATGATCGAACACTTGGTGGCATGGAAATGCAATTAAGACTTCGAGATTATCTTGCCGATGCTTTCAATGCAATGAAAAAGACAACACAAAATGTTTATGACAGCCCAAGAGCTCTTGCGAAACTTTTCAAAGAAGCCGGTCGTGTGAAGAATGTTTTGAGTGCCAATGCTGATCATTATGCACAAATTGAAGGACTTCTCGATGAACAAGATTTCAAATTTTTAGTCAAACGTGAAAAGTTTGAAGAACTTTGTAATGACTTGTTCAATCGTGTTGCGGCACCTGTTAAGAAAGCTGTTGAAGCTGCTGGAATTTCACTTGACATCTTAAACCAAGTGATTTTGTTTGGTGGAGCAACAAGAACGCCCAAAATTCAAGAAATTCTAAAGAAAGAAATAAAAATGGAACTGGGAAAAAATTTAAATGCTGATGAAGCGGCTTGTATGGGTGCAGTTTATCGTGCTGCTGATTTAGCGACAGGATTTAAAGTGAAGAAGTTCATAATTAAAGATGCTGTTTTGTTCCCAATTCAAGTTGTGTTTGAACGCGAGGATGGTGGAAAGAAGCCAGTCGTGAGAACATTGTTCGGGCCAATGAACACTTATCCACAAAAGAAAGTCATAACTTTCAATAAACATAAACAAGATTTCGATTTTTCTGTTAATTATGCTGACCTTGATCATTTGCCAACTGGTGAAGTCGCTAATATTGGTCCACTTAACATCACCAAAGTTCAGTTGAAAAATGTTGGAAAAGTTATGGAAGAGAAAATTAAGGAAGGTGTCGAATCCAAAGGAATTAAAGCACATTTCTCTCTCGATGATTCTGGTGTGTTTTCATTAGTGAATGTTGAGTTATCATTTTTAGAGAAACAAGCTGAAGGTGAAGAAGAAGAAGAAGGAACATTAAGTAAATTAGGGTCGACTATAAGTAAACTTTTCAGTGGTGACAAAGATGATAATAAAGTTGAAACAGCGCCAACAAATGAAACTGAAACTGAACAAGAAGCAACAGAAGCACCAACGACATCACCACCGCCCACAAACAATGACACCGAAGTTCCAACAACAAATGAAACTGCAAGTGATTCTACAACAAAGAACGAGACAACTTCAACAACCGAAAATGATGAAGAAAAACCAAAAGTCATTGCACGGAAAGAACCGATTGAATCTTCATCTGAATTGTTGGTAAAATTGCCACTTGATGGTAATCAATACAAGGAATCAAAAGCAAGAATTGATGAATTTGCGAAATTTGAACGTGAAAAGTTACGACGAGAATCAGCAGTTAATTCATTGGAGTCGCATGTAATTGAGGCCCAAATGAGATTGGAGCAGGAGGAATATTCAAGTTGTGCAACAGAAAAGGAACTTGAAGAGATAAGAAGCATGTGCAGTGTAATCAGTGAATGGCTTTATGAAGATGGCATTGATGCTGACGTTGATATTTACGATGAGAAACTTGAGAAGCTTAGAAAGAAAACAAATGAAATCTATGCGAGACATTGGGAACATAACGAACGTCCTGAAGCTTTAAAAGCTCTTCATGGAATGATTAATGGTTCTGAACACTTCTTAGCATCTGCTCGAAACATCACAGCTGATCCTGACAAGGGTGACGTGTTTAGCGAGAAGGAAGTTGAAGATTTAGCAAAAGCTATTAAAGAGGTGATTGAATGGAGAGATAAGGAAGTTGCAGCTCAAGATAAATTACCGAGAAATGAACCAGTTCGTTTAACCGTGAAGCATTTAACAGATAAAATGGCTTTCCTCGATCGCGAAGTGAAATATCTAGTTAATAAAATTAAAGCATGGCGACCGAAAGAGAAACCAAAAAAGAAGAAGAAGTCAAGTAATGAAACGACATCACAAGAATCATCTGAAACTATAGAAAATGTCGAAGAGAATCAACAGGAAACTCCACCAGCAAATAAAGAAGAGAATAAAAAGGAAGACGTAGAAAAAGTTGAAGAAGTTCCAATAGTTGAGGCTGTTGGAGATGAACCCTCAACAGAACAAACAATCACACCAACAGAAACGACTGAAGAAGCTAAAGGAGAGAAACATACCGAACTTTAGAAAGGATTCTTAATTATTCACAATCAAGATTTCTTGCTTAAGCTAGAATAATACTTATTTCTTTATAAAAATTAATGACCAAACAAATTAAAGCTATTTCATCCATTCCACATTATAAAATCTTTATTTGAAATCAGAAGTTCTGGTCAAAAGAAAAAGAAATTAAAACCTTTCATCCAACTCCTACTCTTAATTTATTATTTATTAAAAGTGACTAAATACGTTTCACTCTCATTGAAACATTAATAATAATAAAAAGTAATGAAAGTTGTTATTCTGCACTTTTTCAAGATTATTGGGAATTAAATGACGATTAGGAAAATTTAATCACAAACACCGAAGAAGTTTTAAGTTTGTTTTGTCATTAGTTAGAGAAAATGAAGTCAAATTTGTGATCACAAACCGACATTTACATTATTCCAATAAAATGGTGAAATTTTCTGTAAATATTCTTAAATGCTTGTTGAAAGGTAACATTATAAGTTAATAAAATTATTTCATAAATATGGTGATAGTAATCTAAATTCTTTCATGCATTAATAAAATGTAACGGCATTTCCCACTTTTTATTTGAATTCCACGTAGCATTTCCCTTCGCTCTGTAGTTGCGCACCATTCTACTTTACTACAGTGCCACCTGGAATTAGTGTGTGAGGAGCTTAAAGACGTTGAAGATCTCGTCAATTTTTATCCTAATTACCAGCAGAAAAAAAATAGTAATTTGCCTAATTCCGTGGCCTTTAGTAACTCAAGAACAAATATAATTGGGGCAAACACTAGCAAAAACCCAAGAACATAGATAAATCTAAGAAAATCATAAGTGCGAAGTGAAATTTTTTTTTTCGTGAATCAGCACAGTCCCTCATATCTTATATGCTTTAAATACCACAAAAAGGCACAACCTGTAACGGAATCCTTGAGATCACTTTGTTTTCGTGAAAACCATCGTCCATTTGTTATCACATGCGTGGCAATTTCAGTTCGTGCTTTACACAAAAGTCGAAATTTTCATGAAGTAAGAAAAAAATATTCGCGAGAGTTACAAAAAAACCCCAATCGCTACACACAGGCCATATAACATCACATCATATTATTTATACAGACATATTGGGGGGAATAAAGAAGGAGAGATATCCGAGAAAAAATTTGTCGACGAGAAGAAAAAAAAAATAACTACCTGTGTATAAAGTGCTTAATTGTGTTTGTGACATATTAAAATTATAAAGAAAAGAAAAAAAAATTAATTAAAATCGAATTTTTCTTTCAAAAAAAAAAGAAGAGAAAAGGAGAAAAAAAATCTATCCGAGAGCAACAAGACGACGACTACGTTGTGAGAGAGTGAAAAGTAAAAAAAAAAAATATAAAATAAAAATAAAAATTAAAGGAAGATAAAGAAAGACTCACATAGAAAAATTAAATAAAAGTGCACTAAAGAAGAAAACAGCAAACAGCAGTTTGGATAGCTGAAGGATAGCGGGGCACAGTGTGATAATAAGATGGCTTCCAGCCTCACGGCCGATACGTTCTACAATTTGTCCACACAGCACCAATTCAACTATAATAAAGAGCTTATATATGTAAAGCTCACGGATTCGGCTCTGCGTGCCATTGAGGAATTTGCAAGGAATCAAGTGGGTACCACATCTTCGGCGAAAGATGAGAATTAAACTTGTTGTTTCCTTTTTTTTACTCTCGCTCTCTCTCTCTCTCGTATCTATGATGACAAATTGTCGTCCCAGTGCCTGTTTATCGTCTACTACCGTAATTCGCAAAAAAAAGAAAGAAAAAAAACTCCATATCAAATTAAGAGTAAAGCAATTTTCTCTTTTTATTTTCTGATTCGTGATGTAAAAAAAAAAAAAGTTCAACGCAAATGGCAAACGTAGTCAGCCAGCTAGCTAGCAGCACCAACTTTGGATTCAATCTTAAAACAGGGGCGCCTGAGTGATAAGAATGTATGCGTATTTAAGCTTTTGTGATTGGATGTGTGCAAGAGTGTGTGGTATGCATACTTAATAGCAATTTTGTGCGATAATGTCTATGTGGTGTAATATTGTGAATTATTTCAATTCTGCGAGAAAAAAAAGAGAGTGAATTGAAATAAGAAGGTGAAGAAAAAAGTAACATGTTGCGAAATGATTAATTAAATTATGTGATTGAAAGGTCGCCATTATTCATAAATAACATGCTTGCTATCTTGCTTCTTATCAATACTAAAAAATCTTTTAATCACCAACCAACCCTTCTCTGTTTTATTTCTATTTCAATGTTTTCTTCTTTTTTCCTTTTTGAAATCTATTAATTGTTTGCGTGAATGAAATTCCAATCAAGGTGGTTGTTGCGAGTGCGATAAAAGAGAGTGAACAAGAAGAAAGAAAGAAAAAAAGAAAAGAAAAACATCCAAATGGAAATTGAATGGAAAAAAAAGAGAAAGAGGCCAACCGATTGAATATGAAAAAAAACCAAGCAGCAAACATGAGAAAGTTAACGGAATGGTGAAATGAAATTATTTAGGTCATAGACGAACTGTTGATCCTAATAAAGTCAGAAGCATGGCGAATAGCTCGTCCACATGTGATCTTGATGTGATTTAGGTTTCGTTCACTTCCCCATTCCATTTTCATGCACTAATATTATAAAATGAATGAAGGAAGACGAAATGGACGATCATTAATAAGAAAATGTGTTGATACCTGGCCCCGTGTCGAGTATGGACGAGTCAAGTCGTGATGTTGTTTTCGTGTGGATTTGCGTGATTTATTTTCGTGTGCTTGACTCACAAAATATTCTTTTGAGTATCTTTGTCGCTTCGTTTCATTTCAATGATCTGATTATTCTCGCGTATTTTTTTCTGCTCGCTAATGTTTCATCTGAAAGTGACATTTTCAAGATCTATCATCACGTCATTCATTCTCCCGTGTGCCAACACTCATTTAAAATGATAGTTACTTTGTCGATTGCTTGGTGTGGTGGAAAACGAAGCCGAACAAGTAAATAAGCTAATCCAGGAAATTTTCTGAGATTCTCTTGTTAGACCTTCAAAGTTGCAAAAAAAAAATGCTGCAATTTTATAATTTAATATAGCTTTACTTATTGAAGTCCCTCAAGATTTAAATATCTATCTGCATAATAAAAAAAATGGGCTTACCTTGAAGGCTACCCCTCACCAACACACACGCAAACATACCTCATACTTATATACAAAAACAAATAACTTAATCGTCGCAATAATATTCTTTTAGTTTAATTCTTTAATTCATCGTTGTTCAGATTTTCATACAATTAAATTAAACAAACAAAACAAAACAAAAAATTTTGCACGATATTTCGTTCTCAGTTTGTAATTTTTATATTTCATTTTTTTTCAAAAACGCAACAACCTTCTGAATTGAAAGAAAAAATAAATAAATAAATAAAATAAAGCAGCTAGTCGTCGATGTTCTGAGTGTGTTTGTGTAAGCACAAAGTGCTCTGTGCACACGAAAGCGAAAGAAGAAAAAAAAACATGGTGAAACTGGTTACATGGTGGTTGTGTGTCTGAGATTATTTCCACTGTGTTGATCGAAAATGTTTATTGCTGTTGTTGGCTGGTGCCATTTAAAGCTTTTTTTTTGATACAAATAATAAATTCTGCTGCTCGTCGAATGACTTTTTTTTCCTTACAAATATGTAGTAACGAGAAGTAAATGAGTGAAAAAAAAAGGCCAAATGAGACAATTCCTCTTCTCCATGAAATACCGCACGGCACCGCACGACGATGCGGCGAGTTGTTCTCGTTGGGGATGTGTTGTCGAGCCATAAATGTTAATGAACTTAGAATGTTGCGTAAATATACTACGAATGAGCTTCACGACACAGCATCACTATTACTATTATTCTTATTATTGTTTTAAATGCCAATCGATTCACTGTAAACCAATTGTTGTTGGCTTACGACTAAGTGATTATGCAAAATTATGGTTTCATTTCTGATGCAATTATTAACCACTTTTTGAAGCGGAGTTTGACCTTTTTTTTCTTTTCTTCTTTTACTTCTTCTTTTATGCTGAAGCATGTTTTAATGGTAAATTTTACAGCATTTGCTGAGACAACAATTTAAATTTATTAAAGATGTAAGATTTTAAGATTTACAAGATTAAGAAAAAGAGAGAAAGAGAGAGACAGAGTAATAAATTAAGACAACAAAGAACAACAATCCATCATAATTCCTTAACTTATTTTTTAGAACAAATATGGATCACAGTCGAAAGCATCAATACAGTTTCTTGGAAATGAGGGAGTAAGTATAATTTAATTTAATTAATAAACATTAATAAACCATAAAAGAAATTTCAATTTTTCAACTCGTAAGACATTGAACAAGAAAAAAAATTGCATAATTGACACGAAACACGAAACACGATACACATAAGTGAGCGATTGGGAAGAGAGAAAAGGAGAGTGAGAAAGAGAGATGGAGCTCCAGCTTACGTGCACGGGCGCTTATTTTTAATCATTGTGTTGGTGTGTCGTTATTTTACATGCTTCTGCTATTTTGTTTTACATCCGTGATGTGGTGCAAAAGCCACGATGGTCTTGCATGAAATTTTCTTCTTCCACCTCGTGTATTCACTCTTTCTCGCTTCTACTCACAGTCGTAAGCTTGTTAGTTACAAGACCCGTGGAAGGTTACCAATTGCTTATTTCTTGTTTTATTTGTAAAAGGTCATTTGAGGCCTTTCTCTTTCTCACTCACTCTCGACGCTTGTCCGACACTCAAAACATTCGACTTTGCTTGATTTTCGTTCGCTGCTGTTCCAAATTGATTTGATTATTTATTTGTTTTTGTTTTCGGCTAAATCAGGGCTGTAACAAGACCCATATCAAGGTTGACATGATGACTATAAATGATATTGGGTTGATTGAGCCACAGACATGGGCACACATTGAATTAACGTGTTTCGTGAAAATTTATCTCCAATATCGGTTTTGAGTATTTGATATTTAATATTTATTAATGGCTGTGTGTATCGCATATACATGTTTGCCGTGCAGAAACCACTAATGTTGAGATACGAAAAAAAAAACATTTTATTTCAACCAAACCAGTTTACACTTTTTTTCTCAATCATTTTTAATCCAGCTTGGTAGAGCTCACTGAGGCCTTAAACATATTTTCCTTCTTTTCTCTTATTTGCTGTTGCTAAAGCTCTTAAAATTTACAAGCTCGAATGACTTGAGCCTCGCATCGGAAAAAAATGAATTTTTATTTTGAAGTTTTGAATTTTTGCTCAAAAAAATGTCTTAAAAATGTGACTGACGACAAAGATATGAAGCATAAAAAACTTGCAGTTTCAATCATTTTATTGTATTCTTGCTAATATTTTCACGACGTTTTTTTGAATGCCTACAAATATATTTAAAGAGAGCGAAGCAAAAAAAAATTCCATTTTTAGCCTCACGTTTTGCAAAAGTTTCTTTCGATGGTGACATTCACAAGTTGTGTCACATTGCAATTAATTTTTCTTTTCAATCATCTGTTTAATTCGAATGTTAAACGAGTTATTGATGCACAAAGAATAATTTATTTTAATTATATCATCGACAAATTGTCCACAAAAATTATTCACCTTCTCTTTCCGCGAACACACACAAAAAATTATTTAAAAAAATGAATTCCAATTGTTTTTTTTTCCTTTTGAATGTACGTAATATAAAATAAAATTAAGTAATCAACAATAGATAGTGAGTGTTTCTCCCCACACACCATTACATGGTGACCCCCCTAAATCAGATGATTTACTCGTGTGTTGTTAGAGCTTTCAACGTAAATGCTCCAATCACTGATTTTCATGGTTCAATTTTTGATATTTTCATTAAAAACTTCTTTCACATAAACGTGAACTTTTCAAATATGAAAGATCATGATCCTCGAATGTCGAGATCAAAAGCTGTTTTCAATGATGGTGAATTAAGTTTCCTGGAGATTCCATTGAGCTTCATCACACAGTTAGTTAGTTTGCTTAAGTTTTACAAATTACAAAATGCCATTCTCAATTCACATTCATTTGCTTTGCCTTAAAGCTTTGGTGAAGGCAAAATTTAATGAAAAAAAATACTTTCACTTGGAATGCACAGCACAAACATACACAGATGAAAAATAAAAAATATTTAATAAAAACATCGTGGAACCATGATTTAGTTGTGTATATGTGTGTAGTCAATGTTGTGACGTAACGTCATGTCGCGGAAAAATTGAAGTTTCAATTGAATTTTAAGTCTTTCTTTATGACTTCTCGTTATTTCGAGAAGAAAAGTTTTTTTTTCTTGTTCTTCTTATTACTTATCATCATTCGCTAACGATTCTTCTTCTTGCTCGTGATTTTTTTTAGTTTCTATCATTTCCATCGGTTGGCAACAATGGCAGCAGCAATCAGGCAATGGAGCAAAAATTCAGCTTTTCCCTCACAGAAGAGGAGAAGCAGGGATCATTTGAATGTCTTCAACAAACTCATGGACAGATGAATGTTATGGGTGGCATTCAATATCGTATGCGTGTTCAAGCACAGGAAGATGTTTACGAGAACACACGACGAAGTATGGCGCAGGCAGCTCAAAATCAAAAGAAGAAATGGTGAGTATTGAATAAATATTAAAGCTTTGATAAAAGTAACAAAAAAGAAGAAGAAACCGAACGAAAGATTATTTCATGCAGGAAAACGAGGATTTATTTATAAGTAAATGTCATCCATCTGACTTTTCGAGTATTGTTCACTTCTAAATGTATTGTTACTTGTCTGGTATGCTTTTTTCTACTTCAAACCTTCGTGCCTGTTTCTTAGTGTTATCAAAATGACTTTAATGTGGTGAACAATAGTCTGCTGATAACGGGAGCGAACTTTCATACGTGGGAACCTCATTTGATTGGTGTCGTCGATTTTCTTTAGCCTAAATTTCGATTTTTATATTTTACAATTTACATTGAATGGCATTTCAACAATTATCTAAATGCGATTACTTGTTGGCTGTTGTTCTGTAGTCAAGCAGAGACAGAAACAATGTTCAGGGATGAATTTGAATAACAAATTTAAAGTAATTTGCCTTCTTTTTTGTTCATCTTTTCTCTCCCGCTTGCTCTTCATTTTATTGTCATCATTGGGGAATGAAAAGGTCTATGTGTAGGCACATGTGTGATACTTCTTTTTTTCGATAGTTAATTTCATATTCATGATGTCGCGAGTGGAAAATTCTCACTGTCGACAGTGACAATGGCTTGTACAGGAATTCTCTTTCTTGAAACACGATGCGCTTCTTCTCTTTATGATGAAGAGGTGAATGAGAACAAATGGCGACAGTGCAATAACTCAATGAACGTCAATGTCTTTAACTAAGTAAATATTTTTTAACCGGACGCAATTATTCCAACCAAATAGCTTTAAAATGTTTTTTTATTTAATTTATTTATGTACTTCTTATCAAACCACAGCTTAATTACTCTTCACGTTCTTCGTTCGTTTATCATCGTGACTTTGGTTTCACACGAGAAGAATTTATTTCTTTTCTTTTTTGTTTCATTTTTGAAACGTGAATTTATTTGTTTCATGTTTTTGAGAAACTTTCCATTCGAATAAAAAAAAGAAAAATTTATGAACAATTTTAGTGAATGAATGAAACATCAAACATTTTCCTAATTGCTTATGATTGTTAATAAAATTATTTTGTTATCGTTATTGACGTCGAACGGAACTAAATGGCGAAAAAGAATTGTTTGTGACGTAAAAAATATTTTTTTTGATCATCTCGTGTTTTGCGATAGTCGAGCGAGTGTCGAACAAGTTTCCATTCTTTTTTTTTGTTATTCGATGAACATATTCCGAGATAATGTTTTAGTAGATTCGTGTAATGATTCTCTCATCGACACTCTCAACCTCAACCGTGTGCGCACGACATCTTCTTATTCCTTCGTTTCTTTTTTCTCTGTTTCGCCTTTTAGGTAGAATTTTCTGGACGTACATAAATTTTCGCTGGAAAGCCTAATGGGTGATTGCTAAATGATTGTAGGCGGTTATTTGGGCAGTGAAATTTGTAAATTCAGATTAATAAAATGCTTTTACCCTGCCTTGAATTCTAAAAAGTATTCTTCAAAGCGTGGGCGTCAAAGACAGACGTCGTCAAGATATTTATTTTCGGTAACGTTCAATTTTAATTTTTCTCTTTTACATTTAAATCGCGTACCATTAAATGGATAAAGAAGTTGTTGAATAGAGAGGGAAACAAAAGAACTGTAACCGCATTTTTACTTCTTTGCTGTTTTTTATTTTATTTTTTTGAGCTCATCATTTGCTTCATTTCCACACTTGATTCTTCTTAAATTGGATTCTCTTGTTATGCCGATTAATAATGTGCGTGTATCAATGCCTAATGTTATGTCGGTTATTGTGTCAAATTGGATTTTCATTAGCACCTTTGGCGCGTTGCTTACTTCCATTTTGTTATTAATAAATAAAGCATCGACGAAGGGAAAATTTACAAGCCAGAAAAGCAAAAGCAACATTAATTTTTGTTTACGTTGTTTAATTTATTTTTAAGTCTTCATTGATGTGAGTTTGATTTCCGGTTTGATAAATATTTATGTGTAGTGGGGGGAAAACCGCATTTTGTTTTTTCTTTTTTTCTTCTCAGAAGTAGCAAAATAAAAACCTAATTAACCATATTTAGCTAAAATTCCAGAATTGCCTGGCACACTTAATGAATTAAAGAGGCATTGAATAAACAAAAACAACTACACGAGATGAATGTTGCATGACATTTCGATTAAAATGATTGTTTTCCATTTTTTTCCATTCATTTGTTCTACACTGAAAATTGTCACATATGAGCTTTTAACTAACACACAGCAACAGTTGCATGTGTAGTTGTGCTTGTGTAGCGATAACGATAATCGACAATAAAACTAATCATATTCAAAAAAACATTAATGAACGAACATCATCCGTGGCCGAGCATAAACTTGTTGTATCAAGTTGTGAATTAAACGGTGAAATGTTATATGTGGGTGGAAGTCGATGAGATGATTATCCTACTTTTTCTTGTACAAAAATAAAGTTTAATCATCTCCTTGAATTTTTGTGACGCAATCTGTAAAGAAATCTTTTGTCAACTTTTCACTTTTGGTTCACATTTGTTGTGCTACTGATAAAAGGATTCGAAGACATTTTTTTTCCTTTATTACCTTGCCAGAAGATATAAAAAAAGATACTAAGAAAGAAAGATTATCCAATCTTGTAATTTAATTCCTTTTCTTGAAAAATTTAGTTAAGTAACTTTTTTTCTTCTGCATTGAGACTAATACTAAGTATCTATGCCTGGCCTTTACGAAAATACAACAATAATATTATGAAGTCGTTTTCACTTGAATCATGACAATACATTTGCAATAAGGAATCGAAACTATTCATTTTTTATCACAAATTATTATTTGTTTGCTTCTATATTTGCTGGTCCAAAGAATCCGGTTTTTCCCCTGACTCATTCAAATCATATTTTAATTAAATGACAACTGAGTGTGTGAGTGCATGTTGCGGCACTCAACTATTCTATTTCTTTCTTTATAGACTATTAAACGAGATAGAACAAGTAATAGCAGTAGCTTGCGTTAAATGTTCCATTAAATTTTCATAGGAATTTTTTGTCGATGAAATAAATGATAACGACGATTGTAAAAATGGAGTTTGTGTCTTTCATGTTGTGATTGATTGGCTTGAATATTCGATCGAGAATTGAGAATTGAGAATTGAGTCAAGTCCATGAAATAAAGTGTAGAATGAATATAATGGGGATTTTTTCCCTCTACTTAAGGTTGAAGACATGTGTTCAAATGAAGACGAACATGAAAGTATAAAAAGGTAAACAACAAAAGGAAACCTAGAACAGATGTTGCTTTCTTGGGGTTACAAGGGAAGATGTAAGAAAGAAGAAATCAGGCACAAGAAATCAGGAAAAATCACGACAAAAACGAAACTTTTTGTGCTCCTTTTTTTCCTTAACTTTCTTGTTATTGTTTATGAGGGAAAGGTGCACTGAAATAAATATTTAAGTAATATCGAGGAAGAAGAAGAAGAATAAAACAACACTTTTTTGCTGTGTAACGAAGTGAAGGTTTTTTTCATACATTTTACGCACTGCCTGATTTCTTTTCGATGAGTTTCGGTCCTGAATTTAATTTTTATTCATCTTTTTGCCCACCTTCCCTCTCTTCCCCATTATAAGCTTGTTGCTTGTTTTTATCTTGTCGCAGTGATATTTTTATTTCTTTTTCCTTCGATACTTCTCAGATGTATAAATTTTTGTTTTAAAATATTTATTTTTGAAGGTTGCTCGGTGGTTTCCAAAATCCACTTCGATATTATTATTATTGCTGTTATTCTTTTTGTTTTCTTTTCATTATTCAAACCAGTATAACTCTTGTGTGTGTGTATGTTTAAGTTGTGCGATTTGTTGCATTCAGACTGAATAAAACAAAATACGAAAAAAAGAAGAAAAACTACTTAAGATTGGTCATTTAAACCGCATCGTAACGCCATCTGTTGCACTCGTGAAGTGTTGTAAAAATAGAAAGCTGATAAGCGTGTGGATGAAGAAAAATAAAATATTTTGCGATTTTATTTCATTTCATTATACTTATTTATATATAAGTTTATTTATTTATATATTTTTTTGAAAGATGCTTCTACAATTAATGGCGATGGACAAATTGTTGCTCTCAATTTCTTTTTTGCTTAAAGATCAGAAAGAAATTATTTTTTATAAATATTTCTTTTATTGAGGAAAAAAAGACGAGAATTGTTGTACAATGTAATGAGATTGCAAGATTTATGTCATTAACTTAAAAGGAATTAATTTAATTTATCGTTTCTCTAAAAACTTGACATGATAAGAAGTTTTAAAATTTGCCTTATCAGGTGTTTCGTTTGCTAAATGCTTTTAGCTTGTAAGGCACACTGTTCATGTCTTTTGATATTATTTTGAGTGAATGTTGACTCAGCTGGGCTGCATACATTTTTTGTTCAGCCTTTTGTAAATTTTTACTTCTTAGCCAAGAGTAGTGTTGTAGATATAGTTATGAAAACATGAAGAAATGAATTTGACGTCAGGTTTTATAGTTTCTTGTTGTCTTTCTCTCGTTCTCGTTTGCCTTGTTTGTTGCGTTGTTTTCTTTTTTAACATTTTTTTTTGGGGGATATGGCGAAAAGACTGAGCACATAACTGACACAGCACACACGTAAATGGGCACGAACAAGAAGAATGATTATGACCTTGAGATGATTTTCATTTTCTACGTTCTTCTTCAATTCAAATGATTCAATTTTTACGGATTTCTTACCCGACATGCTTACTTGTTGTCTTTTACTTATCACTTCTTTTTCCAATGAAACGAACAGCAATGAGAAGAGACGAATTCGTAGAATCTCAAAATTGTAAAGTTTTATGACGTAATTTAAGATTTATTTACCAAATTGCAATCTCAGTTTGTTACTTTTATTTATTATTGTAGTTGTACGATACCAAATATCCAATTCTTGGATAGAAACTAATACTTTTATTATTGAATGAATATTTAAAATTCATAATTAAACATCCGCTTGTATTTGTTTTGTTTTCGAGACAAGTCCTTGAATTTTGCTCCAAATTTTTCTCGAAATCATCTGAAGTTGTTATATAAACAGACAGTTTTCTCGCGAATTATATATTTGGATGTTATCTTAACTTTTTGTGTTTAACAATAATTACATTTCATATGCTCGTTTAGTTAGTCGAGTGGTTGACAAAAATATTGACGTTAAAAAAAGAAGAAAATCGCAAAACATTCCCAGAAATATGTTTAACAAGCTATGTAGCAAGTTTCTAAGTTTGTATTTATTTGTTTATTTATATTTTAGTACACGTGAAATAAAACCAAATCAAACGGACATTGGACGAAAGATCACGAAAAAACCTTCAACCATCATATCACCACTCAATCGTATTGCAACCAGTGGCCAAACGTCATCGACACCAAATAACTTCTTATCGAATGGCAAACGTCCTTTGGATGTATCGGAACGTGGACCAATTTCAAATGATGGTCAACCACAACAGCAACAACAACAACAACAGCAGCAAACACAATCACATCTCACATCTCAACAGCAAATTTCAGCAACCAGTAGTCATAGTTACAACACGATAAGCTCACAAGATCATCATGATTCTTATCATTCAGCACTCAATGGTGTTGTTGGTGATGACGTTGATCATCAACGAACGACATCAAGTATGGGACATAACTTAAGTCGTAATAGTGGACAGCAAAATCATCGGAATCCTGATATTATGAGGAAGCCAATTAAGTGAGTTTTGACATTGACGCAACTCAAAATATAAACGTGATTTATAATTTCATTTCTTTCAGGGAAAGACTTATACACTTATTAGCATTAAGGCCATTTAAGAAACTAGAATTGTATGATAGGCTAACTAAAGGTGAGTTTTGTTGAGACATTTTCTCGGAAAATTTACATTTTTCATCTATTTATAGAGGGTATTAAGGACCGCGACAGATCTGTCATTCTCAATGTATTAAAAACAATTTCGCACACACGTGATAATGCCTACGTACTGAACCGACACATATGGAATGATGTTCATGAAGACTGGCCATTCTACAGTGAACAGGATCGATCGACGTTAAAGCGGTGAGTTTTGTTTGCTTATTTGATAGTTGAGAATGTCAAAAATCTTCTTTCACAGACGTAAACCACAAAACCTTACACCGCCATTGTCAAGCGACGGAGGCTCATCATCCACATCTGGTCAAAGTCCAAATAGTCAACATAATGGTTCACCACCACCAGCTGTTAAACGTCCATCATCACAAGCTCCATCGAGTCTGAACAACAACATGAATAACAGCAACTTGATCAACGATAAATATCTCGAACCGGCAGCAAAGAAGCAACGTATCAGTCACTATAAGAAGCAAGATGCTATGGATGGCATAAGATCATCGAATATTTACGAAAGTCGCGATGGAAATTCATTTATGAATTCGAGGTCACGAGACAATGACGATTATTATGGGTGAGCATTGAAAGACATAAAAAAATTCTTCAAGATTTTTAATTATTTCATTTTAATAACAACAAACAGCTCCAACACAACACCAAGCTCACTCGAAGACAGTGGATGTGGATTAAGTTTCTCAGTGCTAGCATCAGATCCAATCAATAAACGAATCGCATCACCAATAAATGGTGGACAATCGAAAAACAGCAATGGAAGTAATGGTAGTAGTAGTTGTAGTAGTAATAATGGTGGCAATGATCAGCAACAGCAGCAACAACAACAGCAACAGCGATTGCAGAGGAACAATGGTAATCGGACAAATGGAACATCGCAAGGAAATATTGTTGTCATGAATAACTCATACGATACAGCAGGAAATGGCGATGATGCTTTCCGAGAGAGTCTATCACAGAATAATAATGGATCTAGTAATAATGCTGGTTTTAGGTGAGTTGATTGAGTTGAAAGGTTGTTGATGAGATAATAAAATTTTATAATTATTATCAGTGAATATCCACCCATAACATCGGTAGAACAACGTCGTAAATATAAGACTGAATTTTACAAAGATTACGCCGAATATCGACAACTGCACCTCATCATGGACAAGGCACGTCGTCGATTTGCCAATTTGCAGCAAGAGCTCAGTAATACAAGTCCATCAGAGCGGAAGTATAAGGTAATAATTTATTACATTGTTTGTTGACATAACATGATAAAACTTTTATCTTTTTACAGGAGATTCAAAATCAAATAATTCAAGAATACAAAGAGAACAACAATAGCAGTTTCTTTCAAGATAAGAAGCAGAGGTGAGTTGCTTACTTATTTTATTATCTGTTTATTATTTAGGAAATGAGTTGAGTGTTGATGATGATAAACAGGAAATAAAAATATTTTGTGGTGTTCTTTTTTAGGTTCGATTACCTCCATGAAAAGCTTTCACATATTAAGAAGCTTGTAAGTGATTTTGATTCGCGTTTAACGAAAGGTAATGTGACGCATGGTGACATACAACCGACGCACAATGCCTACTGACGACTGTTGCTGCTGAATATGATGCTGTTGCTCGTTTAAATGCGAGCTAATGAAGAGACGAAGGCTCTCTCTTCCTTAATTGTCGCTTAACCCTCTCTGGCTGTCTCCTTCTGGCGGAAAAAAAAGATAAACAACTTTATTATTCTGATGATGATGATGATTTTAAACGGATTATTGAATTGAAATTCAATATCAACAATCACCTGATAATTGATTGATTGATTGATTGATTGATTAATCTTCGTTCTTCTTTTATAAGTTTTTTAAGACTTCTTAATCCATTCGAGAAAAAAAAAGAAAAGAAAAGAAATGGAGAAAGAAATCGTAAAATTCTTCACATCTTTTCATTTCATTCACAATCATTTTGAATTAAAAAGAAATGAAAAAGAATTCTTCTTCATTATTATTTACTATAAATTATAAATTAATTATATATTCTCGTTGAATGAAAAGATTGAAGAATTTTCACTTTTTTCTTCTTTTAATTTTTTTTTAACTTTTTGTTTTAAATGATCATATTTTTAGAAATAATTTTTCTTCTCGCCAAACATTTCGCGGAAAGAAGAAAAACAAAAGAAAGAAAAAGAAAATTGAAATTTACACAAAAAAGAAAAAGAATCGAAAGGAAAAGGAAAAGAGCCAAAAGAAAGGCTCATGTGTGAAGAAAGATATGTGAAAAAAAAAGAAAGAAAGAAATGAAAAATCGAGTGATGGATTCGTGGTTCGTGATGATAGATCCGCTTTTTTATTATAATAAATATTCTAAAGTTGTGACACGTTGACAAGAGAAAACAAAAGAAACAAACAAATTCCATGTAGTGAAACGTAATCGAAAACATGCCAAAAGATGTGCTGATGATGGACTGTTAAATAGAGAACTGAAAAAAGAAAAAAACATGAAAGAATGAAAACAGAGATGAAATATTTATACGATGAAAAAAAATTAAATGTGTGTGTTGGTGACATTGAAATTTGAAAGACATTTTGATGTTTCTTTTTTATCAGAAAATAGTGAGAGACAAGAAACTCTGAAACCATCCATGAATCCATTCAAAAAAACATTTTTTTTCTGTCTCATTGATTCATAGAATCGGAATGCCTTCCTTAATATAATGTAAAACGAAAATTTCTATTAAAACATTTTAATGTGAATTGTCGAGTGAAAAGCTTCCGGATCAAATTTGTTAGTAATTTTTTTAATTAGATATTTCTCGTCAATTTTCGTTTTTATTTTAATTTTACTTCAACTGTCTTCCTTTCCTATCTTTAAGCAATATTAAAGATGTCTGTCGTTTTGTTGTGTTTAATTCAATAATCAAAATGATCCGAAGCTGAAAATTCTGTTCCAAAAAATTAATTATTTGATCAATTAAATATTTATTAATGATTATGGTGATGGAACGTCCCGAAGTCGCTCGAATTACATAAGAAGAAATGAGAAATAAAATATAATTAAATTTCAATTTCAACGCCCAATACAATCAATTGTAAATCGAAAACACGAAAGTGAAAGTAACTTTTTTCTTTCCTTGAAACTTCGTCACGTTTCTGCAATTTTTTTAAGCACTTATTTAGTGCAAAAACTCAAAATTAAAATCAAAGTCACTTCTTTTTTTCTGATTGAGTTTTTTGACCAGAAACAAATTAATTCCGGCCAATTGATGAATAATCAAAACGTGCATTACTTTAAACACGATTCCATCTATTGTCGAGCGACTTCATAAACGTTCGTTCGGGTCCATTAAAGAAAAAAATTACTACTAGCTTAAAGCATGAACAAGGCCATTCACAAACATTTTCAAAAATCGTTCATGTTTTAAATTTACTCTTGCTAATGATAATGTTTTGTCTCACGATGGCGGCCACAAATAAATAAACACAAAGATAATTAAAATGTCCGATGATATGCAAGCAGAAAAATGAAAAAGAAATCTCAATGTTGATTACAAAACATTCACGGTACTCAACCCCTAAGACATTAAATAATTGCATTTGCAGCTCATTTTTATGTGTTCAGTTCACTTGATAATTGCCCAACAAAAAGAAAAAACAAGATTTGATTACTTGATTGCAAAGTGGTCCGCAAATCGTGAGAAAAATTCCCGTAACCTTGAAAAGAGAAAAAAGAGGAACATTCAATTTAAATTAACTTAATTTCAGACATAAACTAAAGTTACCATCCAAATTAAGTAATTCAATTTTTGAAATTATACAAAATGAATGCAACAAGAAACGTTGTCAATTTCATGTCCATTTAATGTAAAATTGGTAAATAATTTTTCTTCGTCTTCTTTTTATATAGTATAATTAAATTATTAAATGTCGGTAGCTGATGAACAGAAAAAAAGCTGAAGCCTTTGAAAACAAAAGCCAATTTTACTCATAGAATGCAAAAATAAAACATTAAACTTTAATCAGCACGTGTCAGCAGTAATTTGACGAAGTAAATAAGCGCCCGAGTTCTTTCTTATTCATCATACTTAAAACTTTTTCTCTTATAATAATAACTTAAAAAGGCGCCAATCAAAATAAAATTCTACTGAATCAAACATTTTTCGTGCATAAATAATTAAAATTTGATATTGTAAAGAAAACAAATGCTTATGTTTGAAACACTCATCAACTTTACAACTCTTAACTTCCTTTACCTTCCTAAATAATTTCTTATTTTTATCGTTGTGATATTTAAGCATTGATTCTCTTATCTTGCATTAAAAGTAGAGAAACAAAACAACTTCAAAATCTCTCTTGATTGATGGTGTTCCAAGTAACAGGGAAAAGAAACCTCGCCGTGCCATCAGTTGAAGAAAAAAACTTTTTTAAAAGCTCCATTAACTGTGTCAAAGTCACGTATCTTCTTATTTACTTAGGTACTCTGTTAAAATGAATTTAAAAAATTCAGTTTTTTATGCCAAACTTTTCTCCCCCTCACACTGAAAAAAAGACAAAAACAATGCTCGACATTGATAGCACGAACTGAAATGATGATGAATTTGATTCAGAAGCACGTTAAACTTTTTCTTCAATTTAAATATCTACTGATTTTGATCGAAAATGGGTTAAACAAATCTCGATGAAATTGCATTAAACGGACAAATTTTAGACGATTGTTGTACTTGCCAAAATGTGGATACGAAGACGAGAGTCTAATAATTATTAATTTAGTCAAAAAAAGGACATTATTGAAGCCTTTGAATACTGTTTTTTAAATGAACATTTCCAGCACGCTCGTCATTGCATCCAAATATGAAGTTATTTTTTTTTGTAAATTTGTTATCTTTCTTGATTTTTTTGTTTGTTAAAAATGGAATTCGAGATTGGAGTGAAACAAAAATCCAACAATTATTGCCTTTATACGCAAAATGTTAGACAAAGCAGATATTAATCAACACACTAATAGATTAGGCGTGTAATGGTTTTAAATGGTTCAAAAAGGATAATGGTTGAAGATTTTGTCACGTTACTTACATCTAACGTTTCTTACGTAGTTTCACTTACGTTTGTCACTACGCAAGTTTAATATTGAAACGTAAGTCATTGAGTGAGTAACTTAGAACCGTAAGCAATGTGGCACAATCTGGTTGTGCCCTCTAGTCGCGAGTACTTACTGAAAGCGTCGGGGGTATGCTTGAAAGTATATCTTTTCTTTGTATTTCTTAATTTTTTTTGTGTAAATATGTTAATAAATATCAACTTGCATGAATGCAATATTGAAATGATAAAAAAATTGCTACAACTGATTGATGGCAAATCACACACACACACGCATATTATTTAATCGATAGTCTAAAAAGTAAAGATGAGATGAAAAACATAAACAATATTATTAAAAGCAAATGATTTTTAAGAAATCAATACAAAAAACAACAAAAAAAAGTTAAATTTAATTTGAGAAAAGATTTAAAAATACATTTTTAAAGAAGTAAGAAAGAATGTTTTACTTTTCTTGCGAATCAAATAAGAAAGATAAAAAAGAAATTCTCCAGGTTTGAGTGAAGTCCGCCCCCGCCTCAAAGAAAATGAGAATAAAATATTTGCTCCACTGACTCCTCTCAATCAATTTTTAAGAAAACTTTTGGAGGCTTTCTGATGATAAAGCTCACATAGAAACATTTTTTTATATCTTGAAAGAGGAGCTTTAGTAAGAAACAATCGGAGGAACGGACTGATGTTCTCAAAGAATTACGAAAATAAAAAGGAAAAAAGAAATCCTATATTATTTTAAAAAGTGAGATATTAAGGATTCAGAAAACAAAAATAACATATATTTTTAAAAGCCAATTAAAGCAACAAGTAATGAGAAAACAAGTTGTATTTAAGGTGTTTCATAAGAGAATGTGATGTTGAAATTTTGTCAAGAAGCTTTTGTTTGCTAACTAGGTGAACTTTCGCAATGAGCTTTTTCAGTTTTCCTTTGAATGAAAATTCTAGAACGCAATGTTCGCAATTTAGGCTCATCTAAGATTGACAATTTCACATAAAGTAATTTAGCGTTAGTTTTGAACTACACATCACATGTCAATTTATCATTCGATGTGTATTTTGAATTTCTCGCTTTAGCTCACATTCATACATATGGAACAGAAAACTTAAGTAAGACATGAAAACTTACCATTTTACTATTGACATTGAGATATTTTTATTAGTAAATGAAAAGCAAGAAAAAACACACATTTTTCGTTGTGGTTGGAAAATTACTTTTGTGTATGGATAGTGGAATGGTATGGTGAAAAAGTAGGAAGACCCAACATGTTTCTATATCGTGAAGAAAATTCCAAGAATTTCCTTTTTTTGTATATAAAATTGCCGTTTTTTTGTTATGATTTTTAATCTTTTCTTGTTTTCTTCTCTTTTTCCACTTAGTTCAATTTCGTTTGATTTGATTTTTTTAAAACTTTATCAAGATTTTTCATGACAACTGATATTAGAAGATGTTTTGTAAATTCTCACTGGAGAACATGTTACGACTCAAACAACTCACAAATGCTTTTTTTTAGTTTCAAGAGACAATTTTCTGTTTTCTTTTTGTTATCAAAGTTTATCTTTTATGATTTTCAAATCACTCACGTCCCTCATGTTTTACATATGAAACGACACCCTCTTAAGAAAAGATCGCGTTGTATATTTTTATAGAATCAAATAATAATGATAAAGTAAAACAAACAAAACAATTCAATCTTTCTACTTTTTCAAGGACAAGAATGTTTTGAAAATGGAAAGCAATGTTTATTGTAATGAAAACAAAAAACACAAAAATGGGGAAAAAAAGATACGGGAAAATGTTTTATGAGTTTTGAAACTGGAAGAAAAACTGAATCCACAACATACAGCAAGAAGAGAAAATGGAAAATGTATTTATTATATCGTATATATTATTATTATAATGAAAATTAAAAGAAATTGCCGTAAATTATGACAAACAAAAAAAATCATAAATAAAAAAATGAAAGAAAAATGATTTTGAAGCAAATGAAAATTATTTTGTGTTTTTATTTGTTTTATTAATTTTAATCATTTTTGAGTTTTCAGATGAGATTACAATTTTAAAGAGAATTTTCGATTGATTGATTATTGTTTCGAGTATAAATTAATTATGGCATCCACACGGGCTTTTCAGTTTCAGTCAATTTTCCCGAGCGATCTCCCGATGGTTGATCATCTGAAGATCCACCACTAACGCTTTTATAAATTTTCTTTGCTTTATCGACAGTCCATTCGACACCATCACCGATCTTCTCTCCAGCTTTACGTACCCAATTACCAATGTTTTGTGATGAGAATGTATCAGGATTAATGTCAACATTTATCTTCGTTTCTCTTGATGTTGATGGACAATTGCTTTGACTAATGATTGAGAGATCGAAAGGATCAACGCCATAGCTTTGCAAACGTGAACGAATCTTATCAACATAAGCTTTATCCAAGTCCTTTGTACGAGATAAAATTGTTGCTGACTGACGATGAGCCACAGGAAGTTTCTGACATGTGAAAATTCCAGCGTAATGTTCGTAATCAGTCATGAAAACTTTGAAAACTGCATCACCAGGAAGAACATTGAGAGGGAATTTAACAGTCATCTTCGCAGGTACATCGTTGTCTTTAACTTCCAATTCTCCAGTGTATGAGTAGCGATGCGAGACCGGAGCTAATCCTATCAGGTAATCTTGACTCAACTGTTGAATCAGATATTGACCTGGTTCGACTTGTGAGATGTTATAAATGACACATTCCGAAGCAGTTGAGGTTTTTTGTATTGCGTGCCAAACACCAAGAAACTACAAAATAATTTTCTTCTTTATGAGTTTGAAAAGAATGCTCAACAAATGATAAGAGAATTTCTGGGAATTTGTGATAACGAATACGTCGAATAATAAAATCGGTAAAATTCAATGAATTCTTTCAGGATGTTATCAATTTAGTATTTAAATGAAAATCAGAGACATGCAAGTAAATAAATAATAAAACTGTGACGCATACTTTTTCTTACATACTTCTTCTTGTAATTGAATTTACATAAATTATTATTTCCTAGACGTTATTAAACTTCTCTTATCATTTTCAGATGACTCACTTACCTTTCTCATGTCAAAACCTTGCATGGGTTCAACTTGTGGACATTCTCCTGATTTGTATTTATGACCTGCTGCTAATCCACAAAGCACAAAAAGTGCTACAATTATCAACTGTTTTGAATTCATCTTGAAACTTCTTATCACAAAAAAATAATCAGCACAAATTTTAATGTTTGTTCTTTTAAAATTTTAAATTTAATTCAACGAACAGTGATTCACAACTGAATCAACAACGCTAATACTTGGCCTTTTTATGATCATTGACGCTAAAACTCTCTCGCTATCGGTCAATTTACGTGTGTTGAAAAGCATACAAAGAGAGAAAAATTATAAAACAGCAAGGGAAGAAGCACGGCCAACTGTAAAAAGATCGATCGTGATTCTCAATTCTTTAATTTCTCCTTGATACGCTCCTGTTTCACTACTCGATAATCTTTATGTATTTCTGAGTAATCACCTCTTAACACACACAATTCCAATAACTGAGATTTTCTACTGTCAACTTCATAAAGTTTTATTTTGTATTTTATTTGTTATTGTACATAAATATTTCCTACAAGTGAAACATGAGTCACCAAATTGTTCAATTTAAATGAATAGGAAGAATTCATATTCTTAGGAGTTTTTCTTTAATAGATTTCTCAATTGATGTCAGGTACTTCATCTTGATAAGAAATTTTACAGCATTTGAAAGATTTCCTGCCTGAAATTGAGTTGAAAAGTCGTTCGATAATTCTGTGATTTCATCTCGAAGACTTTGGAGAATGTTTGTGAGATCTTCTTTGGTTTCTGAATTTTCTACCTGGGGAAAAAAATAAAACAGTTTTATTCAACAACTCATTAAGTCATTTGGTTTTCAGGTTTATTTACCTCTTCATTCTTATCCATCATTTCCATAAGAAATTCTGGGTCATTGATTGTGTTATTTTCTGGAAGTGTTATACCACATAATCTTACCAAATATTCGGCCCTTTCAAGTGGTGATTGCAATATTTTGTAAGCTTTATTAATCAAAGAACTCCATTCAGAACTTAATGATTGTTCATTTTCATGTTTGCCGGAAAACTTGTCGGGATGAATTTGATTTTGGAAATGTCTAAATTTAGTTGTAAGCGCATTTTGGTCGATATTGTGTTGCTGTTCTATGCCAAAAAGTTGGAAGTAGTCCTATGACAAAATCGATTATTTTTAATACTTATTTTAACAAATTCTGCAAATTCACTCACAGCATTTGGAATCTCTTGAATCTTTTTACATTTTTGACAGAAAATTTCCGTACTTTCATTTAATGACACTTTGCAATTCCAACATAATTTTGAAGTCTGACAATAACATTTGATTTGAGCATATTTAAGTGATTCAATACTTTTTGGATTGAAATATTTAGCTACAAATGAAAAATTTTTAAGCATTTTTCCTAAACGTAAATAAAAGAATGTGTCTTCGATACTAATCCAAGACACATTTATTATTTTAATCCAAATCTTATAACGTAATCTTGAGCTTATCTAACTCTGATTTTTTGAAATTTCAACTGTCACTTCCACGTTTTTTACTTTGAAAAAATTTTAAAGATTCTTTAAAAGTCTACTTTATGTTGATTAAATAATAATATTTGCTTGATTAACTAATAAGTGAATTCACAACTGTTCATCTTTATACTTAAACATATCAGATCTAGGCATCATTTAATTAATAAGTGATTTGAATTATTGTTTACATTTCCAATCAATTTTTCAATCTTAAGTCAATAGAAAATTATGAAGCTGAGGTTTCGTTTACATACACTTATATGCAGGTATAACTTTCACAATTCCATTCTTTACATCATTCAACTATCGAGTGTCAACTGTGAATATTCATTTCGTGAAAAGTTAATAAAATTATTTAACAAGAATGAAAATATTAATTATATTTTGGTTCATAACATTTTATGTTGTGCAATCAATTGGGATGATTAAAGATGTTTCGCCTAATCAAAATCATTCGAAAATAGCAAAGTACATAAGTTTTCTTATTGATGAGAATAACAAGAGGGACCCAAGCCAACGTCATGACGTGTTTTTATTTCATTTGAACAGTAATAAAAGTCGTAGGACGGAGTCGAGTCAATATGAAATAATTTATAATGAAATAATGAAAGAAAATCCTTTCAATCCAATTCTTACTCACGATTCACAAAAACGATTATTTCGTGAAGAAATTTTTGAGGCATCAATTGTTATTATCGTGTTTAGTGATAAATATTTGGTAAGATATTTGATTTCATTATTATTTTAGTGAAGCATATTTTAAAGCTTTTCTTTTTCAAGTTGCTTCTAATTCTTTTAAGAAACAATTTTTGGAAAAGTTCATCAAAGATTATTTTTGTTTCATCTGAGATTAACGAGGATTTCGTAAGCTTTTTAATATTTTCAAAGGCTAATTTCAAAGGTGCTAATTTCATAGCAATTTATGGATCTGAACAAATGAAATTTTTTACATGGAATCCATTTTTCAACACGGGAAGGTTGTCAGAAATTCACAAAAATTTATTTTATAATTTCGATGAAATTATTTTCCGGACAAATTAAGAAATCTCCACAACTACTTCTTTAAGATTTTATTAATTTATAACCCGATAAAATTTGTATTTGCGAATGGCAGGTTAGATTCGATTGATTTGAGAGCTTTTCAAGAAATAGTAGAAAAACGCAATAGCCAAATTGAAATTCTTATTCCTGAAGAGGATCCTAACGATCCCTATTCAAGGCGAAAGCTTTACTATTCTCTGATGGAAGGCTTCGCAGATTTTTCACCTTCAGCTATGGCATACCTCGATAACTATGGACAATACTCAACATATACATATGATGTGATTTTATTTTATTTTTGGAGTAATCTCTACCTTTGTGGGTCAATCAATTCCCTTTAGAAACTCTCGAAGAAGTCAAAAACTTTTACTTCAAGTGTGCATTTTAATGGCGTTTTTCATTAGAAGTGCTTATGAATCACTCATAATTTCTTCAATGGCAGCATCACGAGAAGGAATCAGATTCAAGAGCATAGATGAAATATTTCAAAGCAACATGTCCTTCAGAGTTGATGGAATATTTCTGAACATATTTAATAAATCAAACGAATTTTCTTCTTTAATAAGTCGCATGAAAAAGATGAGTGAAAAAGATAATACAAGTGCAATTATTTTACGCTGTGATGTGCTAGAACACGAATTTCATACAGTTGCTAATGTCTCTAAGAACTACTACTTGCTACCAGGACAATTAATGTCAATATATGACAAAATTCCATTAGCATTCAAATCGCCATTCTATGAGAAGTTTCAAAAAGAATTCGATCACATTTTTGAATCAGGTTTGAGGCAACATTGAAAAAAGGTTTTGAAAATAGGAAGTGGAAGCGAAATGAAACTCATGCAAGAACGGGAATATTTAAAGAACGAAGAATATTTATTGAAAATTACAGACATTGACGGAATATTTTACATTTGTTTGGGTAGCCTCGGAATTATCTTTCTGGTTTTTATTGGTGAATTGATTTATGGATACAAACAGTCATTCTGGGCCAAGAAAAATAATACATCCCTGTAGCCACCAAGCATCACAACAGGAAACTGAGAGAAGTTTGGAAAATAAATTACAAAACTTTTAATGAGTGTAAATTGTTATCTAGATATGTGGAAATGTAAAATTTCTTTAAACTTATTAAGCATCAGACAACTTTTCATGATATTCAAGCACCTTTTCGTGATTCGTTGGTGATTGAATTTAAACTTTGATCTGACAAATATCTAATAAATGTAATAAATTCAAATAAAAAATGTAAAACTTTAGATGTTGGATTATAATCGCATTTTTTTTTATTTTTTCTAAAAGGACTCATTTTAATTAAAAACGATTTAAAAATTAGAAGATGCTATAACTAAAAGTTAATCTGTTGATTTAAGTTTCGTTAGCAAATTGTTTGTTTTCTTCTCGTCTTAAAACCTTTTCCAGCTCTTTCTGCTGTTGAAGATTGTATGTGTTAATTGATTTATTCATCTCACGGACTCTTTGCCTTTCTACATCTCTGACAACACCTTCTTTAAGTTTTTTTCTGAAAATATTGCCGATATATAGTTAAGTTATGTGATCTTAAAATTAAATTAAATTAAATTTATTGAATTACCTATCAAAATTTTGCTTCCAATGTACATACCCAATTGTACCAAATGTTACAGCACAACAACTACCGAAGACAAACTTAGATGTCAAACTCATTTATTCAACTTTTAGTCGGATTTGTTTTGATATTTACTAAAAATTACTTGTTTTGAATGTTTTTAATGACGATTACTGATTAATGGCAGGTCAATTACGAAGAAAAATTATTCGACGATATTTTTATCTTCACAGTACATCAATGCACACGGATTGTATAGTCATTCATCATCAGATATCATTGAATGTTTTTGTGAATCATTGTGAACTTTGTTAGAAATCAAAATCACGATATTTAATCAATTTAAATAAGTTTATTCGTTGTTAAACGATGGATAAGCAACAGATTTTTCTATCCAACAACATATTCGATATAGATAGTGCACTAGATAGATTAGAAGAGAACTTATTTACAAGTTGTGAAGAAAAGTCAGAAATTAGTACCGAACCATTAAATCAACAGACGAAATCTGAAATTAAAGAGAGACAACAACAAAACAAAGAATCGTCTGAGGAGAATGGAAATCTGACGTTTTCGGATGATTATACGTCAGAAGTTCCAAGTGGTAAGTTATATGTGAAATTATTCTTTAAAAAAATGAATATTTATACAACCTTTGAAAGTTCTGGATGTCAAAACAGATGAAAAGGAAGAAGTGAATGTTGAAAAAGATGTGATAAGGTCAGAGATTCTTGACAACGGAATTTCATCGACAACTTCGTTTAGTGTTGACGACAAATCATCAGAATGTATTTCAAGCTCCACAAATTCTGAAGAAGATTCTTCAAGCGCTGTTGGTGATGGATTTCAGAACAATGAAATTTCGTCACAAATTACGACACATTTGGATAATGACGACTCAAGACGTCTTATCAGTGATGAGTCGTCAAATCAACCTGATGATGTTGTTGATGATCAGCCAGTAACAACCGACTTAACACTCACGAAAACAGTCGAATTAACTGAAAACGAGCCCGATCCGATACCTGAAGTGAAAATTTCTGTACAACAAACAGAATCTGAACAAACATGCAACATAATTCAACCTGAGATTGTTAAACCAGATGAAGAATTAAAACATATTGAAGAAGCGAATGATTTCAAAGAAATGTCAATAAATAACTTTGAATCAACGATGGATGACATTTCCGATGCTGAACTTGAAAGTCTTGAGCAAGAACTTGAAGATATTGTTGCAGTTGCTGAACAAAATGTCGAAAAAGTCAACAATGAGAAAGTTGTGAAAGAATTGGAAGAGTCAATTGAGAAAACTGTTGAGATTGAAGCTTTTGAAGTGAAATCTCAAGCATCAGAGGTTCAAGTTCCAAAAGTTGTCGAGACTCCCACTAAAGTTGAAGATTTGAACCAAGCTGAGATTGATAAACCTTTGGAAGCTGTTGAAGTTAAGCCAGAAGCTTCAAAAACTTCGGAAGAGCTTTATGAAAATCCATCAGAGATTCCCGAAGAGTCTGTGATGTCTGAGATGATTGATGAGCAGAAAGAGTCGTCGGCTTCTGAAGCACAAGATGCTTTGGAACCACAAGAATCATCAGTAGAGCCAGCTGAGTCTGCTGCACCTGTCGACGCTGATTCAGTTTTATCCACAAGCTCAACTGATGAGTCAACGTCAATTCAAAATCTTCCGTCACAATCCAATGAAGACTTCTCTATCAACGAGTCAAACTCAACGGGAAGTTTAACTTCAGCTCCTGATTTAGGTCGCGTTCCACCTTATTGGATTCCTGACGACATGACCGATCAATGTATGCAATGTGATGCCAAATTTTCTCTCATCAAACGACGTCATCATTGTCGTGCTTGTGGACTTCTTCTCTGTTCCAGTTGTAGTAGTCAAAAATTCTTCTTACATTATGCTGGTCGTGACGAACGCGTTTGTTTGAGTTGCTTTGAGACACTCTCAAAAGCCCAACAGCAACAACAAAATCATCCAAGAAATCCAAATCCAGCTAATCCGATGGAATATTGTTCCACGCTTCCACCACAGCAACAAGTTAATGCAAGTTCGATTCAACCACCAACTGTCATGGTTCCATCGGGCGTTCTGAAGCGTGGTCCAAAATCATCTGAGAGAAAAAGTGTGATTTTTAGTGATGGAATTCGTCCTGGAACTGATCTTGATGAGCCAACAAGCAGCTCAAGTCCAAGAGCAACACCAGAAAAGCCACCAAAGTTAAACATGCCAACAATGAATGAGAAGACAAACAGTTTCATTCCCGAACATTCGAATGATTTGCCACCTGTGTTAACGAAGGAATCTGAATTTCATTACGTTGATAACAGTCTTCAACTTCTTCAACGTCTTCGTCAAGAGGAATTGAAATTTGCTATTAATAAAAATTTTTACGTGACAGTAAAAATTGTTACATGTAAGTTTTGATGGAAATTTAAAATTTCTACACGATTAAACATTTTATTTTCTTCAGTGATTTGCTGCACTAATAAAACTGTTATCAACTTCTCAACATCTGGATTACTGACTGTGCGACAAGACGAACTGATGATTCTTCTTGAACTTAACGATGATATGATTCGACTACCGAAAGAAGTATTTTTGCATTTGAACGAAATTTATGGGCGTGCTGATAAGCAGTCGATTGTGATTAAAGAATATGGACATAGCCAAGCATCGTCTAATAATTTTTTGGGAGCTTTTGGTGGTGAGTTAATTTGATAACATTTTACCTACTTATCATACAGTCAACAAAGACTAGATTTGTGAACCAAAACTTTTTAGAACAAATTGTAGTACGAGAAATTTTTAGAACTGAAACTGCTGCCGATCGGCATGATCACTCATTAACAATTAACTTGAACATCTCTTTTAGGGTTTTTGTTTATTAAGCCAAGTTTTCAATGCCAACAATCGCTGACACTTCCAGAACAACCCTATCTGATAGGACTTTTAGTTCATAAATGGGAGATTGTAAGAAACATTTTCGTTTAATTGAACGAAAAAAATAATTTAAGAGTTTTGCTTTTTAATTTTTTAGCCATGGATGCGACTTTTTCCACTTCGTCTTATTCTTCGACTTGGAGCACTTTATCGTTATTATCCAACACCAATTCTTTCAAATGTTAATCGTGAGCCAGTTTTTGCTGAGATTGGAAATACAGTGATGAATTTTCTTGTTGATTTTCGCAACTTCTCGTACACAATTGACATCATCAAAGGCCTGAACATTCACATGGAAGAGCGTAAAACGTCAGTTTTTATTCCAAAAAATCGTTACGATCAAATCATGAAAGTCATTAATAATTCGAGTGATCAGTAAGTAAATTTATGAAAGCAAAGGAAAAACTTAATTAAAAATTTATTTTTTATCATAGTCTTTTAGCTTTTGGTGCTGACTTTAGTAAGCAAGCTGATGGACATTTAGTTTGCATCCAAAACACCGATTCGGGAACATCTGAGTCGCTTTCGTACTCAACTCAAGCGATTAATATTCAAGGTCAGAATCGTATTCATACTGGTGCAAGTTTTCTTATTCTCAATGGAGCACTTAAAGCGTCGAGTGGTCTAAAAGCCAAATGCAGTATTGTTGAAGATGGTCTCATGATTCAAATCTCGTCAACAAAAATGACAAATGTTCGTGATGCTTTGCGTAACATGAAAGATGTTGAGATCTCATGTGGACCGATTGATGAACAGCAGAAGGAAGCTGAAGAAACGGTTTCAATTGAATGGGTTGCTGATGATGTAAACTTCAATCTTGGAGTGTTGTCGCCTATTGATAATCAAAAACTTGAAGGAAAGGAAAGCATAAGAATGCGAGTAGACTTTTCAGGTCCAAATCATACAAAAATGCTTCGTTGGAGCGAAGTTTTCTTATTAGAATCTGATGATGACATTGGACATATTAACGATGATCATTTGAATTACTCGAAGGTTGCTGAATCTATTGCGAAAGCAAGTGGGAGTGCTTTGCTTCCGTTCTTGGATCTTATGGCAGTTAATCAGTTAAAGAAAATTGGAATTCGAGTAACACTAGGAGAGAATGTGAGAAATTATTTTGTTTCATTGTATTTGTAGATTATTTTAATCAAATTTCTTTTCAGATCAAATATTTAGCTGGTTCTGGTGGTGTGACTTTATCTCCAATCTACATGAATGCTTTAGATAACGAATTGATTGGCGTAATCCATCGTCAAGCATCGTCAATGGCACGACCAGATGCAATCATGACGCTCGAGCTGATCTTTTATATTCTTAACAAATAAATATTCATCTCTTCGTATATTCTTCTTCTTCGTGTTCATCTTCACATAGCTAAAGAGATTTTCATTTGAAATAAAAGAGTTTCCTTGGAAGAGAAAATATTGTCATTATATTATTTGTTTATCATATTATCGCTAAAAGATAACATGTGGAAATAAAACAAAGTTTGTTAATAACGCTGTTAATGTGAAATATTTATTTACTTTTTAATAAAGATCAGGGCTTGGAATGGGAAGTTGAAAAATTTCTCAATAAGAATTAAAAAGTGAAGAATAAAATTTACATGAATTCATTTGAAAGTATAATTAAATTTCATAAATAATTTGAAGGCTTAATAAGTTCTCAACTCTGATAAAACTTCATATTTCAATTGTTTCTCGTTGACAAAAATAATTTTCCATTCCACCCACACCTTAGAAAAGTGAATAAATTCGATCATCATTTTCAAAGTATTTGTGTTGATGCTTTTCCATCTCTTTCTATCTCAACTTCGTGTTTTTATCAAACAATGTTGAATATTTCTTTTCTTCTTTTCTTTTATATTCAAACACAATCGTATCAGCTTTAACTCACGCGAAGTTTTGATGACGCTTCAAATGTTTTTCTTTCATTTCTTTCAGTTAGGTTTGATCGTTTGTAAAAGAAAGTAATCTCAAGCATATCACACAATAAATTTAAGAGGTAAACAGATTTTAAAAATATTTATTAGATTTCATTGTTATAAAAATATATTGCCGACGTGAATATTAGTGAAGTGTTTTGAAATTCTCGTAAGATTACGTGGAGAATTTCTTACAAAGTCTTTGAAGAAGTCGTCGGTTTCTTTAAGATTTCATAAAATGGTTCTAAATTCTAAACCGATCTTGGGTGTGGTGTTTATTCGTGTCATCATCTACTTAGCAATCAATTAAAATGAATTTGCGTGGGAAAAATGATTATTCATAGAATCAAGTGAAAGAAAACTTCTTCAATACACATCACAATGAGATATGCTTGTGATATTTACGGTTAAAGAAGCTTTGATAAAAACAAAACTGTACATTGTATTAAATTCCCTTTTAAGACATTTAAACAGTTTAACTGAAGCCTTCTTTAAGAAATTGAACATAAGAAAGATGGGTAAATGAAAGAAGAGGAAAATGTAAACAGAAACAAGAACAAGCGAGTATTGGAATGTTGTCATTGACCACAAAACTATGTTTGAAACTCTGCTTTCCATCCGTTCGAGTTTTTATTAGAAAACATTATTATGACATAATTCACTGTGAAGATTTTCATTGATAAGCTTAAAATTTGAAAGATAACAACCTCACTTGATAAGACTTATTTTAAAAATATCTCTATTTAAGCTGCAAGAGACGCTCACGTCATCATGAATGAATGAAGAATTTTTTTTGCAATAATCAGAAGACTAAGATTACGTCGTCTTATCATCTTTTATTATTCTACGTTGAATTCATCACTCAATTACTTTTGATTACTTTGAGAGATTCGATATAAGAGCACAATATAAAATTTTAGTTTATTTTTAGTTAAAACATGGCAAAAGCTCTTTGGTTCATCATCTGGTTGGTCATTCTTTTGATCTTCTCATTCTGGATTGCTGGTTTCATCGCTTTCTTCTACATTATTTTATATCCAATCACTGTCTGCATTCCAGATTTGAGTGTAAGTTTTATTGAAAGGTCACGAAGATCAATTACATTATTTCTAATAAAAATAAATTCTTCAATCAGGTGGTCACTGATTTCCTTCTGAAGTGTATTCAATTCCCCAAAATCTGTGCCGAGAACATGATGGAGGGAAAACCTTTGTTCTAAGTCTTTTTTTCATAGTCAACAATAACTTTATCCTATAACGAAGCCAATCAAAATTTTTACATACAAAAAATACAAAACGTTGTGTTCTGAAATTCAATAATTTTAATAATAAATAAAGATTTTTTTTTCCATATTTCGCTGAATTTTAAAGAAAAACAAATGTTTTTAATATTTCTATTTCAGATTTTTCTTTATTGATATCATTTGTTTTTCTCATTCTTCTCATATTCATCATTAATCAATGAATTACGTGATTGTTTAATAATATTTGTACATATTTGAATGCTTCCTCCATTATTTCAATTTCTTATGATTTTTAATTACTTTAAGCTTTAAACTTCATTATTTACCATTTTCAACTACGCGCCGAAAGAATAAAAAATTATTCACGATGTTTTTCCTTTTTTTTGAACGCTGTCGTAAGTTGAATCATAAAACAACATCATTTGTAGATTCTTCTCGTTATTATTAACTTTATTTACAACTCTTCAGTGCTTTGATGTAAGGAAAATGATAAAACTATAGCATAATAAAAGTGAATAAATCCTAGATTAAACATAATAAGATCAGAAAATAAATGATCATGGAAATTGTCAGAATTCTATGTTCAGATCAAAATGAGAGAACTTTCAACATCTTAGCATAACTCTCATTTTTTTAATAACTCTCAATTTTGCTCAAAGAGAGCGAATTCCTTTGCCAAAAAAAGAGAATTCTATTCAGCAGTGTATAAGAATTTAATCAACTTACTTACTGTACATAAAATTTCCAAAACATTTCCATGCTCAGGACGTTTAATGATTTAAAAAATTCGATAAAATCGATTAAATTATTCTTGTAATCACGATATTTGTTTTTCCTTAAGTAAGAATATTAAAACTCTCTTAAATGATGATGAATAAAAGTTAGATATAATAATAATGATAATAATAATAATAATGATTAAAATTTTCTGTTTATTTAAATTAATTATGGAAAAAGCGTAAGAATAAATTTAAAAAAATGATAACTTCGAATTGGAAGATCTATGAAAATGAAGATGAAAAATTGCACTAATAACTAAATTAAAATATTTCTAAAAAAAATTATGAAATAAAATTTATACCCTGATACGGAAAATATTATTGATAACACTTTTGATTGATAACATTTTCAATGCTTTTTCATGCGCTTTCATTAACAAAATAGGGAAAAACTCGACTACAAAATCGCTGCTTCGAACAGATTATAAAATTTTCCCTCTTTCAGAGGAAATCATTAAAAAACTTTTATTTTTCTCTAAACTTATTTTAATTGAAGTAGAGTAAAGCATCGAACTCGAGTATGATCACCTTTAAAACATGCAATTCTTAAATTACCCGACTTCGATGTTTTAACTTTTTCTATTTCTTATTCCTGGATAATATTTTTTATAATAAATTTTGAATAAAAAAATAAAAATAGAAAACTCAAAAGATGAAATTTATCAACTTTGTATCATGCCAAAGTCATCAGCTAAACTAATGGATGAAATGCCAGAGTATACACATAATAATTCGAGAATAACTTGATCATCTTTCACATCCACTCCCGCTATGTAGCTATTTACTACTTTTTCTTATTTATTTTTTTTTCGCTAACATCTCACTTACATATTTAATAAAGAAGCGCATCAAGATGTAATCAAAGTTTGATGTCGGGCGTCACATAATTTATTTTATTGTTTTCATTTTTTCCCGTTAAATTAGAGAGTTCGTGTTATAAAACATAGTTTCGCTTATATCGAAAAGACGACAATCATTAATGCAACAATGTTTAAGTCGAACCCTTTTATGTATTATAAAACTAATTTAATTATCGCTTGTTGTTACGTCATCAAAATACTCCTTTCTTACGTTTATATGTGGCCGTGTTAGCCAATCATGAATGCGCATTTCTCGAACCATTTCAACTAGTCTCCTTCTTAATCTGATGAATTTGCAGAATTTGCGGCGGTTGTGGATGATTCTGATAAATAATTTGCTGATGATGATAAATTTGTTGGGGCGGTTGTTGATGAATGATTTGAGTTGACGGTGAGTAATGTTGTTGGTATATGATCTGATTCTCTTGAAGTTGCGCGGTAGCATTAGAGTCAGCAATAAGCGTATGATGGCCGTAGCTCATTGAGTTATCAGGGCTATGTTCAGTCGTGTTATGTGAAGAATCATTGATTGGATTACCATTCGGTGGATCGCCATATTTTCCCCGTTTAAAACGACCATAAAGTGAACTGTAGGGTAGATTGTAGTGAATCGCTGCCTGATTTATCGACATTTGTCCAACCCTTGAATAAAAGAATAAATTTTGTGTTTATTAATTTAATAATCATGATTCAAAATGTGTTAAAACTTACCGTACGGCATCCAAAGCTTCCATCATCGCATCTTCAGACCACGGTGTTGGGTTTGATCGTGACAGTTCGATTCCTTCGCGTTTGCAACGACCATAAAGTGTTCCTAGGAAGAATATTATTTCAATTTAAAATCAACCATCAAATTTTAAATTATATTTTAATGTACCTGTTGGAATTCCGAATTCTGTGCTTGCTTTTTGAACAGAAGCAGCGCCAGCTCTGATAGCTAAAACACAAATTTCAATAAAGTTTAAACAATTTTTAAATCAATTAACGAAATTTTACCTTCCAAAGCTTTTTCTAAATCTTCTGCTGACCACGTCGTTGGTGCAGCATTAAATGGAGCTGCTAAACGTATGCCTTCTCTCCTTGCAATCTTATAAAGTGTTGATGATGGAATACCAAAAGCTTTCGATGCTTTATTCGCGGAAATTGTCCCCGTTCTTAACGCATCCAAAGCATTATTCAACGAATCTTCATTCCATGTTTTTGTCGGGCCTTCTTTTTTCGGTGTGTCTGATGATTTCATAAGAACTTTTTTGTAAAACAACTTGAAACATTCCCAAAAATTTCAATATAATTTTGAACTCACCAATTCCCAAACGATGTGCACGTTGCCATAAAGTTGTCGACGGAATTCCATAAGTTGCTGATGCTTTTGTTAAGCTCATATTATGTGAACGTAAAGCTTCAAGTGCTGCTTCCATATCATTCGGTGTCCATGTTTTCGGTCCACTGTTATTCTTTCCATCACCTGATGGTGTTGAATTGTTTCCCAATGTGATGTACTGTAATTGTCCTGAACCATTCTGATCTGTTTGCATTTTAGCATCATCACTGGTGTCTGAATGATACATTTCTGTAATTGTTATAAAGAACCATAACAAAATTTTTAATTAGAATATTAGCACGATAAGTTTACCGATTTGCGTGGGTGTTGTCATCATATTTCCGATTTCCGGTGTCACAACAATGCCATGAACATTATCACCGCCGTTATTCGACGATTGCTGTCCATCAACATCCATATTGCCCACTGACATCAATTCATGTATCGAAGGCTTAATATCGACATCTTCAGTCTTAATCGTTTCAATAATCTGATGATGTTGGATAATGGGACGCGATTGTTGCTGTTGTTGAATTGTGATTTGTTGCTGCTGTTGCTGTTGTTGCTGCTGCTGCTGTTGTTGATGATGTTGATGAGGATGATGCATAGTTTGAATATGTTGCACAAGTTGATGATGTTGCTGTTGCTGATGATGTTGTTGTTGCTGCTGCTGCTCTTGATGCTGCTGTTGTTGTTGCTGTTGTTGATGAAGATGATGTTGTTGTTGCTGCTGCTGTTGTTGTTGTTGTTGCTGCTGTTGCTGCTGCTGTTGTTGATTCTGATGGTGATGTTCGACAGTTTGATTATCTTCATGACTTATCTGAGCATTTGTCGTAATGATTGTTGTTGCTTTTAAGCCCAATTCACTTAAAGACGTAACAGGCGATGGACATGTTGTAATGATTTGAACTTGCGCTGGAGAGTGATGTGAATGATGAAGAATCGGACTGCTCGACGACACTGTTGGATGATGCGAGGAAGCCACTTGATCTAGACGACAAATGGAATGTTGAATGGAATTATCAAACTCAACAATCGTTTCGGTCGGATCGAGCGATCGCAAAGTCTCGAATTTAATGATTCTGGCATTTTCGGTACCGTTAATCGGTGTTGAGTCTTTATAGGTTTTTGATTTGTTTTCGTATACAATGAACACAAGCACACAATTCAATGATTTGTTGCAAATATATTGTTTTCAATCAATGATAAAGCCACAAAATTAATCAACATAAAATGGAAAAAAAGAAAAACGAAAAAATACATAAATTAGTAATGGAGAAATTAAGTTTCTTAATAGTGATGATGAAGTTTATAAATTATGCCATGAAAATGACGTTTGATTTTAATAGAAAAACAAAATGAAATTTTATTTCCTGAGACATTAGAATTAAACTGAAATTACCAAATTAAATTTTGTTACACTTTTGAAAGTGGAAATATGCAATCAAAAATTTTCTCTGACTCTCGTCATTCTAAAGAACTTTAAACTATTAATAATTGCCAATTTCTTTTGGGTTCAGTTTATTTGAAGTTGTTTCATTTGAAATTTAAAAGCAATAAAAGAAAGAAATCATTCTCAAGAAAATTCTTAAATAAATTAACTGAAAGAGTTTCTTTCAATTCTCCAACATTTCCAATAAAAAAATGAACTTAATCAAAATCCCAACTGATTAAACTCTTAATTATACTTTTATGATGATTTTCCTTAAATACAAAGAAGCCATGACATAATTTACAAACATTTTCATAAAAATATAAGAAAAATAAGAAAATAACTTTGTTAATAATATTAATTTTTAATGAATGAATGAAAGGCCAAAAATATTGCAACGAAATTTGTTTTTAAAAAGACAGACAATCACTTACGAGACAAATCTTTAGTATCTTGACTTGGATTACAATTCATTTCCGTTGTGATGACGGGTGTAGCAGTCGGTGCTGGTGGCTCAGGTGCAAAATCCATGTAGGTTAGTGGCACTCCCATGACAACATTACCGTTCTGAAAATTCTAAAGTTTATTTAATAATCAAAAGTCGAGTTGACACTTCAAGTTAACAATAATTAACTTACCATTCCCATTTCGAGACTCGCCATGTTTTTACTATGTTGAGTGCTTGACAAACTCGAAGCGTTTTTTTGTTCCTTTTGCGGCGATTTAGATTTGTGCTTATTATCTTCGTGCGATGACGTTATTGATTGATGTGCATCTTTATCAATAACACTTGATGATGACTTGGAAGTCGAATGATGATATTCTTCTCGCTTTGATAAATTCTTATTACAGTTTGTTGAGCTGTTGTTATTATCGTAGTTACGAGATGCACGAATCTTCTTATGTGGTGGATAAACAACCTCCGCGTCTGATTCCGTTGCGTTTGTATGATCGTTTATTTCGCACAATCCTTTGATTTTCAACTGCTCCGCAGTTCTAATCAAGCTCTGTAAAAAAAAGATGAGAAAAAGTGGTCAGATTTGCATAAAAATGCTGAAGCGATTCCACATCGCTATTTGTTATGATCTCTTATTTATTCACGATTTCATTACTTTATGAACTTTCAAAAGACGCGAATGAACCGAGGGACCGAACAAAGATTGGAACAGCAGAGAAAAAAAGGTTTCAAATGATAAATTTTTTAGAAATTAATTTCCAACGTTAATTAGAACGACAGGCGAAAGGGGAGAAGGAAGTGAGTCTGTCGTCCCTTCAACCTAATGTAAAATGTCATAAATATATTCTTTTTTCTTTGCTTTCTGTTTTCTCGGTGAAAAACATGAAAAAATGTGGATCGTTATGTACAATAAAAGAAAAGCAAGCGAGTCATCTCAAATGGATCTCATTTTTATTTTCTTTTACATCGCGAAGTGCTGCTGCGTATTGATTAGTAGCGGCCACCCTTTTTTAACGAAGGCATCTCATCCCATCTGAATTCTTCATGACATTCTATCCAGCCAACCAACTTTCGCTCTTGTTCTTGCATACAGGGATTCTTAACTTCCGCTTTCAATATGAACATAATAAATACTAAAACAAATGAGAGATGATATCGAACTCACTTGTTCATTCTGTATGGTTAAGAATCAAATATTTCAATACAATTGTGCATTTCTGCTATGCTTGATTGTCTTCTCACACTCGCTTAGTATTTTTTTCAATGATGTAATTTCCCTTCTTTTTTAATTCCTTGATAGAACAAAAACTGTTCAGAGTCGAGTGGAAACAAGCGAAATTGTCTCACGCCTTGCTCTATGGAGAAAGAAGCAGTTTAGCATCACGATGAAGTGAACACAACTTGTACACGACCGATATCTATGCTTTGAAGAACGTGGTAGTACATAAAGCATTCATGGAGCTACAACAAAACATAAAAATGGTTGGCGCAAAAAAAATGTAGTATAGTGAAGGAGGCCTCAATGGGTGAAAGTATGAGGTTTTTCAAGAGGAGCGAGAACTCTGATGTCGGTCTCTATGTGTTCATAATACGACGATTTCTTTTTTCTCTTCTGGATTCTTTTTTTTTTCACCCCCTTGAATATAACACTTCTTTCCTGGTTCATTTTTATTTTCTCATCTCCCAATGTCCCCATGCCACGATACGCTAACACCGGAGAGAGAGGCAAGAAAAAAATGCTAAGCGAGAAAAAAAGTTCGTATAGCCAACAAACCCGCCTTGTCAGCCACCCAATATATATTTTTTTCGCTCTCACTTCTCTCTCCATTCATCCCCCCAGAAACTCTTACATTCTTATAATCCACCAAATAATTCAAACGAAGCAATCCCCAACAAACGTAATATCTACGTTCTTTCTCTTCCAAAACGATATATTTTTTTCTCGCATTTTTCAATGACAAAAAAATGAATCGGACAACCGTGGGTATTTAATGAGTGATAATTAAGACAAAGACAATGCATTAAACGGAAACGATTCCACTTTTTCAAAGTTCTTTGCATAACAATTGTTAAATGTAACAAAACAACTCGAGAAGACAAAATAAACACGACAATTTTTTTTCTCTTCATCTCTGATAAGAGAAATTAATTTCTGTGGAATCGAATTTTTCATCTCGAATCGCCTTCGACTTTGCCTCGACTCGTTCATGATTCGAAGGGCTATATATAGTCTCATCTATCTAAGTATAGCACTTCCCTTTCCTTTTCCATCAGCGCAGTGGTATGGTTGAGTAGAGTTCTTTCTACAACAACAATTACAACAACATATAACACTCAGCCACTCGACGAGCTAAAGGGAAGAAAAAAAAATTACATAATTTTTCCGAGCAATTTTTTTCTTTCGGTTTTTCTTTTTTTTCGCTTCTGCCATTTGTATTAGATTGGATAGGAGTTAAACTTTTTTTGTTTTCCGAATGATTTTTTCTGGTGTTTGAAAAGAAATGTTTGAGTTTTTTTCTTTCACCCTTATTCATCTGCCACCCACAACAAATACAATCAAACGACTTTCCTGACGAATCTTCCTGCTGGCGCTTTTTTTTAAAAGGGACACTACTTCTGCACGAGAAAATCAATGCATGAGAAATTAGGAATTTTGCTTTACGGTATAATCTTGATAAGTTGCCTCTTTTATGGGCGTGTGGGAGAAGTTCTCGTTAGAATGTCTTTCTATTTAATTACTACGGATGCTGTCGAAAGCAATTTTACCCTGGCTCATGAATACTGTAATCGATTGCGAAATAAAAAAAAGAAGCAATTCTAAAAATACTTCACATCATTTCCTGTGCCTTCTTTAGTTTAGTTATTAACCACGCGTGTTAGCATTTTTACTTGTCCTATACATATAGATATCTAAGCAAGAAGCGCGTGTGTCGCAAAAAGTTTATTGACCTTCAAGATATATCATAGAAGCAGCCGAGAGGTTGTTATTATTATTGTGAATGCCATTATCACTTATGCTTTTCGACGATGATCTTCTTACACATTTCTCTTCCTTCCTTTCTCCCATCCGTCGGTCGTCGTCTTTCTTTTATAAATGTAGGTCAATGTTATTGTCTGAATATTATAAAAACACATTTTTTATTGCAATGAAAATAAAAGCAGCCCATATACACGATATTATGTAACGTGATGTGTTTTCATCGTCTTGCTTCCCATCTCCTTTTCTTTTGCTTTCGGTTTTATATATCTACACATGCTTGCTTCTTCGCAATCCTCTTTCACTATTTTCTTTTCGGAATTTTTCATTTTCTTACGTCATTTCGCTCCGCTTTCGTCCCGTCCCGTCTTCATAAGTTGTAACATTTTTCTGCTTTTCTTTCTTTATATGTTTTATTTTTCGCTTTCATACGGATTTTTGTTTTTATTTTATTTCTTTTTTCTTTTTGTAAATTTTTATGAATGGAAAAATTGTTTTCTTTTCTCTTTTTTCCTCTACTACGTACCGAAGGCGAGACGCCGAACGTCTACTGACGAGTTGTTTCCAATGGTGAAGAATATTATTTTCACTTCCCTGTTTCTTCATTTGTTTTCTTTGGGCTTTTCTACTCTCTTTTCACCTTCCGTTTAGCTCGTCGTCTATTTTTTTCCCCACATTCTAAACAACAACCTTTTACATACTTTTTACGATGCTTCGACATCGTCTCGTGCTCGACTTGGAAAAATCAGGTGTAATCTCACTTTCTTCGTTTGGGATTTCCCTTTAATTCTTTCTTTTCTTTTCATTTAATTTTTTTTATTGTTGTTGTTTAAAGAAACATGTGAGCGACTTCATTCATTGCAATTTGTATATACTTGATCTTTAAATCAATCCGCCAACCCACGCTTTGTTAGAAATAATAAATAAAATGAAATATTTCTCAAACCTTTTCATCTCAGAATAACTCTTACAACTGATCAATAAAAACTTCAAACTCTAATGAAACAAATCAATCAAAACGATGATGGAGAATAAAACTTATTTCTCAGATCCCAGAAGATCAATTTTGTGTTTTTTCTGTTTGAGAAAAGAATTTCAAAATGACTGACTACGGGTTTGTGTTGAAACGACTGGATCGCCTTACTTTTATAACCAACACAAAGGTTTGAGACGTTAGCAAGAGCCTTCCAAGTCCCAAAAAAATACTGAACAGAACTTTTAAGAAAGAGTTTTATGTATAACAAATTACAATTTTTATGCTTCTTATGTTAGTATAATTATGTTCTTTTGGTAAGTTGTTGGATCAGTTTTGCCTTCTCTTTTTCGTGTCTGTTCGTTGCTTTGTATGTTAACTCTTCCATATCTAGTCAACATACCGCAGTTTTTTTTCAGTTTTCAGTTTATGGCCGCATATTCTTTTACAACATAAAGGTGGAATTTCTTATTCTTTCACAGGGAAACGTCGTCATACATGGCACATCACCTCTCGTTACTCACACATCGATCGAAAACCATTTCATTCTTCAAGTTGAAGAACAGAAAATTGTAAAAAAGAAGCTTTTTCATTATATTGGCTTCATTATTATTTTTGGTGTTGTTATTACATTGAACTGATGTCGATTTACTTATTTTTTTTATACTTCACCGATCCCGATACACGTTCAGGAACCACAGCAATATTATAACAAAATTAGTTTCATGAAGATTTCTCGTCCGATTCAGAATTTTAATTAATTGATTTGTTCGCTCGTTGAGGTTCCAAATGCCGGTATTGCGTGAGTTGTTTTTTATAGAAACTATATTCTCATTCTTTAACTCGTGAAAAGCAAAAGAAAAAAATTGCTAAACGTCAAAGTTGGCTTGCTAGATTTGTGTAGCGGTTGCAGGTGCGATTTTATTATAACAATGATTGAATGCAGGTGCTTACTTAAATGTGTTGTTTGATTAGCTTAAGAATGATTCAAGATGAGACTTTAAAGTATTAAATTTCAATTTCTTCAATATGTTTTTCTTATCATCCTTTTATCACTTCAAAGAAGTTGAAATGCTTTTTAAAACTTCTTAAGGTAAAATCTCACTTTTTGCTTTCTTAAAAACTAAAACACAAAATTTTATCCAGTTCACTCGAATGGAAAATTCCCAAAAAAACTTATGAAAATCTCTTGAATCTTTCATGAAGTTTCAAATAACATATTCAAAATACTTGATCTCAAATTTAAATAATTAAAAAAATTAGTTCTTCTTATACATCATAAGTCGTTGCGCTATGCTGGTCACCCGCAACCAAGCTGTCTAAAATCAAAACTTGTTACGCTCAAAAATTTATTAACCTCTTAGTTTATTTCAGAGTCAAAAAGACATTTACCTTTGCAAGTCTATCTTTAGCCATTCCTATAAGAACGATCTATTTGATCGTGATGGTGGTGTTTAGTTCTTATTCTATCCATTTTTCAAAACGAGTCAATAGAATAGTGAAGCTATGTAGCCCGAAAATTATTCAACCTACCAATACAATGATGTTAGAGAACAAAACGAAGGCACAACATCACAAAGAACAACCATCATTTGTGTCTAATCTAGAGATCAATAATCTTTCTCTATTTAAACTTTAAAGAAACTTCTTTTCTCGCATCTTAATCCGATTGCCTCACGAAGTTTGTTCATTTGAATATTCATAAATGTAAGGAAAATTGAATCTATTAACATTTCTAACAACAAAGAGAAAAAAGTTGATTGGTAAATAAGAATACACACGTGAAGGTAAAAGATCGACAACAGCTAATAAAAGTTTTGCTTTGCTATTTCGTCGCATGCCAATAACTATATAAACGACTCTAAATGAATAATAGTTATATGTACATTAAATCTCGTCAAACACGTCAAAACGCGATGACTATCGCACACATTTTTTCCTCTCTTTTTTTCTATCGACTTCATTTTGAAGCTGGTTGTAAAAGAGTTTGAGTGTGGCATTGTTTCTTAGGTCGATCTCCCTGAAATAGACAACAGAAATCATTTCATTCTCGGTCGATGTTACATATTATTTGATACATATTTTATTTAAGTAAAAGAGTCATTCCTTATTTATTTTATTTTACGAGTAAAAAAACAAGTATCGTGAAAAAGAAACAACAAGAAGAAGACATTATGAGAAAAGTGTGTGATTTCTTTTCGCCATCAGTCTGCAAGTAACCGATGAGACCTTGAACTCAACTCACTATTACCAACTCGATATACAACTCATTTTACGCCGCGATCATTACATACATAGCAGTTCAGCCGGCTGAAGCAAAATACTCTTTTTTTTTATGCTACGTGGTATATATAATTGTATAAAGTATCGAGAATCTATGTGTATATGTTTTCAATTCTAGATACACATTGAGTTCTAACTACAACAGCGGCATAACGAGAATAATTTTTTTTTTCATTCCTTTTTTAAAGTCTAACAACAAATATGCTGGTCTCCAAACTGACGAAGCTCTTATTTTCAATTTATAATCTTACACAGCATAAAATTGAGATGAATGTCGAAACATAATTATTTTGTTCGCTTAATCGAAACTCTCGGCGTGAAACCACAATCGATTGTGATGATGCCGATCTCTTGAATTTCATTTTTTATTTATTATTTTAATATTCAAGTTGTCGATAGTTTTAAAGTGAACTTGAACAATGTTCAAAAATTTTAAAACGCCTGAAGATATTTATTAAGATTTCTTTTCTTCACTTCCGTTACTTAATAATTATTCAGAAACAAGAATTTATTAAAATCGTCGTTGATTAAATGTTTGAAAAATATTGTTTTAAACAACATCAATTTCCTTTCAAATAAATAACATCATCATAACAATAATTACAAGTTGCACAAATTTTATGTAATATGCACACATTCATGCGATAGTAAAGGCTCGACAGACTTCATTTCCCACTTCTTTATGCCTTCCCATTCTCAATACCCAAATGATATAACACTGAATGGAGCACACAAACGATAAAACACGAAAGCACTTCTTTACTTCTTCTCTTATTCTTTTTCGTTGCAGAAAAGCTGTTTGTGTGAACACACACGTCTCCGAGAGCTGTGCAGAAAAATAATGCATTGCATCAGTGCATTTTGTGCATAAAAATATACATAATTTCCGATTCAGACGAAAAATCAAGAAGAAGATTTTTTAAACTTCTCTCTCTCTCGTCTTGTTCAAGTGTATCTTTGCTTTCATTACAAAGAACTCAGCAGACGCACTACCACAAGCAGTCAATTCCGGGCATATTCAGTGCTAATAGATTGAGAAGTCTGTTAACAGAACCCAACGCATATACACAAAAATCCAGTCACAACAACAAAGCGATGAGTATTGAGTTAAGCATAAAACATTTTGATACATGCATTTATGCTTTTGGTTTTATTTATATTTATATATACATTTTTTAGTGAAACGACCAGCAATCCAATTATGTGAAATCGTTCAATTTTTTTCTCCTTTTGTCTTTGGGAATTTCAATTTTACTTGGTGGTAGCTTGAAGACCAGAAATCTTTTTGATCGTCGCTTCAATCGACATTGAATCAGATTTTGTTTTTTGGTTTTTGAAAAGCCTTAAAGACGGACAAAAAATATTTATGTGCATTTGAGAAGAACATTAAAACCTGTTTTCATTGCAGCACATCACTGACGAAGCCCTCAGTGCTCGCCCCAATGAAACAAAGAATGTTCACATCGAAGTTACTCATACACGAAGAGTTTAAACTTATTCGTTCGAATCGCCGGTATAATGATGATGATGATGAAGAATTCTTATTCATGTTATTGTTCTCGTTTCTGATTTATACGCAACGCGATTTGGTTATGCCATCCATGAAATGTACGTGTGACAATGGATAAAGAATTACAACTTGCGAGAAGCACTTTTCTTCAATCTTCGTTCTTATCAAAAACATATTGCTTCAAGGGAAACTTTTTATTTCTCGAACGTTTCCTTCTTTCAATCGTCTTTAAATCGAAAAAGACATGAATTGTCATATTTTTTGTTTGATCGTAAGTCTTGACATGTCTCATGCTCTCATGTTCGTCTTTATGAAGAAAATGAGAAATGGAGAGAAAACTAGAAAAAAATATTTATATATATTCAAATAAGCAATAAAAGATATTGACTTTTGAGCCTTCACTACCTGACAACATTTCTCTTGGTTGGCATTTGATTTGAAGCAGAGAGATTAAAAAGGTACAGTTATTTGTTTAACCTATGTATATATCATGGATTTGAACGACTTTTGATAATAAATTCCTTGCTGTCGTATAGCTCAAGGCATTGGTTTCGATTCAATTTCCGAGAATTCAAGCTCAGCTCAAGTAAATAAGTACGAAAGGAGAGATCTTTATGTAGTGAGTGTTTTGTAAAATATTTTTCAGAATCATAAGCAATTTATCACAACTTTTGAAAGTTTAAGGCAATTTATAATTCATATGAAGTTTAATGAATTAAACATACAAAGTAGATCGATGGTTTTACACAATGAATAAATAACAACGCGAATAAGCATTTATCGATCACAAATTCACCATCTAATTTATTTATGCTTCAATGCATCAAAAATCCAAATCATTTTTCGTTCCTTTTTTAGTCAACTGAATTCTCATTAATTTAACTCATTCAAACATTGCCGTCTAAGAAAGGCCTGTGGCCAGGTAGAAAATTGCGCTTACAGGGAACCCTAACGATTCATTACTGTGAAGTTTCTTTTCTAGGTTATTTGAGAAATTTTGTGACCACCTCATGGCGAACAATTCATCAACACCCTCGCTCATTTGCGTTTGACAAGGAAAGAATTTAACTCCACAAACATTCTCCCCGTCTCTTACCCAAAATGTTTTCACCCTTCGAGTTCACATTTTTTTTTGGTAGTAGAGATTAAAATCTTAATTTTTTTCCTTATTCTTTTTATGTACTTGCGTTTTTTTTTCTTTCTTCAACTTGCCTATATATAAACAGAAACCAGCAAGTTATATAATTCAAAGGAGTGTGAGGGTGTTTTAATAAAGTTTCGTTTTCCCGAAAGAATTGTGAGAAGATCAAATAAGAAAAAAAAACTCTTTCGAAGTTGAACAAAATTTTTCTGACATTCAAGTTTCACCGGGTTCAAAGAATGTGACTAAACGATTTATAAACACACTTCATTGCTTGTAAATAAATGTACATACAAAATAAAAACATTCTTACCGCACAATCAACTTTTTCTCGTTCAAATTTAGAACTTTTATTTTGATTTCCTCAAATTAATTATAGTGATCACTTATTCGCCACCATTGATTGGATTATTAACAAAATGCCTTCAGTAGACTTTAAACTGTTTAAAACGACTCAAAACACCAGCAACTGAATATTAATTTCGATTAGACTAACTGTTCATTTGTCTTCTTTTTCTCGGAATTTCAATTTATTATTCAAAAAAAATCAGGCATTTGCTTTTAACTATCAATTCGATTGCCTACGGTCGACACATTTCTTTCTTTCACCACACAAATATTTATGTCAATCCACTGTTATTAATCTAATTTCATATTTATTAATTGTCCCTTTTTCGAGTGCTTCAGCTTTTTTCTTTTAAAAAATTTCCGAAAAATAAAAATCCTTGTTGTGTCTTAAAGAAATACCCGAACAAGAACAAAAACAGAACATTAATGGATGGATAGAAGTTTTATTTTATTATATGTTTACATTTCTTTTTTTTCCATTCGTAACTTTTTTTCTTCGCACCAACACCAGCACGTCGGTCCATCTTTAATGGTGTTGAAAAAAAATGTAAGTTTGGGGAATTATAAAAAGCGTTGACGAGGGAAGCGCACGAAACAATTAAAGATTAGAAGCTTCATTCATTTAAGGTTTGTGATTGAACAAGTTGAATAATTGATTTGATAGCTTAGCTATTAAAATGTTTTAACAATTTTTAATCTTTTTCCTAATTCCAGATCCTTTCTAAGGGTCAGGTTGGGTGAACATACAACATGTAATCCAAAACTATTGTATAAAACATTAATTTCATTGAAGAAACGTTTTCAATATATTCTTCACCCACATACGAATGACAGTCAGACGCCTTCACAAATTTTTAATACTTTTCCATGAAACTAAGAAACTCGAGAAAAAAATTCAAAAGCACTCACTCACACACCATCGATGACGAGAAAAAAAAGTGGGGTCGAACTTGAAATGAAAGCGAAAAAGAAAAAAAAGTTTCTCGCATCATAGAATAAGGAAAAAATTCTCTCATTGAAAACCGCAGAGGAAGAAAAAAGATTTTCGCAAAAAAGAGACATTTTTCAACAGAGCACAAGTAATTTTCTATTCGATTTTTTCCTTCTTTTTTTCTCGTTCAAATATCATCGGAAGCTTCCGATTTAGATTCGACGGGCGATGATGAAGGGAGACGACGAGGAAAAAAATGGTGTTGTAAGTTATAAGGTATAAGTCATTCAATTAAAAGTTATAAAACGCTCGACTTGCATGTATAAGAATTTTTTTTCTTCTCTCCTCTAAGGGTGTCAATGTATTAAAAACATCGCGGCGATGCGGGGAATTAGGCTGGTGGTAGGCACTTAAGCCGGTTAACTTGTACATAAGCTACATAAAAATACGACAAAAATTGATCGGTATTACGAGCAACGACGATGAATTTTATGTAATAATTTATTCATCTACATGCTTAAGCGATCATTATATGCAGAAAACATCATGCAATATCATGTCTTGTCTTTTAAACGACATCATTCTTATGTTCATTGCCATGGTGCTACTTAAGTTTAGAGTTAAACCCACAATCTAAAGTTAAATATTATCTCACATATTGCCCGAGGGTCAGAATTTTTTTTACTAAAGGATGTTAACTATCTACAACGTGAAAGTTATAATAATGATGAAATAAGATGTTCCTGTTCACGTTCAATGTACAACGACAGACAAAACAGAGGCTTGGAGAAAAAAAAAGGCTTGCGATTAGTCAGTCGACATTCCTTCTTGCGAAGTCACTGTTTCTTTTTCAGTGTCCCGAATCGATTGATTTTATATTTCTTGTTTCACTTCCTCGCCCCGCGCCCTCCTTGTTTCTCTATTCTTTCTTTATTCTGAAGTGGTCAGCGCTCAGCTCCAATAATTTATTCCATCTACATATTTCTCTTTTAAAAATGTTTGTGTATTCATCGTTAGTATACTGGTAGCACGAATTTTTTTCCTTCATTTTTTCCCTCTTCATCGTGGTGGTTGTATACAGTTTTTTTCGCGATATCATTTCTTTTTTTCCAGCAATTAGTTTTCCGAAAGTTTTTTTTCCTTCTCTCCTTTTTGAAGTGTGTACAGGGATGTGCATACACTCTCCAATCGCACAAATACAACAATGGTGGAAAGGAGAGAAGAAAAAAATCAGGACGGTTGTTGGTGGAGGCGAGTAAACGAAAAAAAATGCTCGATAAGTAATGATGATTTACAGAATGAAACGAAATATATTCAAATGAGTTTTAAGAGCGTTTTGTCTTCTTCTAAATCTCGCGTTATGCAAAAAAGTCAATGAAACGATGAGTGGCGAGCATAAAAATCCAACGGACAATCGATTCAGTTCACATGGTATTTTTATATTTCATTTTCGGACAACAGCATAACGAACTAAGGTAAAAGAATCTCCTCTAACAGATACATTTGCAATAAACAACAACATCTTGATGTGGCTTCAGAAGGCGAAGGCATTTAGTGGTGTATAGGGTGTGAGTGAGAGGGAAGAAGCAGAGAAAAAATATATCGGTTCTCGAGACTATAGTTATGTAGTTCATTTGTACCTGCAAGACTATGTGTGTTTGTATATATCACGTTTTTTTATACACCATCAATCGACGGTTCTTTTTTTCTTCTTCACTCGTGTAAAAAGCAAAGAAAATTAATAGGAGCGAAGTTTTTTAATTCGATTTTCATTTTAACATCGAACTTTGCATATCTCGCCTTCCCATCCAATCCCGCATTATGTCGCTTTAGGTTGAAGGGGAAATGTTCGACAATCATGTTGAGTTTTACAATATTGAATGTAATGATCATGCTTTAGAACGAAATATTTTGTTAACATTATTCTGTGCCGTTATATCTGAAACTTTCCTACCTAAATATCAGATCAACGATTTTTATTTTTCCTAGACACTCAATTTTTTTTCGCACTCAATACACGAATAATATCGATTATGCATTTAACCCAACTCGTTAAAATAATTTCTTCCTTTTCCTCAACTTGTACTTAAAGCATCATCAACAAGAGGAAATTGTCGTGAAGTTCTTTTCTTTTTTCTATAATTCAAAGTCGATTGCAGTTGAACTGCATCTTCTACAATCTATTGAGTTTTTATCGTTTAATTTGATGGAACATGTGCCTTAAATATTTCGACATTTTTCTTCGTTCCAGACGCATCAAAACAGGTAGATCTTTGTGTCGAAATCAAGCCTAACGATTTTCTTTCAATAAACATAATCTCTTATGTATAAATGTATGTACCTGAGTCTCAAAAAAAAATACGGCCTCGCTTTTTCCTTTATTTTTATGTAGTTATTGGAACATAAACTTAAATAGCTTGCATGCAATTTCCTTCTCTTTCCCTCTTATTCTCACTCTATTTCTTTTTCTTTTTTGTTTTCGATTCCTTTATGCTGTTTTATGTACTTTTATTATATCGTCGGATGGAATTGCTGATATTATGTTGTCTGGAGATTTTTATTTAAACAATAAAAATACACAAACAGAAAAAGAGAAATCGTATAAAAATTCTTCACTTCGAAGTTGTGTAAGAAAACAAAAAATAAAAGGGATTTTTATCGACGACAAATCTAACTGGAATTTAGTGGAGTCCTTCAATGTTTTAAGTGGAATTCTTCCGAAGAAATGAGATGAGATGGACTTTAACAAGACGAGATTTTGATGAGGGTCTTATTTTATGCATTTATTTCATTTAAATTGGAATAGCTTCAGGCTTCCTTGGTAAATAAGTTGAGGGAAATCAAGAGCAAAAAATAATATCAAACAATGCATTGATTGCTACTTAACATGACTCGTTAAATTGTTTGCGGTAGGATTAACAATTGTTTTTTAAAACATGGCGATTACAGATTTATGTACTTCTTCTAGAAGAGTAAATGTTACATGAATATGAAATGAAAGTTGAACAATAATAAAGTTTAAATGAAAACTCCAAAGAACAATGAAAGGAAAATTATATTTTGAATTATGATTTGTTTTTTTCTTTGCTTTGTCAGTATAAATCATGATCAAGATAAATTTATGTGGTCTGCTTTAACTACATATGTGCATACAGTGATATAAAAAACGATTTGCATTAACATAGAATATGAAACAAGTTTCATTCAAGTCATATGCTTGTCAATGCAGTTGTTCTACTTCATCATCATTAACAACTCAATTGAAATTGAAAAAAAGTTTTACCTTCATCATCTCAACATTTCAATTCACAACTGAATGAACTGCAATTGTTAAATGTTCAATTACCAATTTCCCTAAGCATTGACAAGAAGAATTTTCTTCTTCTTTCTTACATTTTCTACTTCACTTTCTCTTTTCTTCATCTCAAGAACATAAAAGAAAGATTTCTTCTCCAATTCTTGACTTTTATGTATGAAGAAGAATTTTCCTTCAATGAAAACGTTTTCTAGGTCAGTATTGCTCTTTATATGAGACGAGAAAGACGAAAACAGAACGAAGAAAAAATAACATAATAAAAATAAATAAAAATATGTAACGAAAAAAGAAAGAAAAGACCGAGACGAGTGTAAAAAGCACACAACATGCACAAGAGGGAAAAATAATATCAGAACTCATAATATTTTTCTTCGTCTACGCTTCTCTTCGCTTAGACATGTCGCGCGTCTTTTGCCTTCACTTGTTTCTTCTCCTTTTCAACATTGACTCCGTTTTTCTTCTCGCCGCCATAACAACACCGTTCAATATTAATTTTTTATTTATTATGTAACGAAAGAAGCTATTTTTGCTTTTCTTCCCCCTTTTTATGACTTTGCTTTTCGGTTGTCGGATTTTGAATGTGAAATTCAATTCACTTAGCTTTTCATTCATTCAACATGAAACTGTTTGTTTGCTTCACATATGATTTCTCACATTTACTACCTTCATTCGTTTCTTTTCAAGGTGATTTGTCGTTTTCAAGTTAAAAGGAATTAAAATAAAAGTTTTAACTTACTTGAAGCTCTGCTTCTGAAACATCAATTTCACCCCGATATACAAACTCAATGATAAATTGGAGATCAGCAAACGCAACTTCAGGTGGCATAATGATTATCGGGTGTTTGCATGGATTGTCCATTAACAGTTTTTGAAAAAATGTTGAGCATGCTGACAATACGACCTTAAAAATTACATTCAAATGCTTATCAGTCTCGATTTTCTGTTTTTTCTCTTTTTTATAAGTCTTACTTTATGGCATTTCAGTGAATTATGCTCACATGCTAACGTGACATCAACAAACTTCTCGGAATTCAAAAGCTCGTGGAACATGTCGGTTAAATTACTAAAATGAGAATATTTTTATTGATTATGAATCTTTTTCTTTAATTTTAGGGTATCAATGACGACTACAAAAGGGTTCTACCTACAGACGATTTCAAAAGCTTTCAAAAAGTTTAAGAAGCTTCCATTAATGAACTCTTTAAAAGAAAAGTTTTGAGATCGTTTGCCTCAATATCTTAATTTCTTTTTTTTAATTCTTCTAATGAAAGTTAAATTGCTATCTTCTTAAATAGCATCAACCTTATCTTGACGTAAAGCAATTAGACATAAATTTCTCTTCTTCTTACTTTTGATAATTATTCCATCTTAAAGAATAATATTGATGTTGACTGGCTGATTGTATGTGACTGGTATGGACCTTTGGTAAAGTAACTTTAGGCAAGTGATGGCCTTGTTTTGGTGGTGACTTATTGGTTTGATTGGCTGATGGGTACAGCACATGCTTTTTTGGCGTTTCGCTATTCGACGACATTCTTTATGACACAAAAATTTATGACCCTAAAAGAAGAGTAAAATAAATAAAAAATAAATCTCATATTGCAGAGTTCTTTTTCAAGAAACACAACGAGAAATGAAGAAACAAAAGAAGAAAATTGCGAATGATTTTTCCTGTTGCGCGATGTAAAGTTTTTTTTTCTTCTTTCTTTCTTTTTTGCATATCTCGCCTCTGTTTTGCTGTGAATATTTCCATTCATTTCCCTTTTTAATGTCAATTATTTTATCGGATATGAATACTTACTTTAAAACTTTTATAAGATCGACTAGATTAGTTCCTTCATAGAGTTTCCTTGACTTTTTCGCTCCCCCACCGAAGCAAATTTTGCGAGACGAACAATAGATTTTTTTTATTTTTACTTTTTTTGGACTTATTGATTTTTATTATTCTTAGGTTTCTGATAACATATTTTGTGAGTGCTGGCTGTTCTACGCTTTTTCTGGCAAGAACTTGCGTTCAAAAGATGAAAACACTTAACTTTTCGTAGCTTCCAAATGTTATTTTGATTGAAGAAAAGATTTAATTAGAACAGGGATTGTGATCGATTAAATTTTCCTTTCGTATCCAATGATATGACGAAAACGAGAATTGTGGTGGTGAAAATGTGTTTTCAAACTCAGTTTTCGTTTTTTACGCTACAAATATTGTCGATACTACATTTAATTTTCTTTTGTTTTGAAGAATATTCCTTTTGTGGTTTTAAACCCTGTTTGAACCGGACGGACACACTGATTGAACCGGAGCAACTTGTAGATTCAAAGAAAAAACCGCTACAAATTCAAAATAAATTGAAAATGATCAATTTTTATATGGATCAAAGATGTACAATGAAGAACACCATTTTTATTATCATATAAGAATCTTGATAAATAAATAAATGATAAATAGTGCTCACCTAAGGTTCTTGCCTAGCTGAAGAAAACAAAATTTCAAAACCTTCAAGGAAACTGCAAAAACATTACTTTTGGTTTCTGAACAGACTCTAGCTTTGAAATAGTTTACCGGTTTCTTAAAAATCAGTAAACAACAAAAGTGAATTCTTTAGAAAATCTTAAGGACTTTTAATCAAAACAATGGACTTACGCTTTGCAAGCGAAGCAAATCATAAACATATTCAACAACTCTATCCTCTCTATCAATTTCAAGTCAACGTTGAAACATTTCATGGAAGAGGAATTCAAAGTTTCAATTTTTCATTTGAAAAACTTGATGGGATTGTACAATTAAGAATCTCTGATGTTGTCAATCAAAGCAAGATGTATTTGTGTACAATAGGTAAGTTTTATGGTATGTTATGTTCAATATTATAATAATTTTTTTTAGATAACATAACATATCAAGAAATCAAGACTGAGCAGTCACTTCAAGTTGCTTTTCAAGGATTCATCGATCATTTAATAACAATACTAGATTCTTGTCGGAAAAATGAATTGTAAGTTGGAAAATTTGAAATATTGAATACATTTTAGGTTTCTATTTATTACTTTTTCAGATTTATTTCCCTTATACAAAGTCAAAATAGTTTCATACTTCAGTTTTATGAGAAAAGATCTCTGAAAAATCTGATTCATTTATTTCTTAGAGTAAATGAAGCTCCTCCAGCGATTATAATGTATCATCTTAACTTAAGTATTACACACCTTAAAGATGAAGTTTCATCAATTAATCAACGAAATCAATATCTTGATAATGAGGTAAACAAAAGAGATTTTCACATAGAAGAGCAACAGAAAGAAATTGCTACGCTCAAAAATAAAGTAGCAGAGAACGAAAACATGATCTTGTTTCGAACAACAGAAGAGATTCAACGATTACAACAAGAAATTAAGAGAATAGAAACATCTAAAGAATTTGAAGAAAATCGTCTGAGGGCTCTTGTTAAAAGTTTTGAAACGAAAGTTGATCAGTTAACAAAGGATAACTTTTCATTGAACGAAAAGATTCAGTAAGTTTATCACCGAGTAACAGATGGCGCTTCACTCAGTGTAAAAATTCACCACGTGAAGTCGCTGCTTTCTCATTTTCAACAAGATCAGAAAATTTCTCCTCCGATTTTTTGTTTTGTCTTGTGATCATTGATCGTCGATCTTTCAACTATAAGTTTAAAAATATTCAATTAAATTTTACATGCCGAGTTTCTTTATTATCCTATCGAAGCAGACATTACCAATTGTGATTATTGAATAAGTTTCTTATATATTGTATTTCTTTTTTCATTAAACTCATTTCGAGAGTTTTTTTACGATATATACTCGCATTAAACTTTAAACTGTCTTGTGTGTACAAACACATCATAAAAGATATTTTAATATTTTTCTTATATGTTTTTTTTTCATGTGCACGCCTTGGATCACCCTCAAGGTTGGAAGTCAAGAAAAGCGAGACGCTTAAGCATGAAGTCGAAGATATGAAAAGGAAATTAACTGCGATGAGTACCGATAATAATCGCTTGAAAAATAATCTCAGTCAATTCGATGCTAAAGACAAGCAACAGCGGATGAAAGTCGACGAGTTGAATCAACAGATGGCTGATACTTTGGAAAAATTACGATCGGCAAACAAGGAGACGGTAAGAACCTAACTTAATTGGATCATTATCTTGACTACGAAGATTGTGAGTTCATTAATCGATGTAAACTTACTACGTACGTTTATCTTCTTTTTTGCTTTAGTCCAATTTACAAGCGGAGATTGAAGCTGAGAAACAAATTTGCCACACAAAGAAGCGCGCCCTTCAAATAGCTACTGATGAACTCACTAAAAATCACGAGACAATCAAACGATATGAGAAGAATGTTGAAAAACTTAAAAAGGGCATCGAATGGCGTTCACTGTTGATGATGAGGATAAATTATGAAAATCAGCGGAATTTGGTAAATGTTGAGCAATCTCGGATTAAGCAAAATTAGTTAAATTAAATCGTTTTTAAATGATGTTGAAATTACCTTTTTTTTTGTTTATTGTTTTCGATTCACATTAAGATTGATTAAGTCAAACTCGAGGCTGGAAAGTCTTAAGAAATGAAATTCGAAATTATTTTTAAATTGCTTTGTTCTGAATGTAGTTTAATTATTCCTATTAAAATGTTTGACACATTTCAAGTCCAATCTTGAGCTGACAGAATTCTCTGATTTTCAAGTAAATGCATTTCATGAACTTGAATTATCACCTACACACAGTGATCGTTTTCTTCATTCTCTCTCACTCGCTTATGTTTTGTTTGTTTTCAACATCCCAAATGTGGAGACGAGATAATTTTAAGTCGACGATGAAATTTACTCAAGTTACTTATTCAAATAAAGGAAAAGAAATAAATTTTAAGAGAAGAAATTTCGTCGATATTTTTATTTATTTACGGAATCACTTTTTTATACTTTTTAATTATTGTGCAACTGAGAAATGAAGAAAACAATAAAAACAAAGAAATTTTTGCCTGCAGTTCGTTTCGCTTGATAACATTCGAGTCTGCAATCGACATTTCTGTAATCTTACGTCACGATTTTAAACTTGGGATATATTTCGTTTATCATTGTTACACATGAGTATTCGAAACAGCATGTTAAATGTAACTCCCATGATAATCCCTCGTTAAGTTTATAAATATTCCAGTTGATTGTTGTATGTGGTCTGATCATTTAATTTATGTATGGATTGGAATGTTTACTAACAATGTTTCTACATACATCAGATGATTTCCATTTGCATGTGTATTAGTGTTCATCTTTCCAGATCAGATGAAGCATTTAAATCTTTTATTTTCTTCCTTGACAAACGATGTGACATGTAAAATGATGAAAAATTCCTTGAATTCTCATCTGATCTTAACTTAAACGCAACTTTCGTTTCGTTATTTTCTTTTTTCAACTTGCAAAAAGTTACGCCACATTTCACATTTTCTTATTCAATATTGTAGAATTTATTACAAACCCATAACGACGTTTCCGATTAATTATTCATTCAAAGAAATTCCAGCGATGACTTAAGCGACTTTGCACAACTACATTCAAACATTTCCCTTCCAGTTCAGCAAAAAGAAACTTTAGTGTGCGTTTATATTCCACTATGAGTTTGTAAAATTAAATAGTTTTAGTTACTACGAAGAAGTTGTTGCGATAGCACACGATTCTCGCTCGCTTTTAAAAAAGTATTTCCACACTTCTCACACAAAAAAAAAAGAATTCTTGGAGTTTACGTGGAGAAGAGAAATAAAGTTCGTCTTCTTAAGAATTCATTTAAAAGATTGATGAAAACAAGTGATCAGTCGTCATCAGAACATTAAATGTTTGGAATTTTTGCGGATTCGTCATGACTATCACGGGAGTGTAAAATTGTTTACTTGCTGTGGATTATTTGTCGTGATAACAGAGAGAAAAAAAATTATTATCATATATTTTTATTACCGCAACGAGAGTGTCTCGACAAGAAGAAAACCAAATAATTGAAATATGTGCTCATAAAATAAATGAGAAGTTCTAAGCTTGGAATGTCAGCAATTGCCACCGCAGAGTGCTTGCTTTGTTGTTGAAAAAAAAAGTTTTTTTGTCATTATTTTTTTTTTGATTATGGAAATGTGTCAATGTATTTCTACTTCAGTTTTATATTTCGGGTGAAGAAATAAAGAATATAATTTGAATATATTTTCGAGAGTGTAAAACAACATAAGCGAAGTAATTTGAACATCAAAGAACGTTAAGGAACATCATTTGGAGACCCATTTTCACGTCACGCTTCGTTATAAACTCACTTCATAACCCAAAGGTGAATTAAATTCTTATTTATGTTCGACTACATCTCTAAAGCCCTCGTTCCATAAAGAACACATTTTTCTATGGAACTCAGCTACATGAAACTGCAATTGATTAAGGATTAAGATAGTAACTCAGACTCTAGTGCGGGGGAAAAACGAAACAAAAAAAGAGCATAATTCCGTTTTGTGTTGTGATTTATTATCACTTTTTTATTTCGTTTTCCATATTAACAATGTTCCGTTGTTGTATTTCGTGCGAGTTGAGATAACAGTTGAGACGTCAGAAGAATTTTGTTTCGTATTTAATCGTAGACAAATTGAGTTTAGAAGATGTGGAAAGCATAGTAATGTTAGCCGAGAGGGATCAGATTTCAAACTAAAGATTTGCTTCATTTGATCTTGCATTTCAATCGTCTAGAATGAAGACTTATTTATATGTAGAGACTAATGTTTTATGCATTTAAAAATATCTTTGAATTCCATTGAATTTTAGGGTAATTACAAACTACGATCAGTAATCAAATTCAATCTTTTGAAAGTTTTCAAATTATCTGCTTTGATGATGGATGATTTTTTCGAAGTTAACTATAAGTTAAACACAGAATGAAGATTCATAAATAGTCACAATGCAATGTACACAAAATATGTAGAAAAAAAAAGTCATTTCGAGCCGAACAATTTTCTAACTAAGAGTTCACAAAATATTTGTTTTAATCTTCGCTTTTCTCCCTCTCCAACGAACACTGCAGTTGCGCTACGGAGAAATGCTCAAACAGATAATTATGAGACATCGAAATGATGTGGGCTCCGGTCTCGTTGATCTGCATCAAATATTATGTTTTTGTGTAAATTAATGCCCGAAGGAAAATTATACATTTTTATTTCTCATTTAAAAAATCTATCTGTCGAAAGGTTGCATAATTACACGATTGTCAACGGGCTTTTCACTCGTTTGGTTGATGTGTAAAATGTCAAAATATGTGTAATAAAAGTTGTCGCTAGTATCTTTCGGGGCCTTGCCAAATGAAATGAAAAAAAAACTAAGTGTGGGTTTACGTTCATCGATAACCGCGCGTCGCGCAGAGCTGTTATTAGTTCGTTCAATGTTATTTTATTACACTTATTTTTCGGGTTATTTAAAGCATATTTATTGTGTCAAAAAATCAGAAATAATAAATAATAATAATCAAACGAATGAAAAATATTTCCATGACGAAAACTTGTCGACGAATTGAACATGTTGAACGGCAAGTATTTTTTTATATGTCTCATGTTTACACTTCAAAGGTGCCACTCTAATATCACATTCATTTCTTTCGTCATCTGTTATAAGATCCTTTGGTGCCGTGATCAAAAAAATCACCGTCTTTGTTTATGCATCGTGACACTCCCCGAATTCCAATTTGCGCAACGACGACGTTTCGTATGCAATTTCATCAGAACTTTTTTTCTTCATATTTGTCTTCATTTTTCTTCAGTCTTACTAAATGAAAAAGCAGATGATGATGATGATGATCGTGTGACAATATTAAAAAAATGAATGAATGAAAGCATATAATGCGATGATGTCACAGCAGTTTAATTCAAAAGCAGAAAATGAAAATTATATCGCAGAGAGCGCAAAGATTTCTACGCGAAATAAATTTTATTGTGTTTATTTCTCTCCAACACATTCTGCTGGTATTCGCGTGGATGAGATGATTCTGAGAACGAAGCTCCATTGTCGATTCGATGGTCGTTAAACCACGTCACTTCGCGCATTTATATCCATTCCATAATTTTGACACCGACCACCAGATGATGTCATATATAAACAGTTCCCATAAACAGAACAATTGAATACATTCAAATCGCACAATCTTTTGTTGACTCGTCTCTCTCTCACTCAATTTCAAACAGAAAGACACACAAAGTGCTTCACAACTTGTCGATTCGACTCATATGAGATCATCATCGATATTTCTTCTGACCTGTCATTTCAATAATAAAAAAAATCTTAAAAACTTTTCTTCTTCTTGCTTGTTCTTTTCACATCAAAAACTGACACTAGATAATTAATTTTACTTTAAATTGATTTAGCAATGGCGCAATTATCATATGGCAAAGTTAAAAATGTAGCACATATGTATTAATAATTTAAATGACAAAAGAACTTAACTAATGAGTCGCACGAAGTCGCACGAACTGGTGTCACAGTAGAATTCTTAAGCTTGACTCATTACCGGTTAGATCTCAGTGAATTGGAAAAGATTTAATTGATACATGAATGGAATTTGAAACATTTTTCAACAAGGCTATTCAGGATTATATTTTTAATTAACTTAATTAATCAACTTTTTTTGTTCGTTTAATTAACGATAAAAAGTTATTTTTGTGTTTGAAAACATAAATAATTTATGTGGATATGTTGCTGATCACCAAAACAAGTAATTATAAATAATAAACCGTAGAATCTTGTATGATTTTTTCTTTATGTTCTTGCTCACATAAATATCTTCGATATCCACTGCCCTGCGTCCATTGCTAAAGCATAAAGCTTATGAGTTATATTCATAGATTGTATTTGAGGATTTATGAGTTGGAAATAGAGAAATGTTGATAAACTTGCGGTGTAAAGAGCTTCTTAATTAAAATAGTTGTTATCGTATCTTGGCATTGGATATCTCGAAAGAAATAAAAATAAAAGAAACAAGTTGCTTACTTCGCACGACACAATCGTAAAATTATCGTTGTTGTCACGTGATTTATTTCACTCTCATATTAATGATTTCTCGTTACTTTTTTATGATCTTTCTCGGCTTATGACAACCCTGACATCCTTATCAAAAGAGTTTGTTGAACGCCATTCGTCAAAAGATGAAATAACTTACTGCTAATTAGGGATTACCCGATCTTGGATTTCTTGATTCTCGCGTTAAAGATGAAGATGAAGAAGACTTGTAATTATCAAGTTATTATTTATTTTTTTCTTTTTTCGTCTGTTGAAATTAATTTTTCTTGTTGTTTGCGACTCATTAAATGTCGTTAAGGAAAATTTTTTATGTGTTTATCTCTCTTTCTCTCTCACTCAAATTTTAATCTTTATACTTCTCGATGTTGTATTTGCCTTGTTTGCTTTTGAGTGTCTTAACCTTGAGAATTTTATTATTGACTCTCGACATGTATTTTTATGTGTGTAATACAATGACATAAAGTCAAGTCAACAAAATTCCAATTCTTTTCCTTTATCTTATGTTTAATGCTGCGCAGTCAGTGAAGTTCTGGAACTTTATTTGCTGCTTCGACCCCTGCACATTCTTCACTAAGTTTATCGTGGTCTTTGATTGGAGATAATGGGTTTATCAACATTCTTTCTTAATTCAATATTTCGCGTTTATCCCAATGCTGCGACATCAATAATAAATATTGACTTGAAAGCTCGCAAAAACGTGTTAAAATCTTTTATAACATCGAGAAAATAAAAATTGAATCGATCGAAGATCTTCGATATGATCTCATGTACACGAAGAGAATTGATGATGATTCAAGAAAAACCACTTTCAGAGCTGGTTTCCTCGTATTTCTGTTTATTATTTTTTGGGCAACATCAAGCGCTAATTTAATTCGCATATAAATTTATTTGTGTTCTTAGAATTCAAGCGAGAAAATATTTTTTGTGTCGTTAATTCCGTTGGGACCAGAAAATTAAATAACAAACAAAAAAAAATCTGGTGAAAGACGGAACCGAATTCCGCACATTCTAAAACATGAAACAGTCATTAATTTAATTTTTTTTCTCCCGCTTTTGTCTTTCATCGCCTGCGATAAGCTTTTGCACAAAAAGAAATATTTATGTTTAAATTATTTAATTTCTCGTTTAAATGATTGAACCGACAACCAGATGCTATGTGCGCTGCTTCAGTGCGTAAATGACCCAATTATTGGTAACTTTAATAAGCGATTATTATCGTAGTTATGTTTATTTCGGACCAAAGGCAGGAAATAAAGACATAAAATGATGGAAGCATCTGGTATTGGGAAAAATAAATATAATTTTTCTCTTCTTCTCTTTATTGGCGAATCAAACTTGCGTTCAATTTAAGATGTTTATGAAAAATATTGAATCAATCTTAAATTTGTTAGTCACGTCATTCATTGTAAAATTTCGTCACAAATGAAGTTGAAGTTGTTGAAAAAAGTAATTTGTCAAATAATGTTTTGATTGGTGTTTTTTGATCAAACTTTGATCTTGCGATAAATTGTTGACGGATCATTTATTTTTATTTTTGAAAGGAAGCAAAGATCATGGTGACTTAATCTCCGCATGTTTCGTTCAACATATTTGCTAAAAAAATATCTAAATAGCAACTCAATCATCAACTCCATATGCTATGTTTTATAATGAATAATTGCGGGATATAAAGCTCATCGAATCGATTTTCGCTGCTTTTTAATGAAACAAAATTTCGCCGGCTCGAAGCTATCTGATCTGATCTAACTTTAATTAATCATCAAAACAATAATAAATGAAAACGATCATTTGGCTTTAAGCAGTTTTTATTAATCAACCTACATTCATAATTTTTCAAGTTTAAAAGCCGCATGAAAAAAATGATACAATTTTTTGCAGAAGAATTGTTAATGAATCGAAGCTTACTTCTATGGAAGAGAGGAGCGACTGATCTGTGACTATTATAATAAGGAAAGAGATCGATGGCGCAAGAAGTAAAACGAGGATAAAATTGAGGAGTGTGAAGAAGTGAATTATAATTCAACATCACTTTATGGCAATTTGCGCGCAGCTTTTCTTTTTCTTTTTCTTCTTTGTGTAATGCTAAACATTATTGCCTCAACTGTTATGAGTTTATAAGTAAACATTCAACATTCATTGCGTCGTTTCTTGTTGTTTNATGCTCTACCTCTCTACAAAGTTCTAAGAGAGTTCTAAAAGAGAGGAACGGTTGAAAGCGAAACAAGCTAAAAATTTACAAGTGAAAATATTTTATAAAAATAAATGTGTTCTAAGTAGATTTATTTCTGAATATTATCGCTAACGCAAAGTTAAACTAAAAATTAACTATAAGTTAATAAAATATTGTTGAATTTTCCTCGTTTTTTACAAATAAAGTCTACGAAAAAATTCCAAGCGCGTGCTCTATTGTTAATGAATGGAAGATAAGGATCTCATTGAAGATAAGAATCAAGTGAACAAAGGCGCGTATCAATTACGGAGTAAACGAGCTGCTTCTGAAAGTCCAGAAAAATCTGAAAATCCTTCATCTTTCCCAAAACGTCGACAGAAGAGAAATAAAAAAAGTCCAAAGAAAAGCCCAAAGAAAACCCCGAAAAAGAATCCGAAGAAACCTAAAAATCAAGACAATATGGAAGGTTTTCAAGCTGCTTTGGACTCTATTATTAAGAGTAATCAAGTGAATTCAAATAAGCTCGATCAATTGATGAACAAACAAGAAGAGACTACGCTGAAACTCCATCAAGTCACGGAGAAAATTGATTTGCTAAACACAAGCATGAAATTGTTGCAGGATCAAACTAATATGCTAGAGAAAAAACAAGAAGAAGCTGTTGCAAACATTAATTGCCTTTTTAAAAATACGTCAGATCTTCAACATGAACTGAATCAAGTACGACAAGCTACGCTGGCAAATGATCTTGTGATTCAAGGAATCCCATCTGATTTAATGCCACCTTCACCACAAGATGCTTTGATTCTCATCGCGAAATCACTTGGTGTTATAATTAATGTCGAACATATAAAACAAGCGACAGTGAGAAAGCATATTCCATCAAAGACTTCTAGACTTTTAGTATCCTTACACAATGGGCATATCAAACAGAACCTGCTGGAAAAATTTAAATTGAAAAAACCATTACTTGCTGAAGAAATTTTCACCAACATCTCTGAAACTTCACCATTCCGAGGAAAAGGAATAAATATTTTCAATCAACTAACAGCAACGAACATGAAAATTCTCCTGACAGCTCGTAAAGCAAACAACGGAAGATTCAACTTCATTTGGGAAAAGGGAGGTCGAATATTAATGAAACAAAATAACGAAGCGAAGGTGATAGAAGTACGATCCATGCAGCAGTTAGTCACCATCTTTGGTCCGGAAATATCTCAAAGTAACTGAACATCTTTAATGAAAAAATTAACAAGAAAATTTACAAGAAAAGATAAATTCAAAAACTCAAAAATTTAAAACTTAATGTTACTTATCTATTTCATTATATCAAAATTCTAAATAACTTTGAGTTTATTCGTATAGATATTTAGCTTGATTTGCGATAACCACAAAATCATAATGTTATTTTCAAATTAATTGTAATCAAGATTATTCTAGTTCCTAGAATCTGTAATTTTTTTCTAGCTGATATAATACAGGCAGATTATTGCCTAAATATCAGATCATAATAAAAAATGGAATTAAAAAAAAAAAAAAAAAAAAAAAANTCTCTCACTCAAATTTTAATCTTTATACTTCTCGATGTTGTATTTGCCTTGTTTGCTTTTGAGTGTCTTAACCTTGAGAATTTTATTATTGACTCTCGACATGTATTTTTATGTGTGTAATACAATGACATAAAGTCAAGTCAACAAAATTCCAATTCTTTTCCTTTATCTTATGTTTAATGCTGCGCAGTCAGTGAAGTTCTGGAACTTTATTTGCTGCTTCGACCCCTGCACATTCTTCACTAAGTTTATCGTGGTCTTTGATTGGAGATAATGGGTTTATCAACATTCTTTCTTAATTCAATATTTCGCGTTTATCCCAATGCTGCGACATCAATAATAAATATTGACTTGAAAGCTCGCAAAAACGTGTTAAAATCTTTTATAACATCGAGAAAATAAAAATTGAATCGATCGAAGATCTTCGATATGATCTCATGTACACGAAGAGAATTGATGATGATTCAAGAAAAACCACTTTCAGAGCTGGTTTCCTCGTATTTCTGTTTATTATTTTTTTGGGCAACATCAAGCGCTAATTTAATTCGCATATAAATTTATTTGTGTTCTTAGAATTCAAGCGAGAAAATATTTTTTGTGTCGTTAATTCCGTTGGGACCAGAAAATTAAATAACAAACAAAAAAAAATCTGGTGAAAGACGGAACCGAATTCCGCACATTCTAAAACATGAAACAGTCATTAATTTAATTTTTTTCTCCCGCTTTTGTCTTTCATCGCCTGCGATAAGCTTTTGCACAAAAAGAAATATTTATGTTTAAATTATTTAATTTCTCGTTTAAATGATTGAACCGACAACCAGATGCTATGTGCGCTGCTTCAGTGCGTAAATGACCCAATTATTGGTAACTTTAATAAGCGATTATTATCGTAGTTATGTTTATTTCGGACCAAAGGCAGGAAATAAAGACATAAAATGATGGAAGCATCTGGTATTGGGAAAAATAAATATAATTTTTCTCTTCTTCTCTTTATTGGCGAATCAAACTTGCGTTCAATTTAAGATGTTTATGAAAAATATTGAATCAATCTTAAATTTGTTAGTCACGTCATTCATTGTAAAATTTCGTCACAAATGAAGTTGAAGTTGTTGAAAAAAGTAATTTGTCAAATAATGTTTTGATTGGTGTTTTTTGATCAAACTTTGATCTTGCGATAAATTGTTGACGGATCATTTATTTTTATTTTTGAAAGGAAGCAAAGATCATGGTGACTTAATCTCCGCATGTTTCGCTCAACATACATATTTGCTAAAAAAATATCTAAATAGCAACTCAATCATCAACTCCATATGCTATGTTTTATAATGAATAATTGCGGGATATAAAGCTCATCGAATCGATTTTCGCTGCTTTTTAATGAAACAAAATTTCGCCGGCTCGAAGCTATCTGATCTGATCTAACTTTAATTAATCATCAAAACAATAATAAATGAAAACGATCATTTGGCTTTAAGCAGTTTTTATTAATCAACCTACATTCATAATTTTTCAAGTTTAAAAGCCGCATGAAAAAAATGATACAATTTTTTGCAGAAGAATTGTTAATGAATCGAAGCTTACTTCTATGGAAGAGAGGAGCGACTGATCTGTGACTATTATAATAAGGAAAGAGATCGATGGCGCAAGAAGTAAAACGAGGATAAAATTGAGGAGTGTGAAGAAGTGAATTATAATTCAACATCACTTTATGGCAATTTGCGCGCAGCTTTTCTTTTTCTTCTTTGTGTAATGCTAAACATTATTGCCTCAACTGTTATGAGTTTATAAGTAAACATTCAACATTCATTGCGTCGTTTCTTGTTGTTTTCATTAGAATTATACAATTTATATTTTCTTTTATATTTTGGGTGGGACAGTTGCACTCTCCGTGTGCTTGTTTGCCTTTTGTTGTCTGTGAGCTGCAACGTACTGCATGATAAACAAATAAACTTTTATGGGTGGCACAGCATCAAATCCGCTTTGAGATATAATTCGAATCGAAATCATCAATTCTGGGAATTTCTTCTTACTCGTTTCATTCTCTCAAATCTCAGTGGATTTCTTCATAAATTTCTGGAATACATTTGAATGATTACAATCTGTCAAAGTCGTCGTTTATTGCAGCGGGAATTCTCATACTGTCTGCCCATTAATGTCAAGTTATTGATTCAGCTGCCCTCTGAAGATCGATGAGAGTTCATCACAAAACATCAAGCCAAACATTTCTTTCTTCTCTTTCTCCCACAAAAATTGATTGTAATAAATCTTTCATCATTAATTTTTAATCTGAGAATACAATTATTTATGCAAATACATCAACGATTGGAACATTAGAAGAAGAAGACAGAAAGAATCAATCGGAAGGGGAGATGAAAATAAAAATATAAATAAAAATTAAGGAATGAAGAAGAGATGAGTTCATTCAAAAAGCGATCATAATGAAAGTATTTGAGTTATTCTGCTTTCGACATCACACGACCATATGTTTTTTTTATTGCTGCTACGTCGTCAGATGCTCGCATAACGCTTCTTTTTTCCTTCACATCTCGTTCTCCGCACATCTCAAATGCAGTTGTTATAAGTAGAATTTCTCATTTACTGTTTATTTCCCATCGTCTTTGCGGAGGGAAAAAGTATCTTGTTTCAATTTCATTTCATTCGTCATTTGGGTTCTCAAAACATGTATAAATGTTTTGTTGGTTTTCTCTCTTTGTTCGTTCTTTTATTTTACTCATGCATCTTCGCTATTTTGTCGAGCTCGCATCACCGTAAGATAACACAGATTCCATTCCTTGCATAAATGGAATATTTTTATAACATCCAAGTTTGTGCTTTAAGGCGATATTTGAAGCACAAAGGGAGCGCGACGAACGTGATTTTCGGTGCGTTTTCAAGGGCGCACATAATGTTTGTCTTTTTAAACTTTATTGCCGAGAAATTCCACTCGATCGTTAACTCAAAGAGCGCAAGAGCGCGAAATGTGAAAAGGACTTGAACACGATTCCATGCGGTGCGAGTTATAGCGTGACTAAAGACATTTTGTAAATTGTACATACATGTAACCTCATCTCACTCGTCGAGATCAGCACCACAAGAGGTCAATAAGTCAATTGCTAATTCAGTAATTCTTATTTTTCACGCGGCAGATCATGTTCAACTTGTATTACGATTGTAATTGTCGAGCTCATAAATAGATATTTAGACAGACAACACTTCGACGTGATGATTATTTGTAATATCTCAGTACATACAACAAAAGCTAATGCGGGAAGAAAGATGGCAACAACAAGCAATTGTTTTCTAATGAGTCATGTAATCACATCTCCATCACTCTTAATAATTATTGTTTTTCTATCTCTCTTATTTCAGAATTTAATATCAGCCAATGACTGTAATAAATGTTGAATCATAGCATGCCAGTTAGTGTTTCTCAAAATCCCTGTTTTTTGAAAAACAGGGATCAGGGATCGATGATTTTCTACTAGATATCGACTTTTTTTAAAAGAAAAAACTGCATTAACGTAATGTTCTGACATAGAAAACACTAAACAATCCATCTTTATAGGAAAAATTAAGCGATTTCTAGTAGAAATTTGACGATTTCTTTTTCCCTATTCCCTAAAAATAGGGATTTTGAGAAACACTAATGCCAGTATCATCACCCCATGGCAGATGAAACATCAACAGCCTAATAAACGATAATGACGTATCGATTTCAATTTCATCACAAAGCATAAAGTGTTGGTGAATGAAATTCTAAGAAAAGTAATTTGAATCATTGCTTTTGTTTTCATTCAATAAATATAAAAAATTCTTTAACAAAGCTCAGCTCGTGTTCTTTGTTGTTATCCAATTATAAAAGGTCATTCGAGAACACGAAAGAAAGTGGACGAAAATAAAATATAATAAAAGGTCTCTCGATGCCAATCCAATGAACCTCAAAACAAATTGTCAAAAACGACAATCAATGTTCAACAACAAAGCAGTGAAAGACTGAGATTCAGAGAAACAAGAAATAAATCAAGTGAAGAGATAAAAAAAATAAAAGTTGAAGTTTTCGAAAAGAAGAGTGAAAGAAAATTATTAATGAAGAATTACATAAAGTGAAGGTTGAATGAGCATAATAAAGTCATAACATCGCCATATAATCGCCAGAGAGAAAGAAGGAAATATTAATACGCCAACACCACTCGTGCCCAATCAAACAACTTCAAGACTGATGAGATGAAATGGAAAACAACGATCCATATGCGGAGCTTGAAATCTACTTAAAACAAATAAATGTGAGTCTTTTTTAGTTGTCGCATTAAACTTAGCATCAAAAGCATATTTCAGAAAAATTTCTCCCCTTTTCTTTCGATCGCCTTTTTTGCTCAATTTCTTGCAGCAAGATGCACATAAAAATTATTTCACTGCTACCGAATGAATTCAACTCCATTCATCGTTGAAACCAATACAATATTTTATATGCTGGCCTTTCTTCTTTTCATTTCTCAGTTTAATCACGATCGATTAATCGCTTTGTTGTACTTTTCTTTTATTTTTTATATTTTTTTCCCTCCTCCCGTTTGAGTGCTTGAAGCGTCGTCTCTGAAATGAATTTGTAGATTCAGCAATAAACACAACATGAATTGAATTGAAGTATACTGACTGATATGTACATTTAATCGTCCATTGTTTTTCTTTCTTTTTTTAAATTTAAAACGTGGTAACGCACGAAAGTAGCTGAAATGAAAACTTTTCTTTCGCAAGTCGCAGCCAATACTTAAGCATGACCAAAATATTCAACATAAATGCCTTTTTTTTGTATATTTGGTTGCGATGTCATTAACCCACTAAGTAATAATTATTTATATTGCTTAGGCTGAGATTATTTGACTTGGCTGTTGTTGCTTCTTGAGAAAAAATTAACTTTTTGTTTATGGATTCTGCTTTCAGGGTTTGGCGTTCAAGGCAATGAAAGTTTTTATTGTCGCAATAAAACAATTGAATGGGTTCTGTTAATTACTTTTATCTCTCTTAATCATAATTACAAAACGACCTTTTTAACTGATGCCAGTTTAACTCGAAAAGTTTTCATTTTAAGATTGTTAAACATTCGTAATGGAAATTTTTTCGACTTACGAATCTGACACCAACAGCATGAAACTTCCACATCAGCTTAACTGAAATGATCTGGTTAGTGGTAAGCATAAGAAAGGAAATAAATTACTCATGAGCTCTTTCATTGTCCGAAATGATTTATCCGCGGAAAATCAATTTTCACCGTTCATCACAACAATGAATATTTGGAGCAGTTATAAGCTAATTAGCTACACTTGGACTGATGAAAATAATTTCAATATACGAGCGTTGAAGTAAACACAAAAGAAGAAAAGACAAGAAACAATTTATGATTTTTATGCGCAATGTATGGAAATTCAATTATTCTGCTTTGGTTTTCCAAACGAGAAAACTTTTTTTATTATTTTTTTTTTCTATCACAAGATAATTTTTTTCTTTCTTTCTCCGCTTCTTTTCCAACATTACGATTGATCATAAATTGACTGAATTCTGTTTATGGTATTGATTTCCTTCTCATTTAAGTTGAATAGATTTTACTGTCTCAACGCACGTTTATCTGTTTAAGCATGTGAACAATTGACATGGGTGATTGACACTTTCCAAGCGAATGTGCAACATTTCAAATCAAACCCAAAGAAAGAAAAAAGTAATCAATTGTGAACGGCGATCGTATTGAGCGAAATTATCTGCGCATGATCAGCAAAATTCACAATTTCGTGAAATCTCAATCTCGTGCGATTTCGTGCTTTGTGCTTTTGAAATTGTGCTAAATTTTCTCTTTACGAAATTTCAAAATATATTTTTTGGCAAATAATTGAAAAACCACTTAGCAGGTCGCGAGGTGTGAAGCGATGTTTTCTTGTGTACCTGACTGCCATCTCATACTTTTTCTTTTGTTTGTTATATTTGAAGTTGAAGTGATGATGTGATGGAAGTGAATTGGCAAAATTATAAAGAGCTTCAAGTAAAACATTGAAATATATTAACATTTGATAGACACGTTGAGATAAGCGGAACTCGGCTGGCTAGATAATGAGCTGTAAACTTATAATCAAATTGTTATTTAAATTGTGCAAAAAAAGAACAAGAAAACAATTTTCGTAACTTTTGTTATGTTTCTCAATCTTTCTTCTTACCCATTTATAGCAGACGTAAATTGCCCAAGCAATTTAACAGTTTCTTGTTGTTAAAATGATTGGTTACCGTATTAGTAATAAACATCGTAATCAATCAATTCATCCTAATGGAATTAAAATTCAATACTATAAATTTTATGACTTGCGAAACTTTCTTTCGTCTTTTGAAAGGCTTTCGGCAAGTCAGAAGTGAATTTATTTAATTGAAATATTAAAAAGATTTTCACTTTTCTGTTGCTTTTACCTGTTCATCCTTCTCGTGTTGACCATCGAATAAATTGTTTGCTATTTGCAAATTCAAGTCGAAAAAAAAAAATTTCAAAACTCACATTCATTGGACTGCCATAAAAGCAGCTAAAAGCAGCAACAAACAATTTTTATTATTTGCTCTCCAATTTATCAACGTGATACGAATCTCCATTTCATACATTTCATAGTCGTCGCCATCGCCACTCACCACTTTATGGAAAACACAGAAACTTCATTATTTCGGCTTATACTCCGCGAAATTTAATTAAACTCTGGTGGAATTCAGGCTTTAAATGACTTTTCAGCATTTATTATCTTCCGTAAATATATTTTTCTTCTATATGTCTTTAATCTGTACATCATTTGCAATATTTGTGCGAATGTGAATAAATAAAAAGACTCATTTTGATCGTCAGACATGCAAAAATGCATTCATCAGCCATCGAATAATATTTTATTCCTGAATGCATCTTCAATGGATCTGACAATACGTATCAGTCACACACCACAGCTTGAAACATATTTTTAGAGATTTTGCTTCGATGAAACGATGATTTTGCTTTTTATTTTTTTGATGTTGTTGTCTTCCTTCATGTTATGTTTGAATGGAGAGGATGGGTCGCCTTAATGCTGATCATCTTTTACATAAATTGACGTCTGCACATTTAATTTCTCTTCATCATAACTTATACTTTAGTTGAATCTACTTAGAGGTGAAGCCATTTGGTGGAACATCAATGTGGGGCGTGTTAGTTAAAATTAAGTTAGTCGCTTCACCATCAGATTCTGTAAACTCATCATTGAATGGGTTGAAGATCATCGCCGTTTGTTGGTCCATCGTCGGTTTATTCTTCCACGCTGGAATTGCCTTTTCTCTCATCTCATACAACGTCGGCAATGCAGTTACTGTGATGTCTTTATTTGCCTAAAGCATTTATAAAAAATATTGGAAGGGAAAGAAAATAATCAAATAGAAGAAAAAATATTCACTAACAGAAAAATAATTAATTAAAAGGATTTTTTATCACTCATGTAAGATCAAATTCACTCAGACAGTTCACTTCTTTCTCTCTCCATGTCTGCCTGTAAGTTTTCTTACTACCTGCGTTTAGAGACGATTTATTAGATGTCGATGTCGTCTCTCTCGTTGCAGTGCACACTGTATGACGTATTTTACTTCATTTATGGCTCGTTTTCAGACGTAGATCATTTATTTCTAGGAAATCTCATAAGACGAGAACGGGCGATTAGACAATGACAGATATTTTTCTCATGTCTTCCGTCATAAATAATTTTTTCATTTGAATCTTTAAAAATTGACAACAATTTATCATTTGTAAACAGATTGAAACAACTCTCTATTTTCTATCTCTGTTTTTAGACTTCTCTGGTTGAAGTTTTACTGCATTTTTTATGCACTAGTTTTGTAAGTTGTTTGTCTATTTCTGGCGTTTTGAAAAACAAGGAATTCTTTGAGTTGTGCAATCATAAAAAATTATTGCACTCAGAAGAGAAATATGCTTTTAAGATTACAACATTGTATAAATAAATATTTAAGTAAAGAGCTCATAAAGAACCACTTTTGAGATGAAAGTGAAATGACATTGATAAAGTTTAAAAAAAAAGACTTACTGCATTTCTTTTGGATTTATTTTTTCATGTTTCTCATGCATTCTTCGCTTTATTTCTTACCTCGCTCCCAAGCAGATTTAAATCTTGTTTTGGCCGATCAATCATGTTGCTGACATCCGAGTTAATATTTCGAAATAACCACCGGTCTCTGGGATATTTTACGAATGGCATGTGTGAGTTTTGGATAATTACTTTCTTACCGCGTTGCGGGAAAAAATTATCCAAGAAAAGCTCTTCGTCAATTTGTGCTTGTCGTTTACCACGATTTGGAACGAAATAATCCTCGTTGAACTCAATGTCATTACGTTTTGTTCCGAGATTAATAAATTTCTTTGGTGTCATGTCACGTCGACCTCGATGAGGCAGAAAGAGTTCACTTTGTAAAATATCAAATCGACCCTTCTTCTCAGCTCTAATCTGATTTGGCGCCGGCAATATTCGTCTTCCTCGAACTGGTAAAAATAAATCTTCTTTTCCAAACAAATCCAAATTATTGCGACGAAGTCTCCGCATGTAATTGTCTGCCTGAGAGCATTTTAAGTGATTGTAGATGTTACTTAAGATTGCCAGTTGACAAAGATCAGTACAAGTGAAGTCTAACAGACTTTTCAAACTATCTTCAATCATAATACTGCTTTCTACATCATTGTTCAAACTATTTAACGTTTCAAGTGCGAGAGCGAATAAAGAGAAGGAAATTAAGATATGTTAGAAGCTTGAATTTCATCTTGATGACTATAATTTACTTATTGCATGAAGTTGCCGTCGAATCAAAAAGGTTTGGGGTCAGATACTCTCGTGACAGCTTGTTAATTAACATATCATCATTACCATCATTTACGAAGGAATTTCGTTTGAGTCGTGAGGCGTCATTGTTGATTGGTTTCGTTTTTAAGCGCTGATCTTCTACCACTTTCGCAGTTGAAATCGTAGTCGACTTTCCAAATGTGCACGATGATAATTGCGCTACCAAAATTATTGACAGCAACAAGACCAGATTCATAATTGGCTGGAAACACGTTAAATAAATATTACAACAAATATCAAAACTTTTTCTTTCACTCTCGCCACTTTTCTCACTTTTTAGTATAAAAAAATGTTTTAACATCGAGTGAAGTGCGACGATCCGTAAAAGAACATTTTTTATTTTATTTTTTGCTTTGACTCAACGATTTTTCACTCGAAAAGTTTACACAAAAAAGTCACATCTAGATTGAAACTTTTCTTTCTTTCTTTTTCGCTCTACTTGAACTCCGTTACATTACCTAATTGTGACTAATTTTGATTCAATGATAAAATGCAAGTGTGCAATGAGAAATAGTCTCACATATCACGTAACATTTTACTTTCACCTGCCACTGACCGACTGAACTCTTGTCAGTGCTTGTAGAACCCTTAAATACTTGTCATTTCAATTCACATTCCATGATGCTTTGCTTCAGTTGAAACAAAAGCAGTCTGATCCATTTACACTATTATTAAATATTTACATTGAGCGAATAAAGTCCTGAAAGCAACAGCACCATTGCTAGGACGTCAGTTGTGTATCATCTATCTTATTTTCAGTTTATTTTTAGTTTCTTTCATTCACTTTGATGTTTCGTTAATTCAGTTAACTTCAAATCTTCCAAACATGAATCATGATTTGGTGCAATTTACGGAAGGGATGGATTGTTCCAAAACAAATCCGAATCATATTTAACGAGCGGAAAATACAGCAAGCAAGAAATACAAACACACACAAGCACGACACCTCCAAGGAGCTAAATGGGATTTACATTCTTACAAGGAGAAAGTCCATTATCAAAGTAGATAGATGTATGCTCGTTCATTATCGTGTTCACCATCGCAAATCTGATTTATTTAATCCGAGCTTTGGTGCTTGAGACGTTACATTACCTATTAGATTAAAGCCCACATCACCAAAGACAACGGCATAAGAAAAATGAGAGAAGAAAGAGTGAAATATTAAAATATTTACATGAAATGATTTCTGACATCAACATTGTGTTGTTTCTGAGAAATGTGTGCGCGAGTGGAGCTCTTTTGAAATGTATGGTTTATTCTTAAGCATTATGCATTTGTTTTCAATAGAAAATAAAGAACTTGAGGCAATTTTCAATGAATTATAAATAGCAACTCTTATCTTAAAGACTTTTGTTCTTAAAATAAATTTTGTTCGCGTTCTCGAGATATTGAAATGAGATGATGCGGAAATTGAAGAACTTTCATAGTCAATTATTTAAGGAAATTCTTTAAATATATTTCAACGTCATAGAATTAAATCTGAGCTGATATTTCAAGCATTTTTATTTCCAATAAAATTTTAACAAAATCAATTTCCATTCCCAAGAAAATTAATTTGATGAAAAAACTTTACACTCTTTGCTTTTCCTTCATTCTCTTGTAACTAATTATTTTACTACTTTATAAGTAATATCTACGAGCAGTACACGGCGTGTAGTAAAGTGTTTTGTAATTAACTCTAATGGGGCAAACTGTAACATGAAACTAATTCTTTCTCCCGTTTTTTTTCCTTTCATGCCGCTACAATTATAGAATGAAATCTCTGAAGTGTTTGATAAGCTTCATCATGTGAATGAAAGCGAGATACCGTGCAAAGTCAGCGATATGGTGGACAACATTGAATCACCGCAACCAAAGCCTATCGTGAAAGACAAGCCCAACCTACGAAAGCTTGCTGATGTCGTTAAATCCAAGCGCAGTGATATTAGTGAATGGAATTCATTGGCCCAGTTTGAGAAACTTGTCAAATTGGAAATGGAAAATTTAGCTGCCGCCAAAAACTACCAACAGACGAATGGAACAACAACACCCGTGTCAATGCAATGGAACAACAACAACATTCTGAAACCGGAAAAACATGTAAGTGACTCTCTTTAATTCAATGAGATTTAATTTCATTATTTCTTGATTGAGAATTACAATCATGCGTTCAAATCAAGAATGAAAAATATTTTTCTTTTGGGTTGGTTTCGTTAATGATGTTTCTCTTTTGATATGACGATTTAAAATTCAGTTTGATTCGACTTACTGACAATTAGACAAGCGGAAATCTTTTGAGAGTGTCGCAGAAAGCAGACCGTCCATCATTTTACGTGACAGTTTTAGCAATTTATCAATGAATGTGGGCTTTTCTTATACAAGAAGTGTCTACAATCGACATATTTAAGATCGTTATCTTCACAGGAGCTGAAATTTGTATTTTTTTTTGTTTTCTTTCATCTGTAAGATTTCTTTACGAGACGATAACTTTTTTATTCATACCGAGAAAAAAGAAAAATAATAATAAATAAATAAACGGGAACGAATTTTGTGTTCGATCGATAATAAATGAAAAGAACACAAACCATTAAATACAATCGTGTGATACATCGAATAAATTATGCTTCGAAAATTGACCGGTTAGTGAACCGGTATCGCTGTTAAAATGCGAAGCAATGGATCGTTCGTTTTTTGATTGAATCTCATTATGCATTCAACATTCTCAAGATGAAGTCTCTACGTCGATCTCTTAATGGAAAAGTAAATAAAATTGATTACATTTGAAACTTCAAATGATATCAATAAAAACGAGACGGACTCTCAAAAGAATTTTGCCGCAACAGGAAAATCTTTTCTTTAGAAAAAAAATATGAAGCGATTACTGAAAATTATTTAAAATGAACTGACCCAATGATCTTGAGAGGCATTAAATTATCTTGTAAATGATAATGGAATTATTTTTCATTGTAAACTAATTTTTAAATTGAATAATTTCTTTCAATATTTCAATGAAATTTATCGTTTGAAATTAATAAATATCTTCGATCTTCCTGTAAGTTAAGAATTTCCAGATCTTTATGATTATCAAGCAATGATTAATGAAGAACACGATGGAGAAAAAAGCTTTTCTCAATTACGGACGCAGATCACATTCGAGTCGAAACCGATGCACATTTTTTTATGGAATCGGCGCCAAACAAAAACCTGAAAATATTTTTCTTTCTTCGTTTTGTTTGTTTTTCATCAGATGTGAGCTGCGTAAAACTTACAACGACTTAAACTCGTCTTATCATTAAATTAAATGAGCGAGTGACGAAAAAATAAATTGTCCCCATTTTTTTTCCACTCGTTCTTTCGTTGAATTATCGCTCGCTGTGCTTTAATTTATTATAGTTTATTGAAAATGATAATAAGCGAACAACAAGCAACTTTGTCTGTTTACATCTTTTGTAAGTTTATTTTTTTCTCTTCCAATGTCGTCAACTTCCTTCAAAAGAATTACTTTTTATATATTTCTTGAGCACGTGAACATAATTCACAATTTAGTCAATCAAAAGTTGAATGCATTTCTTGCATGTTTTCAACAAGAAGGGAAATAAAATGTGTGTTCGTGTTACATGCAGAGAGAAATGATATTGCAAATAAACGATGGAAGAATTTATTGCTTTTTGTCTTCAAATGAAATGGCTTTAAAAAGGCTCTCAGTGGTTTTAAGCAACGAAAAATGAGCTTTTCAATCTGCATGGCCAACATTAAGAAGGGAAAAAAAGACAAAAAAGAATATTAATGGCATGAATACATTTGCATTTGAAATCTTTCTTTTTTCCATTCATGAAATGTTGTTCCTTTTTATAAATTATGCTGACCAGATGAAACTACAATTAAATAAAAGAATTCTGAAGACAACTTCCATTATAAAACCAATCAAATCTGTTCACGCTATCATCATGAATTTTTCATATTCAAAAGAGAAACATCGAAAATGAATTTTAAGCCTTTTCGTTGTACAATGAAGCACAACAAAGGCATAAAATATATTTAAAAAAATTGTTTTTAAACAATCACGTGTCAGAAATAAATATGAAATTTTATTATTAATTTGCGAGTTCTGACAAAAAATAAAAATCTCTTTCATTCATTTTTTATTTTAATCTTTTCAGGTAACGATTCCACTTCAGTCTTTCGCAAATAAAGCCAAATGCATCACGAATATTAATAACTGTCTAAAGCCTTCGATTCAAATAAAATCCTCTTCCCCTAAATCGGATGAGTGTATCAAGAGCATTAGTCAAGCCGTCACACCAGGAACCATATCAGCAGCAACAACAACAACAGCAATAACTAAATCAACAACGACTAAGACGACATCAACAACCACAACGAATGCGAAAGTAAAAGATGGATGGTCTTCAGATGATTCGATACTTAAGAGCATCGATGAAGATAATAAATCGACGAGTTCGACAGTTTCTTCATCGTCAGCATTTGAAGACTCGACGAACATGTATTCAGAGAAGTCTGAAAGTTCGATGAGCTCGATCAACATCTTGAGCAATAAAGTCAATGAAAATGGCAAAGTTGACACGAAGAAAACTGTCGATGACAACAGAACAAATGACGAAGATGACTCTTTGGAAGTGCTTAGTTCATATGACAATGACTCGGGGAACGATGAGGTCGACGAGAAAGGCGATCGTTTCAATAGCTTTAGCTACAGTTCATCCGATTCGAGATGCGATAAGAAGCGTCGTAACTATTTTAATAGCTTGCCTTTGATGCGCGCCAAGAAGCACAATGCCAATTCAAGTTTCAACTCTATGAAGCGGAAACACTTAAACAACTCAGCAATTGATCAGGAGCCGTTTCGAGAAGACTTGAAGGCAATAAATCTCCCGTCGCCATCACCGAGTTGCGGATCGTGGTCGAGTGATTCTAATATGCTACAGCAAAATCTGAGCTGCACAAAATCGAGCTCCGTGCCGATACTGGTGAAGAAAGATCAATTTCTTGAAGATTTTAACAAATTAACGGTAAGCGTTGAAAAACAACATCGACAGTTTTATATTTTACCTGCGCCTAAGCACTCGCAATACCAGAAAACATTCTTAATTTTTATACTTCTTTCACGTCTTTATAAACATTTAGGTCTTACGGAATTCGCGGTCTCAAAGTGATCGTTATCTATGCGGTGAGTTTTTATTTCCATTATTAAAACACTCTTTAAATTCCAATCGAATCCCAATCTCAATTCAATGTTTACTTTGGCAACGAAGCATTCGTTTATTTTATGTTGATTTTTCCCCCTTCAAATCTCGATCGTATGTTTTTTTATTTTTTTAATTTTATTTATATATTTGAGTTGAAATGGTTTTTTAATCGACTTTCGCGAGTTGGTAGGCTGGGGAAGACGATGAAAAATATGTTCGCCACAATTCATGTTAGATTACTTTTATTTTTCGATTATATTCGTCTCATACATGTTTGTTGTATGTACGTCTCAACATAAATTTATACAACATCATTTCAGTTAGGTTGAAGGTAAAAGCAAGTCAAGCGTGACTTAATCGCAGCAAAATTGGATTCTTGCATGCAATCTTAATATTTTGTTGAACTTCAACAGTGGCTTGATTGATAATTTTTATATTTATTCCAATGAAAAATTGTGGGAATTTCCCAATTTTAATTAAAGTCATTAATAAACAGCGAATGAGAAAATTGTGAAGCTTTCTCAAGTGTTCATAATCGTTATTGAAATATTTTAATAAGATTTCAACTATCGTGAATAATCCCACAATAAAATTTCCCGTTCAACGTCAAAATGATACATCGAGAGTTGAAGTTGCTTGTCCATTTATTAACTGAATGATATATGAAACGATGCTTCTGAATGAGTGCAGTTAAACCCATAAAACTCTTCCGCCTACACACATTTGAAGAAGATCTTTTATTTGAATAATTATGAATAAAAAAAGATATGTACATGTGTGATGTGCAAAAAACATGAACTCGTTCTGAATACACTTCGGTCTTTATTAATAAAAAAAAGTTTCACAATACCTTTGAGTTGAGATGAAATGTTCGGCTATTGTTTGGTGACATTCTACCCAAAGGCGCATGTTCAAAAAGTATAAAAAACATACACAAATTCCAATAGCGTGTTCGAATTTCTTCGTCTCGGTGAACATAAAGTCTCATCGGAGGCTTGAATTCGAAGCTGAATTTATATTCTCTTCTTCCTCTTCCGCCCTAACGTTTAAATTACATTTAAAACTCATCCTTTATTGTGCCTTTCACTCATTAAATATCAATCTGCTATATCTACACCACCAACATTGGTGTCCCGAGGAAGGAAAAAAAAAGTAAAGAGAATATTTTGTGATGTGACGGAGAACGGTTGTGAACAGTTTGCAGTTCTCTCGCGTAGTCTTATTTTGTTTCAATTAATTACATTGTGTTCTTCGCTTTAAATTACTTAATCGGTTTGTTTATTTAGATGAAAGGGAATCGTAAATAAAGAGCTTTGTAGAGTTCGTAGTGCAATTTATTTATAAAAAAAGTAGAGTGTAGCATAGCTTCGCTTGTTTGATGAGCTTCAAATGGACTTGCAATTAATATTCATTGAATAGTGTTCTGAACTCTGACATACTTCAACGTAATTGTTTTCAATCAGGAAATTCATTTCTGAAATTGAATTAATATTCAATAAACTTGTGGATAGAGTGAGTGAAAGAGAGAGTAATAAAAAGCTTTTAACATTTTAAAATTACAGCGATCGAGTAAAATTAAATATACGAAATTAAAATTCAATTTAACTGTGACGACTGCCGTCGAGAGTGCTTGCTTTTGAAATGTCAAACGCCAGGGAGTATCGTTTCTTTCGTAGCTTCTCCACAAAAATAGAAAATTGGTCGGCCAGAAAGGCGGAAGCGATTTGGGGGAAGATGCGTGAGAAGAAGATTGCAGGTATTTTCTTTACCCCTCCCTTTACCGCCCTCGCCACCTTTTCCCAAATTGTTATTCTTTGTACTTTAAAAAATTAGCATAATTTGAAATATCAAAAATTCTTCTTCATTCAATTAACGAACGAGAAATCGATGAACGCTCAAGTTGTTTTCTGAAATTATTTATGAATGAGAAAGAAAAAAAGTTTCTTTTATTCAATTGAAATAATTTATTGAATGAGGTTTGCGGTTAGTACTTTTCAGTTTGTTTGTTAAAGTATGATACATTTGTCGACGATATTAAGCTTTCAAGTAATTTATGGTATGCATGTGAAGAAATTTCTATTCTAAAGTTCGATTATTAAGCAACTCTTCTTTCGTTAATTTAATATCTGTTTGTAAGTTAAGATTGTATGGTTTAAGAAATTCTCGCCAGAAATGAACGCTTTGATTCTCGTTAACGTCATTTGATTCTTGTGTCACGCGGGTTTCGTCATCATGTTGGAACTCTCTTTGACGTAAGAGATCCGAGTCGCCCAAGACATCTTCATCTTCCATAATTCTCAGTTCATCGTATTCGTCATCCTTTGACTCGCGTCTTGAGTTTGATCTGTGATAAGCGTTGCGGTAGAGTGATGCTGCAAAATATTTGTCAATTCCATATTTTTTACCGTGTTTTTTCGACTTTCGCGAATTATCTCCTTCTGATTGTTCGCTGCAATTGGATGAGATGCTACTGGCACGTGATGAACGCTGGTAATGCAATGGAGCTTCCTTCTTCTTCTCACCTATAGTCAAAATTTCATCGATGCTTGGCGGAACAGTTTGATGCGCTTCCGAGAAAGTTCGCTGAAAAGTTTTATGCGTTTCAGATTTCTCAAAATATTCTTCGATTTCTGGCTTGCTGCTTGTTGGTTTCGCAGGGTGAAGTTCACTTAAAACTTCTGAAAAATCTCGCCTATAAGTTTTACGATCTTGAGACTGTTTAAAATAATCGTCGACAGTGAATGTTTGTGACTCGTGCAAAGCATCTTTGGCTTTCTTGAAAACTTCTTCTCCCTTTAAAATTTCTGGATCAATTTCTTCTTTTTCTTCAATTGATGTTTGTTGATTGTTTTCCTTCTTCAAACTCATCAAGTCTTTAGAAGAAATTGGGGTGCCAGGTTTTAACAATTCGTCAATATCAATTTTAGGCTCAACATAATTCACCGCTAGTGAAAATGGTCGTGTAAAGCTTTTCTTTACTTCTGATTGCTTAAAATAATCATCAACCTTCTTCTTTACATCTTCGGAAACTTCATTAAAATTTTCTACTTCGGAGAATGTTCTCGAGTACGTGTTGTCCCGTTGTGACCTTTCGAAATAATCTTCTACTTTGTTTTCTAATCCATTTGGATTAAAATTATCATTTTGTTCTTCATGAATAATTAATTTCTTTTCACTCTCATTTTCTGATGACGACAGTTTCTCGAACCCAATTTCGTTTGTTAGTTTTTTTAGTTCTCCAAGCACAATTTCCTGTCTGTCATCGTCATCTTCGAAAGACTTTTGAACCAGGTTTTCGATTTCATGTACGAATTCTTTCGCCCGTTCAGCAATTTCATTGTCTTCATAAGTTCCTTCCGAACCGCTGTCATCAGAGTCTCCGTTTTGTGGATTTGATGAAGACAATGCTCGTGAACTGATGGGCGTACCGGGTATGGAAATGTTACTAGATGTACTATCACTTCTCTTCAGCTTTGGAACATCTTTCTTTACTTTCTCGTCTGATGACGCATCACGTTTCCCCATTTCGTCATCTTGAGTGGCTGAAACTTCCGGTTGAATTTTAATTTTATCATCGTCCTCAATGATTTTCAATGTAACTTCAGTTTCAATAACTTTGACGTCATTTCTTTCAATCGCCATGACATCATTGATGTTGTTTTTCGATTCGTTTGGACTTGGTTTTGCTTCATTTTTCTCGTTACTTTCAGTGAGGTTGTCAATGATTTCATTATCAATTTTATATTTATTGTCGATGGTACTCGAAAGCTTTTCAACAGTCACAAGTCGAGACGATATCGGAGTTCCAGGTTTCATCAAATCCGTAAATTGTTCTCGTCCACTCGGATTTTTTGGGTCAAACGTGCGAACAACTTCAGTGAAGTCGCGTTTGAACGATTTCATTCGCTCTGATTCTTGAAAGTATTCTTCGATTTTTGAGCTTATTTCCGGCTCTTTCTTCTTTGTTGAAAACTCTTGAACAACTTCAGAAAAGTCACGACGAAATGTTTTCTTTTTGTCGCTGTCTTCGAAATATTTTTGCAACGGATCATGTGACTCGACATCGTTCTGCAATTTCTCCATATCGGCGGTGAATTTCTTCAAGCCATCTTCAAGTTGGGAATGAAATTTCGATGGATTATCGTTAAGCTTATCATCGTCCTCATTTTCTGTTTCACTGTCACTTTCAAAATGATTGTAACGCTTATTTTTTTTCAACGAAGCAATATAACGAGATGAAACGGGAGTTCCAGGAACCGACAAGTCAATCGCATCAACTTCTGCTTTCTCAGTTTGAGCTATGGTCGGCTCTGAGTCACGTCTTTTAATCGTTTCACCTTTCATCTCGTTAAGAAATCGATACTTTGCGAGACGATTCCGTTCAGCGATTTTATATTTTGATGTCACGAGTTCATAAACTATCGCAGAATCCTTTTCACGACTCATCCCAAGCTACAAAGTATCAGGAAATTAGCGTTTTCAATGAAAACACTTTCGAATCATGTGACTTACATGCACTCACAAATCTTTTTTTATTATTTTTTTATCCCTAAGTTCGCTGTTTCAATCACGAAAATTCAAAAGCGACTGAAGCTAATAAACATCAGAATAAAGCAAATTTCCTACACAAAAAAAGATCGTTTGTTGTTGTCTTGTTACTAAACCTATTCTAGATATAAGTAGATAGATATAAAAAATATTTCGACTGTTCCATAATCACAACTGTGATGTGATAATTTTTTACTCAACCGATAAATTTATCACATGACGATAACATCTTTAGTGTTTGTGTCAGTTTAAATATTGGACGAATGGCGAACATTTTAATTAAGCGACGAACAATTTTTATGACGTATAACATTGAAAAAAAAATCGCATGCGATGATGAATTTTCATCTTGTATCAATTTTCAATCAAAAAGGGTTTTCAAAGATATTTTGGTTTGATGAATATTTATCGATTATTTTTCAATTTGTGTGAGAGTGACGTCTATTTATAACTTTTATTGTACCTGTAGCCTTTTTTCCTTTAGGAAGATTCCCATTTTATTCAGCTTATCTCTATCATGTTGTTTTATCTCTTTTACAGAAATTCAAGCTGCAGAGGCGATGAAATGGCTTCGTGAAGCGGGATTCCCACAATATGCCCAAATGTATCAAGGTATGGAACATAAATACTTACATTTGTTTAATAAAGCTTACAGATAGATGTTTACAAAAAACTTTAAACCGGAAGGTTTCAAAATGATGTCGACTATCATTAGTGAACTTTCCAAGCTATAATTTAATGATATTTGATAATATTTAACGAACACAATTTCATTTTAAATAGACGGTTGTGCAAACAAATGTTTTATGACGCAATCATTTCAACTCTCAGTGAGAGTTTAAGTTTCAAACTTCAATAAAGATTGTCATAGAAATCGTAATTTAATTAGGAACTGAAGTCTAATTTAATAAATCATCAAAGAATTTTCGTCATACCGTCATACGCAGAATTAATAACCTTACTTGACATCAATGCACAAAGAGTTCATTGAAACTTTAAACAATCATATCAAGATGAATATTCAACCGTGACCTATTAATTAAGCCTTTGATAAACCTTTACATATGATAATCTTCAATTAATATATAAGCGCTTCCCAAAACGTCGACATAAACATTTAACATTTTTTCTCTTTTGTTTCTCATGTCATTTTATTTTCTGTAAACTTCCCAAACATAATCGTTGTATGCCTCTTTGTTGTAACGGAAGCAAAACATAAGCAAATATTTTTTATTCTTTTTTTACCATACGAGCTCCATACGTTCACATGACTAAAATTTATGATGGATATAACATGTTTATGGTATTGAAAACTACCGTAAATAAAATTTCATTTCTTCCACATTCAATGAAAATTAAGATTTCAGCTACTTGCTTTTTGTGTACTTTTACAGTTTTATATTATTTTATGTTTTATTATTACATTTTTTTTTCTTCTCAATTTCATTTATTTTTTCTTCTCTTTTTCGCGATTATAAATTGAAACCTTGATTGAAACTAACTCCATTCAATTAAAAATGAAATTACAGGCAAAAAAATTAAGACAAGTCCAAGAGACAGCAAAAAACAAAACGTGTACAGTTAAAAAGAGAATATTTCGACAGGGACGCTTTTATTTAATCATCGGCATTACAAATATTTACATTTTTTCGTGCCTTAAATAATAATAATAATAAAAAAATGTATGTAAAATGTTATTAAAGGCTTTCTTGTTACGCTGCTGTTGAAATGACTTAACGGAAACTCAATGAGCCATTAAAAAAAATAATTTAATAAAATTTTGTGAGGGTTAAAGTTATTGAAGGTTTTCAATTTCGTCCCGTTTCACTTCATCACTTTTCACAGCAACATTGTTTGCGACGATTGCAACATGTCATGAAGCGAACACACACGCAAAAAGTTATAAGTAAATAAATATGATGAATGAAGATTATTAAATTAGTTATCGATTCGATTTGCATGTGCGCCATGAAAGGCATTGAAGAAGAAGAGAATCGTCTCATAAAACTTAATAAACATAAATAAATAAATAATTTCTGACATCAGCACAGTTGCAAAGCGATATGGAAAGAATCGAATAAGAAACTTTCACAAAGGAAAGACGCGCTAAATTTAAATTGAGATATTAAATTGCAATCATATTCATTCACATACAAAGTGTATGGTTGCTAGATGTATGCTTGCATGATCGAAAGATAATTATACAATTAATCATTTCCATATTAACATATTTTTCTTCTCTGTTTTCCAGATCTTCATTTTCCAATCGACTTGAGTTGTGTTGAGAAAGACCACCCGTTTCTCGAGAAGGATCAGTTACAAGCGCTCTACAGACGACTCGTGGTTCTCAATCGATCTGCCGCAATGCGTCTTGACGGACAATACAACCGGAATGTTAATGTATGTTGTAAATTTTCAAAGATATAAATCTCTCCTTCTCTCTTTCATTTCTCCGATGTGCGCTTGACGCTCGCCCATCAACGTCTTTTATTTTTTATACTTTTCGTGGACCGATTTAATGATTGATGAATTCATTTTAATATTTACTCAATGTGCTTTTTTGATTGTTGTTGCAACTTGTGCGTCCCATCAAACATATCATTTATTAACATTTCAAATTACTGCGATTATAATGATTACACTTCCAAAACTGACTATGATGAAAGTGATTTAAATCACTTGATGAGCCACTCAATCATATGGCCAAACGTGTATAAAATAACATTAAAAATTTAAATTTGTGCATCAAAATTTACTTATCAGTGTTTGCTTGATGTGACATTACGACGAGGAAAGAGAAGAAGGTTGACGGAAATGAAAATTTGTTGTTCAATTTTACGTGAACAAATTTATGTTAAAAAGTTTTTCATGTCTGTTTGTTTTTCATTTTCTCACAATTCAAACAAGTTTATTCAAATCTAATCCGTCTTACTTGCTTATTTAATTAGATTAATTATAAAGTACAGAAGATTATAAATAGAAAGCTTTTGCCCAATCATTCATTGTTGCACCTCAGTGAGATTACTTACCACACCTGTGAGTTCATAAATAAAAATATTTCCATTCTCTGTCGGGTGCAACTTTGATGGTGCATTCATTAATTTGTTTCGTGGATTAATTGACTTTTACTTTCCCATATAAAGCCGTTCGTCATTTCGACAAATATTTATGATCATAACATGAAAGCTCTGTTGTTTGTGTTTCTCATCTTACATCGCTCCTTATTAAATATTACTTGAAAACTTTATTTTTTCGCAGCTTTATGAACATAAGAAATGATTGTAATTTCTTACGATCTGACTTTAAAAGCAAATTAAAGACGAGGGAGAAAAATGAGATTACTGTTTGTAGTCGAATGTCGATGGAAAAACTGCAAGAAATGAAATTAATCAATTAGAGATATTCATGACTCTCCCATTTGTTACTCATACACAGTTTTTTAGTTTTCTGCTTCGTTAGCGACTCAAGTTTAGCTAAGAAAAGTTCATAAACAAAGCAAGTAGAAAGAAATAATGACGAGGAAGTTTGATGAGTTGGAAAAGTAATTAGTAGTTTGCGATCAGATCGATTAATTCTACAACTCACGATGTCTAAGCAAGTAGGTTTTAATTAAGTCAACGATTGAGTTCTCAGTGAAACGGTGAAAGGAAAGCATAATGACTCAACTCAATATTTTATTTATATTTAAAAGCCATCAAACGAATGTCACAATACATTTTAATTGTTTTCATTTGAAAAATTTAAATTTGCAATGTGGCGACTTTGAAAATTCATTTGAAGTTTTAATTCACATATTTGATGAATCACCATGATTAGTTGTTCTTGTTTTTGTGTTATGAACAGCAAGCAATTGACTTCGTAACATTTTGATTCCACTTAATGGTAAACAATTAAAGAGTTCCTTTAGTCACAGCTTTGACTTTGAGATTGCTTCAAACTTATCTCTCCCTCTCTTAACTCTTAACCAACATAAAACTAATCGAACATTGTTTCGACAGCTAAGCGCTTATTTGTTTATTGTTAAGCAAATTTTTTTCTTTTATTTTTCATTTCATGTTACAATTGAAATGACTCTTTATGAAAAGCACTCAACAACATGCGCAGTTAATGTTTATTCAAATGTTTTTTAACAGAGAACAATGCAATGACTCATGAATTTTTTGTCTTCACTTCTTGATTTCGCATGACTGTCGAATCGAAAGAAAGAAAGAAACAACAACAATCTGTGCCTCTGACTGCACAATTCAACTTCACTTACATTAGTTTGTAACATTTGTGTACTTAAACAAGAGAAAAAAAGCTTATTAGAGTTTCCATCGAATCGTTACAAGATAATTTGACCCCAACGTGGAAGTGACTTTGCTTTGTTTATGTGCCATGGTAAAAGAAGCAATTTGATGAACGGCTTAGCTGGGATCAGATTTCTAAAGCTCCATTAAGTAGATGCGTGTTTGGTGTTGGCACGATCAGTAAGAAAACAGTAATTAACCGTATTTGGCGAAGTCTAGTCAAGGCTAATTTGAATTATTAATTGTGATACTTTTCGCTGTGCCATTTCTTTCTTCTTTTCTGTGAAATTTTATTTTCCAATAAAAGAATTATCCGATCCTAAATAATTCGTTTTAAAAGCGATTTATTGTGAGTTCTCAGCTCTTATTAAACCTTCTTTTTCTTTTTCCTTTTTCTCGTGTGCCATCATGGCACGAAAAAGAGATAAATTAGCGATTATGCTTACAAATAACAAACGATATCATAGAAAAGATTATAAAGGAAAATCTCGAATTAATAGTTTTTCATATGGGCGTTGAAGTTAACATGAAAGCGAGATTTCTGTTGTTACTGTTTGCCGCTTGCTGCTATAAAATCTCAATTGAAATGAAAACAAAAATAAATTTGACTTAATTTTAAGCTGATTTTCTCATTCTGTGAGATTGGAATTTGTATTTGTGTAAAGTTTTACAATTGGATGTAAATGCGATCATTTCCATCATCCACTCGTGATTGTCATCAAAAGTTTCATTGAAATGGAAACTTGTAGCTTCATTCTCGCAACTTATGATCTATGATTATGTTCGCTCTAAAAAACTCTTAAATCGCATGAATGAAGCAAAAAAAAGATAAAAATTGTTTAGATTTTTCGTAATACTTTAATTTATGTTTTGAAGCATTGAAGAAACGACTTCACGACAGACTAAGTGAGTATCTAAGTTAGTAAGTAAGTAAGTGAGAGAAGAATTAAAAGCAGTTGATCATTAAACGTCCCAACAAGCACCAAGCAGTCTATCGAAACAGATTGTTTTCGTCATGTATACATAAAAGGCTTATTTAAGCAGTCACTTTTCTTACTTAAATTACATGCTCTATCATTCCACAACAATCTCGCTCGATCATTTATTTTACTTTACTTCTCTGCTTCATTCAACTTATGTTTTGCAGCTCAAAAATTGCGCTCGCACTAGCAACACACAATCTGTGATGCAGCATTGGATGCATGAAGGAAGAAAAGGCAAGAAAACCAGCTCAACAAGAAAAGTACTTCTTATGTTGAAGTGGTCTTAGGCCACGAATGCGAATATTTATGATATCATTTAAGTAATGATGATGATGATGGTCTTCTTAAACGTACTTAACATTTTCGCTTTGAATTTTCTCAGGGACTTTGAACTCTTATATTTATTTATTATTTGTGGTAGAATTTATGATTGTTGTCATGACGTTGAGATTAAAAGAAGAAAAGATGATTCAAAATTCATCTTCACAAAAAAAAAGAAATAAAATAAAAACACAACTCACGACGACATGAAACAAGAGACAAAAAAAGTGACGGAATAAAAAGAAAGAAAAGAAATAAATTAATGCAATTTACCGTTAAAAGATCACATTTAAGTATTTACATAGATACATCATGATGAAAACTAACGTCAAAAAGTGATGAGAAGTTATGAGTCGAAAAAAGTGGTGGCAACTAATCCGAAAATAGTTTTTTTTATTGCCAATAAAAAATAGAGAAGCATCACTGGAGTAGCAGTTGTTTCTTCATCACGAGAAAAGGAATTAAAAAGAAAAATTTATAAACTGCTTATAGATATTTACAGTCAGTGAGCCTACGATCATAAATTCTCAATATGTACAATTAAGAATTACTATACGATGTAGGAGGGCTTGATGTATACATCGTGTCTTCTACTAGTAAATCTTTTATTGCTAAGCTCGACACACTCGAGCGAGAGACCTTCTCGCTTCTCTCGTCTTGCTTCTCTGATCTTAAATCTTACGAAATCGTCGTTTAACTCAAAACATTGAAACACTGTCGAGTGTCGATGTCAACCAAGCGAACATGTGTGAGATCACCGAACCTTAAATGCACGAAGCAAAACAACCGCGACATATTGCACAAAGAAGTGTCATAAATAAATTAATAACCAAAAATTGGGGGCTTTCACAAGTAAGAACTGTCATTTCATTCGTTCAATTTTCACTTTATCTCCGTCAGCGAGTCTAGCAATTTTAAATAAATTCATGAAATTTGCTGCGTAAACGCTGCATGACCTGCTTTAATGTCGATGTAAGTCGAGACGCGAATAGTAAAAAGAAATACTATGTTAAGTTGTTATTTAACCATGGTCAATGAATCAGTTTTTGATCGACAAGAAAATGAAAGAAAACAGATGACAGATGAATAAGAAACTCTCTTTTCGATTTCGATACCACCTAAGCGATAAGAGGTCAACTTAGTCAATCATAATTAATATCTCAGTTGTAGGTGTTTGAATAGTAATCAATAACATTGACAGCTTTATTTGATTGCTCAATGTTGGTATGGCAGTTTATGTTGCTGCCGATTGGCATTGAGATGGAGAGAGAAAATTGAAGAAGAAAAGCAAAATTGGCTTTTATGTAGATATTCAAGCATAGCATAAGTTGATATGAAAGAGAGAAGAAGAAAATATTACAAATTATGGCCGTTCACACTCTCATTGAAACGCTACACTGAACATTGAACATTGAATTGCTTTCTAATGAATTCATTTCCATTTGTCATTTTTCTCTTCATGTAGAAGCGTCGCGAGGATTCTGACGAAGACGTTTGTGCTCTCAGTGAGAATTGGACGTTCCAACCTGAGATTCGTCGATGGTCACGTGTTGGTGACATGGGACCACTTGGATTGAATCTCTCAAAAGCTGAAACTTCAAAGACGACATCGCGAGAGTCGACACCTGAAGAGTAAGTTGCTTAACATTAAATATGAGTCAGAAGTGTTAATTAAAAATCATTCTCTTGCCATTTTTTTTCTTTCTTACGTTTCTTCATTTTTAAAAAGATTTGAAATCAAAGTGCCGCATGTAAAGTTGGTTACTGCCAATTATTTATCAGTACCGCCTGCTGGTTTACAAGTGCAAGATCAATCACAAGTAACATTGAAACGATCAGGAAGTGAAAGACTTCGCGATGGCGCAAAAAATATATTGCGACGTGTTGAGTCAATAAAATCAAGACGAAAGAAAAAGAAGAATCGTGAAGGTGTTGTGATCAGCGGACCAATGCAATTGGATATAATGCAACTTCATCATCGGTTTAATAGTCTTGCGACTAAGGATATTAAAGCAACAAGATCAAATACAACATCTCCACTTCCAATGAGTCCCGTTGGAAATCCATCAACTCCATTATTCTTATTTACGGATCCCAAAATATGTCCCGCATCGGAGAATCATGCGGCTGTGTTTGGACAACATCTCTCGCCTTATACAAAAGGTCATGTTACTTCTCGCACCAGTCCACTTCACTTCTTCTCTTCGAAGAAACCTGCCGATGATTCATCATCTTATTGCAGTGAAGTGAGTCAAGACTCAAGTAATGGAAGTGCTGAAAAGAAGCTTTCGCCGGTGACTCGATATTTTCAGAAATCAAAGAAAACTGATGAAATGGGAACATTGTCTGATTCTGAAGCCTTCAATTCATCACGACAGAGCAAGAAGAAGTCACACAAGGCTCAAAAAACCAACACATTAGTAAGAGGCGGAGGGGGTTCGTTGAACTTAGGACGTGACTCAAATCGCTCCCGCGATAGTCTCAAGACGAAGCGAATATTTCGTTCGAGAAGCGCCGTTAGACACACAACAGAACATGATAAGAGTCAGGATGTAACAATTCGCGCAAAGAGTGGATCTGTAGTGCAACGATGGCACAGTTTTCGTGCGCAAACAAGCACGAAACGAGATTTCGCTGATGGTGAAGGCGTGTCACTATGCAAATTGAGTTGTGGGCAAATTGAGAAACTGAGAAAGCTGGCACTAGTCACATTAACGGGTTACATGGAAAGGTTGGTTTGATACTTAAATATTAACATAATTATCTATGTTATGTTGTCTTACTTATCATTGATTTAATGTCTCATGCAGATATTGTCCAACACATCGTACCGGTTGGAATTGGGAACTTCCAAAATTTATCAAGAAAATTAAAACACCTGACTATAAAGGTGAGATTAGAGAAAGATTTTCTTTCTTTGCTTATGAAAGCTTTTGAATTATTAATGTGATTTGATTTAGAGAGAGAAAAAGTCATTGAATAATCGAGGTTGTGAATATGAAAGTTCTTTTTGATATAAATATAAAGTTACATGAAATAGGCAGTGAAAAATTGAATAATCAATTTTTATTGCTTTAAATTTACGCACAATAAATCTTTCTTTGAATTAATGAACATCGATAAGGTCACAGGATTTTAATTTTCTATAACTAACTTATCTATTTCTTGATTAATTTCTTTAACAGATAAAAAAGTTTTTGGTGTTCCATTCGCTATAATTCTTCAGAAAACTGGACATACTTTACCCAAGGGCATTCAAGCAGCACTCACATGGTTGAAGATCAATTCATTAGATCAAACTGGAATCTTTCGTAAATCTGGTGTCAAATCGAGAATCGCTAAATTAAAGACAGCAATCGATCAAACTGATGAGAATATCATTAAAATTTTTGAAGATCAACAAGCTTATGATGTGGCTGATGTTGTTAAACAATATTTTCGTGACTTACCAGAGTCGCTTCTGACAACAAAATTATCAGAAACTTTCACGGCAATTTTCCAATATCTTCCGAATGAAGTTAAATTTGAGGCTTTACAATCTGCTATTCTTCTGCTTCCCGACGAGCACCGTGAAGTATTGTTAATGCTTTTGGAATTTCTTCATCAAGTTGCTGACGCATCCGAGTATAATCAGATGTCTGCAAATAATTTAGCATTGTGTCTTGTACCTTCAATATTTCAAAACGGCGTTCATAGCAACACACCGACTGCATCACCAAGAAGAAAGAAACCTACGGGCATTCCTGACGCAAAAGACCTTGACGAGAACCGTGCGTCGACTCAATGTCTCACGTTTCTGATTCATAATTACAAGCAAGTTTACCATATATCCAGTGAGAAGATTAACCGATGTAACTTTAGTTATATGGAAGAGTCACGACCAGTGACTTTAGAAGCACTTGGAGATACAGTTCAACTTGCAAATTGGCGATCTTATTTATATGAATGTGTAAAAGCGACAGTCAAAGAAGGAAGAGACAAATCACGTGGTTGGATGTCTTTGAACTCCTACGATCCAAACACTGAAATTTTCTATCGTAAGGTTGGTGATGGCCATCCACTGAGATTGTGGAAGTGTGTCACGGAAGTTGAAGCTGAACCATTAACGATTCTTAACAGAATTACGAAAGAAAGACATTTTTGGGATAAACAGTTGTTAAAAATGCGAGTGATCGAGGATTTAGATTCACATAGTGACATTTTTCAATATGCTTGTAGTTCTGGTCATATCGCAACTGATTATTGTGTATTGAGGTGAATATCAAACAAAACTCGTGATTTTATTCATATAAACTTAACTTTCATATATTTTTTTAACATTGTTTTCATAGAACGTCATGCACCGACCTTCCACGTGGTGCTTGTGTGACTGTTGAGATTTCAATCGAACATCCTGGTGCATCGATAATGTTAAACGGCGTTCGTGGAGTCGTGTTAGCCAGTCGATACCTAATCGAACCATGCGGAAATGGAAGGTCAAAAATCATGCATTTGGCTCGAGTAGATACAAAGTAAACAAAATTATTCACTGATTTAACTTCATTCGTTTCAACTAATCGATGATTTTTTATTACTTTTTAGGGGCCGAACTGTTGAATGGTATAAGAACTATGGTCACATTTGTGCACTTAATCTTGCGCGCATTCGAGACGGACTGAAACCTAAATCGATAGAATAATATTATCTGAAATATAATTAAGTGTTTGAAATCGTATTTTTTGATATTCTTAAGTACATAAATAGTCGCTGAGTTACCTGATATAAGTTTTTCTATTTCGTTGAAGTTTATCCAAAAATGGGACCAACCAACAAACAAACATTTTCATTGATATTCATTCTTAACTTATCTTCCTTCTTCAGGCTTTTAGAATTGCCGAATACTCAATAAGAAAACTCTTTAACCATAATCTCACACTTTCTGCTATACGTAATAAAACATTAAAGAATAGAAAATGTTGATATAATATTTAAGAAAGTTAAATAAACTTTTTTTATCTTTCATTGAATAAAAACACTAGTCATTAAAATTTTCTCAGATTGTTTTGTGAAGTTAAAGTATGGGTTAGAAAGATATCTCGAATAGATCTATGTTGTTATCAATCATTTGCTATCTACCCTAAATATATTATTACCAAATATATGTAATTTAATCTGTTTCAAATGATAAGAAAATAAAACTGATCTTTAAACCTTAATCAATGTCTTCTGCTTCTTTTTCTACTCTCTTATTGAATCAAATGTGATCTTACTTAATATGGTTGTCAATTGAAAATCAATCGAATGAAAACCGACATAGGGGATATTTTATGATTCAATATACAATGTTGATTGATAATTTAAACTATCACATGGATAAAATGATGCTTTTTTATGTTACAGAATAGAATTATTTTTTATATGACATAAATATTTCCATCATCTAATTCAATAGTTTATAAAACAATAAACTTCTTAATAAATATCATCACCGACATCATAGATATATTTCTAATGTCTAACTAAGCAACATCTACAAATATTTACATAATCCAAATACTCCTCCCATCAAACAAAACTTATCTTATAATTAAATAAATATCCGTCAGTAATTCACAAAAGCCAGCAAGACGTTTTTCATTTCAACATTCCATAGTTTTAAAAATTTAACGGTCGAATTTTTTTTAAACCATTGTCGAAGTCGAAATGGCGAAATTTTCGAAAATGAAATTCATGAGAAAAAAATTATTCTACTGTATTGAAATCAGTGTATAGCTATTTAAGAGACTCAAAAAATGATTATTTTAGTGACCTTTTATAATTTGATAGTGCCTGAGTGTGTTAAACATATTTTGTAGTGTTAATAATTTGGAAAAAGCATACTATTTAATATTTTAATTTAAAGCCAACAAAGAAATTACTAAGAAGAAAAAAAAGAAGTATAAAAGTTTATTGGGTGTATATGTGGCACAAAAGCAAGAAAGTAGAAAACCAGCTTGTAATTGTATATTCTCTCGTTAAAATCTAACGTCAACTTCATCGAAAATGAGTTCCCATCAAACAAATCAAGCTAATCCGGCTGTATCGGGCAGCTACCAGTACCAATGGGGCGATCAAGTCCTCGAGATTCCATCAAATATTAATTACCAATTGGAAAATGTTATAGCGTCTGGTGGTGTGAGTATCTCGCATATATTTATAGCGCCGTATATTATTCATATAAATAGCTCTTCGCTTATAACAAACATCACGAACAACCTGACATACAAAAGTAGATTCAACATGTGGAATCATATAAGAATGAGAACAACACAATTTAGATCCTGCATTTCTTATTATATTCACATTATGTCTATATGTTATTTATCTTTTTATGTGTACAAAAGCACGTGCTACAACCACACGCATGAAATTAATGAACGCTACTGATTCTCTAAATATTCATTCCTAACAGGTGCAATACATTCTCTCCGATGGATCAATTCTCGTACAGAAGGATAACAAAAAGGATAGCAATAAGAATTATCGAAGGATGATTGTTGTAAATCAACAAGACTTAGCACAAGCTACAATTCAAGTGCCTACCCAACAACGGATTGTTACGCAACAGACGTCAAATGGAAATGTCGAAACGAAGAACGTTATGGCGACAACAAGCGCAGTGTCACATCGAACACAAGCTATTACACCGATTGGACCTTTAACATTGACCACAGAAGAATATAATGAGTTATTACAACGACGTGCTGAGAAGCAAGCTGAAGCAGCAGCAGCTGCTGAAGCACAACAAAGAGCACAATTAGAAGCTCAGCAAAGAGCTCAACAACAAGAAGCTCTAAGAAGAGCTCAACAATCGCAAATCCATAATCAACAATTGCAAGATCATCAAAATATCGCTGTTCAAGTGCAAAAGATTGTGCAATCACTTGAAGAAGAAGGCGATGGAAAGAAAGACGAGGATGATATCGAAATGCAATTAATTGCACCGAAACTTGAAGTAACCGAAGCCATTCAAACGCAAACTGAGACAACGCCAGTAGAGCAAACACAATCAAAACATGGAACTGAAGGGAAGTCTGCTGCTGGAAGGCCATTCTCTTGTGAGCAATGCGGTAAAAAGTTTTTACTGAAACATCATTTAACGACACATGCAAGAGTTCATACAGGTGAAGTTTCTCTGAATTTTTACTTTTTTGACATTTAAATTTAATTAGAGTTTTTATATTCACAGGAGAACGTCCGCATGTCTGTATTCATTGTGGAAAGGATTTCGCTCATAAACATTGTCTCAATACGCATTTGTTGCTTCATTCAACTGAGAGGTAAATGAAATGAATGATTTAATATTTATTAAAGTCGAGTGTTTACTTTTTTATTCATCATCATGTATGCAAATATTTCATGGCGAGATTACAATTCACACAAGCTCTGATGATCTAATTATATTAATTACTTTGAACTTTATTTTTATTGTAATCTTAATTAATATTTTTAGGCCTTATCAGTGCACCGAATGCAAGAAATGTTTCACACTAAAGCATCATTTGCTTACACATTCACGTGTTCATTCGCGGGATCGCCCGTTTGTATGTCAGGTGAGTTTATTTAATTTTTATTCTTTAATTAACATTCTTAAAGAAATAATTCTTTTCAGGATTGTGGTAAAACATTTTCATTAAAACGTCATCTTGTGACTCACATGAAGTTTCATGCTGGTGAGCGGCCTTACGTATGTGACACTTGTGGTGAAAGGTAAAATGAAGTTTAATTTAGAAAAATGCAAATATTAACAAAGTTTTCTCTTTAAAAAATAAAAAGTTTTGCTCAAGAGCAACATTTGGTGATGCATTCAAGATTCCATGGAAGTTTAGATCCGTTTGTGTGTCAAGATTGTGGTGCCTCATTCCCGAGAAAGTTTCAATTGGTGAATCATGGTAAATTACACGGACGCGTGCCGCATGAATGCACAGTATGTGGTCAAGAATTTCTTCAGAAACGAACGCTTGTTGCTCATATGCGTCAACATACAGATGCACCTCACGCTTGCTTAAATTGTGGCGAAGGCTTCAGATCAAAATCAGAATTGACAGCACATCAAAGAATAGTTCATAACATTCAACCAACAGTTCGTGTTAAGAATGCATCATCAACCGCCACCAGTAGCAACAATCAGAACATTCAAGACAATCAAGTCGAACAACATTCGCAAGAAATTGACGAACAGAGCTTTTTAAAACAAGAACATCAACAATATGAAACAATTCAAACGATTCAAGATCAATCGCAACATACACAAAGTTATCAAACAATCACAATGGTTCCTTCTGGCAGTCCCACAATGGAACATAAAACGATCCGAATACAGCAGCATTCACAACAGAACATTCAGAGTCAACATGTTTGTCAACAATGTGGAAGTTGCTTCAATAATCGTGAAGCATTACAATTGCATTTAAGATTACACACAGGTGATAAAAGCTTGATGACTGACCTTTGTGCGTTAACGGCAGCTATTCCTGGGCATATTTTCCAAAGTCAAGGAAATACTTACATTGAAATCGATGGTGGAAAATGTAACTAATTTTCTTTACTTAATATTTTTAATTTAAATTTTATGAGTTTGGCCAAGCGATGAAATTTTTGATTCGAAAAGAACTTTCAAATTGGGAGGTGCGTGTAAGGGAATTTGAAAAGTTTGAGAGGGGAAATGAACTTCCTTTCAAAATTATTTAATTATTGGTTTCAAAAATCCTAAATTCTCTCTAATTGACAATCTTATTTGTTTTGTAAACATTATCTAACAACTTCTAATTATATTGTTTTTTCTTCAGATATGATTGCAGATAATATCACAAATGGTGCAACACTTGTAGCAAATAGTGGAGTAGGCGGAAGTTCACCAGTTCCAGTTCAAATTATAACATCAGCTAACGGACAACAAGTTATCGAGCAAGTTCAGAGCATATCACCATCGATGCTTCAACAGCAGCAGCAACAACAACATCAATCACAGGGTGATGTTCACATGTCACAACAAACACCAATTGTCTACACAACAGTAGCAAGTCAGGAGCAAGATTCACCAGTTGGCTCAATTCAGATTGTTCAACAGAATCAAAGTCAACCACAAGCTCAACAATCTCAAGTCATTGTTCATCATCATCAACCACATCAGCCGAAACCGAAAACTCACTTTTGTCAACATTGTCAAAAAGGATTTGCTGCTAAGCATGGATTGCAGCTTCATAACAAACGTCATCCTCAGGGTGAATGCACAATTAGGTAAGTTGCATTCAAATTTATATTTTTCGTTTATTCCTAATCAAAAAACTCTTCTTTTCAGATCGCATGTTTGTGGTGAGTGCGGTCGAGGATTCTTCCAAAAGAATCATTTAATGTTGCATCAACGGCAACATATGGAACATCAACGCGGTCAACAGACAACAACAATCGAGCAACAGCAAGGAATTAAAGTTGAAGTTGATGTTTCGAGTCAAGAGAATGTTGTTGACGATAGTCAAGTGAGTGTAAACAAAATTTTATCATAATTTACAATATTGACGACAATTAACACTTTGATATCTAACAATAATAGAACGGAATGTCAATATTTGTGTTAATAGAAGTTTAACAACACTGTGATCTTATCTTTGAATATATCTTATCTTTCAGAACATTCATGATGACACAAATGAAAATCCTTCGAATGAATTACGCCAACAAAATGTCATAATCACCAATACAAGCGTGAGCGAGGAAAAACCTCAACCACAAGACGGGTCGGAAGAACTCGACACTTCTAATGCCGACACTTCCGCTGAACAAGTTGAATAATAAACTTTCAGCTATACGAATAATAAATCATTATTTTAATTACTTTTACTTTTCATTTCTTTAAAATGAGTCGGAAATTTCATAAGAAAAAAGAAAAAAAATTATAAATACCATTTAAGTTCGTCTCTTAAAATAAGAACGTAAAAAGAGAAGAAAAATTAATTAGAATTCAAGAAATATCTAGCAAGATAACACGATTATGAATAGGAATAAAAAGAAAACTTAACAATAAAGTGCCTAACACATTTTCACTATTTTTAAGAAAGAATGAGGATCGAATAAGGACGGGAAAGACAATATGAGAATGAAAATAAATATAAAAATAAAGTTGATAAATGTTATCTTTGTGTAGAGATTACAAAATATATTTTTATACGTGAAAGAACTATGAAGGTAAAAAAATAAAATATTAAGTAAATATTTTACTATAAAATTTGTTGATGGAAGCTTCTTAGTTATCTACATTAAGAATTTCAAATACCCAATAAAATGAAAATTTAATAAAGTAGATTTGAATGAATTTTGAGAGTAAAAGAATTTTTTTTTTCAGATCACAGTTTTGATATTAGTGAAAACTTCATTTAAAATGTATGCTTGTTCAACACTTACGTAAAACCTACGTAGTAAATTTTATGTTGGTTTACGTAACGTGGATACTGCGTGAAATTACGTAACGTCACTTGATTGGAGAACTCAAAAGCTTCATTAAAAGCGTCCTCAAAAGCTGAAAATAACAAATCAGATTCTAAAATGCTTACAAGATACAAATTTAAGATCGAAAACAGAGAAAATATTTTATTTAAATTTTGGTAAACAGATGAATGTTGCTAACTATCATAAAATGATATTTAATTTTTTGATATTTGTTACAAAAGTCAACACTAAAAAAATAAATAATTTTTCAGAACGTTTCATCGTCAGCATTTGGACAGTCGGCAGTGTCGTGTTGATCGAATTCTATAAATTAAGATGAATAAGAGTTAAAAAAGTAATGTAAAATAATATAATATAAATAAATTTCACCTTCACAAAGATCGCAATAAGTTCTGGGAGTCGGTAGACCTGGCATTTTTGGGTTTTTTTCTTTCTGTGTTGGTAAATCCATCTCAGAGCATTGTTGTGGACAATCTTCGGTGTCATGAGCATCAAACATTTCGCAAATGTCACAATAAAGACGTGGTGCTGGCTTTTTCTTATCAAGAAAGTCAAGACTGAAGTTATGACTGTAAAAGATTTTCGGTCAATGAATAAAATGATGAAAATAATTGAAAAGAATTTCTTACCTTGATTTTGATGAACCAGCAAGCAGTAATTCGACTTTCTCTGTGAGTTTTAAGTTTTTCTTATGCATGTCAGATATAATCCCATTAAGAAACTCAATATGCTCAACCATTTCCTGACTGTGAGGTTGGTTGTTTGATGGAACTTCTTTGGACTTTTCAAGATCTTCATACTTTCTCTTCAATCCTTGGTTCGACAACTCCAATTCAGCCTCTCTTATTTCGAGTTCTTTAATTTTGAATGTTAATTCATTCTCGCGTTTCTGCCACTCTTTGATGCCTTCAATTGAAGATCTCGTCTGATCCTCAACCGATTTCATTTGATTTTGAGAAACATTTAATTGCAATGTTAACTTAGAAACCTCTTTTTCAGTAGAAGACTCAATGAGTCGAAGCTTTTCCATTAAATCTTTAATTTTCATTTCCGATTCATTCTTTTCAATCCCTCTTGAGCTTTCAATATTTTTCAGTTGGTTTTGAATCTCTTTGCTCTGACTTTCAATTTGATAAACTTTATTTTCAAGCTCATTAATTGCAAAATCTCGAACTGAAATTGTTTCATTAAGTTTTTCAACTTCACTGCTCAACGATTTCTTTTCATTGGAAGTTGAGTTGAGAAGTGCTTTGAAATTATCCAAATTATTCTGTAAATCAGCGACGAGATTAGCATTCGTTGAGCTTTCATGAACAGCTTTCAATAATTCTTCATCTTTTCCTTTAAGAACTTTCTGAGTTTCTTCTTCATTTTTCTTTAACTTCAAATGCATTGTTGAAATTGCATCGTGAAGTTTTGTAACTTCCTGTTCACGCAAATGAAGTTTCTCGGTAGTTTCAACATTTTCCTGATCTTTCTTTGACTTTTCTTGAAGCAGTTCAATAATCTTTGCATCCATTTCCTGAAACTTTTGTTCTAATGTCGCTCTCTGCAACTCGGAATTTTTCTTTTCGAGCTTTGATTGCTCATGGAAAGATTCATGACTTTGACTCATTTCACTAATCTTTTGTTGAAGATTTTCCAACTCAACTTTAAATTCTTGTTTCTTGTTTACAACATCAACTTGTTCATCTTCAAGTTCCCGGAACTTTTGCCGTGATTCCTCAAGAGAATCTTCAAGTTTCTTCTTTAAAGCCTTTTCATTCTCAAGTAAGTTGTTAAGATCGTTAATTTTCTGCTCTTGATCATAACATTTCTGTTGAATATCATCAAGAGTTTTGATTTTCTCTTCAGTTCCCGATGCTGTTAATTTTAATTGTTCGTGAGCTTTTTTCAGTTCTTCGTTCACTTTAGCAATTTCCTGCTGATGAAGTGAAAGTTTCTCGTCAGATTCTTTGCTCAAAATTTCAATCGATGACTTTGAGTCCATCTCCATGTTGCGTATTTTCGATTCCATCTCTTCCTTCGTCTTCTCAAATGCTTCTATTATTTGTTGCTTCTCACGAGTCAATCGAGCTTTTTCATTCTCATTATCATTACGCAAATTTGTTAATGTTTGACGAAGTTCTAATTTCTCTTCATCTGATGTTAATTTGATGTTTTGAAGCTCCTGATTCAATTGATTTTCACTCTCAATTTTTTGGGCTTGCAAAATATCCATTTCACTCTTAATTTTCTCAATTTGTTGTTCCAACAATCCATTTTGTCGTTGAAGTTCATCAACTTGACGTTCCAATAATAATTTTGCATTCTCCGCTTGTTGTTGATAAGATTCAAAAGCTGCTTGCTTCTCTTTTAGTTCATTGTTGAGCTTCAAAAGCTCTGAATTGATGTCAAGTGATGATGAATTGGTGGTTTCTAAATCATTCTGCAGTTTAGTTTTCTGTTCTAGCAATTGATTAATTTTCTCTTCATGAGCACCAAGTTTTCGTGTCAAATCATTCCTATCAACTTCGAGTTTATTTTTGTCATCGAGAAGATTCTTTGAGATAACTTCTGTCTCAAGAAGTTTATTTCCTAATAGAGCAAGAGAAGCTTCGATCTTTTCTAAACGTGATGCCTTTTCAGCATCATCACGTTCAACTTGACTCAGCTTCATTGTGAGATTTTCAATTTCATTTTCTTTAAATTTAATTTTTTCATCGAGTGAAACTTTCAATTCAGTTAAGAATGTAACGTTACTTTCATTCTTTTTATTGTCATCGTCTTTTTCTTTATTCATCTTTTCAATATCTCCTTTAAGAAGATCAATTTGCGCTTCCTTAAGTTTTAATGTTGAAGTGTAAGTGGAAACTTCCATTTCAAGGCCAGCCATGCATTTGTCACGTTCACTGACTTCCTTTTCTAATTTGTCAATTTTCTCTCCAAAATCTTTTATTTCTGTTTCTTTGGTTGTGATTTCAGTCTCGAGTTTTACTTTAGATGCAACCAGCTCATCGATCATCTGCTTCGAATTCTTTTCTTCATCATCTGCTTTGACTTTCATCGCATGAAGTTGTTCAATTTCAGAATTTAAAGTCGACAACATATTTGTCATTTCGTCGATTATCTTCTGATTTTGATCATTTCGTGATTGAGTTTGCTTCGTAAGTTCTTCAGCTTCTTTTTTAGCTTCTTGTATCAAATTTTGGAATTTCATTTCTTCATCAGCAAATGATTTTTGGAGATTTTCGAAGAAAGCTTCTTTCTCTTTCATCATTGTTGTGTGTTCTTGAAGTTTAGCTTCAAATTGAGTGATTTGAGTATTTTTACTTAATGATTCGTCAATTAAGCGCTGAATCTCCAAATCTTTTTGTTTTATAACTTCCTGAGTGCCAGCATCAGAGCTTGTAAGATTTTCGATGTCTTTCTTGAGCTTTTCAACTTCTTCGTTCTTCCCACTCACTTCAAGTTTTAATTTCTCTGTCATGTCTTGAGCTTCTTTAAGCTTATTTTTCATTTCATCGTCAAGCTTTTTAGCTTGTTCATCTTTGAACTCTTCGAATTTTCTTTTTTCTTCTTTTTGCGATGAAAGTTCTGCTTTGAGTTCTTCAATGTTTCTTTCTAATGCACTTACATTATCTTTCAAGCGTTTTTCATCATCTGAAGCAGAAGACGATTTCAATTCGAATTTCTTTTGAATTTCAACCAGATTCTCATTTAGAGTTTTTATTTCTTTTTCGAGAATTTTTTTCTCATCTTCAGAGGTTTGAAGCTGGATGCTAATTTCATTAAGCTTTTGATTTAATATTTCGGTGTTCTCTTTGCTTTCAATTCCCGCAGAAGCTTTAAAAATTTTAAAATGTTTATCAGTGAATAAAAGTTAATAACGATAAACCTAAAAGATTTATTACCTTGGTCACCTCCACCTTGAGCAAGTCTTAACGCATTCTCCAATCTTGCGATCTTCTCTTTGAAAGTTTTGATGGACGTCTAAACATAAATAGAAAAATTAGTCATTATCATTGAATATAAAGTTCAAAGACCTTAATTTAATTATCAAAACAAGACAAAACATTTTAATTCAAAAACCAAACTTCAGTTGCATTTGTTATCGCGTCCACACAAAAATATCAAACAAAACATCGAGACTTACTTCATTTCGTTCGCTCGACTCAAAAATGACAATTTTATATAAAAATAAAGTCGTGATGTTTCGTAAAAAGTAGAAAGTTTAAATTATAAATAAAACAATTTCATAAATAATTTAAGAAACTTACAGTCGACTCTTCGGCAGAAATTGCTGCTTCATCAAATGAAAATTGAAGATCTTCAGATTTCTTCCTCTCTTCATCGAGTTCTTTTTGTAGTCGTTTAACTTGATCTTTATACTGTTGATAAACGAATAAATTAATAAGAAATAAAATTAATCTTCAAAACAGTTTTATGAGAAATGGGAATCAATTTTTGCTAATCTGTATCTGTCGTGTTTTAAGAAGAAATTCATCTGAAATAAAACATCAAATGTTAATGGAATGCGAGGAATGAAGGAATTGACAAAACAGACAACTCAAATATCAATGATCTCCATAAAATATTTTAGATATTTGTTCTTCCCAAAATTCTTGTCTCATATTTGATCTGGAGAATCGATTTGTTACATAATCTTCTGGCTAAATGTAGAATTAAATCAGTGAGTCATTGAGCAACCCGAAAATCTACACACAACATCTTCAGCCATTGATTATCAACATAAATGTCTACATCATTGACACTTAGCATTAATCAGCTTACAAAATATGTCGCTGTTCAGTTATCAATTAAAAGCTGATAAGCTTGATTTATTATTAAGCTAAATACTTCAACCTGTTACAAAACTCGATATCTAAAGTCAATAAATAAAACTACAAACAATCATCAATAATTTTATTAAACATTTTATTTTCGATTCGTACAAAATCTTTAAAAATTTTTAGAATCTAAAACATTATTTCTCTGTTAGCAAAGGGACCTTTAAAGGGGTGAAAATAAAAATTGAATCCACCTTTCCAGACAAAGAAGCGTTGTTAACATTGCATAAGATAGAAAAAAAATGTTTTTCTTAAAGTATGTAGAAAACTTTGAATAACAAAATTACCAAGAAAAACTTTTATCGAAAAAAATCAAAGCAGGATGTTGTTAACGCGATTTTAGTCAACTAACAGCAAAAAAAATAACGTAAAGTTCACTTGAAGTCATGTTCAAGTTTCGCACATTGTATATTTGGTTTTAAAAATGAAAATTCTATAAGCAGCTGATAAAAACACTTAAAAATTATTCGTTAGGAAACTTTTTCGTATTTACTTCATAAGAAAGTGTTACAAAATAAAACGCAAATATAATTAAAATCATTACAAAGCAATTAGTGTTGTGGTCAAATAATTAATAAAAACATCGAAGATTAAAAACAAAAATCTTAATCTCCTAAGAAAACATCATGCAAGATACAGTGACGTTCATGATTTCCATGCCATCCTTGGAACTCTCGCCTTAGATCAGCAATCTGGAGATTTCGTTGCTTTATTAGTGTCGCCCATCGACCGACTTGCTCTTCTTCGGAAGGTGACAAGCTCTTCTTTAGTTTTTAAAACATAATCAACATAGATACAAATTAGCAAAACTCAATTCTTTAATATAGGAAAAAGACACAAATAGAGTTCTCCGATGCCATCATTATAACAGTTATAACAACGGTGAACCCTACAAAAATTTCATATTTGTCAACAAATTACCAGTGAAATATTCTTATTGAATAAAACTCCTTGAGCTGCCATTTCATCACGATCTTTTTCACGTTCATTCATCAGCTGTTCAATGTGATTTGTTTTCTCACGTAAAATATCCTGAAAAAATATCAAACGAAATTTAGTTTTCAATGTTTTTGAACTGTCTTTAAGATTTTGAATCTCAATCAATCTCTGACTCAATCAATTTCTTTCTCTCTTTCCTTCCCAAATAAGTCATTTAGGATGCAAAATATTCTCATCTTAAGTGAATCTAGATTTGAAATAATCTAATCCGTCAAAGCTCATTTAAAACTTTCAGTCACAAAACTTATACGAAAGGAGATAATCTGTTGTTTGATGAGAAACAGAAAATAAAACCTTCAATGTATTTAAGGCGCCAGTCGAAGCAAAACAAAGCGTGATTTCCATAAGTAATCATATGACGCAGAAGTAGTTATTTAAAATTCCAATTAAACTGCTCTGAAAACACAACAGAAACACATCACGCAGATTTCAAGAGACATGTGACAATAATACAATGAAGTTACAACAAACAGTTGATTGAAGTTGTGAGAGAGTAAAACAAACGCCCACTCTTTCGGAAGCTCAACAGATCAAGGCTTACGACAATTAAAATATCTCACAACACTGCAAGCAAACAACAATCATGCATAAGTTGCCGTCACAATTATCTTTATTACATCAGAATTATTCAACATCACACAAAAGTGTGATTAACTTTTCTTCTTTTTCAAGTCTTAAACACATTTTGATGATCACCATTCATTGACGTATTTTGTTTTCCTTGTGAAACAGAAAGAAAAATCATCATTCATGCAAAGTCGAGTGAATCACATTGACCTCGAACTTGACGCACCTTCAACTTTTGCTGTTGTTTATGTCCAACTATCTTTGTTTCTTTCTCATAATGAATGCCAATGAAAAGATTTCATCTCAAAATGGTATAACGAGACTCGATTAAAATATGAGCGCAAACACAACAACTCATTTTAACATTCCAAAATATATTTCCAAACGAATCAAAGATATTTTCTCGAGAGACTTTTCGATTCTGCCTTGTAAAGACAAAGTACTCTCGATAGAATTTACAATATTTCTTGTTAGGTTCCATGAAGGTTAATTAAACTTTAAAATAATATTTTAAAAACGAAAAAAAAAATCACTCAACATCATTCATTCAAAAAATGAATTAAAACTCGACAAAACTATTACCTGAAGCGAGTACAAGGGCTTAGGGGTGGACGTTGCTGCCGTTGATGTTTTATGTAGTGACATTCGCTAAAAGTTTCGGTAAAGGAAAAATTTTTTTCAAGGGAAAAAAAATTTTGTGCAGTTGTTAGTAAGTTAAAATTTAAGAAAAACTTTTTGAAAAAAAAAATGTAAAAGGAAAGAAGACAGAAAGACTCAAACAACATAACCGAAGCGTTGTACCTTCTGAATTGCATCCGAACGTAATTTTGATGTTGTTGTTGAGCTGCCAAGAGTCAAATTCGATGCAAGAGATTCTTGTGAGTTGGCTCGTGACAAGCGATTTTTACGTGCGAGTGGAGAAAGCGAGACTTTTGATTGAGGCACGAAAAGGCCATGGTTTGGAGCGCATTTGAAATATCTGAATGGATATAAAAATGTTTCTTTTATTATTTATATATAAAAGGTGATCTTGGTAGGTTCTTTACCTATGGTTACTGACAGTTCCATCGTTCTTTCCAACAGGTTCATCAAATTCAACACCACACCAAACTCCCGAAGCAAACAAAGGTGTTCCAATGTAGCGTAAAACTCCTACGCGACTTCCTGTCGCTGACTTTACGATAACTCGATCGTTTACTTCCAAATCTGATGAAATTCCTTAAATTGATAAGAAAAGTTTTACTTGATATTCGTTGATAGCATTTAAAAGTTAACAACTTGTTCCTAATGGTGACTTAGCCGCACTACTCATGCTGTAAGTTGGAGACGTTGTGCCTGAACGTGCAGGCGATGTCATCGATCTAAAACTCGTTTCCATACTATAAGTACCGTCGGACAAAGCTGCCGATCCCAACGGTTCGCGTGTAAGTCGTGTAAGACGTGAAAAAATTCCTTTTTTTGGTTCACATTGGAAATAACGTTTACCAGACACAGCGCCGTCATTTTTGCCTGCAATTATTTTCACTTTTCCTAAATTTTCTGACAAATTGAAAACTATTTCTGATTCTAACCTTCTGGTTCATCGAGAACAACACCAGCCCATTCACCTGGGGCAAAATGAACCTCGCCTATAAATGTTATTCTTCCTGACTTAACTCCTCCAACATAAACTCGATTTCCAATCATGAAACTGTCAGTATCTGTTGTCAAATCATTTCCGTTATCTGAAAAAAGCTTTCGGTCTTAATTTTCTGCTCCAAATAAATTTTTATGTAATGTTGTTTGTGATGTTTTTGTTGTTATTTAAAACTTCAATTTTAGTCCAAGTAAGTTCTTTTAATTTTCTTTTATGAATGAAAACGAACCTCTCCCACATAATTGTGGATGACCATACGAATAACCGAATAGAATTAATTGCTTAGTTAACTTAACTTAATTTTTCATCATCTTAAAGTATTTGAGTAGTGAGTTAAACCCAGTCAATTAAGTTTGATTAAATGATTTTTGTCGTTCATATTAATCGATTTCGTGTCAGTTTTTGTTAAAAGAATTAAAGCGCTTTGATGTGAACGTAGAAAATCAATAAGCTGAGGATTACAAGTAAAACTATTTATGATAAATTATGTAATTTGTTAATTATCGACATCTATTTAACCTTTAAGACAGTTCGAAAATGATCTCAGAATTTTATTAAATAAAAATATTTTAATCTTATCTCTAACTAAATACAATAAATAAGCAAACAGTCATAAACATATCAAGGTTATTTATCATGCAAGCACAAACAATTTAATCTATGTGGCTTTACCTGAACTAGATCGTCTACCGGTGGCTTCATAAAAGTCTGGCGATGATGACGATACGCCACCTTCACCGTGCAACGTTCGGGGAACAAACACAAATGCAAAACAAAGCATTCAACATAACATCATAAAACAAAAATGTGTAAATTTTGGAAATAAAATCGTGCATAAAACAATAAAAAACATAAAACTGTCAATTTAACAACAAATTAGAACATGAATCAATACCCACTTGAGCTTTTTCGATCTTGTGACAGAGAGCGTCGTGAGAATTTAAATGAATCTGGTGACCTTGATTTTGATGATCTTCCGATCCATGAGCTAAATCTATCAGACCACAAATCATATTCGCTTTCTTCGCTTACATCTAATGAATGATCATAAGCCATAACCGAAAAGAAAAGTATGCAAAGACAATATTTTAAGACATGCAATATGATATCTAAATGAAATGACAACATGAAATAGCAAAATAAATACTTAAAACAAATTCATTTTCTAGATTAAGTATTTAAGTGTAGGTCTAAGTGTAGGTTTGACAAAAAACAAAGTAATGCAGCATATAACACAAATCATTGCACAACTTGCATTGAACTGGTCATTGGCTTTACTTCAACTGAAATCATGAAGTAACACTTTGGAAATTAGCAAATTTAAAGAATTAATCAAACACCTTCGATCCCAAAAAAAAGTTTACTTTTTTTAGAACTTGACATCAAATCGAGTCTGACATTTTACACTGAAATCATTTTATTAGAAATCAAGTCAGTTGATCTGAACGAATTGTTTGTTTCTTATAAAAAATCTAATGACTCATACATTGATGACAGCAGCAAGAAGACGGATCATTAGAATCGCGTCGTGTACTCATCGTTAGAAGCTGCTACAATGTAAAACAAACACAACTACTTTGATCTTAAAAAGTATTTCATGAAACTCTACCACTATTTGCTTTCAAAGAAATAATTTCAAAGCAAGCTAATAAACCGGCCAGCTAAGAAAAGAAATTACCTGGCAAATGATGTGACTTGTATTCGTCGTATGGTCGAGGCATTGTTTATGTCTTGTTCACCTGAAAACTCAAATTCAACGATAGAAAAAGAAACTAAGTTATGAGAATTTGAAGCTACATTTACATACTAAGTTAGTATTTAGAATGAAACAATCCAAAATCATTGTTCAATCAATAAAGAGCACAACATTGATACATTCAATCTTTCAATAATTATTGCGAAACAAGCAGATTGTTAGTTTGTTTACATCGAAATGAATTTTCTCTTTCGCTAACTGATTCATACTTGTGATGCCTTTGAAATCAATCCAAGAACTTTAACGATTTTCAAATTTAATATCGTAATAAAATTTCAATTATGACAATAAATTCATAAAATAACTAATTAATTGATTAACTATATTTGGATATGAAGAGTTAAATGTTAAAGTCAGTTTAGTTTCATTGTCTGCCAACTGAGCGAATCATAAAAAGAAATGCAAAAAGCCGCAACCATTTAAATAAACAAACAGAAAAAGTTGCGTGGTGAACTTTCAAAAGAAATTTTAGCACACCAAAATTTTCAGTCAAATTTTCTAGTGAAAATATTTATCTAATTAATTAGCGATTGTCTTCATCGTTGATGGTTTCTTATTATTAAGCCGTTTAAGGAGAATCTTGTTTCTTCACGGAACCTCGAAGCCAACGAAATAACTCTGATGCGCAAAAAGCTTTTCAAACAACAGCTGAGATAGAGAAACGCTTAAGACTTTTTCAATTTTTTATTTAAAACTATTTTGCGTGGGTGTCTAAAGTATCATGTATCGAATCACAGTTAAACGAGCAGTTTTTGTTTTGGTTTTTATTGAGAATTATCGTTCTTAATCAAGAAAAGCCATTGCACTAGCATATTTACGAGGATCGACATCAAATTTGGCACTGAATTAGCAAAAAATATTTGATTTGAAATTTTAAATTTCTATGTCAATTCAAAGATTTCTATTCCAGTCTGTTTTCAGCAAACTGATTTTCGCTAGAATTGTTCGCTCATTAAACGAAAAAATATTTGTCAAAGGTAAATATGCGAGCTTTTTTTTCTATTAAAAATGTGTTTAGCTTAACTCATCTCTTTGCTTGCTTTTTTTTTTTGGCAGGTGTGATAAATTTAATTTTCTCTTTTTAGGATAGAAGCAAATTGTAAAATTCCCTATTCTTTCGATTTTTCACAAAGCACATTAACATGTACATTAATAAGGTAAGTCCAAAGATTGATGAACTAAAGTGCTACCATAAAATATAACACGACAAATTGATCACCAACTGAGAAAGAAAATTATGTCGTCTGATCAAAAAGTGTCATCCTCTCCAACGCTTTGCTTGTCGCACACGATTTTCAATCGTTTTAAGCTAAGTTTTTCAAAATTACCCCGCAGTTAAGAATATGGAAAATGATTGTGGGAAGTTTATATAGCCCCAAAGAATTTTTGTATATCTTTTGATTAATACGCAAAAGCAAAGTCTAATTTGCTTTTCTGATATCAAACTTTTGATTTATGCCTTTTGACTAAAATTATCAGAGAATAAAGAAATCGAGTGAGAAAAGAATTCGTCAACATTCCATTAAATTTTAATTCGATTAAATTGGTTGCGCTTTGCTTTGTTATGTAGGAAGTTACGTTAATAGAAATTTAATGAACATTGTTTCCAATTAATTATAGTTTTTCATTTCTTTATTTTTCGGTTGGGAATTTCTGGGACTTTTAAGTAATTTTTTATTCCACTGTTCTCTCGTCTTATTGACCTTTGAGTCGTTATTGTGCAAACGTGTTACTTTGAATACTTGACCAAAGCTCATACATTTCAATTTATAATGAAAAGCGAAACTGAATTGTGTATGAAGCTAATGAAGCTTTCTTCATCAATCAAAGCTAATCACTCAGTAAAACGTCTTGTAAACAATGAAAAGTTCGATCTTGAAGAATCATTAGCGATTCAAAGCATTGGTTTTTTTGAATATTATTCTTGATTCCGTCATTTGGTTCCTCGTGTCTAGAGACTTTAATATTAGCATAAACCAGCCATGCATGCAAGTTCTTTGAGCAGCCATGAATAACATTTTGCAATGTCAAATGTCACATAATTTTTATATCCAATGAAATATCTTAACGATTATATCAAGATACAAGCTGATCGTTGGTGAATAACTGTTATCACATGGAATATTGCCACCATTCAATAAAAATATTCAGTTTACAACTCTCTTGAGCTAGTCGATAATAAATAAATATTTCATTGTGTTGCCGGTTGCGTCATCTTAAAGCAATTCTTAACGTGGGCTTATAAACTTTTCTGAAATCTCATTCGCTTACTTAAGTGATGTTTTCAATTCTGAAGATCACCTTTAGGAAGTCTGTATGGAAAACAAATTCTTGTGAAGATCTTTTAAAAGTGTAATCCATTCGTAAAGTTATTATCGATGTGTTAATTGCTTTAACAATCATTACAAAATCTTCTTTTCTTTTATTGCAATTGTATGGACTCATTATGACGTATTTGTTTGCGCCTAAAAATCTTTCATTTCACTTTTCTGCGTTACACATCAAAGAACAAGTATCGATCTTATTCAACTTCATTGTCTAACTCTTGTGAACAAAAACTCACTGTGTCAAATTGACAACTTTAAAGCTTTTTAAAAATTACACAATTTCCAGCGACTCAAAAATATTTTAAATTAAATTTGTTTTGGTTGTCAGGAAATAATTTATTAGATAATTCCATGAAACTTAATTGCTTAAAAACAGCCCGTAATATTTTTCGAGTCAATTGCGTTGTCAAGTTAGTTTGTAAGATTCTATTTTTATCTATGACTTTCAGGAAAGCAGTCGATCTTTATTCTTTAAAGTTGCCGCGATTTGATTGTTGTTAAAAGTATTTTATATGATCATCGTGTTTACTTGTTTACTTATCTATTGAAATTAATCGCACAAGCAACAATGATCAAAATTCATTGAATATGAAAATAATTGTGAAGTACGAATGACATTACTACTGATGGAGATCCTTACTTGACTGTTATTGCTCAATGAAATTTCATACTGTAGAAATGACAAGCATTTGCCATGTTTGGCATGAAGCACGAGATCAGAGATCAACAGCGAGAACTTTCCACGGTCGATTTATCGAAATCGAAACTAATTCATTATACATTTAAACTTAATTAAGGTGAAATCAAGTTAAGTATTTTAACCGATAAGTTCTTCCATATTCAAATGTGGGTGATCGATAAACTTTCTCTTTGCATTAATTTTATGGATTAAATTCGCAAAACCGTTAAACAGCATCAACAGGTGGCTAGATTGGTTTGAATCAAATTAAAAATATTAAAATGCAAAACAATTCAGTGAGGTTTTCTAATCTAAAATCGTTTAAAACTGTTTCCATCAGATTATGGCAAATTATCTTTTTATTAGCATATAATTGTCTAGAACGAAACAGCAAATGATGATGCAAAATATTTACAAGCTGTTGCTTAACTAAACAATAAATATTTTCATCGTTTGAAAGTTCTTGGAAGGGAATTAAAACCTAATTCTTCTTAATTAACGCACTAAACTCACTCACACAATGTTTATGTTTACAAACAAACACCATGATTTGGAAGTATTCCGGATTTTCCAAAGTGATTATTGGGCTCACCTTATTTAAATCACTTTATGGATTATTTTTTTCTCTTATGTTCATTCGATTGAATGGAACTCGTTAAGCGGAATTTTATGACTTTTTTTAGGATGCAGGTTGATTCGAAAAGAATTCTTAGCAGATATTAATGATCATCTGCACAAGCTGACGTCTAAAGTAAAACTAAAGTTGAGGTTGGTAAGAGAGTGAGAATTTTTCTTTCCGCGCTTAAACATTGTTACTAAGCTTCAACATTGACTGAAAACATTGTGAAGTTAATGCGAGTATCTTTAATGCTTTAAAGTCGCACGCGACACGATTTTTAATTCTCGCTCGGGAATTTAATTCTCTCATCTTCTCTGTTGACATCACTACTTGTGCAGGATTTATCTTTCGATTTGTTATGGTTATCACTCATTTAATGTCATGATATCATTTTATTTCTTTTTCGTGTGACTTGATGTAAGTTTATTGATGAAGACAAAGTGAATTATCCATGATAGTTTTCCGGATATTTATTTCGCAATTATATTTGTTTTCAAGCATCAAACAGTTCGTGAATTCATCTTTTCGATTATTTTCAATGATTACTCAAATATTATTGAAATGAGAGAAATCTTCCGATTCATCTCAACTGTAAAATGTTAGAAATTGAAAATGATATTTGTTATAGATGTTAGCTCAACACAAATTTTAAAGATTTCTAATGTTATGAAGTCGTGAATATCTTTGATTCGAAAACATAAGAACAGCATAGAAATATTTATTAAAGCAATCGTGAAAAAGCTCAAGTGGTGCAGATTCATATCATTTCGACAATTGATATAATCAATTAAATTATCGACGTTGGTGTGATCCACATACGGATATACCGTGTGAGGGTGGATGTCTGGTTTTATTTTTGTGAATATTAAATACTTTTTTTTAATTAACTTACTTGTGATATCATTTTGTTCGGTTTAACATGAGCTGATCAAAAATTAATAAAGAAAAAGATTTACTTACCTTTTTTTGGTGTAGCTTCTTGTGGAAGTTCTGCTTTCTTCTCGTGAGTGTCACATATTCTGGTAATTTTGGGAAGAGCACTTTGCTTGGATGGTGGCTTTATACCGGAAGGTTTTGGAAGTAAAGGCCGGCCTGCTGGCTTGTCACTATCTGATGCAGTTTTATCATTCATTTCTCACAATTTTGTATCCTCTTATTTCTTTAATCGTAATTCTCACTCAACGTAACACTTTCAATTCACTTTAATTTACTCACTGAGGAAATTTTCACTTCACAAACAATTAAGAATTGTATAAAAATAAGAATTAATCTAAAGTGATGATGAGATAGATTCAATATTAGAGTTTATTGCACATCCAAAGGTTATGGTGATTATACGACTCACGATTCTAAAAATAATTCTTAAACAAGAATGAAACTGATCATTCCAAAGCGCACTGTGTGAAAGATCAGCAATTTTTTTTCTTGATAAATGTCAACATTCAAATAATTTCCCTGTTTTTGAAGGAAACAATAAATATATGAACTTATTTTTACGCACTTGCTACTCGATATGTTTTTATACAAACTTTTAATTTAAGGATTCAACAGTAAACGTCACGAGGGAATCATAAATTAAATAAGTTAACAATTCGAATTGAAAAACAGATCGGACAAAACAAACAACAACAAACCCCTCGATTATCAAGACGCATTTGAATTTAAAATAACCGTTAAATTTTAGAATTCTGTTTTTTTGTTCAATTTATTTCAAATTTCGTTGTTCGATATTCATTCAAATTTCAAAAAATGATAAAGAATTAAGTATTATGGTTATAAATATATACTAAATGCTTTAGGCATAATGCACATATTAACTGAAATAAAAGCTTCAGTGTATAAAGGCTAAAGCACAAAAATGTAAATCCATGAAATGGAAGTTTTAGAAACACTCAAAAATGCTTGGAGCATTTGGCTGGTTCAACTTTAATGTTTTCAAAAACTTCCATATAAAATTTTATCAAACAAACAGCTTGCAATGCTTTTGAATCAGGTCAAGTGATACAAATAAACAGTCAATAAGGAACTTTATTGAAAACTTAAGAATTTATATAAGCTCCTGACAAAAATTGAGAAAAGATAAAGTTTTGATTTGTTATGTAAATATTTGTTATGTTAATATCTTTCAATCTGCGTTCATAATTGAAGAATTTGTCTGAATTAGAATAATATTTTTGTGAGAATATGGTAAAGCTTTATTTGAAACATAAAAAACTTTTATGTTGTCTTCATTGAAAATAAAATTCTTATCTAAAAAAATAATAATAGGTAGTAGATATTATCAACCCTGTACATAACTTTCTGCGTATAAATTCAACAACATTTTCAATTAGGAAACAAAACAGCTTTCAACAAACAAGATGCCGCTGATCTTTTTGCTAGTCACTTCAAAAGCGTGTACGAAAATGATGATCCCATTGAAGAACAAAGAACTTTAGTGTCTCTTCAAAATAGTAACACCTGGAATGCAAATCAAATCAGCATGAATGTTATTTATGAGAAATTGAAGGAGCTTGACGTCAATAAAGCTGTAGGGCCTGATAAACTTCCACCTGTTCTTTTTAAAAGATGTTCAGTCGCTCTCACTATCCCACTCTTTATCATATTCAACGAGTCAATTCAAAGTGGAATGTTTCCGTTTTTATGGAAACTGGCTCATGTTACGCCAATCTATAAAGATGGATCAATTCACGACGCTCAAAATTACAGACCAATTTCAAAGCTCTCGATTCCAGCGAAGATTTTTGATAACATCATGGCCGATGAGCTTTTTGATCGTTTCAGCCACTTGATCATAAAGGAACAGCATGGATTTTTCAAGAAAAGGTCTACAATTACGAACTTGGCGGATTACACAGAAAATATACAAAGAACAATTGACAACACATCACAAACGAACGTTATTTTTACTGACTTCTCTAAAGTTTTTGATAAAGTCAATCATTTTAAACTTTTAGAGAAGCTCGAAAATATGGGAGTTAACGGAAACATGTTGAAATGGTTCAAGTCTTATCTTACGCAAAGGAAGCAAAAAGTTCAACTTGGTGAATTTTTATCAACAGAAATCGACGTAACATCTTCAGTAGTTCAAGGTTCACATCTAGGACCAATTCTCTTTTCAATTTTTATCAATGATATCGGAAATATCTTCAAGGATATTAAATTTTCCATATACGCCGATGACTTAAAGATTTATAAAGAAATTAATAATGGAAACGACATAAAGATACTTCAAGAGAACATTGATCGTCTTATAGATTACTCAAAAAGGAACAATTTAGCATTGAATGCGAAGAAATGTTTTGTAACAAGTTTCACAAAACGACAATCGAGCCTAATCTATAATAATTATAAAATTGATGGTCATGAACTTGAAAGAAAAAGTTCTATAAAAGATCTGGGAGTAATTTATGATCACAAGTTGAACTTTAACGATCACGTGGACTCAATATGTGGAAGGGCACGCCGAATGCTGGGCTTTATTATCAGAACATGCAAATATTTCAATGACACCATCACATTTGTAACTCTCTACAACAGCTTGGTGCGTAGCGTTATTGAATACGCTTCAGTAATTTGGTGCCCCTTTACGAATGTTCAAATCAGCAAGCTGAATAGAATTCAACACAAATTTCTAAGGTTCGTCGCATTTAAATGTCTAAATAAAAATCTTAAAGAGGAAATATATTATGATGACATCGAAAAACTACTGAAAATCGAGAACCTGGAATCAAGAAGAAAATTAGCCGACGTTAAGTTTACTACAAAGTCATTCAATGATCATATTGACTCAAGCACATTCATACATCACTTCAAATTCACTCAGGATAGTACAACAAGAAATCAAAAAGTATTTAAAACAACACAAAGCAGAACGGACATTGGAAAATATTCAGTTTTCAATAGGCTCATGATGACTTACAACACATTATTTGATGATACAAACGCACTCTCACATCAACCAACAGACGCAAAATTAAAGCAAATAATCCGTGAAAAGTCTGATACATTAAATCATAATTAAAATGTTTGAGTTTTTTTCTACGTCACTGGAATGTTCTTTGGGGGAGGGAGCAACATGGAGCTTGCTCCCAGAGAGCATTAACCAGTGACTTTTTTCTCAAACGCATTATTTCCACATGAAAATATTGACTAAAATTTTTTGTTGTTAAATTTAAAAATCTTCTGACAAATTTTCTAACTTTTTATTTAAAAAAGAATGTTAAAATATCTAAAATTTGCTTACAAACAACACATTTAAAAAATTTTATCTGCTGCAACTTAAGGGCTTTAGCCTGTTTATGTAGTCGAAATGCAAAAATAAATAAATAAATAAAATAAACATTCTGCGGACGAAATTCGATCCCTTTCTATAACATCAATTGAGTTCAACCAATGTTCTTAGGCTATTTAGGCAAATTGCTTTGGAAGGGATGGCAATTATTTCTCACTACCTGAAAAGTGGAGAAAAAAAAATTAATTTAAGATATTTTTTACATCATAAAAATCAATTCATCAAAGAAGTGTAAAATACTCTTGCTTGATTTTCTGAATACAAAGATATCAGCAAAGTTAATTGTGAATAACTCCAAAGTAAATCTTTACCATTTTAACTTGGGGAAAATGTCAGGAAACTTGAATAAGATAAATTCTAATTTTCTTTGATTTTCGTTTGCATACATAGATAAATTACTCACAATATGTAACTGTCATTGTAGAGAAAGGAATAGAAACGATTAAAAATATTTCAATGTCACTAAAATTTGGTGAAATTAGATTCCCTCCATTTGAAATATCGTACGTGATTTAATTTCTTAAGAAATGTGTTACTTTGATATTGAGATGATCAGGAAGGAAAAAATATTTGTTTTGTTTTGTTTAATATCTCAAGAGAAATAAAAAAAAATAGGAAATTAAACCTCTCGGTTTGACTAATTCATGATGGTGGGTGTATCTGTTTTATATTTCCCTAATGAATGTTGTCAGTAACGACAGTTTCCTTTTGTTATGTAAGACAAAGAAATGTAATAACTTTGCCATTAAATTGGATCAATCTATTGATATTGAAAATAGAACTTATTTAGCCGGCGAGAATGTTCGACTTGTTTACTAATTAATAAAATTTGTTTAGGAATTACGCATTACATAAAATCTGTTGTTTGATTCTTCAAATCTTACTTCGGAGTAGCCGGAAAGAGATTGTAATAAAATAAAATTTAATTTAAAAGCAACGGAATCCAATAAAGAATGATCCCTTAATGAAGTTTTATCAACAATACTTTCAGCAGCAATGACTTCTTTTCGAAAATTTTCCATTTGATTTGATTTTATCGAAACGTAATTGGCTTATTTTTGGACAAATTGGTAACAGAACAAAATTTACTGTAAGTGGTTTTCCGACTCGAGAGACAAACGCAATGAAAGAAAAAAATGTCAATTCAGATACTAACTTTTATATTGATTTTAAAAGTACGACATAATTTCAAATCAAATAATTTATTTATGCAAAAATTGTCGACCAACACAAATGCCAAAAGAAAATAAATTTAAATTGTCAATTTAATTGGTTTAGCTTCATGATATTTTGCAAAATTGAAACAAATTAAATTAGTTAAACCGAGTGGAAATTATTTTAATATCTGATAAATGTAATAGAAGAGACATTTTCATTCATTTTGATGTCTATCTATAAATATTGAGTGATCAGGTTTACGTCAAAAAATTCAATTATCGGCTTCTATGGAATTAGATTACAGTTTATATCCAGCAAGCGATAACTCTTCCAGCAAATAAAATCAGCTTTAACTATTCATCAGTAGCTTCAGTTAGTAAAACCAGGCATTATCATATTAAATAAAATAGTTTTAATTAAATAGATAACATTTCGCGTTGATTAAACAATGTGCATGTTTACGAGTGTCTTCAAAGTTTTAATGAAATTAATTTTAATTGAAATGCACGTATACAGAGTTTGTCAATATGTATATTTGCCATTCTCAATGCATGCACAATCTAATGAGAAATGCAAAACTTATTTCAACAACTGAGCTATAGTATTCGGCTTGCTTCTAAAAACTTTATCCTGTTTGTTCATTGGGAAATATAGGAAAGTTTAATACATAAGGTTACAAATTCAAATGAACAATGGCTTTGCAGATTCATTAAAAAGTTTATCGAATTTCACCAACGTTATAATTCTATATGATTCCTGGAAAACCTACAAAATAAATTCGGTACAAAAATCTTCAGAAATTGAGAAAAATGTTTTCATTTAGGTTTGAAAGAATTTTCGGTTCCTTAATAATTTTCTTAAAGAGTTTTTAAATAAGATTTAGATATAAATAAATGTTAAGCTGCTTATGATTTGGAAAAAAACAAAGAGTGAAGAAAATTCTCCTTTGAAGGGATTGAAGAAAAATCTTCAAAGCTTAATTAGCTCTGAAAAAGCTCGTTTTATTACAAACAGTCCATTCATGCCATAAACTTTCAAATCACTGACATTAATATGAAAGAGAAAACAACGAAACATAAATTTTGTACGATACGAAAACATTAATTTACACACGTTATAAATATAGCGACAAAAACGATACAGAAAGTCACAATCATAACAACTTTTACGGACGATAAAGCGCTGAAACTGATTCCATTCATCAAGTAAATAAAAAGAGTTTCACTGAATGTTTTGTGTTCCACTAACATTGGTTTTCAATTTAGCGCTTTAAGGGTTGGATGGGGGATAAATAAAACAACATCGACGCGACGTCAGTGAGGAAAACAATTGATGCTTTCCAATTTATATTCTTTCGCCACGTTGTTATTTCCTGCGATTCGACCATAAAATTTGCTTTTGCTGTCAAATGGTTTCATTTTCAAATTACACGTCGAAAACTGGAAGTTTTTTACAATTTATGTTAAAACACTTTGGTTTTCTATTTTAAAGAAACTCATAGCAACGATGTGTGTATTATTCAAAACTAATCAAATAGTTGGAAAATTATGTTAAGGAACCACAACACGTGTACGTAACTCAAAATTGAATCGTCTTCAAAAGCAGAAATTTCTCAAGAAATTATTCTATTGTATGATTAGATGAAACACGACAACTTAAGACGAAACTACTAACAATCAGGTATGGTAGAATAAGAAAACAAAAGACTTTTCTATTGAAGATAAAGATTATGAAGTGTCTTCAAAATTCAAGCCATCATATCCAGATTATGAAGTTTCTAAACTCAGATTCGGATGAGAATGCTTCAATTCAAGAAACTTCCACTGCATGAGACAGTAAACTAAAGTTAATTAAAAATCTATAAGTACTCCTTTTAAAAACACTTCATTCTTTCTTGCTTTCAATTACATAACTGTTTTCATTTTCATTTGTAGAACTAAAGGACTTGAAATAATAATAAAAAGTTTACCCATTAAACTTTAAGGTAGTTGCTGTCATAACACTTTATGAACATTTTGTCCTTTTTATGATTTCACATTTAAGTAAGAAAATAAAGATTAAAGCTTTGGGAGTAGTTTCTGTGTTATCATCACTGTTATTAATTGAAAACAGTACCATCATCGTACATAATTTATAAGGATGCATACACTTGATTGTCTTACCCGCAGATGCAGCATATTTTAGATTAAACATGAAGTTACATAAAAGCAAACATCATTTGCATATTTCAGTTGAGAATTTCAGTTCATATTTATGTTGTTCAAACTCATGAGGTTTTGAGCTCATTTGAGTGAAAATATTGGAATTTTCTGCTTAATAAGTTTCATATTTCTGCATTTCATCAAAAGTTACATTCATGTTGGTTCGGTAAATCATCAAACATTTGATTTAAAAGAAATAATGCAATAGATTTGTTTCCATACATTTTGTTCAAATGTAAAAGCTCGACGAATCTATTTCATATCTCACTGTTTATTTTTGTTCTATCTTGTTCAAATAGCAGGTTTAGAAAGGATGCGCATACCGACATGAAACCATATTTGAACAAGAGCGTCAGGTCTGGTACAAAATAAATATTTTTCCTTTCGCTTATCCAAGCAAATAAAAACGACTTAAATATTTATGTGGGTCAACTTTGAGTTTTGTGATTGATTTCCAATCCTTAGAGGAATCACTTGCTTCGTTCTTGATATGGATCCGTAAATTTTCATTGGGAAAAGAAATCATTGAGAGTGTTCCACATGTTTCACGTGTATTATTTAATTGCCTTTAGCATACTTCCATAAATATCTGATTCTGATTGAAATATGAGATGAACATTTTCAACAGATGCACTTCAATATTATTGAAAAGTCTGATACAATTGAACAAATTTGAAATCACGTTCTTTACAAACTCTACAAATCAAAACGTTATTACATTGCTATAAGTAAATATATTTCCCTTTGGAATTTAAAGTTTTGTAATAACTTAATTAGATTTTATTAAGAAATGGTTCCATTGTGCTTATTCAAACATATTTGATTACAGACTTCCACAAAGTTTGAACTATTTCTCTAATTGATTATCAAACTTATGTGAAATCATATAAAATGAAGAAACACATAAAATTTAATTGTTCTTCAAAGTTGAATTTCTATCTTAGGTAATTTCTATGACATTTCGATAGCAACTGTCTCCATTCTGATTTTATTTCATGAAACGAAAGACTTACACACAAGCCTTGAAAATGACAAACTTTTTCTTATATCTACACATTTTATGATTGAAGCGAGAATACGATGACAAACTGGAAATTTAATGTAACTGAATGTCAGTTATTTGATGGAAAAGTGCGGCATAACGTCACAATATATTATCATACATAAATGCCGGTAATGCATAAAATAATTTTGTTTTTGAAATAAAATATATCTATTTAACTGTTAAATGTTATTTGATGACTTGAATTTATATAGACATTTAATATCGTGTCTTAGTGGAAGTCATAAAACATAAAGTTTGATAAAAATACAACAAAAAAAAGTTAAACGATAAACACTAAACTACAGTTCTTGTTATAAAACGGTGGCACATTTATCGAATGTGACCTTCGGGAAATTTCTCTAATGACTTGAATTGAATTTTTTTATTGAGTTTTCAAATGGATGCGAGTATAAAAAATGCTTCGTTGCATAACTGTGCAATGTGCAGAAGAAATCATTTTGTAGCGATGTGATCAGAGGATAATCCGAAGATAAATAAACTTAGATGTCATTCATGTCGTCCTATTCAGCTTGTTGAATTCAGTAAACATCACAAATTATTTTCTTCCTCTCAATAATCAATTTCATCCTTTTTTAAAGCGATATCGAAACGAATTTATGTCACAAGATTTTGCATGAATCTTGAAGCTTCCTTGAAATATTTTAAATGTCAAATTCTCCTGCGACTTCACTTTGTTTGTATTAAATAAACAAATTTGTCTTCAATTCTCTTCTCACCTATCAACGAAGAAAGATTCTGTCAGTAAAACTTTTGAAGTTCAGCAAGCGTCATAAATTGGATCAGAAGTGAAATTTAAATAAATATATAATTTGCATAATGTTTAATCAGAAAGTTTCACGAACGTTTACATGATTTCGTCTCACACCTGAGTTGAGAAATTGATTTAAATATTTAATTCACTCGCTTAGATTTTCCGTTGAAGTCTGAGCAGATTCCTATATTTATGTATTTGCTATTTGTTTAAGTTCTTTTTATTTCCTTCCTTTTCAGGAAACATCATCAAAAGCTCGCTAGAAAAACTGGGAGAGTGCTTGTTGAAAGCAGACTTGCTTCTCTCAGCTATTACCTTCTTTAAATGTTAAAATGAATGAATTTCTTCTACCAAGAATAAATCGAAATCTCTTTTGTCTCGGATTAATGCTCACACCTAAAATATATTTTATCTCCTTGTATCTTTAAAAGGTTTCAAATCGGGTTTTATTAAGCTGTCGATTGAACGAAAGGTTCAAAATATTTGAAGACTTTGAAGGGGATTAAGATTATTTTAGAAGATAACCTTCCTTTCCTCCTTCAATTACAAGTTACCAAGAGCAACATTAGAAGTACGGTTTAATAAATCGTCAATCATTCATTAAAATCGCCTTATCTTTATTAACAAAATTAATGTCAAAGGTATTCAACCACGTGAATAGCTATTAAACAAACAAAATTATAATTAACGAATCTTAAACAATCAAGAAACTATTAATTAATTTTACTATCATTTAATTAAGTAAAAGCTTTCAATGAACATTGAAATAAGAACAGATGCAATACATGGACTTACACATATTTATTATCATGACATTTAACTACTTTCAACCCACAAAAAAAAATCAGGAAGATTTATTGTAAAAGTTGCGTTAAGTCATAGCGAAATAACTCAAGAGAACGCTTGGAAAATTCGACTTTCTGAATTCTCATGCAAACAGCTGTAGAAACTTTAAAAAGTTAAACAGCAGCTTTTTCATAAGGAATACTCATTTTTCAAATATGCTTGATTTATTAGATACGAGATTAATATGTTTTATGGGATATCGTGGTGGAGAATCACAATGACGGTTTAAAATAAAAAATATAAATTGTTGAGTAATGAGTTTTGATATTTTCATCATTTTAAGTTGCATATATTTAAATACATTTAAAGATGGTAGAAATCATTTTTACATCATCCTTTTCTTTGTTTTTCTAAGGTTTAGTTGAATAGAATTTCTACTTAAATCTTCTGAATTTATTCATCCTCATTACAACAGCAAAAACTTTCACAAATCAAAAAGTGATCAAATCTTTTCATTGAATCTGTAAAAAATAATCAATCAAATGACATTTGTTCACGTTAACATATATTTTGAGACTTATTATTTTATTTCCTTCTCTTCCACAACAACAATGAAGTTAAAAAGAAAAAAAAGTTGAACAGAGTTGGTGGAACTGCAAGTCATAATAATCAACCACCACCTTTCGAATAACGTTTCCAAAATTTTTTCACATCATCATGACCGTTTTTTGTGACAACCATTGTACGTGTTCTTTCGTTCTGCCATAAAAGAACCTCAATCGATGATGCATAATCACGAAGCGTGATGAAATCAGCTTCTGACAAAAACTGATTATAGACAACACCGTCGATGAAAGAGAAGCGATTGCGCTCGTTTTCCCACAACTTAATTTGGTCGACAACGGTCGGTGGCAGCATTGAAGAGGTTTTTAGTGTTGAGTTCGTCGCCGCTTCAATCATTTTAGGATGAGCATGCTGCTCTAAGTAACTGATGATTTGTCTCGCCGTGATGCCACCACGTAATGCTTGTCTAATGGAATCTCGGGTAATGACCCCAACGGTAACATTTGGGAATCGATAAAGTAGTTCAGTGAACAATGCAAGTAACGAAATTTGTAGCTTTGAATCAGTATAAGCGTAAACACGATAATTTGTTTCAACAATAATATATCCTTTCTCGTATTTATTATCATCACCAACAATGCCAGCTGTTGTCGTCTTGTTGAATGCATTACTCTCGTTGACAATATTTTCAGATACGACAGCGTTCTTTGTAGTGAAATTTAATGCTAACCGTGTTGGAAAGAAGCGTTTCTCTTTTCGTTTTCTTTGATAAACCAAACCAAATTCTCGTAAATGTTGTAAAAATGTGAGCATATTTTCACTCAAGCCTTCTGAACTGTAGTCACGTCCTAGAGTTGAGAAACTCAATTGAAATAACATTGATAAGCATTCTATTAGAGACAAGCCACGCTGTTCGCAAGTGTTCAAATATTGTAGCATGAAATGCCAAACTTGGGATTGCGTATCCATCAAAAGAAATTGAAATCCCTGACTTGTGAGGATAGATGAGCCGTCTTGTTCATTGCGCTTCATGAGATTTGCATGTAATATGATTCTGACAGCATCAACGGATATACCCTCAATTTCTGATCCTTTCGATGCATTGGAGTCAACCATGTAGTGAAGAAGGCAATTCCACCGGGACATTGCATATTGATCGAGAAAATTGATATCACGACTTTTGGCATCAGACTCTATAGAATTAAACATAGACCAGGAGCTTCCACTGTGAAGTGAATACTCCGAAATTTAATTATTGTTCGTAATAGTCCCAAGCTTCTTTCTCACTCACCCTCCTAGCCAGGCAATTTTAAGATTTCTTTTGAATGACGGGTTTAGGTTCCACGCTGATAGGCCTCCGGGAATTGATGCCTCTGCCCAGATCTTAAGTTCTGTCAGTGACTTACACGCTTCTAAATTTTCTCTGTAAGCAAATTGAAGGAAAAGTATCAATAATATTTATTTCCTAACAATTTGAAAATGAAGAAAAATAAACAATTCTAACTTTGCGTAAATCTGAGAACCCCATGATGAGACAACAGCTTGAGGTACTGCCTGCTCGACAAATAACATTCTAATCACAAATTGTTTCGCAATATCTGGAATACAATCTCGATAAACAGCTAAACAAATTGCCGGATATTCATATAATTTTGTTATCACTTGTGCTGTTTGAGATTTTAAATATTCGTGTAGATTCTTGCATTCTAAATGAACTACATTTTTTATTGGCGAAGTTTTCTTTGTTGTCATATTATTTTTAACGTTTTAAAGATTATAACAACAGATTTATCAAGTCCTTTTTATTTTCCGAACTCTACACATTTATTTGTTTACAATTTGTTTGATGTGCCCAAATGGTCATAAAAATCAACTCCAGTGAATATTTGAATTTTATAGCAAATCTAAGAAGCAGATGAAAATGTTTTCCTTCTTCTTTGATTCTTTGAGTTTCCCTTTCTTTTTACAAAATTCCTTTTCAATCATAAACTATTCAAATAAACATGTTTAATACTTCAATATCATTGAAACCATATGATTTCCTTCATATTCATGTCATTCTCAAACAGAAACGTATTTTGATCATGTGAGGGAAATGAACAATTTTAAGTCATGCGTAGTCGTCATATTCCAGAGTGATTTCCTTCACATTCTTACTAAGAATTTTGAATTTCTCAAACAGTTATTGTGTTGCCACTGAACAGTATCGTTGGCTTCGCGTTTTGCTTAATGGATAATAATCATCGATAACAAATAAAAGAATATTTTATGATGTACAAATAAAGTAGTTTTGTGTGAATAAATTGATTTCTTGTCACGAAAATGTCATTAAATCGAGTAACTGTTGAAAGTAAGTCATCAAAAGCATTTGATGGCAAAATTAAAAAAAAGTGTTTCTGGATAATCTTCTTCTAATATTTTTTAAGAGATTTTAAAAAGATTAAATATTTAGCTTGAAATTAGCTCTACCACCAATAGATCTTCTTGATTCAATATATTTAGAACATAATTTGTCGATCAGAGAGTTTGTCTTTGATGGGCAAACTTTTAGTTATACAATGGGAAAAGTTAAAGGCGAATGAAAGTTTTGCAACAAAAGATAAACTTTGTTAGAATATTTTTCGTCCCAAGCGATTATCTTCCACTTGTTCCTGAGAGTGCTTGAATGAAATAAAAAAGCAAAAAGAATAATCGTGAAAAGATTATCTACGGAATGTGATAGTGTATTTAATCTTTTTTACCATTTTTGATAATACATTAAGAAAGTTTATAAATGATGAATGAGTTCAGACCATCACCTGACTTTATTTTTCTAACTATGAAAGGAAGAAGAAAAATATGAACAAAATTTTCAGTCTCAGAAAGTTGCTGTAAATTAAAAAAATCTCAAAAAAGTGTTTATCCAGTCAAGAAATTATGAAAATAATCGAGATAATCTCGAATTAAATTAACTTTTGATGGAAGTGTGTTATGATCACAAAATTGCTTTACTCTTCAAAATGTAAATAAATTGAAATTATCTTGAAGTTTATTCGCTAAGAATAAGTGGAAACTCACAAGGGAAAAAATTGAAATTTTCATTTTTCACCGATAAAAATAAACATCTGGCAAACAACAATTACCATCAATGAAAATCGTTCAACTTGAAAGAGTCGCTTGCTTTTCGATTCATACATTGAATTTCGAATTATTGGCATGAACTGCAAACAGCATTTCAAGATCATGAAAGAAATTTTTTTACTTCATTGCCCATTCCAAAATGAATTAACAAAAGTTGTAGACAATTTCTAAAAATATCACTGAATATTCATCTGCTTTTCCATCAGCTTTTCATTCGGTCATTAAATTTGCTTAATAAATATTTTCCTCGCTTCGTTCCGTATGGCAGAGATCAATAACGACTTTAATGACGCGGGTATTCAACATGTTAACACGCATTTTCTTTCTGAAAAAATGATCATGTTAATTGTTTATTTTGATGGTGATGAAATATGATATGCGCTTTGTGTTAACTGTAGATTGGTGAAAATTTATTATCATTGTAAAAAGCTGCCGAACAATTGTTTAAACCGTAATTTTTTGATTCGTTTGAATGAAAGAATTAAGACTTGTTTACTGAATTCATTCCTGACCTCTTCACTCGCTACAATTTATTCAACAATTTATTCGAATTATCCCGTGAGAAAAAAATCAATAAGCTTGTTTATTAGCTCAAATCATTCGCGCTTATTAGAGTAATGGTGTTGCGAATTAAAGTGAAAAACTGAATATGCTCATTTGATTAAACGATGAAAGCGTTGTTTGTATTACGGTGATGAAAATAACACATCGTTTAGATCACTCTAAGAAAACACTTTCAATATGAAAAGGATGTTGAACGATATAAAACATTCACGCAACAAATGATGGAAATGCTTCTGGCAAACCAGATCTTTTTCCTGATGATGATTCAACTCTAATAAACATCCCCCTTACGGCAAATATAATCACAAAACTCTTTTGAAACATAATTGTCGTAAAAAAATTTAATCATCTCATGAGAGATTTTACGTCTCTTTTTTTAAGAAATTTTCTACGCAACTTTTTCGATGCCTTCAATAATAAGCTTTTCTGTTCATTCACAGTTCGTTTATTTTTCGAGTTCCATCGTAACTCACTCTTCTCGAAAACAGAATTAAAAACTTTTAAACATTCTTTTCACTGTCAAATCCATTAAAGGTCGCTCATGTTCATGCTTCTTTTTTATACATAAATTTTTTTATAGATACTCTGCTTTAAAAAAAGTTAATTTCCGTGAAATTGTCAAATTTGCGACCTTTTCTCTAAATTCTTTATGAAGTGAAATTGAATTATTGGAATATAATTCAGAAAATTTGATAGCTTCAACCTCTTGAGATGTGGATTAAAATATAAAATACTCTTCCATTCAAACAATGACAAGTCAATTTTCTTGCTATTCGTGTAAAGATTATTCATTCTTCAAGATTTTATTCTTTTCAATCTCTTTTTTTTATAGCCTCGGGAAAAAGAATTTGTCCGTTTTTCCGAGGGAAATTAATTTGCTTCTTTTTGTGTTGTAAATTAATCTCTGTGCAGAAAATTCCTTTTGCCTTCTCAAGCTTTGAATTTATGCAAATTACCTCAGCAGGGTTGGTTTGCGGGTGTGCTAAACACGAATTGAAATCCGTTGAATCGAAAAAAAAGTGTAAAAAGGATCAAGAATTTATTTATTTTCGGAAATGTTGTAATTATAAAATATAAAAGAAAAAAGAAAAACGAGAAAAAGATTAAGCAGTAATGAATTCCTGATGATTACTGGCAGCTTTCATTTTAATTACTCACGTTTTCTCTTTGTTGTGGTAAAACAAAAGTTTACAATACTGGATAACAATTTGCTTGGGATCAAATTCACTTTTCTTCGCTTGAATGTCTTCAAGGATTTTCGATGGTGGAAGTTAATTTTATTGGTGGTCACGATGAGTCACTGACTTTACGATGTCGGCAAATGGTGATAAAAGGATAGAAATCAACTTTTGGGATGTGAATTGAGAGATAGAATGAAGCAAGCTGTTTGAAACAACATTAATTTTATTGCTTAAATGGATCTTTGAAAAGCACTCAAGCCTTGCATTTAATGAAATTGTTATCTTCATTGAATTCCTACAAGGAACATCGAAAACAAAAACATCATCAGTTAGTTTTAAAGTTTGAAGAACAAACTTCGCAAATAAATTTATTTCACTGTGAGATTATTTCCATTGCTCCAATAACGTTGAGTGAACGTCAATGAAGCGAAAGCTTTTTTTTCTGAATATACAAGCGAGAGAAAATTAATTTAGAAAAGGTGGAAATCTCATTACTTGAACCTTCAACGGATTTCATGTCTTTCATGAATCATTGAGCTTTCAACACTTTCAAGGTTTTTTAACATACAAATGAATTTATCAGCGTGTCTATGCTCCAATTGAGATGTAAATTAAGCGGAGAGAGAATATTGAAAATGATTGTAAATGATGGAAATAGTTCCAATTGAATACATTCAATATCAGACTGATGAACTTTAACAATGAATAAAATAGAAGAAATTTTTTCATGAGCATTCATGTAAAAGCATTCAACTAGTTTTCTATTACACACAATTGATTATTTAGTTAGATTTATTGGAAATTAGGAAATTAGAAACAGACTTAAAATCCGGAATAAAATTGCAATCAAATTAACCACGAAATATTCATATGTAATTGTTTGTAACAGTTTGCTTCTGACACGAACCTCGACACGTTTGGGTAGTGAAATGAAAATTTATATTTAGAAAATTATGAGGAAATTTGTCGTTCACAGCTTAAGCAATAAAAGCGCCAACTGTTCAAGAGAAATTATTAGCCTCTGATTCATTCAACTTTATTGTTTATTCCACTAGATTTACGGATGACATCAGAATAGAACTTTCATGTTTTTAAATATTTATTAGCTCTCCAACAGTCATGTTGGCTTGGAAAAGATGAAATCTAAATATTCCTCCACTTTAAACTCTATTTTCAGAGAATCGATAACATTTTGTGCCTGAAGATAAGAAAGAAAAAAAGAAGAAAGAAATTTTTTCGAGACAACTCAAGAGAGATTCTGCAAAGAAAATTATCAAAATCTTTGAACAAAATTTACTATCGTTAAAGTCTGCAAATGCAGCGAAGTGTAAACATGAATATGTTTCAACAACAACAGCAGCAGTTGAATTCATCTCTTTATACAACACCATACTACTTTGGGAATAATGGAAGCCAATTAACTGATCTCGATTTGTTGTATCCTTTTGATGATACAGTTGAGGGTGCAGTTCCAGACAATTACAGCGACCTTTATTGTCAGAGTGTCTCCTATCAAAACATATCGTATATCAATGTATCGTGCGATGCAACTTTAGAGTTTTCAGTTCCACTTTATGGTGAGTAATATCATCAAAACATGTGGGAATGGCGTTAAATAGATACAAGAATGATAAAATTTTTCAGGCATTATTGCTCCAATCTTCATGTTCATCACTCTTATTGCCAACTCGGCAATTGTCGTTGTACTGTCAAAAAAGAACATGCAAACACCCACAAATGCTGTGCTTCTAGGTAAGCTTAAAAAGAAATCAATCGTTTGTAAATATTGTCTTTTAATTTTTCCGTTTTCTTCAATTTAAATTCTTTTTTCTCCTAGGAATGGCGATTTGTGACTTTCTTACAATTTTATTCCCAGCACCAGGCTTTATTTATATGTACACATTGAGAAATCACGGACGACCTTTAGGCCCTGTCAGCCTTTGTTACATATACTATTTCTTCAATGAAACGCTTCCGTCACTTTTCCACACAGCAAGCATTTGGTTAACAGTTGCCCTTGCTTTTCAAAGGTAAGACAAATTCCATCCCAACATAATTTAAATAGCTTTGAAATATTTGTTAAGACGTTTCATTTAATTTTCCATTATAAAACACGAAAAAAAGGTACATTTATGTGTGTCATGCGCCACTAGCTAGGATCTTCCTTACAATGCCAAAGGTGCGACGTAGTATATTTTATATAATCATTGCTGCTGTAATTCATCAGAGTACGCGTTTTCTTGACACGTAAGTTTTGTAGAATTTATGACAACTTGGATGATTGCATAATATTTGAAAAGCATTCAATGTGTGGAATAAAAAGCACTCTAGGTGGTGATAGTGTTGATGAATAGAACTTAAACTAAATAAGAATAAGATGAAAAGTTCTTCAATAAAATTGAAATATTCTATCATATGCATAAGTTGAAGGCGTGGGCGTCTTATCAAACATTTTCTCCTTCAACTTATGCAAGTTGAAATGTGTTTCTTGGGAATGAATGTTGAACATAAAGTTCTCTAACTTATTCGACATCCTTTTTTTCATTTTACTTTCATCAAATAGAGTTCATATGCCTGTGGAAACGATATGGGAAGGTGAAGATTACATCGTTTGTCATCAAAAACTCGCCGACTGGGTAGGAGACTACATAGGAGAAGATTATTACTTCACGTTTTATTTCATGTTTCGTGTTATATTTGTACATCTTCTACCATGCATAATGCTCATTCTTCTGAATATTCTCTTGTTTCGAGCAATGAGATTAGCACAGCAGAAAAGACAAAAACTCTTTGACAAGTGCTATAAGAAGTCAAAAAGAGCGAATAACAAAAACTGTACAACATTAATGCTGATAATTGTTGTTTCAGTGTTTTTAATCGTAGAAGTGCCATTAGCAATTATCACGGCACTTCATGTGATTAGCTCGTTGTTCATCAACTTTCTAGATTATCGAATAGCTAACATTTGCATATTATTTGCAAATTTCTTTATTATTCTTTCATATCCGGTGAATTTTGCGCTTTATTGTGGCATGAGTCGACAGTTTCGTGAAACATTTAAAGAGATATTTTGGAGACAATCTTTAACGGTTAATGGGAATAATGAGACAACTATTATGGGTGGAAGTCGTAAACAAAATGAGATGAGTTCAAGATATTCGCTAGTGAACGTCAATGGCCCAAGGACGAGTACATCCAATGAGACTGTTTTATAATTTTATTACTGACAATCATAAAGAACCGTAATTAATTAATTAATTGATTTATGACGATTCTTAAATAAGCTTTACAGTCTATTTTCTGTTTATCGTCTGTTTGGCACTTTTCTGCGCAGTCACTTTTGTAAGAGTAAACAGAATTTCGTTTTTTGTTTTTTAATGTCATTAAATAGGCTGGTCGACTTGTAAAATGATATGTAACAAGACAGTCTGACACATTCATGTAGATATCCGAATCCGACCGACAAAGCTTCTTTTCACCGGATGTTCGCTATGGAAATTCCATGATTCGTTTTAATTTCTCGTAGTCTTCTTATACATTAAAGATTTTCTTTTTACTTCTAAGCGTTTAATTACGACAACAAACACCTTTTTATGACACGGATTATGATTATTATCATGACTAAAATGTTGGACTGGAAAAGGATGTTGAAGAAGTCAAGTTCAGAAAATATTTACGTCCACGAATTTTTCATAAAATGCTGTTGAGAACGGCGTAATTAAAGCTTATAATATTTTGTTATCAACAGCTTGATTAACGACAGGTAATTCTGTTGCCAACCATAATTCTGTCACAAATTGCTGTAAATTGTTGATAAAGGAAAACAATCAGAAATCACTTAAATCGTCAGTTGTTAATGATGGAAATGGTATCGGAAAATTATTAAACGATAAACGAGCCCCTAAAAAGAAAAAAACGAGAACAAAATTTTAACAATTTTCCGATTCCAAAAAGAAGCTTTAAAACTTTCACTCAAAATCTGTTTGAATTCATTTGCAATTTGCATTTGAGTTTTATTCATCTTTTTTGAGAAAGTTAATTAAATAAAAATGGTGCAGAAAGATGTAACAAAACTTGATGGTTTAAGTTTCGCTGAAATGTTTTATTTAAGGATCAAATCTTTAATGTTCATTGATGTTATTGTCAGTACAATATTTATATGATAACTACACACATATGTAAATAAATATAAATTATATTTTTGGTAACTTTGTTCGAATTCGTGAATGATTTAATGAAAATTGTTTTCAATTCTGATCACGAATTGTTAAAGCCAAAAGCTGTAGTTAGGTTTTCAATAGTAAAATGATTGAAAATTTATGGGAAACTTTACGTGGTCAAAACTCTTGCATAATCACGTAAATGTGACCTGAAAAGTTTATCAATTGTTTCATGAAGCAGGTGAAAAGTTTTATCGATATTAATAAAAGTAGAATGAGATAAAATATGTTGATAAAAGAAATTTACTGATAGATATGTAAGTGTAATCGTATGTTCTTTATTAAGAGAAAATCAACTTATATGCATGACAAGACTATCGCTTAAAATGTATGATGACAAATAAAGAATTTTAATTTTATTTTTCATTGTGATCATGTCTGTAGAAGAAAAATTTCTTTCATTTCCTCTTTGGGCTATTTAGAGTTTCAATTTGTTCTTGGAATTACTTAAATGTTTCCTGTTTTCAAAAACATTTCCAGATGGCGATGAAAACCTTGAAGAAGTACATCAAAATTTTATCCTACGAAATTTATATTCGTCACAAAAAGTTGAAGACAGGCATTGGAATTCATTTCGGGATAAGACGTAGAATTAGTTCTGAGAACTATCGTTCAGTTTTGGAAGCTTTTTCAGAATAATTAATTAAAAAATTTAATGATTTTCCTCGAAAAATCAGGATTGGAAGTTCTTGCCAATGCCAATCCCTGACTAAAAATACATTTTTCTATCGATATCGCAGAAGCAATTTACCGAAATGTCGTTTTCATTGATATTCTCGGTTTACAACCCTCTGGTCATATCTTTCGATTCTCCTCGTGTCCGTCTGTTTCTTCGAAGAATAACATCATCGAACAAAGAAAAAACAAAGATTGTCAGACATTTTTTCAAGGGTTTCAGTTTTAAAGTGAATTTAATGTTGAAGAACTTTCCCCCAACTCATATTTTTACATAATTTATCCTCAAATTTTTAGCTGCAGGAACAATTTCATTTCCAATTCTACTTCGTTTCTCACATCGATTTTCTTTTTATCACAGAATGAGAGCGTCAAAAATAATCACGTCTCATAGCGGGTTAACACGGTATTCAAATAATAAAAAATCGAGAGCAGAAATCTTAACAGAATTGATTCATAAATCTATGTAAAGAGACTCAAATTGACATTTCATCGCCAAACTTTAAGCTTCAGTGATCAATAAAACGATTCATACGATTTCCACATTCACTGTAAACGTCGTCGTCTTTATTGAGTAAATTCCCTTAGAAATGTCACTGCAATCCATCAACAGAGTGAAGTTGTAAATCATGTAAGTTCACGCGAAAGTCTCGCGTTAAAAAAGGTGAAAATGTTAAAGAAAAAGACATGAGATGTCTCTTGGTTTTCTAAACATGTCATGAACATGATGGAGACACAAACAAGGTGGCATTGATAAGACCTTAGGATTTGGAAAAGGAAAATCTACACAAGTCAGAGGCTTGATTTGTAATTTTTTTTTCTTTCTTTGGATCTTTTGAAGAAAGAAAGAAGAAAAGTGAAAATGGAAAAGATTGTGAGAGGTTTCGTTTTCATTTCGAACTGATGATGAATCTGATACATACTTTCATTACAGAATCTGAATTGAAATTCTTAACAATAGCTCGAAAACAACTTCGAGTCTCTTTATACAGATGATTCGCAATTTATCTCTGTTTGAATGGTTTCGTTTTGAATTTCTCGAACAAGATATCTATTTGTGTGTTTGTCAACAGGTTTCAAGGCCACATTCGTATTGACAGATAAGAATAATGTTGGGTGATAAAAATGCGTCATTTTCAAAACAAAAATTTCTACTTCAAAGGATGACAATGTTAACAATACCGAGGCGAATATGCTTTCAAGCTTTAGCTTACGACAGAAAGAGAATTTGTTTGATTACTTAATGAATACTAAATGCTTCTGTCAGAAGCTAACCACCGCAACTGACGTAATCTTTTGCGAAATGTTAACATCCAAATAAAGCATCGTGAATGGACTCATTTGTAAACAAAATAAATCGAGAATTTTCTTTCTTTTGTGCAAGAAATAATTTTTTCTTTCTTCTTTTTCTCATCCTTGATAAATTGTAGACATTTCAATGAAGAGTTTTCTAGGGTGTGCCGTCATTAATAATGCGAATCATTCATTCATTGAGTAAAGTAATCATAAAAAAAATTCACAACAAAACGTTTGAAAGATTAATTAAGAAGAAAGTGGTAAGCTAAAGATTAATGTATTTGGTTGACTTTGCTTAATTATCCTGCATGATCGTCGGAAAGGGGAAACTGACAGAAACGAATGAAAATAAAGTAAAACAGAAGTCAACATACCCGGGAATTCTCCGAAGAATTGAGAGCGCCAGATGAAATGTTATCTTCATCGTTTTAAAATTCTCCAAGTTAACCTTCTCGTGATGAAGACTCTTTTATGAGCATGCAATTTTTATGCTTTTTTTTCATTCCTTTAACGAAGTTAACATCAGTGTCACAAGAATAAATAGTTGAAGATGCGACGGAATTCAAAACCGAAAATTCTTATCGCTTTTAGAACATTTCCATTATGTGAATGCATTTTAGTAATTGATTTATGCATTTCCCACATTAATTTTCTATTAAATGATATTAAAGATGTGTCACGGAATATTCAATTATATTCATACCAGCATGAACCAAAATGCAAATTTGTTCGGTCATTTGATGATAATTTTATCATTCGGTCATTTACTTCAGGGTACAATCTACAAATGCAAACAATGTTGTTGAAATTCTTGTTTTAATAGATGATGGTGAACTTCACGCGTCTGACCTGTTTACTTATGGCGCTATAAAGTAAATTGTGAAACGCGATATGTATATTGCTTCAGATGAATACATTTCTCTGTTATTTATCTGTTTCTGTAACATTATGTGTATATATAATCTACATACAAGCAATATGTTCAGTGGATTCGCATGGAAAATGTTCTAAATTATTCCAACAATAAAAGCGAATGAATTTCATTGTTTTCTATGTTTCTATATGCACAATCATATGTCACATAGCTTAAGTTTATTACGTTTCCACATTTCCTACTCATTTTAAAGCCATTACTTTAAAATCGGTTATTTCATAAAGTGCCTGAAGGAACACAAAAGAAGGAAATTCACATTCACAGCAGATTTTATGAATAACTCAAAAAAAAGGAGAGGCTTTGATATTTTGGCTTTGAAAAGGATTTATGTTAAATGTTGGAAAGCAAAATTTAAGCGATGACATGAAAGCTTCACGAATTCTTTAAGGGATTTTCGATGACTTTGCAAAGGGATGAAATGAAGAAGAAAAAAAAGCACAATACAAAAAATGATATTATTTAAATTGTTCAGTATTGCCCATACTGTGCTCATATGAAAAGAGATCATCGTTTCATCCAATTGCACAATTGATGAAAGCTTGTCATTTATTATTAAAAATGGATTCATTGAGGTGAAACGTTTTCATCAAGTGAATCGTGAACACTTCACAAATGATTGATTCAGTCATCTTTTAAAAATTTATGTTTCCGATTCGTATTATTTGGGAAAGCCTTGATTGATGATTTTTCAACAATTTCCCGAAAGTACCGTAAAATTTCCGAAATGTATTTTAGTAAGAAAAAGTTTGATCATCTTTCCTGTTCATGGATAATTGCATTTAACTTTTAATATTAAAAAATTATTTAAACGTATTCCCCGTTGAAAATTCAATTTTCCGCAACTATGAACTCGAAGGAAATTTGATGATTTGAAATAAATTTTCAGCAAATATAAATCTGGTTGGAAAATTGAAAAGTCAAAAGCTTTTTTCCTGCATTTCTCAGAAATTGAAATGTCTGTAGAATACTTTATGAAAGTTTGATAGCTTTTAAACATAATCCGCATGAATATCTTTCGATTCAATTTCCTTATCAAAACGTTCTTACGAATCACTTAAAGATAATCTGCAATAAATTACCTGAAGTTCTTGGAAAACAACCACATTTGAATCGTAATCATTAATATTATTTCTTTAGAAAAGCTTTAGCTTTCTTCTCCTGATAATCCAATGGTAATTAATGATAAAACTTTCCTCAAAGACTGAACAGTTAAGCTCCGGTGTCTGACATTTGCTACTGTAATTTAACTACCAGCTTCGTCAGTTCTCAATGGTGATTAAATTTCTTGCAATTCTCATTTCACTTTTGTTGTCAAAGACAAAGAAATGTTTCACAAACTAAGTGGTTGATTTTTTAGTGTGAAAGTCATTTCAAAGAGAAAAAACAAAAGAATTGAGTGAAATTTATCATGATGAACGACCTTAAAGTTTTGAGCTTCAAAGTTGTAACTATGAATAAATGGGAGAATAAAGTTTTCCGTCATTTAAATAAATGAAAGTCAAGTTAAAAGTTTTTTTTACATTCTTTTATCAGGGCATGGAAAAAGTATTGCTAACCAATTCACATTCCAATTCAATTCCTTTTTATGTTACAAACTTAGTTGCTACAAAATTATTGACATTATCTGCATTCCAATTTCTTCTACATGTGATTCAAATTCAGAACAAGGAAACAACATTTCAATATTTCTCACTGAGTTCTGATTCAGAGCCCTGATTTTTATATTTGCGCTTAATTTTGGTTTTAAAGTTACTTCAGTCAATGTTTTTAAGGACAGTTATAAATTTTTATTGAAATTAAAGCACTAAATTAAAGAAATCCTTAAAAACGTAAGAATGAGAAGTCACTTGAAATATTTTATGTTCAAAGATACTGAAACACGAATTTCTGCTTCTGAGAAAATTGCAACGTGAAACGTTTTATTAATTATGTATAATTTCCTTTGAGTATTCATCGAAGGCTTAACAACGCTTACATGGAACTGTAAATAATTTAAAATTATTTTAAAGACTTTTCAAAGAAGACATTGCAAAAAAATTGAATAAAATGTGTAAATAAACTTTGAATGGAATTCAATAATTCAAAAAAAATTCTTAAAGTTGAGTTGACGAAAGTTTCATCCTCAATCATTTAAAATGAATTTGATGATTCATTTATTTAAACTATAAAAAATTTTCATTCTCCTTCTCTAAAGAAACATAAAGAATGACAATAAAATAGAACCGAAACAATGAAAGAGATAAAAAAGAACGATTGTGATGAAGCGAGTAAAAGAAAAAGAAAAAACTATCAATCTAAAAAGCTACTTTTGTTGGATATTGTTGTCTTTATAAAGCTGTCAGTTGAGTAATCCCGAATGATGAGCTTCAATGGCTTTTTATTTAAAACATTCAATTTCTAGGAGCTAAATGTCAAAGCTTTATATGCATGCATCTTCATATGCCTTTGATGAGGTGGAAAAATAAAGCATTACATGAAGACATTTCGATACCCTTTTCTAAATCAACGAAAAATATATTTTTACGACATAAAATAAAGCATACATCATTGAATTATTTCTACATCATCAACACTACAATCATATAATGAGTAGCGAGAGACATCAAGATTAGGTTTCTTATTGTTTAATCTCTTGAAAGGTGTGAAAGAAAAGATTGATGGGTGTTCTCCCCTTTGTTGATGTATGTGAACTGACAAGATCAGGTCAAAGTTTCTTCATAAAAAATCTGCTGGAAATCTTTTTTTTGGAACGATCGTCTGCGCAAGTGTTTGTTGGAAAGCTCAATTTGATTATCATATGGGTCACTATTTCACAAAGATGATACTTTAAGTTGAAGTTAAGTAAAAAAATACGCAACAAAGACGTGTTGGTGGTCTTCATACTTCTTCACTTTCTTGTCATATTTGACATTTTTTTGTCCCAACTTACTTTTGAGCAAAAGCACTTCAATTTGTTAATGTCATTCTCACATGCTGCGTGCTAGATTACTATAAACAGATATTTTCTTCCATCTATGCATATTCAACTGTTCATTTGTATTCGTTGCGCAACAGGTGTCATCATATGAAAAAAGAATAAAATCTAAAGAAGAAAAGAAATAAAATAAGCTTGACTCACAATTGAATTTACCCCCACGGTCTTAAAATGACGCATTTTTTTGAGAGTTTTGTATGATATAAGAGGGATATAAGAGGGAAGAAAACACTTAACGTCGAAGCTTAAATGCGAAGCGTAACAAATAGATCAATTTATCTTAAAATAAATTTCCTGTTTCGCTTCAAGCTTGAAATCGATAACTTCTTCACGCAGACGATAAACCTCCACGTAGAAATCATTTGTATCTCGGATTATTTCTATCTCCATAAACCTTTGATGCTTACAATGTAGTCAATTCTTATATGGAAACAGATTAAAAATAATTTTTATTTTTTCAAGACATGTCAGAATGTGTGAATGAACTTTAGAAAGCAAGAAATAAGAAAAATATGGAAATTTTTAAATTTATTACGGAAATATTAATACTTAGGTGTTGATGTAAGACACAGAAGAAAATTTATTCATTCCCATTGTGATGCTCAATGCTACAAACGGTTTCTTGTACTTTTTTTTCTCCATTTGTTCTGCTCCCATCTGCAGCTGATTACCCGTGAAAATTGCAACTGTTTTTCAACATAAGAGCAAAGTAAAATAAATGGGAAATTTTTCTTTCCCACAATGAGAAAAATAAACACAACGAAGCTATTTATGTTGGTGAACTTCAAACGTAATCAAAAAATACGACAAAAGGCTTTTCGTGAGCCGTAAACTTTTTCTTGAGTGTACAATTACTTTGCCTCCCGTTTTTTTTAACAATTTACCGACTTTGTTCGTTGTTCAAAGAGAATGTTTTTACCTAACTTGCTACATATTATTATATTTTTGAAATTACGAATGCTGATGACATGATTCACGATGTGGAAAAAGAACTTTAATTTACTTTTAAAAGAAAAAAGAAACTTTTTTTAAGGTTTCAAGTTGAAAATAAAATTTAAAGTTTTTTTATTTTCTTCTTTGAGTTTATTTGAAGACGTGAGAAACGACTAAGATCGGATCTACAAATTTTCTGGATTATTTAAATATCTTTTGTTTACTAAATGCGGAGAAGCTCTGTTATTTTATTTTAAATTTATTCACATATAAGATATGCGAGTTAATTTATCAGACGATAAACTCGCAGTTAATTTTCAAAGAAATAAATTTAAAGCACTACAATTGAGTTCGTTTCTACTCTGAAAATGTAAAACAGTTTTGTCTCGGAGAATACAATTGTAGCCACCTTAACCACCCTTAGAGATTATCAGGTGTAAATTGTGATAGAAGAAGTTAAATTTATTTTCCCTAGCTATCTAGGAGAATTAATCGTGACGGAGGTTGTCACGTAGATCATTGAAATCGAAAGCAAATTCAATGGCTTTCCTTTTCCATGTTAATAAGTTAAAGGAATAAGAAGAAAATGTCAGCGGTAAGTAAAAAGAAAACGTTTTCGTTTAAAAGTTAATTTCGTCTCAGAGGAAAACTTCGCATAATCTCGAAGTCTTCTTATCTCTAAAGCGAGATTGATGACAGTAATTTTGTTTTGTGTTTTTGTGCTTCTGAATTTCACGCATCTAATTTGTCCGGTAAACCTCCATTAGAGCTGTTCAAATAAATTTTGCAGATACTAAAGATATGAAAAACGTGATTAATCATACTTTGCTTGCGTTGGAAAATTGAATTCAATTAGGTGCAACATTGTATGCAAAAAGAAAAAGTCAAAGGAAATTTATTTATGCTTTGAATAATTTAAAAACATTTATGAATCTTTTTATCTTCACCTTTGAACATAAATTCAGATCCTAAGGGGAATTTAATGAAATAAAATGACTTGAATTGTTGAAGTGAAGTTCAGTGCTTTAATAAATTGGTATATGAAGCACAATATTTTAAAGCGACCCTCATCTTAATGACACTTTACGGGCAGAGCTTCTAGAATCTAATGAAAATGTTGATATGGGAAATGTGAAGTTTTTTTTTTTCTGTAATCTCTAAGCTCTAAAGTTAATTAAAGGATTCGTTGTAAAATTAATTATGTTTTTATATAAAACATACATATCTATCAACATTTCGTTCCATTATTTATTCTGGAAATTCTTTTGTCGTTTCACTTTTTAATCTACATTTGAAAATAATATTGTAATTTAAAATTTTGCTCGTGAAGATGCTTTGGGGATAATTGTATTTAATTATAGCCATTCCTTGTATAATGCATCTTATTTAAATTGCTGGCCAGGAATGTTGGAACATTAATACATTTTTATGAATGTTTATAATGAAAATATTTTCAGGAGAAACTCGGGAAACGTAAAATAGATTGTTGAATGAGATTATATTAAAAATAAGCGTTTACAAGTGAATAAAATGGAAATTACGAAGTTTCCTTCATGATGATCTAAATTTAGATATGCGGAAATGTTTCTTTGACTTTCATGACTTAATTATGCATAGTTCAGAAGTTAAAATTCATCTTTAATAGTTTCTCTTGTTAAATATTTAAGGAAACATATTTGGACGGGTAAAAAGTCAACATGTAAGTTTAAATCAGGGCTGAGAATTGGTTTTCATAACCATTATTTGATTTTCAAGATAATTTTTACATTTCAATGTAACCATACTCTGTTTAAATTCAAGACCCATGAAATTCCATTGTGAATATCTATAAAATAAAAGTAATTTCATGGTTTGAAGAGAAGGAATCAAATATGACTTTTCAATTTGGTTTCGTATCCTGAAGTAATTTAAATTCAAATTACAACATCAGCTTCCACTGTAAAATTGAAATATAATAATAAAAAGCATTCTCTGACTTTTTTTAGAACGAAAATTGCCTAAAGAAGGCATAAGGATTAGCCTCAGCCTTTCTCCATATCTTTGATATTCATTTTTATTACTTCAGACTTTCAAAAAAATATTTATAAGATGTCGAGACATAAGGAACGTGATTAATTCGTAATGCAAAGTACTTTAATGTCTGCTTTATAGATAGCGAAAGAAGAATGTTCATCAAACTTTTCAGACTACACTTAAGCGTTTGTTTATTTGAGAAGCTTAAAAGATTTCTTGTTGAAAATATTTCAAGCACACGAGTAAACAACATTAAAGGGATAATAAAAGGATCAATTTATCCTCTTACTTTAAAACATCAAGTTATGTAATAATACCTGCTTGCGTCTATGTACGAAACTTCAATGCTAGATCGAACTGATTATTTTAACAAACATGCGGAGAAATGATGCAGGAAAGAAACTCTCATGTGTTTATGTAGACACTAAATTTCTTGGAGTTATTCCAAGTACATGCTAAGTGCATAATAAATTTTGAATTTTTTCTCAACTCGACTTTTAATGGATTGAAAGACATCGGTTAGAGACTGCATCGTTCTATTAAAATACAATAGTGAAGCTAATCTCTTGCTATGACGTTAAGGATATTGTTTGTTTATACACGTACACGTTTACTGGAAATAAGAGAAGTACACATTCTGTCTTGCTTTTCCTTTAAATGCCATTGTTTGTTTATCCCTCGAGTATCAATTTCATATAGAACATATTCAAAGCAATGCATTAAAGTCGCTATCTATAGAGGTTGTTTTATAAATAAATTGGATGGTTGGTTGGTTGCTTTTATTCATGAGTCACTGCTGCGCAACGGAATTTAATGTAAGTCAAAGAAGATATCTAAATATTCAAGGATCTTTATTAAAATTCTCTTTTGCATATCTAACATCCGATAATCAATACAATTTTTTTAACTTAAACTAACACACACCCACGGAATTTAATATTCTTTTCACTGACTTCTGATTTCAAAATGTTAATTTTAGTACGTTTGCCAAGCTTTTAATGTTATGCTTTGATGTTCATAAAGATTTTCACTTATGCAAAGCCGTAAGTTTTTTATTTTTTACTTTCCTCTCTACATTTTGCAGTCATCCACTTTGAATTAACATTTTACTGGATTCATCAAAAACACAACCTTAGTGTCAAGCAGATTTGTTTCTGCAAAGTATAATTTGAAATTTTAATTGTTGAATAAACGATTTACAAAGCTTTCAGTTTTAACGCGGTAGCATTGCGGAAAGTTTTTATGTAAATATTGCAAAATGAATAAAATTCATGTAAAATATCTTTTATGCATTGCCTTGGGAGCAGAACTGGATATTTTCATTCGTTCTGTTTAGATTGTTATACATATTAAAAAGCAATTTAATTTGACATGAGAATGGCGACGGTAAGAGGAAAATGTTTGAAACATCAAATGACTGTGTGAAAGTTTCAATTAAGTGAGATTGTTTTGTAATATGAAATTATTTAATTTTAAAGCGAGGATATTTTGTAAAAAATATTAATTATTAATTTTTGCTTCCTCTGGTGTTTAATGGTAATTATCAGACGACCAGTGGATGCAGGAAGCCATTTGTATGTAATTAATAAAGCTTAGAAACCATTAAATTATTCCAACTGAACTGTATAAAACAATTTTTTTATTTGTTTAACAGCATGATGTGCTTTTTTCTGTCTGCTGAAAACTTTACAGAAGAATCTTTCTGAAGGAAAATATTTTCTGTGCTTTTGATGTTCTTCGTTTACTCTCCGCCATGTCATTCACAGTTATTTTATTGAAATTATCTCATTTGATTCCATTCATTTTTTTAAATAGGAAGGGAGGAACAAGATAGTGGTTCATTTCATTCCAAGCAATTTTCAGGTCATTTACCAGTTGAATAAAACTTTATAAATTAATTAAAAAGTAAAGCAGTCTGTTTAGGGTCGGGGTGGGTGTCTGGAATTCAGCAAAAAGGGAAGTAATTTCATTAAAATACATAATTATAAATACCTTTTGTGTCGCAAAAAATTATTTGCTATGTTAATGTTTTAACAACATAGACATTTGATGTTACTGAAAATTATTTTCCATTTAAACTCGTCAACTATCAATTTATTACTATAACTTTTATGGATGTTGCTGAAAATTTTGTCAGTCACACATATTTTTTAATGGATTGAATGATAAACATGTAGCAAAAAGCTATTTATGTTAATGTTTATTAGTCTCATAATTCTTTAAAGGAAGATAAGGTTCATGTAATAATTCAGTTGATAACATTTTAATTGTATGTTCGCTTTATAACATGTTTATCGATTTATTATTCAAATAATACTTATGGCAAGCTTGAAAGCACAAACGAGTTCAACAATTGGCAGTTTGTTTGTTTTTATTATCGTACACTAATGGACTCCTATCACAATTAATTGTCTCCTTTGTCAATAATTTATTTGAGTAGGTTTATAGAAATCACAACAATTAAAGTGAGTGAGCAATAAAGTTAAAACAATAACGCTATGGGATTGCAATTAACTTTACGTATCGACAATAAATCAATTTGATTTTTGTTCTTTTCAGCTGTGATATTGAGCAAAGAATTTCTTTTTACTTTTGTTTATTAGTCGCTTACATTCATTCGAAATAAAACGACGGAAATGTTTTTGAAGCATAGATTGGATTGGAAGTTTTTATTTAATTTTCTTTTGGGTCTATTTACTTTGAGTGGCTTTTGTCCTATAGACGCCAATGCCAAACGAAAAGGAAGAAAAGAAATCGATTTTTCAAGATTATTAATAATTTTATCTCTCCTACATTTAGCGGTCGCGATAATTCTGATATTTTTTGCATGCAAAGCTTTTTATGATAACAAATTTGAAGTGGCAAGTTTCACAAATATTTTGAAGTTCTCAATCATGGCATTGACTTACGCTGTAGCAATAATAGAATCACTTATATTGCGTTGGAATTTTGTGGAAATTTGGGCAAGAATCAGAATGATTGATGTACTCATTGGTAACATGCTACCAGAATTTCATTCTTTGTTGGAAATATTTTACAAGAAAATTGTGACAAAGATTTTCTCTTACATATTGTTGACAGTGTTACTTGAAATTGTAATAATTTCAAACATTAAATCCGACGAAGCTTGGACTTTTATGTGGATTATTTCAATAATTCCACTCAGTATGAGTCGGTTACGACATCTGCAACATTCTCTCTTCATTGACTCACTTACATGTCGCTTTAAAGTTGTCAAGAAGGAGATGAAGACAATTGTAAGACTTACAAAGCTCGAGAAGAATCAATCTTTCTCAAGAAATCAATCTTACTATGAGAGTGTTTTCAACAAAATCAGCACCATAAAGAAAGTTTACAACGCACTGTGGGAAACTTCTCTCTGCATTAACAGAGGTTTTGAAATGTCTCAGCTTCTAAATTTACTTCAGAATTTCGTTCAACTTACCTGCGACCTTTACTTACTATATTCATTTTTATACAACAGCAATATGACTTATCTTCTTGGTAATAATTCATTCTATTTTTAAAAAAAATATTGTCTGAATCATCAATCACGTTTTTATTAATTACATTTTTTATCGCTTTCTCATTAAAGAGCTTCTTTTTCAGTTGTGTCCTACCATGGTAATTCTATTAATAGTTTTGAGCTCTTGTGAAAAATGTTTGGATCAAGTGCGCTACATTGGATTTGTTCTACATAACATAGAGAAAAACATCGATGACGAAAGGATTAATACTTTAACCGAAAACTTTTCACTGCAAATTTTACACGAGCCATTGATTTTTACAACGGGATTTTTCGACATGGATTTTATGTTCTTGAAAACAATTATTGCAAGTATAACCACTTATATGGTTATATTTATTCAGTTCATGCCAAAGACAGAAATATCCACGGAAGCGCTCATAACAGCAAACCAAACAGTGAATGATAATGGATCGAAGGATTAACCAATTAGTCGGAAAAAGTTAAAATACATCCTAAAAGCATAGAGAGCTATAAAAGATCATAAAAATGAATATGAAATTGCTTTAATGGAGTCACATCGCCACAGCTTTGAAAGCCACATCGTCCCGAAACTTTTGTGTTGCTACTTCAGCCACAAACCAGAATTAAAAGGGTTTGTGAAATGTTTTCCTTTAATTTTTTTTACTCACTAGAGCATAAGCTAATCGCTGTATTGTAAATGTAAACAGGAAATGTAAACATAAAAGTTAAGTTGTGCGTTTCATGCTTTATAAGCCACAAATATGCAAGCTGCTTGCTCAGTTGAAAGTATCAAAGATTCAAGGGTTTATGAGACTATAAAACGTAAACCTTTGTGTGGATTTTAAATTCAAAAGTAAAGATAACATCAAAGAATAAATTTCTCTCTCGTTTCACATAATTCATGCTCTTTGAACATTTAACCTAATTTCCTGAATCTTTGCATAATAATACTAAATAAGAAAGTATAAAAACATATTTGTGAAATGAGAAAAAATCACTAAAGGGACTGAAATGCGAACTGTGATGGACAAAGAAAGAATGTTTTTGATTGAGGGCTGGGAAAAATAAACTTTCTATGGAAACTTGAAACTGATTGAGGCTTAAATTCTGGTGCAGTCGTGTCTAAATGTAAACATATTTAAAATTCTAACCCTCAAGAGCGTTAATAGAATACTTGATTGCGCACGAACGATTCTTAAGAAATGAAACTTCAAAACAATAAAAACCCCTTTAGCTGGAGACCATAAAAAATATATAAAGCTTTAAGGTTGTTAATGTTGGAATGCACCCTTTTGAAAGAGCTAAAGAGATTAAAATAAATAGAACCCAAGATTTATAGAGTGAAACTTGATTATTTGATTAGAGATTCAATTACAATTTTAATTATTGAAGCTTTAAAATGAGCTTCAATGTGGAAAATTTTTGATAAATTTCATGTGTTACTCAACAAATTATTTAAATATCATCTTGTAAAGCATGAAGTGTAACATCTAAATGTGAATAAAAACTTCAAATAGAAGGTTGACATATGAACTAATGACTATTTATAGAAACTCATTAGTGGCTGGATGAGAAAAGTGTTCCGTCAACTTTATAATCGTCGTAAAACCTCATTTTCTTATTACTCTCAAGTTACGACCCACCCAACAGCTCGTTATCATGTCATAGAAGTGGAAATAATTCAATGAAAGTAATTTAATTTATGCTTTCCAGTCATGTACGATGTTTACGCAAACATATTTTATGAACGACAAGTAGACAGACATCCACTTGGCCTGCTTTTGAAATAATGTTTTAAGTTATGCTTAAGCTGATGCAGGCAAACTGAGTCTAAAGATAAATTTTTAAATTCGTTGTCATTAAATACTGGTATGTAGATATTGATCTGAAACACAAACTTTGATGGCGCTTTTGTTGCATAAATACAACAATAAAAGGTCATTGAGACAGCCCGAATTTGATATTCGGTCAATTTACCCTCAAACTCAAGTTGATCTATAAAGAATTCAACAGAACGGGGACTCGAACAAATTTGAAATTTATATTGCGGGTTCTAAGTATGACGTTAAATATTTTATTGGAGTCCTAGGTATGATTTTATCAATTTTATTTGAGTTCATGTTCATTTTATTCCTTCCAACAATCCATTGGACAATATGTCTGCTTTTAAGAATATGTCGCTTCACGTTATGCAATAATCGTAATTTTCGAAGAAGAATAATGAAAGAAAAGCTCATGTGAATAGAGTCTGAATGATTGCTGAATAAATAAATTCAGATCTGATTGAAGCATCATTAAATTTAACAAGAATCATATGTCATGTCATATTCCAAATGTTATCTTCAGGTCCTGAACATATCAACTTCTAATCAAGTTATGTTTCTAAGATAGTTTTCATAACATTTTTAATAGAATTCCTTTCACATGTGACACAATTTTACAGTTCACTTAATCATGATCACATTTCGCATGTCACAAGTTTGAAGTGTAAGTTTTATTATCTAGAAAAGTTCAAAACGAGTTTCTAGAAGAACCACTTGAAACTCTAATAAAATTGTAATTTAATGACAATTGTGCAAACATGAAACTAAATTTAAAGACGCCTTTTCAATCATAAAAACAAATTTAATTTGCTGAATTGAACATTTCTATTACGTGTCCAAGAGTTTAATCATTTATTGAGAAATTTCGTAAGTGATTATTTTTGTGACACGTTCAGTGTTGATTTTAAATCCGAATCGATTAAATGATTTTTTTAAGGAAGCTCAATCAAGCTTACAAATCGGATTAAGTGCTTTCAATACAATATAAAAATAAATTTTAGTCAATCAATATTAATAAAAACAATAAAAACCTTACAAAAAAAAAAGGGAATCAGACCGTAATGAAAATAAATTGTATTGATGGAAAAAGTTTGGGTATATAAAGAGATAAATTCTCTCCGAATTCAGAAGCCATTTCAATGCTTAAAAGACTTTTCATAGCAAACACAGAAGGAGACCCTTGAAAGTATCTGGTAACGTTAGGCTGTAACTTCGTGACATTAGCAACAGGTTAACAGGTGGCTAGATAATTTGTTAGCATCATTTGCAGTAAGATGAAAGTTAGAAGTCACGTTTTGTGAATAATTTTTTATTATTTGGGGTCAAAAGTTTTGAACAAACCGATATGGAAGTCTGCTTTCAATCTGGTATTTAAGCAATAAAAGTTTATATTGTTTGTACTGTTTAATAACACATGTCTAATCGACCGTTCAATAACCTAAAGTTTACCGCCTGTAAAGTTCGAAAAAGCTATCGGAGTTATTTTTATTACCTGATGCAATGTATCCTTTCTGATAACTTCAATTCAAATAAAACTCGGAAGATTTATAATCAACCAAAATGATTGATGTTGATATGTAAAAGCTATCAAATAAATCATTGAAAGTTTGGAAAATAAAACAAGATTCAAATAAATCGAATTGAAATTCGTAAAGTTCTACTTTAAGCTATAATTTAGTATTTTATTAGTTTTGTAAAAAATGTTGTTTTGTAAAAAATGTTGTATGTAAACAAAATGAACGATGAGGTCAAATTTTGATCATAAAAAGTGCTGACTTTGTTCAACTTTTAATGAATATCTACAAAAATTGTTGACATTAGTTACAAGCATAGTTTTTTAGTAAAAAGCTCAAAATCGCAATAAACTTTGTCATCGTATGCTGCATAACAAAGCCCGACAAGCATTTTACGTTTTTTATCATTTCAGTTACACATTTTTTGTTTTACTATGTAATCTATGTTGTAAAAGGAATAACAAAATCAGGCACTCTCGTGTGGGCTTATCAAAGAAAAAGGGAATAAACATGTTCAAAGTTGTATCATGATTTTTTTTCACGTACATGAAAGCGTAAAAGCTTTGTGCTGTTTTGGTGAGTCAATTTGATGTACAAAGAATTGCATTTGTTGTTTTATTTTTTAACTTTCACGTAATTAAAATTTAGCATTTTAGTTGTTCTTTCTCCAGTTTTTTAAAGCTAAAATAAAAACACAAGATAAGTTCTAAGAACGAGTAATTTAAAAACTTTCAAGTTTTGTATTTATTATAATAAAATTTAATGAGAATGAAGTGTTTGTTGAATGGAAAGTTTTTGTTGAATAAACTTTTTGCTTTCTTAGTAAACACTTAAAAAGTTTTAACTTTCTTGACAAAACAAAAAAGCGTCGAATAAAATTAAAATTAATTTTAAAGTTTTAACACAAAATTCTTGTAGATTCATCAATAATTCAAGATAAAAATAAGCTTTCATTATTGGCACTTTAATCAGAATAACTTTTAGGATTCATAGTGATCTAATCCATTAAACAGAAGCTATAATTCTCATAAAAACGGTACACGTCGCATATAATCAAGAGGAAAACGTAGAAAGAAAAAGATTAATGGAAGAGGCTGCTTTTTCAATTAATCTTCTTGATCAATGTTCAATGGAAGTTGACATTAATTCTAGAGAGATTTTTGGCGTAAGTGGGTGAATGTCACAGATGATCTTATATACGAAGTACTTGAATTAGCTTTTTCTTAAGATAAATCTGGTGATGCAATGTTAACATTAATGAATTTATTTGAGTGAACATAAATACTGATATTTACTTAGTAAAAAGCTTGTCGTTTATTTTTAAAACATTCCCACATGAAAATGGGTTTCGAAGGTCACAAAGCTGCATGTAAGCTTAAGAAAATATTTAGGAGCATTAAAAATAATGTAACACTCTGCCAAAGATAACACACATCATGCAAAGTTTGTTCTTTATTTTAAACTTCTCTGTCAAGGTTCAACATCAAAGGAAGTGCTTTGCATTTAAATTGTAAGGAATTTGATAGGAAGTCAACTTATCAAGAATATTCACACCGCATGAGGCCTTCAAAGCACGACATCTCTGAAAAGCCACTGAATAAAGTGACCACTCATTTAGATATTTTGTAACATCATCTGGACCCCCTTTGCTTAATTTGATTTTTGAAATTATAATGAACTAACTAATAATAATCCCCAATCAAAATTTACTACGATGCTATGATTTTACTTTTAATAAGATCAAATTTTATCATTAAAAAATGTTTTTTGATGCTTTTCTATGAATATTTTCATCATTAATTTTATTCACCAAATTTAATTTATTTTGGCAAAAGACGAAACTCTTTCATGTTCAACAAAGTGCTTAAAATAAACGTCAATGAGGTTTGCGAAAAGCTATTACAAAGGCTCAAAATACGTGTTGATGGGAAGGAATTTTTTGACATACGAAGTATTTTGTTACTCAAAGAAATCCATACCACTCGGTTACTCCAAGAATAAGCTCAGAATATCATAATAAAAACATAAATTTAAATTACATTTTTTCTGACGTGAAACAAATTTTCTGGTTAACAATTCATGCTTCACGAATTTTATTAAAAACACCTTGAAAAATATTTTGAAATTCCTTTCCTGAGAAAGTTAAAAATCGACTTCGAAAAAAAATTATTTTGGAATAAAGAATTACACAAAAAACACATTAAAAAAATAAGGATAAGAGTTTGAGAGTAGGAAAAAATTTAGACACGAAATTTTTGAAGGAAGAAGTCTCAAAAGTTTGCATTGCTGTTAGCTCCCTGAAGGTTACAACACCTTGATGCTCATAAATTATTTATGGCAGATTATTTTGTAATATTGAGTTCCTCTTAACTTTAAAAAAAGATAATTCGGATTTCTTTATGCTTTTCAAAAGCTAAGTAGACTTTAATAATTAAAGTTCTCGGCATGGATCGTTTGTTGGAATATTTGTGCGAGGAACCAGCATCGAAATATTGTGAATGAACTTACACTTTCTTGCAATTATCCAAGTTAAATAATTCTATAATAGCTACATTGTAAAAAAAGTTTATGTCGTCTCGTATAAAAATAAACGATCTACGTCAACTGTTAATCCTATCAGCTGAAACTTTTTCAATTAACATCACTTGCTTAAATCTGCGCTCTCAACATTTTACTGCTACATCGCTCATTTTAATTATTTCCTCAGAACATTTCAATTTTAAAATTCTTTATGATTAACAAAGTAAATTCTCAAATAATAATTACAACATGAAAACATTTATATTGAAAGAAAGAATTTCTTAAATGGTTGATGTTTTTATTTAATGTTTCAAAGCAAAGTTCTTGATATGAAAAATTTAGCTTCTTAGTTGTAAAAACTAAATGAAATTATGAAATATTTAACATTCATAAACAATTCTTTGTTAAATTAGTTGTCTGTTGTTAATTGAAATGAGCATTCCTAGAAATCATTTAAGATAATTATTTATATTCAACATCTACACAGTCTTGATCAATTTCCAAAATAGCTTCCGAATATTCAGACGGAAAACTTTTCCATGAAGTCTTAAAATAAATAAAGTTTGACATTAACGTTTTCAGCTGCATTATTTTTCACAACTTTTAATGGCATTTAAAACATGTACGTGTGGCACAAGTGATAAGCTGATTATACTTTATGACATTTAAATCTTATGTTGCTAATTAAATAATTATTTAACTCACAAACATTAAACATGCAAATGCAAACCTGATGCAAGAGAGAAAATTTAATTTTTGAAATAATTTGAATAATTAAGAATGTTTTCAAGCTCATCGTTAAATTGAATTATCATGCTCTTGTTTATCGTATACATCTGAAGCATGCTGCAATCTTCTTTTGAAATATTTTTCCTTTCAAGAAATTTCCATTACTCTTGAATCAAAAATTATTATCAGAAAACTATCACAATTTATAAATTAAATTTCACATTTCAAAAGTTTTTCGATTCAAAACTTACTACAGATTGATGCAACTTTCTGTTATTCAAATCAACTTGTCTCAATGTAAATTTAAAAGAATTTTTATTCAGTTAAATAAACGAATGGAGACTCCATTACGAAGTTTACTAGTGATGAGTTCATAAATCAAATCTAATGCTATTCCGTGCATAGTCAGGAACTTTACTTTTACAAAAAGCACAAGAGCAGCTTCTGAAATTGAAATGGTTCACCATAATTCATCTGAAGTGTCAGAACTTTGCATTATAACTTAGGCAAGCAAGTCATGCACGTGACTGGAATCTTATTGAGGGAGAGTTTTGATATACGATAAGATGACATTTTTTAATGAACTTCAGGAAATCGTGGTTAAATAAAGAGTTTCATGACTTAAGATAAAAACATTTTAAAAGCATTTTATGAATTTTTATTATGATAATAAGCATAAAAGTGAATTAAAGTTTTAAATTTAATACAATTAATGAAGTTTTATAATATTCAACTCTATAAAATAAAGTTGCGGAAAGTGACAAATTAAATTTTAAGCATTATTTTATTACAGATCAGAGCAAGTTCGTCCATCTATGATTAGAACTAATTAACTACAACTAAATTGGCAATGATACGTGATGATAAGAAAGAAGAGAATAACATCGAAATATAATTGAATAAATATTGGACGTAATCGATAGGGAACGTGGTATGGATGTTCAGTAAGCTATTGAGAGAAGACAAATTTTCTTAATTCTTAATAAGAAAGTTTTCAAGGATAGAAGCATTGACAAGACTGGAAGCTAGAAGATAAGTCACTGAAATCATACCGTTTTGACGTGGGTTGAATATGTCTTTAAAGATAGTCAGAACCTGAACTTGTTTGTCCTTTTCTCAATCCATTGCAGGTAGCGACTTTCTTTACAGCAGTCATATGTGTGTAAGCAACATGGAATTGATTTTTGAGGGAATGTGCATATTGTAAATTTCCGCATGCAAAGCTAAACGAAGATTACATTCAGAATATGAGCAGCTTGATAAGTAATTTAATGATTTTTAAAATGGTATTTATGCTGATGTGCCAATTATTCCGCATGAATACCCTACTAAATTCTTTTCAATGTGATTTCTGCTACCATCATCAACACCAGAATATTTTTTATGTTTTATTCACAAATCTGACGCCCGCATTAAACTTGCTTGAAAGACTTAGCTTCATGCTAATGAAAGATTAAAAGATTGAAAAATCAATATAATCGCGATCAAAGAGAAGAATAGCATTAAGTTTCCACATGAGTTGCGAAATTATGAATCAAAATGCAAACATTTTTTCTTCACTTAATTTTCATTGAAAAATTATTAGCAATGTGGAAGATATTTAGCATATTTTTTATAAACAATTTTTTGAATATATTTTCATTGCATAATGTGGAATTTTTAATGATCGATGACGATAAACATTTTCACCTTACACTTAAAAAATGAAGTGTTTGTTTAATAGCACACACGTAAGTAAAGCTTTATGGCTAATCGTTAGTCAGACGATAACATATGTTTTCATTTCAACAAAAGTTTTACTCATGCAGTTTTATAAATAAATTTATTCAAATTTGTTTATATTAACCGGAATAAGTTTGCATATACATGGCATGGTTAACTTTTGACTTTATTAATAATTCTTTCGCTAGAGCAGACTGAAACTGATAAATAAGTTCAACGCTTTGAAAACTTTAACCTTGCATTTAATGTCGCAATTGTAGGAAATGTAAAAAATAAGTTATTCAAAAGGAGAAGAATAAATTTTTCCAACTGAAAGCATTGCGAAAAAAAAATTCCACATCTATGATATTGCGACCAGAAAATTGCGAATCGATTTTTAAAATTTTAACCGTTAAAAATATGAATGCGTAATAAAATATTTTCTAAGTTGAAATTTTAAAAATCGATTAATAAAGAAATAAAATTATAAGGTTTAGTACCATAATAAGNGAGCAGACTGAAACTGATAAATAAGTTCAACGCTTTGAAAACTTTAACCTTGCATTTAATGTCGCAATTGTAGGAAATGTAAAAAATTAGTTATTCAAAAGTAATGTTCGTGATGTTTTTACATAAATTATGCAACTTATTAGCGTCAAACAAGCCGTCAACATTACAAGACTGAAATATTTTTACAGCTTTCTGCGATGTAAAGTTTTAAACTAAAAGCGAATAATTTATCGATGTATCGTGAAATGAAACAAATTATTTTTCCATGATGTGAAGTTTGAACGCCAAGTTTTTCTTCATGCTTGAAGCACATGATTGAAGTTCAATTTGAAGTGAGCATTATAGTACTTATCACATGAATCTTAATTATAACAATCATTCATTTAGCTAGCGCTTTTATGCGATGAAGTAATCGTAATTTCCTTTATGAGTAATAAGTAAAGAATGACTTTAAATTTTTCATTTGATGTTAATATGAATGAAATTCATAAATGAAGTAAGTGGCGGGTTGAAGGGGTTAATAGTAATTTTCTAACATTACAAACTCATTCATAGCCTTGATTATAATTTCAGACTTACAAACTTTGAATTCGTGTATAATGAGGTTTCTACAACATTTTCTTCCCACGTGCTTCTTTAGTTATCATGACATGTAAATTACATGTAAAAATTGCTTTTTATTCGGAGAAGACTAGCATATCAAAGTTATGAATTCAAATTTATTTTGTAACAAATTTTATTACAGTGGAATTTCGATAAGCTGATATCTCAAGGGGGACAAAAAAATATCAGTTTATAAAGGTTTATTACTTTATCGAGGCATCAGCATATCGAAGTTCACTGTAATAAGAATCTCTAAATATTTTCTATTATCAAAATTTAGTAAATCGTATTTCATCATAAAAGATTATTCACATTTTTTAATAGAATAAAAATATTTAAATTCTTTGATAATTTCAACAAGTTTATTATACTTACTTATTCATTCTTTTATGAGTGTAAATTAATCCCCACTTAATAATTTAATTTCTATTGTGTTTTCTTTGTCAAAAATTGCCACTGAAGCTAGGTAAGGGATTAATACTGAAAGTATAATTCAACGTTTTTATTAAACCATAAGTATCAAAATCATATTTTTCATTTCATCGTTGAACGATTGTTAAGAATAAAAGAAGAAACAAGATTTTCAAGTGGCATTATAAAATCTTCAGCGCATTTAAATCTGTCTAGAACTTTAGGTTCCCGGAGCAATAATCTTTCTTCTGTTGTTGTTGTTGTTGTTGTTAGTAATAAAGATGTTTCTCAATATGCGATACAATATTTGAACAATCTTTCTAAGCAAACTTAGGACATTTTTTTCTTTTAACAATTGTATATCACAACTTGCATCAAGTAAATAATTCTGAAACTTTAATGAACATTGTCAAGCTTTTGAACTCCAATCAAATTGATTAACGAACTCAAATATCTGAAGTCACGTTTTCGAAGAAAACTTTAAATATGCGTTCAAGATTTTTTTGAAGAGTTCTTAATTATAAACTTGAAATATAATATGAAGCAAGTTCTTAAACCTGTCTTATTGCATTCTGAAAAAAAGAATAGAAATGTGTTGAATATTATACAGTATAAAATTGAAACATTTAAAAAAAAGCTTTTATTTATTAGCAAAACAAATACAGTTGACTCTTCATAAGCGGAAATTGAAGGGGGTGGTCGTGTGAGGAGATTTTCCGCTTTTAGAACTTTTTAATTTAAAATGCTGTTTGCCAACTAAATGGTGGATTAACGCATGTAGATGTCTTATAAATCAGACTGCTATACAATCTTCGATTATAAGAATTAAATTTTGCATGGTTAGTACATTTTCAAATATAAACTACAAAGATTCACATGCAAAAGAGTTGAAATGTTTACAAAAAAAAGTATTATTTTGACAATGAATCACAATTTTATTAAATATAACTTAAAAAAGAAAGCGTTTGTCGATATTTTTTTCAAAATTCATTGTTATACTCAAATTTGTGACATAAAAACTATCTTTGAATTTTCAACATTATTTGAAAATAATCATACGTAAAAATTTTTTCTTTTTATTTATCTGCTACATTTTATTTATTTTAATCGTTTCTAATTAATATTTTTGCAGAAAGAATTTTAATTACCGCGTTGCAGCTTGTTTTTACTTCCATGTGCATCTGTGGAGAGAATTTTCAATACAAATGCACATGGTCAAAAGAGAGCTTGCTAGATAAGAAATTTTCTGCTTTTGGAGAGTAAATTGTTCTCAAATGTGAGTGTCTCGCAATTTATGGAGCTTTTCTCTTCAGAGAACTTCCGCTTATGAAGAGTCAGCTGTAGATACAATTTTTACAGAAAGGGTTTTCATTTTTATAGCGTTATTTAGTGTCTGGTAACATTAGTCCAATTAGAGTTCTCTTCTTTTTATTTTTCATTCAATAAGCGGTCATAACAAGTGTAGGTTTTCATGTTAATTTCCAACAAGGAATTCAGCGCCTTCAATAAAAATCCTCTTATATTGAGGTTTTGGCGTTATTGCCGGATAAGTGACTTTTCTTCTTGAATATGTTGAGCTTTTGATAGTAACAACAAGTTTCCCTTAAACGAAATAATTTCATTCAGTATCTCATTCCAATCAAATAAATTAAGTTTAAACATCTTATAAACTTTTAAATTTTGCAAGAGTTCAATACGTTACAAATTAAAGAAATAGAAAATTTCACTTACTTGTGGTTGAGACAGATGGTGGTCTTGTTGTTGGTGCTGGGGTTCTCGATGGTAAATATTCTCTTCCATTTGTAGATATTCTTGTTGTTCTCTCTGTAGTTGTTGATGATACAGGTTCCTGAAATTCTTCAGGAGTGTTAGGTTGTGGAGTTGTTGGTGCTGGGGTTCTTGATGGTAAATATTCTCTTCCATTTGTAGATATTCTTGTTGTTCTCTCTGTAGTTGTTGATGATACAGTTTCCTGAAATTCTTTAGGAGTGTTAGGTTGCGAAGTTGTTGGTGCTGGGGTTCTTGATGGTAAATATTCTCTTCCATTTGTGGATATTCTTGTTGTTCTACCTGGAGTTGTTGATGATACCGTTTCTGTATATACTTTAGGAGTGTTAGGTTGGGAAGTTGTTGTCGTTCTAGGACTTGTTGTAACAACTTCAGAAACACTAACTCTTCTCGGATAAGTAACTCGTTTTGCTGTTGTTGATGGTTCTGTGTACGCTTCAGAAATTGTTGTCACTGCGGGAACTGTGATTTTTTCAGGATAAGTGTTAGATTGTGAAGAAGAACCTTAAATAAAATAACTTCATTCAGTATCTCTTTCCAATCAATTAAATTAAGTTTACACATCTTCTGATCTTATGAATTTTGGAAGAGTTTAAACATTACAAGGTGAATAATTATGAAAATTTTAAATTTATTAGATAACAGAAATCAAAAATTTTACTTACTTGTGGTTATGACAGATGGTGGACTTGTTGCTTCTGGAGTTGGTAAGTATTCTCTACCCTTTGTAGATATTTTTGTTCTACGCTTTTTTGTTGTTGCAGGCTCTGTGTATTTTTTAGGATAAGTGTTAGATTGTGAAGAAGAACCTTAAATGAAATAACTTCGTTTAGTATCTCTTTCCAATCGAACAAATTAAGTTTTCTAAACTTTTAAATTTTGGAAGACCTCAATACAACACAAAGTTAAAAATTATGAAATCTTTCAACTAGTTAGAGTTATCTAAGAAATAGAAAACTTTACTAACTTGTCGTTATGACAGATGGTGGTATTGTTGTTGGTTCTGTGGTTGGTAAATATTCTCTTCCATTTGTAGATGTTCTTGATGTTCTACCTGTAGTTGTTGATGATGCAGTTTCTGTATATACGTTAGGAGTGTTAGGTTGCGAAGTAGTTGTCGTTCCACGAAATGTACCACGAAATGTTGTAACAACAGGATCAGTGACATTTTCAGGATAAGTAATTCTTTTTAAAGTTGTTGAAGGTTCTGTGTATACCTTAGGTGCAAAAGGTCGTGAAGTTGTCGTAGTTTTTTTCGTAGCTGTTGTTATGAACTGTGTGGTTCCACAAGATCCACCACATTCTGAACAGTCTTGTTTAGCACAAGCAAGGCATTCTTTCTTTTCACATTTCAATTGAATATCACAACGTCCATCAAGTAAATCTAGAAATTCTAGAGAACTTTGTAAGGCTTCTGGACTTGAAACAAATTGCTTATCAGTTGAGAGTTTTTCAAAAACTTTTTTATCAACTTTTTGTGTGAAAACATCTGCACCAGTAAAAGATTCATCGAATGTATAAAAAGTTATGCTGCGTAAACCAGGAACGGCTTGTCGCACTAAATGAACGAAGAATATTCGATTACATATGATGTTAAATAATTGTCACTTCTCAAAATCTTACAAGAAGCTTTTCCTAATAAAGCATAAACTGAAATTATTTGAAATAAAATCACAATTTTATTAAAAGAACTCATAATATCTGAAAAGAATTTAAAATGTTAAGTTCTTATATTTAGTTTAGCTTCCGAACACTTCGAGAATAAAAACCAGAATGATCCCACTGGAACTTTCATCACGAGACGGGAACAAAAAATACATTTTTAGATATTTAAAATGTTTGAAAAGATATCAAAGTTCAAACAACTATTGGCACTTTTAACAGGTGCAGGGAACAAAATACTATCTTTGACATTTTAGATTTCGTTCTTTACAAAGAACAGGCTTTAATGAATAGATATTCAAAATTTTCTGCTTTCGGATAAAGCGTGTAACGTGTTTATAAATAAATTTATCATCACCGAATGATGATTGAAGGAGATGTTAATTTCAGACATTTCAATAATGTGAATAAATTAAAAGAATGACCATACTCACATTTATAATGAATTAATAAAAAATATTCTAAGTTTAATAAGTCGCCAATAATTATGCTAAGAAAATATAAAATCTCTTTCACGGAATTTGTCCATCTTCAGGTCATTCACATACACCATATTAAAATGAGAATTGTATAATAAATATGAAACTTGATCTTATATACTTATAAATATCCCAAAAAATTTCGTCACATAGGTGAACGTTGCCCTTTGTTATGAAAACAAAGAAAATTCCTAAGAAGATTAGATAGGTTTTGATAAGAGCCGAAACCTTAGTAAATAATGTTTCGTTTGTTGTGATTGAGTGGTTTGTATTTCCAGAAGATTGCATATTTTCGAAACATTCCTGTCTCACATACATATTAGATAAACCTCCGAAATTGGAATTTTTATTAAATTTGATTAGTTGAAGTTTGGGAAACAAGGAATTTTTCAAATGTTTCCAGAATTCAAGGCAGAAAATTTAGCAATGAAGATATGAATAATGTGCATAATATTTAAAACACACAACTCTTGGGCTGCAGGCGAGCATATCTTTTTTTAAAAAATATCATATTCCAAGCATCTACCTATGGGGATGCAAATTTGATAAAGATTTTCAACTTTTCTTTTTGTTTATTACATTCTTATTTCACCTTTCTTTGTGATAAAGAGTTGTCGATAATGAATCCGAAAATATGCTAAATGATTAATATACATCATTTAAACATTAAATGCAAATAATATTTGTGCTTTCTTCTATTTGCTTTAAGCTTTATTTTCAAAAAATTAACTTTGAGAACTTTTGATGAGTGTTGTAAACATGAATCCCTTGATTAATTAAGTTACTTATGTATGTCAACATACGAACCTTCTGTGGGGTGTCTGTAGTCTACAGTGAATCTAAATTGACAAAGATAAAAAGCTACAATCATAATTGTAAGTTTCGTCATGTGGTGAACCTCAAAACTTTAATCATAAACTCGCATAACGCTGCTGACAGTTTAGAAACTTTTTTAATTTTAACTCGAGAGTTACACGTTCTATGTTTGTTATTTTTGTTGTTTCTCACTCCAACTATTTCGAAATTAATAACAATATGAAATTGTTGTTTTATTGTGTACAAAATAAAATGAAAATGAAGTTATTAACGTTGTAGATAATTAATAAGATTCGTATTTTCTCACATTCTATTTCATTCTTCCAAGGAAAATATGGAAAACATTTTCATCTATATTAATTTGTAACAAACTATGATACTTATTTCTGTCATCATAATCCCACATGAATGCGTATCTTGTGAACTCATAAACTCTGAAAATTCTAACAATTCATTTGTTTAAGCTCTGTTTAAAGGCCAATAAATAAATTTTATGCTCGAGTTTCCTTAACTTTACTTCGCTAAATAATGAAGGAGTAATATTTATGGCACAATTTTCACTTGTAACAGCTGAATATAAAATATCAAATTTCCATGTGAGTTCAACTTGAAGATATTTATTTAAAAGAAATGTTCAATAAATTTTTCAAAGGAAATTTTTATTTTTGATCTGATGATTCTTAAGAAATCTAATGAAGTTGGGATAATGTTATGACATTAATTTATCTTTCAGTGAATCAGACCCAATTAATATTTAATCATAATTACAAAGTTTTCCCATGAATTACAGTTAAATGCGTTTCTCTACACATTAAAATCTTTAATTACATTCTCTCAAGCTGTTTATTTCTGCAGTCCAGCTGGGGAATTCATAACAAAATTAAAACTGTTGCCTCGTAACATGTTTGAAGTTTGAGTTTAATAACCATCATTTGGAATGTCACCACTGGTGACTGCCGTCAATAAATTATCGATTAGATTAAATTTGTTTTATTAAGCTATAGAAATAAAAATCTTTTGTTTAAATTTTCCAATTTGTGTTCTCTTTGTTCATTGGATCTTAAAGGTTCTTCAATCAAATTGAATCAATTGAAGCATGAAAATTGGATTCTCAATAACTCTATTATTGCCAGGAATTGGGCATTTCAAGAATATTTTCAATCTTTTATTCTAGTCTGATCTCCGGAGATAAATTTTTATTTAGATAATGAAGAAAAAAAAATACTTCAAGAAAAACCGAAAATTTATTCGATAAAGAAAATCTATGTTCATCAAAGTGACAGCTCAATTTTTTTCTCGTAAATAAATAATATGGATTCTTCATGTTCCAAGTAAAAAACTTGTTTGTATTTACTTTAAATGTTTTTCAATAATTTATTTTCAATCTCGTCACTATTCAATCACATAAATTTTTCGTCTTCCAACCCATTTTGGAAGTAATCACAATATTCATTTCCGACAAATGACGATGTTCAAATAACCTGACAAAGAGTAAGTTTGACTTTAAGATGCTTCTCGTAGTTGTGGCAAGAATTAACATTAATCTCCATTATTCATGAAATCCCTTTGAAAGATTTCAAGGAAATCTCTTCCTGAATGAGAGAAAATTTGTTTAAAAATCTATATGAATATCTTTCCCTTTTCAGAATCATCCTTTTCATAAGAATATATTCTGATTTCATATAAGAAGACATTTGATGGAGATGTAAAAAATAAACCAAAACAACTCAATTTATGACACGTGAGGGTAAGAGGGTCGCTTTTAAAGGAGAATGGAAAAATTTATATTTGTGAAGTCGATAAAGTGATTTTAGTTCTGTGTGAATATAAACCAAATATTGAAGTTTGAATACAAAAGTTTCTAGTTTAGGAATGGATTCATAGACATATTTATGAATACAACTAATGAACTTTATGATTTGATTTAATTCTCACTGCAGTGATACTTACTTTAGGGAGAACTTAAATCATGTTATTTAAGTGTAAATGAAGCAGATTTTTATTTTTACAATTCATCACACAGATGCATTAGAAATCATGATTTGAAATTAAAATTTTTTTTATAAAAGGCAAAAATCAATGTCTAAACTCAGACAAAACTTTAGCTTCATTTTTTTGTATGATTTTGTAAGTAAATAAGTCAAACTTAATTTTCGGTTCAATGATAGACACCTTTGGTGTGGTTTATTAGAATTTTAACAAGAGAATGATAGAAATTTGGTATTTAATATTTGCTTCGAAGCTTCATAAAAGTATTTCATTAAGTTTGTTCTAATTCAATGTTTACATTCCATCCAAGATGTCCAAGTCGAGACGTAAGTAGACTATAATAAGCATTGATATCTTGGATTTCTGATGCTGTATCATAAGTAAGCTTCTTCAATGACATCAAATTGCCTGCGATCCAATTAAGAATGTCTTCATCCAAATGATTTAGAATTAAATGTTCTATTGCCTTTAATGATTTCAGCAAACCTTTGGGAAGTAATTCGACACCGTAGAATTCGTTTGTTTTCAATTCCTGTATGCAGTGATTTGACTTGAATATTAAATCTGTTCTGGATCCTAATATTATATGGAAGTGAAGCGTTTTGAGAGCTTTTAAATCGTTGACAATAACCATAAGATCTATCTTCGTGATAGTGTCAATAAAGATGAATGTTAACGTGTTGGAATGTTGCAAAAGGAATTCATTGAAATTGATTTGTGGTGTTATACTCAATGGTTTCTTTTCACAAGAATTCCATGATAGTGATTCCAATTTAAATTTTGCATCTTTGAACACGTTGTGGGCGAATAAAATTTCTCGATTCCAGCATTCAATGTTAAGTTTCTTGAGTTTGTTCTGCCTTTTAATTAAATCGATGGTTGATTGTGTATGACCTCCAGCACCATTGAATGTTATTGTTTCTAAATCTTCCACTTGTGTAAAACATTCTGTTATGAGGTTGTTAGATTTCAGACAGATATCTAATTGAAGAGTACGAAGTTGAGGAAATGAAATGTTTAAAGGTAGTTTGTTGATTGGTACACGACAACGATAAGTTAACGTTAAATCGACTAATGAAAGAGAGAATCTTTTAAGTAGAAGCAATTTTCTTTCGATATTTGACATTAGACGGAAATCAAATTCGAGAGCTTTGTATCTTCTACTGGACTTAAGTAATTTTGTGACTTCAGTTCGTGTGGGATAAGTTGATGAACTGTCGTAGAAATTCATTTTCATTCTTGACATTGCACTGTCTGAATTTGCAATGATTTCTTTCCATTTTGGTGATACGGTTGAAGCTGATAAGACTTCATCAAATCTTAAATGCTGTAACACTAAATTGCGCAAGTGGAATTCGTTAATGTATTCAAATGGATCTGTAGGAACTCTTTGTTTTTTGAACTTCCTTTTAATTGGCTCTCCTTCTAACTCCATTTTAGAAAAGACGACCTTTTTCAGAAAATAAAAAAGATTAAATAAGATAATCTGTAGCTTTCAGAAACCTAATTTTATCACCTGATGTTAATTTCTCGAATCGAAACAATACAAAAGAAAAATTAAAGAAAAGTGTTTCCGTTCTCTATCGATAGCATTAGAATATTTACTGAATATATTTGAAAAGTTTTATGATTGATAATTCATATTCAGCGTCTTTTTTAATATATCAATGAATTTTGACAGCAATAATTTATGTTTCTTAAAAATATTTAACAATGACAAAAGATTATTGTTTGGCGGCAGGTTACTTTATAAAATAATTTTATCACCGGATTATTTTGTCCGAAAGGTTAATTTGAATTTTATAGCAAAATTTTTGTCGGTTAATTTTCAAGACAAGTTATTGGAATGTTTATCCTTTTCCATTTCTTCGATGAGATACATCTTTCTGGCATGACTAGAGTTTTTAATTTAATTTTCAATAAAATTTTCCTGCGTTTTTTTATCAACTGAAACACTTGTTATATTTTTCGATCTAAGCACATGACGATTTCAAATATTTATCAGTGCAAAAGAATATAAGAGAGATTTAGATTCAGCAACGGTGAACCAACATGATTTAAGTATCTTACACATAAAATTAATGAATTGAAAATAACAGCAGTATAAATCTATTGCTTTTCTCCTTTTATTTACGGACATATTCGGATACATTTAAGCTTATTCTTTCAGGTTTCAAAATTATTAATTCGAAATAGGAAATTTTTTAAAAGATATTGAAATTAAATGTACCGATCATAATCCTTCTTTTGTTTTCTTTTTCAAAACAAATTTTAACAAATGTTATACATGTACAAAGTTATAATTTTTACAGGTATCTACTACTAAGTTATAATTATCAATCAATCATGATGATAAAACAACAATATCATTTGAGTAACGTGTAATGATTGTAAATAACAAATCATTGTTCCTTAGCATTGTGATAGAGAAAAAGATGAAAGTATATCAAGTCATCATTGGCTTGGGTTCATGATAAAAAAAAACTTAGGAGCAGAAACCTTAAAAGTTTTATATATGAAACGATAATTAAAAAATGTTACATTACGTAATGTAATTAGGTACATTTTCTCAAAGGTCAAAAAGCTCTTAAGATTCTTCCAATGATATTGAACGTTAAAGGAACTGAAAATATATTAACAAAAAGGAAGAGAGAATAAATTCTCAAAGGTTGAGGTTTTAATTCTCAAACTCATAATTTACATCTATTTGCCATTAATGTGATTATGACAGACGCCATCAAAAATCATAATTTCCGTTCTATTCATTATTTTAAAGTAAGTATTTAATAAGTGCTTTTTTTCGATGAAAGCTCATTAAATCATTATCGATTTTCTTATTAACTTCAATATGCTTAGAACTGTGTTGAATTGTTTTGTATATAAAATGAAAAGAAAGGTTTGCGTAACTAGAAAACAAAATATTTGTTATAATGCCACTACCTGGTGTATCAAAACAATCTATGAAATCCATATTTAATAAGTTTCTCATTGTATGCGTATCATTGATAAGAATTTATGAAACATAATCATTAATGCCAGATGGGATAGATGAGAATTTATTAAATTAATTTTGTGTGAATCGAAATTTACTTTCTTATCCCGATGTCCAAGCCGATGTCATGTCCGTGTTTACCCTCGACGTAAATATTCCTTTCTTTTTCCTGGCTTCACTTTTCATGTTTACATCGTCAACATAAATATCTGTTCACGTTTTTGGTGACTATGCTTAGGAATTAATTTACAATATGATACATATTTGTATGCTGTATAAACATTGTTGAATCATTGCGTCGTCTTTTCTCTTTCACGTTTATCTCGTGTTCTTACGAAGCTCATCAGAATTTGTTTATGAGACAATGACATTGAGCTTGTTTTAATTATACTTGTACATATTTTAGGAAGGAAGTGAAAATTAGTGTATTAGCGTGGAAAACGAAAATACTGCTGATTAAATATGTTTATGAAATTGTGAACATGACAATATCGTGAAATATACATTAGGGAAAATTTTATTAATTAATTTAGTGGCGGAAATCAACTTAATTAGCTTCATCTTTTCATTCACCCTTGAATATTAATTTCATTATGTATATGAAATTTCCAATTCAGGTATTTGATTACTGTGTGCTTAACAAGCTCAACTTCTTTAAAAATAGAATTTCAAATTCTCAAGGTTAATAATGAAATCGTGATAAGAGCCTTGAAAAGGCCCACTTTTAAACAATTATTATCATTAATTGATCATAAATCTTTTACTTCACTTATTTTTATCCCAGAAATCTTCATGGGAAATAATTTCCCCGAATTCTTTCATGAAATAAGGAATGTCGAAGAACAAAAATTTTTCTTTCAAGTTCATGAATCTTATCAGAGTAAACACAGTCGATGCTTGGAAAGAATCTCACCATAAATTACCTGAAGAAGTCTTGCGGCTTCTTTCGGAATCAGAGTTTACATTGCTAATTCTAATTGAACGATTTACTTAAAAGAAAACAGCCATAATGAGTCATTTGAGGATAATTTCTTGATTTTCCAATGTTTATTTTTTATCAGATGAAATTGGAATAAATGTTAACTTTCGAGATTAATTTAAGTCATTTAATTTCCCTTTGTATTCAATTTAACGAGATTTTTGATCTTGATTTAAACAGTTGAGAAATAAAATTGAACAAAGAATTTTCATGCTTCTTTTAGCCTAAACATTGCAATGATATTTATTTATTTCATCTCAGATGTTTTCCTTTTCATTTGGAATTCTTTTCTACAATAAACTTTTATGAAGCAGTTTTTGGAGCAATCAATTTTCTTTCTTATTAAGAAAATGTCAAGTCTGATGCAACTTCAATTTATTAAAAGTTTTATACAAAGAATTCTTCTGAGTTTGCTGCAGTTTTTATTAATGCAGACAAACATCTGATGCCCTTTCATGCACATTCCTTTTCACTGTAAAATTTGATCTCATGAAGCAGCAAATGTTGATAATCTCTTACTTATATCCAAGTTTCAGGGAAACTTTAAAATATAAAGTAAAATTTTTCTTGAATTCTTTCCTCAAGAACCACTAACGAGTACACTTTTTACAAACATCTCGCGATAAAAATCGAGAAAAGAAAAGTTCAATGCTTCGCAACAAAATGTTATGCATGAAAACATTTAAAGACTTCGACAAGGAAAGGCTTCTATTTTTCCTGTTTTCAAAGAAATTTATGATGTTTATGTTACCTTTGTTAAGATACATATAAATTTCTGTGTTAACGACAATGTTATCTGACAACGTGAGTTTGAATATTTCGTAAACAAGAAACCTACTTAGGAGGATGAGAATGTAAGTAAACATTTTGAAATATCTAATCTTAAGCAGAAGTTTCTTAAAAAAACAATATAAAATGTTCACAAATAAAAGTTTTGTATTTCTTTTGCCTGGAAGACTGGGAGAAAAATTTAGACAAAAAGCTTCACGGAAAAATCATCAGATGGTTGTAAAGTTTCATATTTTGCACTTCTGTCTCAGAAATTTGTGAAAAAACTTCGAAAACAGATATTTTCAAGCAGAAAGAGCCACAACTGCAGAAATAAATATTTTATTCGAAAGCTTGAAAAGAATTGTTCGTTTAAGTTGTAATGGGGTTGCAATATAATAAATTAACAACTGTTTTAATCGTGATTATATATGTTCACTTAGTAAGCTGTTTGTTATTACATATCTGTTGAAAGTTCAGCTTACAATTTTCAGAGATATTATAAAAGTGGAAAATTTTCATCGATGTTATCAAAATTGATATCAACTACTTTTTGTTTTCATGACTTACCGGATATTGGAAGGTTTAACAGGAAATTAAAAAAGACTTTAAAGTTTAAACATAAAACTCAATAGAAAATATATAAGTACCGAAAATTTTGTAAAATAATTTTAGAAATTGTGAAAATAGCGAAGAAGTGAGGAAATTAAAGATATTAAAGTGACACTCGAAAGTCGAATGAAAAATTAGTCGATCCATCTTCAAGGAAATTTACACTTTGTAAAATATTTTGTTATTAAGAACATAATGAAATAAATCTTGGCAACAAAATGTATGAATCTTTGAAGTTTTTCTTCAATAATCTCTTAAATATAAATTCGAACAAGAACAAACTTTACAAGTTGTAACATTGAAGCTTGTTAGTCTATAACAGGAACAGGTAACATCAACACAAAATCATATGCAAACTCTGTTAATTTGATTCAACCATAAAGCATTATAAACTTGAATTGAGTGAAAATTTCACAACTGGGAATACATAATGCCAGTTTAGAAACGTGATAAAATAAAATGAGAGCAGAGAACGTTATAAAAGCAGAAGAAATTTGTAGTGAAACACATAAAAGCTCCTAAAGTTACGAAAGATGTGGTAATGAATTTTATAACTTTATTAAGTGTGAAGTGAATAATATGAAGTTAAGCTGCATCAACAATGATTTCTTTTCTCAGAAAGTTTTGAGGTCATACATTGTTATTGCATGTTTAATGAGGTAGTTTTGCAGCAACTATTCATTAAAAACTATTAAAATGAATATTAATGAATCTTCCTGGTTAGACATTATTTTAGTTCTTTTATGTTGCTTTTTATTTAATTTTGTATTAATAGTTAACAGCTGGAATTTGGAAGAACAAAGTTGAGTATCAAATTTCATTACTAGCTTTATTTAATCCTCTTCTTTTGAAAGAAAAACAAGCTCATGTGGAATTGCAGGAAATCAATTAAAAGCGAGCCATTGATGATGTAGAAAGTTATGGCAATCACGTCTTTGAGTGAAAAGGAAGAAAAACAAAAATCAAACTTTAATGTTTCTACTTTAAGAACTGAATTCATGTGATGAAGTAACAAAGTTTATCATTCTCGTGCAAAACTGAACGTGATTTCTGAAAGCCATTTGATGGTTACTTGACGTCTGTTCTCGTTTGGAAAAGCAACAGGTTAATGTTCAAAATTACTTTATGTCTGACAGTCTTTCAGATAAGAAATTTCGTGAATATTTACGGCAATTTTATCAAGATGAAAAGCATTGCTGCTTGCGGAATTGTCTGTCATGAAAGTCATAGACGACACGAAAATTGTTTTTACCACTGATTTGACGAGTTTCCCAAAATTAACAAAGATTGCGTGCTCGGAAATGTTCTGACTGATCATTGACTTCATTCACAAAATCTCTTTTGTGTACTTTTCATTCAATTAGTTTCGACCTTGAACTTGACCATTGAATGTTGAGCACATTTGGTAATTCTAGATTATTATTTGTGTGTATTGGGAGTTTAAGTTAGTGACACCTTTTTTGCAATATCATTCTCATAAATCATATTTTAAATTATTAACTGAACACCAAATTTAATGTAAAATTGATTAATTTATTCACATTAATTTGTTCTTTGAAATTTCGTAACCAAAATAATTATTTGCATCAGCTTAGAAATGTTCTAACTTGCCTGAGGCAGCTCTCAATATCCCCACTCAATATCCCCAAATTAAACTTTGCTCTCAAAATTATTCCTATAAAAGAATAAGTTTTGCTCATAAAACTCATCAGTTGATTTAAAAGTTTTGCTTAGTCAGTGACATTGTAAATTGTGGACAAACAAATTGAAATGAAGTTTTTTATCTGTTTTATTGGTTTGACAACATTGGCGATTTCGGGCTTCGAACACGTAAGTCATTCTAATTATTATTCAAATTGCATCATCAAACTTAAAATCTCGTCTGGAAATTTATCAACGTAGACTGATGTCAGTGAGAAGACGGAAAAAATTAAAGAAGCTGAAGAATTCAAAAAGAAAATATCAAAGGAATGTAGCGATGAAATTGGATTTTCCTTTGAAGATGGATTAAAACTTTTGCATGGAGATTTAACTCATCGCGATGACAAAGCTAAGGTTTGCTCCTAAACGAATAATTGAATAAAAAATTTGCCTTTCATTGTCACAAAATATCTTGCAGTGCTTTGTCCATTGTGTCTTCAAAAAAGAAGGTTTCATCAATGAACAAAATCAACCTGAAAAAGATTTCATCGTCAATCATTCGAAGGACATTGTAAAATTTTCGCTCGATGATCTGACTAAAGTTATTGAAAAATGTTCAAAGTTTCCACACGAAAATCCTTGTGAAAATGCATACGAAGTAAGGAAAAACAAAATTTCAAATAAACTTGTAAGAAAGTTACAAAAATTGATTTTTTCTAAAGCTCCTTGAATGTTATCATGAAGAAGAAGCCATGAGAAAAGCTGAGGAATCTAAGAATCTTGTAATGAAGATTGCTAAAGAGTGTAGTAATGAAATCGATTTTTCTTTTGAAAATGGAATGAAATTATTAGAAGGAGATTTTTCTGACCAAACAAACGAAGCTAAGGTTTGATCTCTCAATTTATTTCAAACTGCTTTTTAATCAATCAATAAAATTAATTTCAGTGCTTCATTCATTGCGTTATGAGCAAGGAAGGTTTCATAAATCAAAACAACAAACCTGAGGTAGATTTCATTGTCAATCAATTGACAGCAAAATACAAAATACCACGTGAAGAGCTCAAAAATGTTGTTGAGAAATGTTCCAAATTTTCAAGTGACAGTAAATGTGAAAATGCTTATGAGGTAAATTAATGCAATTAATAATCTCCTATGATAAAAATTATGAATATCTCATTTTATCATTTAAAGCTCTTTGAATGTTTTCTTACTAATGATGCCATTGCCAAGGCAGATGCAGCAAAAAAACGTGTTGATTAAAATCGAACATTATTCTGACTCATTATGATGTTATCAAAGGGAAATTCAATAAAAATAAATTTTCAATTACCCTCAAGAATAATGAATTTGAATTCATATCAAATTTTTTTTCAGTTATCTTATCATTGATAAACTTGTAGATATTTTCCTATCATTCGGCTTAAGCTAAAACATTCGAATGAAACACTGACCAAATTTTTAGTTTATGCACAGAAAATTCGGCATAAAAATAAATCCTTTAAATAAATAAATCATTCGACAAGTTAAATGGCAAAATGAAGTGTCTGAAATCATGAAGTAAAATAACATCTAAAATCTAAATCAAATGTAATATTTCCTAACAATTAGGAATTATTTCATTGTTATTACCCAATATTTTGATTTCTAAGCCGTTTTTTACGGTATAAAGTGTAAAACATCAACAGAAAAATCGTCAGTGTATTCATGTGCTTCGAATTAAACGGACATATTCGGTTGAATTTATTTCTTACCTATAAGAACATTTAAAAATGAAGTTTCTTATCGTTCTTCTAGCTTTGATAGTCGTTGTCGTCTGTGATGTAAGATTTATCAAATAAGCCGCTTAGAAGTGTAAATCAATCTTTAACAAGGTGTTTGATTTCTTTTAGGACGACGATAAGTTAAAAAAAGCAAATGAAAATCAGAAGATATTAGAAAAGTATGCAGCTGAGTGTAGTGAAGAAATCGGATTTGACCTTGAAAGTGCGAACAAATTATTAGTCGGTGATCTGAGTTTTAACAGCAGAGAAGCAAAGGTAAGAAACAAAATAATTCGTTACGCACAATAACAAGTCAAAGTTCAACAACTGAAGAGTTTGTACGCAACAAACATTTAAAGCTTTCTTTTAGATTCTTTAAAATATTTAAAATAATAATTTTGAATTTATTTTCAGTGCTTCATGCATTGCTTCTTTAAAAAGGAAGGATTCTTTAATGAAAATGATGAACTTCAGAAAGAATTTATTGTTGAATCCATAGCCACTATTGCTCCCGTCAACAAGGAAAATTTAACTTTAATAGTTAACACTTGTAGCAAGTTCAAAACTGAGGATGCATGTGAGAATGCATTTGCTGTAAGACTGATAAGGTTTAAAATGGAATTGATTTAAAATATTTACTTAATTTCAGTTACTTGAATGCTTCACAAGAGCCACCACTAATCCACCGAAGAAGGAAGAGCTTTAATTTATTTATGTCAAATATCAATGTGCAGATGTCAAAGTTCCTGACATTTAATAAAAGATTTCTGTCAACCGAATAGAAATGAAAACATATAAATTTAATTCAGTGTCAATATTGATTATCTATTGCGATATGTGAGAAGTTTTGAAATGGTTTGTAGCAAAAGATAGAAGTTTGAAACTCAAAGTTAAATATTTTCGCAACTTTCTTATAAGAAACTTTGAGGATTATAAAATATTTCAATATAAATTAATGTTCTGTGGGTTTATTAATATTCATTTTAAAACTAATCAGTGTGTATAAATTCAGCTATTCTATTGATCATTAATTAAGAGCTTTTCAAATGCTTTAGAGCTTCAACCACAAAACCAAATATGATAAAAATGTGTTCATGTTTATGCTTTGAAGTTTCAATTAAAGTTTAAATTTTATATAAACAGGTTTAATTGATTGGCGGCATTTATTACGTGTCATTAAGCTTGATGGCATTTTACAGTAATGAGAATAATGATTTCGTCATGGAAATCCTTCGAACATAAAATGTAGTGAAGGTTTTCATCTTCACAATTGCTTCAAGCAATTTAAAGCTTCAATCATTTTATTTGATGAATTGATTAAAAGTAATCTTAATTCCTTCAATATCTATGATGGAAGATAAACAGTTTCATATTTCCGTTGATTCTGCCGAAGAACAAACGAGTAATTTGATAATGATGAGATTATAAAATGAAAGCCAAGATTAAATCATATTTAAGTATTTCACTTTATCAAGAACTCTTTATATGATATTGGAACGTTATGTGATTAGATAAAGCGGCTTTTAAAAGCGACAATTTGCAAACATTACTCGACAGAAGCATCGAGAACTTTGAGAACTTGCAATGCTTAAGTTATTCAGCTCCATTCTGTTGTTGATATTAACATTTAATGTGATCGAAACTTCATCAGTCAGTGATGAATTGTGCGACAGACAACTGAATTATTTCGATGAAGCTTTGAATCGACGTGACTCATGGGCGGTATTTGGTGACATAAAATAAAATTATTTCTAAACGATTTGCAAATTTAATTAAAAATGTTAAATTTAACTTTGAAGTTTTTGACACGTGGGCTAAATTTCAATCGAGTATCCTTCGTGGAAATCTTGTTATTCCCGGTGGGTTCATCGACTGTGTAACCTTTAGACATCAATCGGAACGAGCAGACATTGGAACGTTTCAAGGACAACATTGCATGGTGAGATTTTCGGCAAAAACAGAAGCAGCTGAAATTGACCGTGAAAATGGATTTGACTGGAGGGAAATGTGAGAAAAGCTTTGAACGAGAAACTTTTTGAAAGGAAAAACACCAAAATGTTTTCTTCTCTTTAGTGGCGCAATAGCTCGTGAGAATAATTACAATTTTCGTCATGGTTTCTGCTTACCTGCTTCGTGTTCGTCTGAGAAAGTTCTTAATTATATGAGAACTTATTTGTCACAAGCTGACTTCAACGTTACAGAGGCTGAATGTCAAACAAACGATCCACTTAAATATGAGATCATCGACATTATTGCAATGTGAGATTTAAAATGCATTACAATTAAAATATTTTTTCATACATTTTTTTTAGTGTTATCTTTTCTATATTTGGCTTACTGATGGTCTTAAGTACAATTTATGAAATTATTACGATAAGAAACGATCGTGAGATTATTTGAAATTTACAACCTTTTGAATCCGATAACAAATTTGACAATTTTTCATTTTCTCCAGGTGTCCCCCATGAATTGTATGCATCATTCTCAGTTTACACAAATGGTTGGAAACTTTACAATGTGTCTGTTAGTAAATCCTCTGACGACATTAGATGCCTTCACGGTATTCGAGCTCTTTCTATTATTTACATCATTTTTGGTCATCGGTATGGATTGCCCATGTGGAACGTCATTTCAAACAGAGCTGCCATCGCTGATTGGCAACAAAACTTTCATATTGGAATCTATCATACACATCAAGTGGCTGTTGACGTTTTCTTTACCATGGGAGGATTACTCGTGACATGGTCAATGATGAAAAGTTTGGACAGGTTTCGTTATTAGATAAAAGTCATTCAAAACTTTGATTAATTTTTCTTTCAAACTTCTAGCAATCGTTTAAGTATTCTTCGTCTTTACTTCCGTCGTTACCTTCGTTATACGCCACTCTTGGGGGTCTTGATGCTTTTTGTTATATCGCTCATGAGGCATATTGTGTTTGGTCCCATCTCTTACATGGATGGCGGCTTCTGGCCATTCCTTACGAATTGCAACAATTGGTGGTGGACGACACTTCTTCATCTTCAAAACTATGTCAATCCTAACGAGATTGTAAATGATGAATGAGTTTAAGAAAGATTTATTTATGATGAAAACTTATTTATCCCCAGTGCATGTCTCACACTTGGTACTTGTCAATCGACTTTCAACTGTTTTTGGTGTCGCCTTTCTTGATCTACCCAGCGTGGAGATATGGATGGAAATATTTATGGACGCTGCCAACTTTAGCTCTTCTAAGTTCAATTTATATCTTTATCATGTCGATGGTGTTCAATATTTACATGGTCACAAAATCACCAGATGCAGCACCATTTGAATTTTTCATTCAGTGGATTTATTATCCGACACACGCTCGAATGGTGAATGTGAAAATTATTTATCTATAGCTACGTGAATATTAAATTGTCTTATTCATCTAGGGACCTTGGTTTATTGGCATGACACTTGGTTATATTTTATATCAAAATCGTCACAAGAGAGTGCGATTGGATCCATTTGTTAATGTTGTCATGTGGATTCTTTGCTTATCACTCTTCACAGCGATAACGATGGGCTCTCAATACATGTTTCTTCCACCTCATGTCAATACAACAACATTGCTTGAAAATGCTTTTTATCTCGCATTTTACCGCAATGGTTGGTCATTAGCAACAGCTTGGATGATATTCGCGTGTCATAATGGAACTGGTGGTTTTATCAGATGGTTTTTGCAACTTCCACAATGGCAACCAATTGCGCGGATGGGATTAAGCATGTATTTACTTGGCTTCATCTTTCAACATTTTCAAATCATGCACCAAAAACAACCAACATATTTCGACGAATTTGATTTAATTCATCTGTTTCTTGGGGATTTATTAGCATCAATCTTCATATCAACTGTCGGCTACCTCGCTTTTGAAGTTCCAATTTTAACAGTCGAAAATTACGTTCATAACAAGATCAGAGGAAAGAAAATTCAAGTGACGAAAATGTGAGAAATAAAAGAATTGTTTCCATACGAACTTTATTTTTATTTTCCATGACTAGCGATAAAAAAAATTCCACATTTTACACAATTCGAATTCTTTGGAAATTTCACATAAAGATAAATTGGAAAACATTTTTTGACTACAATTTTCTTTCGTATTTCGATTTATTATTTTTATATTGCTTTGGAAATCAATCATTGATGCAGATACACTTCACAAAGCATGCGAAATATTTTCAAATCGTTAGAATATTAATGATTGAAAAATGTCATGCATCGCTAGACTTTCAAAATGCTTTGACAAATGCTTCTCATCTCTTAGACTGATTTCCATCACAACATTCTAAATCACTCAAACATTCAATTTTCGTTATCAAAAAAAGATATAAAAAAGTCTCATTTCAAATCCTTAATTAAGCTTCAAATCATGTTTACAACTTAAATAAGCTTTAAACTTACATTCCTTGCATTTATCTAAACAGAGATTTCAAAGAGCTTTAAAATTTTTAATTCAAGTTGCTTCCCTGATTAAGCGTCAATCGAATACTGTCATAGAATAATCTTAATTCATCTTGGATCTAATTATTAGTTAATTTAATATTAATATCATAAATATTAATTCGAATTTGGTTTAATATTTGGATTAAGGAAGTGGTAAATTGTATGAGATTAAAATATCATTCGTTAGATTTGAGTTAAAAACCAAGTTCTACATTTGTGCGATTGTTTACTGTCCAGTTTGCCAACATGGTTGACTTGTTGGTGGCGGATTGTCGCAAAAACATTCTTCACAATCGTTTTCATTGCGATCTATGACATTTGGCACACAACACGGAAGAGTTTCTTGTTCAGCGACATAATCACAACAAGGAACGGTTTGACAATTGCCATTCTCATTAGAGAAATGCTGTTGAATTGGAGGAATCGGTGGAAGTGGTAAACTCTCAGATGTTGAATCCGAGGAAACATTTGTAAAGCTTTCCTCATCTTCATAACTTTGATTGCTGTTAAAACCTTTTGGTGGTAATGCTGGTGGCATTCGTGACTCCATCGAATCATTCGAACTCAGTTGATGAACTTGTTGGTGTAAGTTTTCCATATTTTGGTGAATAAAATCTTCAGGATTTGAACTTGTCTTCTGATGTCCACGTAAACCTTGCGGTAAGTGATAGCCACTTATTTTTGGTAACGAACTCGTGCTCGAGTAACCATTATTGTTGTTGTTTGTTTCTTGATTGGAGTTTGTCGAAATTCCTGAATCACGTTGAATCATCATAGTATCGGATTCACGATCAAAATCAAGTTCTGAATCAGGATAAATGTCAACAACTGAGTATGACATTCGTTGACTTCGTCGTGGAATGTTTGGAGCATCGCCAGGGGAGTCGAAGAATTGCGGATTTGACATTCGTTTGTCAGGAGTGTAACGAGGTGGAAGTGGAGGTGCTCCAGCACTTCCATATTTCGGTGGAACTTCAGGGCTGTTCACATAATCGAAACTTCCTTTCGATGGTCGTGATGGAATTTCACTTAAACAAGGTGAAATTTCAGGAAGTTCAAGTGACTTTCGATTCACGCTTCCATGGCCGTTGAAGCTTTTTATTTGCGAATAAGTATCGTCATGTTCATAGTCACTTCTTTGAACAGAAATTGGAAGCGGTGGAAGTGGAGTGTTAATGATACTTTCAGACTTTTGACGACGAACTTTACCCCAACAATTTAAACTCTCACGGAAATGATTGAAACGTTCAACGAGCATTTTATGAAGTGGTTGAACTTCTGTTGGTGCTAATTTTCCATGCAATTCCAAAGCATTTTCAAGAACTTGCATAATATTGATGATGAGACTGCGAAGTCTTTGAACATTTGGATCTTTACCTTCCGGAGAGTTGAGATAAGCATCAGAGAAGAACGCTTCTTGATACTTTGGAATTCCACCTTGAACATTCGCATCGATTGTTCCTTTCAATCTCATTGTGAATGGATTCAAGTTACGTTTGTTATCAAGTTTATATTGATTCATTAAATCTTCCAATTCTTTTAAAGTGTTTGACATCGTTTCACATGCCACTTCAACAGGTGGAAGGTCTCGAACACTTTGACGTTTGATTTCAAACCATCGAAGAATATTCGGAAGTGATTCGTTGATTTCGATGAAAGTCCTTTCAATCCATAACGATTTAAATTCGTTATTCTTGTCAATGACACCTTTATGAATAGGACGATCATGTTGGAACTTAAACACATCGTTAACTTCGTAATATCTCGCAATTTTATCTGGTACAACATTTGTTGCATTCTTGAGATGATTTTTATCGCTTATTGGTCGAACAGTGCTGATTTGACAATATTGTTCGTTAGAGTTCATTATTGAAGCATCTGGTGGGGAATTCTTTGTGTAAAGTTGAGCTGATGCAAATTCAGTTTGCAATCTTTGAGTGAAAGCTCCAATTCTCTCATATTCAAGACCACGATACACAAATTGTTTGTTCTGTAAGAAAAATTCACTCGCAAATATTAGCCAAAGAATGTATGAAAAGAATTTTATCAACTCACCCGAACGAACAAAGGAAAACCTTTTCCGAAGAAGCCAACTCGAAAATATTCTGGTTCCGGTCGGATTTGTGTTAAAATATTTTGAAAGAATTTCGCTTCGGTTGTCAGAACGTCGCTTAACTTATTGTAGTCATATAACTTCGTCTCGTAAAAATGTGACAACTCTTTGCACAATGGAACGCCTTTCTCCCAACACTTGCCTTTGTCAAAGTAGTTAATGATTTGTTGATAAAGTTTTTCTTTACGTTTCCATTCAGGTTGGCCGTTGTTGTCATGTGGAAGGAAAGTTAAAGTATCGTTATCCCAACTCAGCATGTCAGCATAAAGTTTGAGCGTGAAACCAGCTTCAATAAAGTTTTCTGCATTGCAGTGCAAGTCGTGTAACTTGTAAATGTACCTGAGAAATTGAAAACGTGATAAATTTTGAAGGGGTAAAAATTTCTTTCAAATTCTTTCATACCTCAAATACATTTCCTTTCGATTAAACTCGGTCTTGTAGAAATTCAGTAAATTCACTGTGCATGTCATTCTCTTGTCGCGATTCTCGTCTCCTTGCATGACACTGCGATAGTCTAAAAGACGTTCGAGAAGTTGTGTTACTGAGTTTATGAATGCAATTCCCGTTTCACGCCATGGTGGATTTTCAGCTTCAACATGTTCAAGTAACCTGAATCAAGAGACAACATTGTGTCATTATTTTCTATTTATTTTGTTATTTCATTCGAAAAAAACTCAATCAAAAGTGCGATAATAAAAATTTATCGAAAGTGAATCAAAAATCTACACAAACATTTCTTGCTTCTCAAAATCTACAACACAGCAAAAATTGGAAAAATATTTGAAATAGAAACTTACGCAACGCTGAGATCCTCCCTGAGTTAAAAATATTTACAGACGATCATTGAGAGAGAGAAAATTTAACTTATGAAATACTTTCTTTTATTTCTTGTTGAGATTTATAATCGGAATTAATCAATTTAAAGTTTAATGACCTTTTTTCGATTAATACCGATTTGAATCGTTGGATTTATGGATATTGTAAAAGTTCTTGCAAGATTGTTATGTTGAACATATTTACAGAAAAAAAATCTGAAGTTTACCGCCGAGTTTTATGAAGATTTTCATGGAACATAAAATAAAATTTATCCATCTTTACACTGCTAAACTTAATTCTGATTTACCTTAACTTTTATTTCATGAGCTTCAAGTTTTAGTGCTTTTCAAGTTAAGCTCATGAAACAAGATGATGACGATAATAAAAGTTAAGATAGCAGCAAATGAAGAACTATGGCATTAAATCTTTCTTGCTACATTTAAACATCGTAAGGATGTGATTCATTATCACATTATGTTCAAATATGTACATGAGGGGATGAAAAGAACATTTCCACTTACATTGTACTGAATAATTCTCGATATTCATCATCGCCTTTGTTTTCACTTATCAAGAGATCCAATTTGTCAATCAATTCACTTTCAACTAATCGAAAGTTTCCACGTGCTGCTTGTTCACATTGCATCATGTCGTAGAAAACAGATAACGTTGCTTTGCGAAGTGCTGGTTCTGGCACGAGTGTCACTTCTAGGAATGGCCCAACCATTGATGGAATAAAGTGAAGTTTATGATTACCAAGTTGACTCCACATTGACAATATTTGAAGTCCCATGCTAACTCTCATATCTTGATAAGTATTGAGAATCTTACGACGTTTTGCTTCGTGATAATGCTCAAGTTGAAGACTGGGCTGTGTGAGAAAAGTCACAGCAAGACTAAAATACGAACACCAAAGTTGTGAATCAAACGAATTGGGACCGAGAAAACGATAAACCAAAGGTTTTGCAAACTCTTCTAAAGCCTTTCGTATGATGTCGTTTGCTGACATTTTCATAACGAGCCAATCGTTTGGAAAGACGTCTTGAGATAAAAGTTCCTTAAAGACGAGTAGAGAGCGATGAAGAAAATCTTTCAATTCCTTCGTTTCACCACAAATACTTAGTTCAGAGAAAACTTCCTGATAATGATCTTCTTCCATGAGTTCAAGTAATCCAAGAAGAACAGCAATCAAAGACGATAAGACGTTCGGTGATGCTGTTAAAATTATCATAACAGTCTCTGTGAGTACGCTTAAAATATTACGACAAAGCTCAAAAAGTTCCAAATCGATATTCTCATGTCGTTTCCTTTTCAACTCATTCAAGTGAATTAAAATTTCACCAATAATTTCTGCACAAAGCTTAAGCTCGTCACGTTTACTCAAATGATAAGCCAGATGCTTACATGCAATAACCAAAATGATGGAACGAGTGTCGTCATTGTTATGGAATAATTTTCCACTTACGAGATCTTTCAATGCACGAAGCTTTGCTTTTGTTAAATTTGGATTTGCATCGCGTGGAACTGCATCAATTAAATTTCTTATCAACACTCCAATGTCACCAGGCGGAAGCGTATTTTCCAGCTGTTCCATCACAACACCAGTCGCATCAAGCATCGCTTCCTGTGTTGGTAATGTCGTTTCCGTACTGGGTGCTGCTAGCATTTGATCCAATGATATAAAAACCATTTGAAAATCACGTCGAAACGATTCTTCAAATTGTCCACCGGTTGCATCAGCGAAAAGCTTCCTCGACTGTATAATCAATTTGAAAATATATTCAATCGATTCGAAACATTTTTGAATCGGTTCCGGACGATCGGATGTTGTTAACCATTCAGCGCAATGTTGAACTGATGAAAGTAAACCTTTGTAGACCAAAGCAGCAGCAAAATGATTCTCGATGTAAGTGTCAATGACGGGTTTAAAATGTTGGAATTTATTGCTTTGCAGAAGACTAAAGATGCTGACAAGAACGTGAAAAACAAGACCAGAATGTTCAGTACTGTTGCCATCTTCAGTTGAGAAAAGAGCAAAGAGAGCGTCAAGAACATCTTGAAGAAATTTCACAAGTTCTTCGTCTTTCAATCGTAAAACTCTTGTCAATGAGTCTTGAATTTTCTCCGGATGATTACGCCATTGAAGAAGTGACAACAAATCACCATTTTGTGTGAGTTTTGTTGAACATAAAAGCGACTTCAAGAAAAATGTTTCTTTTCCACTTCTTGCAAACATTGGAATGACATCAGGTTGTGCTTGTTCGTCAACAGACGAGCAAGGAAGCTTCAAATAATGTCCGCCTTGTAACTTTGAATGATCTTCACATTTATAAACAAACAACTCATGACCACCATCAGCTATCGTCGCACCATCTTGTTCCATTAAACGACAAAAGCTAAAGCCAAACATTTTCGGTTCCGTTTTATCGCGTGTCGAGCAATGACGAAATTCAAAGCGAATATGAGCTGTTGAGAATTTCTCTATTGGAACCATTAAACGTAACGTTTCATTCCACCATGGTGAGTTATTATGATAAATTATCATTGATCGATAATATAAATGATTTTCCATTCCAGCACCGCCACTCAACGACTCATTTAAATTATTTCCAGCTGAATCACAAACCAAAACACTGACTTCAATATTTTTTGCTGTTGATTTACCGCCACGTTCAAACTCGCCATGATCCAATGTTATAAAGAGATCATTACGGACATCGCCTGGTAAAACGACATCAGGAAATCCCATTTTTCTAGTTATTGTTCCTTGAAACAACAGCGGTTGGTCGATTTGTGCTTGACCGAGACCACCTTGAATAAGTCGAAATGAAACAGAAATTCCGTAATTTGTTCCTGCAGCATTCAATGATGTAATTTTTCCAGTTACTTTCTTAATAATCAGTTCATGAAGTTGATGATAATCTTTTTCTTCACATGAGAAAATCTTAAATGTTGAGTCACGTTCTTCCGGTTCCATTGAACCATCAAATTGCTTTAAATCTGTGAGTGGAAACACTCCAACACCGTAAGGACGACGATAGTTTTGATACACCGAACTTTTATCCATTTTTCGCATTGATGATTCAGAAAATGCTATTTTCCCAACACGCATAACATTAGCAACAAGGTAGAGATCGGAATTGAGTTCAGCTTCACCTTTTGTAAAGAAAGAAAAATTAAGAAAAATTAGATGACCATCAATTTGAAATATTTCTTAAATTTGTAACTTACCAAGATCCGTGAAAACTGTGCAATTACTGTGAGGCATATCAACGTAGGTTGAAAAGCCGTCTCGAGAAATTTTGACCACAAAACGTTCCGTAATTTGACGTTGACGTGATGGATGTGCATCGTAGAGGAAGAAATAAATTTCAGCATCGTCACCAATACGATAACCAAAGTCACGCATACTCAAGTAGAGATGATGAGTAAGAATTTTTTTTGGTGCCTTCCTTCGCAATGTTCCACGACTCTGTGTTGATAATATTTAATTTAATAATCTAATCAACAAAAATCACATTCAACAATTGCTTACCGAAGTGTTTTTTGCTGTTTCATCGCATGTCATATGAACATTATGAAGTGCTACAATTCCTATTTCTGTTGGATTGACAGCCAATGGTCCTTGTCTTGGAACTAAATCTAATCCAAGTTTTCTATCAAAATCATTCATATTAATTAAATTTGAATTAAAGTTTTAAAATTTAAAAGATTTACCGATTTCCCCAATCTAATTTTGCTGTTAAATTCATTTGCAATTCTAAAGTTTGATCTTGAGTTAAAGTGGCACCAAGAAGTTCTCTTCGACTTTCTAATTGGGATAAAATCACCTTACGAAGAGTTGTAAACTTGTAAGTTTCACGTTCCTGTTGATGAATGAAGAATAAAAAAAGAAAAGTTTCAATAATCACATGTAGATGGCGTTAGATGTTATGTGTCATTGCACTCATCACTGTAACTTACTACAAAGAGTTTCTTCCATATCTCCGACCATTCTCTTAGAACTTGTGTACATTCCGCCACCACTGGATCTTCCTTTGACAGATCTTTGAGATGAATGTAACTTTTAGGGAAGATTCCAATCGTTTGTGGTTTTCTGGTGCAAATTCCTCGCCACCAATCACGAGTCTCTTCATAAATCTCAACAAAATCGCCCATATCGAGAGGAAGTCCGAATTTTACATTTCCGTCCCAATTGTGTATGGCTGGAAATTCATAAAATAAAAATCTGTTGAAACATCTGGAGTTGACGGTAGGAAAAGGGTTATAAACAATCACGCTTGATTATTTTTTTATGAACGGTTTTTGATTTGCTTGTTCAATGACTCACTTTTGAAGACTCACGTAAAATACCCGATTTCAAGTAAAACTGTATTACCTAATAAATTTATCTCTTTATTAACAACAAATGACACGGAAGTTTTTGAAAATTTGTTTTACTATCGCTTACTTCAATTTCTAGAAGTTTGTCATCAAAGTTGACTTTACTGCGTGTCATTTCACGTTCCATTAAAGAACAATTTACTTTAATTTATGACTTTCTTTCATTCAAAGCTTATTTCGAAGCTCACAAGGAATGTCAGTTGATACTCTATTATCAGACAACTGAATTCATGCACGAAGTAAATGATTTCTAATGGGCCATGAAACATTTGTTTACATTAAAGAATTTGTGGACTTATTGAATTGAATGTTATGATAAACATACATTTTTGATGATGTGATTACTAATCGACACATTGCTTCTGTCAACTGCTGTTTAAAGTGGCATTAAAATACTTGTGAATCGCTATTTAAGCATAATTAGAGGTATTTTGTTGTTAACTAAACTTAATTGTATTAAAAAATGATTCAATCACTTTAATTAAATTCCCATCGCTGCTTCTCACCACAAAAAAATGCAATTTAATTTGGAACATACACATGTCGTCTATTAAAATGTCGACAGATCACGCAGTTTGAATAGAAGTCATCTGGTAAACATTCATTTATTTTAACTACACAATAAATGTTTTTTATGGCGCTACTTGATATGAATACATAAAACAAATTCGTAGATTTACTCAAATTGTGATCGTAGAAATTTAGAAATCCATGCACATAAAATTTGCCCTTGAAAAATGGTAGAACCAAGTATAATTAATATTTTGTTAGGTTTACACTTGAGTATCAATCATTAATAATTTTAATTCATTGACAGAAGAGTGGGAAGCCAGATACATTCAAATTTTAGAGACAAAACAATTTAATAAATGTCTGTTGCTACAAGTTTTAAGTATGTGACGAGCCGAGTACACACAGGAAATAAACGACGTTGATTTGATTTTAGCTTATTTTCCTTTTTCTTTTTAAGCTTCTTCCAATCATTCTAAGCGTTTTCCGCTTTATGCATTCACTGATTTATTATTTCTATTAGAATTTTAATCGATAGAAAAACTATGAAATTTTTAAAAAGAAATTGATTCCCGAATTAGAATGCCTGAACGTGATTTGAAAGCGTAATTAGAATCCATAGGCTAAGAACGTTTAAAGTGATCTCATGACATAAAATTTTGATTTTCATTTAAGGATTTCCAGAGAATCAAATAAATTCATATTTAAATAATCTGCGATGAAGAAACTACAAAAGTTCATTGAGAACGATATATATATGCACATTTAATAATTTAATAAATATAAACGGCTTCATATAGAGAAGAACGAACTCTACATAATCTCCTTTGTTTAATTTATGACTTGCCTGTCGGATGAAAAGCAAAGAAACAAACTAAAACATATTTTCGTCGATATTTTTATCTTTATATCCTGAAATTTTGTCATTTACGTTCCATCATTCATTCTTATTTACATAAAAACTTCCTCTCATACTCTTTTCGTTCTATGTGAATCATGAATGGAAGCGTAAAATGTACGCAAAAAAAGTCCAACCCATAAATATTATTATCACTTTCTCTTATCTCACAAAGACGTAATGAAAAGTGAATAATAACAAAGACTTTGAACGCAATCTCAAGGTGAATGTTTAAAAATTTACTTTAAAAGTCTTTAATCACTCACCAACGCCGCATTTTCTGTTTTCAATCCACATTTTATTGATTTTCTTCTTTTTCTGGTTTTCCGGGTTTTCCTTTTTCACTTTGCTGATAATTTTTTATTGCAAAAATTTCATTTGTGATTTTCACTTATGCTCCATTATTTCTATGTTGTTCTTTTAACTTAAACTAATGGTAACACTCTTATTAAGCTTTTAAAATGATTTAAATTATTAAATTTTGACTGCAACCTACGTAAAAATAAAATTATTACACTGACTAATTCTCAACGATTAATGCTAAGGGGATGAAAACTGAAGAAATTGGTTTTTGCGAATGAAAATAAAACTAAATGCTCATTGAACTGTCCCACAGAAAGTGCTGAAGTGTTTAAAATTGTAAACAAATGCAGGCTTTAAGCAATATTGTTTTAAAATCATACCAAATAAGCGCTCTGAGAGTTGCTTCGAGTAATATTCACTCAACAGCATCATGTCTGAAAGCTGACGATAGAAGGGAAATATTGGCGAGCATGCCAAAGAAAGATGAAGGAACTGAGGGAGAGAAAACGATTGCCATAGATCAATTAATTCAAAAGTAAGAAAAGTCATCATAAGTTTCAATTGAAAGATTAAATTAATTTGTGATTCTTCATCTAGGGATCGAGTCAGTATGTTTCCAGATGAGACAACACCAACGACTCTATTCAATGGAACTCCTTTCAAAGATCTTCCCATCGTTGCTATTAAAACTACAAAAAACAACACAATTATCCAATTAACAGATGCTCAAGGCGTCGCACAATTATTCAATTCATGTGGTATGGAAGGATTCAAAAATACCCGTAAAGGAACCAACATTGCTGCACAATCAACTGCAATTTCTCTTAGTGCAAAAATACTAGAACGTGGAATCAAAACAGTTCGTGTAACAGTCAGAGGATTAGGTCCAGGCAGAATGGTGATTATCTTTTTTATTAATTCATATTTATGTCATACATTAATTATATTTTTCATATTTCTTAGTCGGCAATTAAAGGTTTGCAAATGGGTGGAATGAATATCATTTCAATTACAGATACAACAAGAGTGTCATGGAATCCTCCTCGTCCTAGAAAGCAGAGAAAGCTTTAAATTTCTTATTGACTTTAATTTTGTATTCTGAAATATGTAAGTAAAGAAGAATAAAATTGTAGAACATTAAAAATATTTTATTTTGCGTGAAAAGAATAAAGTGCTGAAGTATAAAATCAACACATGGAAGTTCACAATTTTTACAGTTGAAGCTCCCTAAACACACAACACAGATCAACAATTACTGAGAACCTTCTGTGAGACATTTTACTGTCATTCTTTGGTTATGAAAGTTTCATGCTTTCAAATTTAGTGAATATAAAAATTTTGTAAAATAATTAAAAAACAATGGCATTAAAAGGATTAAAAAGTAAGAAATAAACAAACAGTGATAAGTTAAATTATTTTGAAATGATATCAATTGCTTTGTAACTTTATTTTTCTTTAATTTTGTTAGATCGTAAAAGTCGACGAGTTCCAGCAGCACGTCGTTACAAAATCATTAAAAAAATCGCAGATTCGAAGCGTAAAAAAGAGAAGGAAGCTAAAAAGTTACCGAAGAGAAGTGCTAAGCAGAAATTGATTCAAATCCCTAACATTTGTCCATTCAAAGAAGAAATTTTGAAAGATGTTGAAGCAGATAAAGCAAGACGGGAAGAGGAAAAGAAAGAAAAGCTGGAAAAAATGAAATTAGAACGTTTGGAGGCTAAGAAAAAACAAACTCTAGAATCGATTGTGTCAGATGCTGCTGAACGTGGTGATAATCATGTTGAGAAAGATGGAAATGACGACGTGAGAAAAAAAATTGTGAGAAGTTAAATTAAATGTTTTAAATTTCTTTACGATTGTTTCAGGAAAATCAAAATAATCAAAAAACTAAAGAAAACTCTTTAAAATCTTACTTCAAAGAGTTTAAGAAAGTCGTCGATGCTGCTGATGTCATACTTGAGGTTTGTGACGCTCGCGATCCACTTGGAACACGTTGCTCTGAAGTCTCAACAATTATTCGTGAATCGCCTGGTCAGAAGAAACACGTTCTTGTGTTAAATAAATCTGATTTGATTCCTCGTGAGAATCTTGACCGATGGTTGAAATATTTAAGAAAATTCGGTCCTGTCATTCCGTTCAAAGCAAGCACACAAACACAAAAGCAGAACATTGGACGTCGTAAGTTTAACAACCGAAATAAAGGACAGAAGATTCAATCATCACCATGCATTGGAGCAAATCTGTTGATGTCTTTACTCGCTAATTACAGTCGGAATAAAGACATGAAAACTTCAATTCGTGTTGGTATTGTTGGCATACCAAATGTTGGTAAAAGTTCGATCATCAACTCTTTGAAACGTCGTCGTGCTTGCCAGGTTGGAGCAAATCCTGGAATCACAAGAACAATGCAAGAAGTCGAGATAGATTCGAACATAAAAATCATTGACAGTCCCGGAATAATCTTTCAACGTCCAAAAAATGAGTCACCTGATGAGTTCTTTGCTCTTAAAAACGCTCAACATATTAACACTGTTCAAGATCCTTTTCCACTTGCAACTGACATTCTCAAACGAGCCACAGTCATGTATTTCTGTAAATTATACGACATCACGGAATATCGAACACCAGAAGAGTTTCTCGCTAAGAAAGCTGTGAAAATGGGAAAGTTGATTCGCGGTGGCGTTCCAGATATTCGTTCAGCAGCACGAAGTTTAATTCATGATTGGAACACTGGAAAAATTAAATATTGCACACAACCGCCTATGGACAACTCTCTTGACATTCATCTCGGTGCTTCAATCGTCACAAATCCTCAAGAACAGAAAGAATTACAAATCGACGATCTTGATGAACTTGAGAAAACTTTCATGAATCAACTTGATGAACATTACAACATTGAAACTGATGAGGTTGTGATGGAAGTGGAGACAAAAGGTCCAGTGTTAATGAAGACAAGTAAAAAGAACAAGAATGATTATGGCGATGGTGACATCTTTGAAGATGAAGAAGAAGTAATAAAAGCTGATAAAAAGAAGAAGAGAAAGTCGGAAGACGATGGCTACGAAACTAAAAAACTTAAGGAAGATCCCGTCTTTAAAATTGCTGGCAATCAATCACTCAACAAACTAAACAAAAGTTCAGCGAAGAAATTGAAGAAACAGAAAACAAAAACTGATAAAAAGATTTCAAATGTCGCTGATGTGCTTGACAACTTTTCTCTCGATATGGGTGATGACGGAGATTATGATTTCGATGATGATTATGTTGTTGAATGAATTTTTTATCTTTTATTAATCTTCTGATGTTCTTATAAATTCAAAGAAAATTCTGAATTAAAGCAAAACTTCTTTAAATCTATTTTAAGTTTGCACTTTTTGCAATTTGTTCTTTCAGTTGAAGAATCGAAGCTCGTTGCTCAGGTGGAAGAATTGCAATCTGTTCATCTGTGAGTTTCAAAACTTGCATGATGAGCGCTGCTTTTTCTTGATCAGTTGCATCGTTAGAAATTCCTCGATGAAGTTGCGCAGCAAAACTGGATGATTGTTGTTGCTGTTGTTGTGGTGGCGGCCCTTTTTGTCTTGGATCACGTGGATCGTTGTTAGCTCTTTGTCTAGGATCTGATGGGAATTGTCGTTGTTGCATGGAACCTGATGATGGTGGCATACTTCTTTGATCGTAGTGCATTCCCATCTGCATTGGATTTGGTGGCATCATGCGCATGTCGAGATCCATTGATCCTTGCATTGAAACGCTGTTCATTTGTTGTTGGCGTGCTAAACGTGGATCAACTGAACGAAGATCAGTATCCTGTCCAAATGCAGGAACTCCAACAGGTGGTTGACCCATTGTTGATAAAGTGGCGTTCATCATTGATTGGATTCCTTGTTGGGTTGTTTGGTTTGTCAAAACTGGTGGCATTTGATTCGGCTTGAAGAGGAATGTCTATAAAAATAATTAAATGTAATTAAAAATTGTATAAAGCGAATATAATTAAACTTACCACTGCTTGAGATGGATCCAAAATTCTCATGACAACTTGAGCTTGTAACAAAGCATAAGCAAGTTGAGGATTTTGAAGAAGCATTTGACGAGCTTCATGAGGATTATTTTGAATGCATTCTTTCATTTGTTTCATCAATTCATACATTTGCTCAGGTGGAAGTGATGCAACAGTTTTGCTGATGATTTCTGGAGCGGCTTCAGCATCGCAATGTTCACCGTAAGGATTTTCAACTTGTGGACCTGACAGTAAGGCTGCCATTTCCATTCGAGACTTTTCTGTACAGGCATTGTCAACTCGTAATGTTCTTCCACCAATTTCGTAGCCGTTTAAATTTCTCATCGCTGACAAAGCGGTTTCTTGATCTTTATATTCACAGAATCCATAACCCTTCGGTTTTCCACTTTCGCGATCAAAAACAAGTTTCAAAGACAAAACAGGTCCAACTTCGCTAAAGATATCTTTGAGTTTTTCTTCTGTTGCTTCATATGGGATATTTCCAACTATTTTAGAGAATGTTAAGAAATTAATAAATTTTATTTTCTATTTAATATTAAAAGTTCTACCGAATACTGATCGCATGGATTTATCCATGATACTTTGATCGGAGTTCTTATCGCCCATTTTTATTCCTTTTATTCAGCTATTTAATTGTAATTATAGTTGAATTGAATTTTAAAGATTATGAAAAGATTTCGGAAAATGCAAATGTAAACAATCAATGAAGTTCCAAATATTTCAATCCTCGATTTCGACACAACAGTTAAAGGAGCTTAAATAAGGTTCAGGCGTATGCACAATTTTTAGAAATCTTTGAAGATTTTTTAATTCATCTCTCTTGAAAGAATCTCAGTTTAATTTATTAAATTTATTTATCGCAACAATGGCATTTGTAACATCTTGTTTATTCCGAAAGGTAAGGCAATTATCTCCTTCTTCTCATCAGATTTATATTTAATATAAGAATATTTTTTGTAGTTTCCTTTACAGACAACTTCAAAGTTTTTCTCAAGTAAATGACGCAAATTATCTTATTTAATCTTAAAATAAATCTTATATTTTTATCAATTATATCACAACAGCTTCTTCTCGTTTGCTGACTGCTCGAGTTCAAAAACCAGCGCCTGATTTTGCCGGAACAGCTGTTATCAACAATGATTTCAAGGAAATCAAACTTTCCGATTTCCAGGGAAAATATTTGGTAATTTATTATTTTTTTAAAACAAATTTGTTAATAACATAAGTTTCATTTCAAAGGTTTTGTTCTTCTATCCTCTTGATTTCACCTTTGTATGTCCAACTGAAATTATCGCGTTTTCAGATAGAATCAAAGAGTTCAAAGATTTAAATACGGAAGTTGTTGGCGTGTCAGGTTTGAATTTTTAATTAGGTAAATTTGCAAAAAAATGCATTAATTAATTTAAAATTTCTATTTTACCAGTTGACTCACACTTTAGTCATTTGGCATGGTGCAACACACCTCGCAAACAAGGAGGAATTGGAAAGATCGATTATCCACTACTTGCCGACTTAACTAAGAACATTTCAAAAGATTACGGAGTTTTACTTGATGATGCCGGAATCTCTCTCCGCGGGTTATTTATCATTGACCCTAAACAAACTGTTCGTCAAATCACAGTTAATGATCTTCCTGTTGGTCGCTCAGTTGATGAAACTTTACGTTTAATTCGAGCTTTCCAATTCACTGACAAACATGGTGAAGTTTGTCCAGCTGATTGGGATGAGAAGAACAACAAAGCAACGATCAAACCCGATCCTAAAGGAAGTCAAGAATATTTCTCTAAAGTTAATTAATGTCATGATTTTAAAGAAAATTGAAAGCCATGACTCAATCAGGAAATTAAAAAATAATCTGAAAATATCTATTTGTGAATTGTAATGTGTAAATTTTAAAAAGATTATTAAAAATAAATTCAGATTTATCTACCTATTTAAAACAATTTTTTTTCTCTAACTGTTCGTTAGTTTTTGAAGACTGTTAAGGAATAAACAATTAGACACTTTCTTGATGCAAGATTTTTTTATTTAAAAACATTAGCCACTTATTATAAAAATAGGAAAGTAAATAATGAATTGGATAAAATAATTTTCTAATTTAAGCATTCAGCATTAGGAAGTTGGACGGAAATTAAATTATCGGGAATACAATAAAAATTTAAAAAAAGTTACGATCTATTGTCATGTTAGATGTTTTATTCGGAAGTCTAAGCTTCATATCCTAGAATACCAATGTTGTTATGCTGGATAACACAACGACGACAGAATTTTTTGACTGACAGATAGCCTTCGGCTGTAATTTGACAGTCTTGTATGTTCAATTGCTGAAGTCCCCGACAATAATAAGAGATATATTTAATACCTTCATCAGATACCATATCACAATTTTTTAGGCTTAGCTTCTTGAGATTTGGACAACTTTCAGCAAGTGCAAAACATGCAGCATCCGAAACATCACATTTTCCAATGTCTAATGAACGAAGACGTGAACAAGATCGAGCTAAGACTATGACAGAGTCATCACTGATTGCTTCACATCCGCGACAATTAAAATATCTCAGTTTATAGCATCTTCGAGCAAGATATTTGAGTCCAACATCACTGACATTATGGCATTTGGCGACACTTAAATAGCGAAGTGTTTGGCCAAGTTTTGCTAGTTCATAAAGACCAAAGTCAGTAACATTAAGACAATCTGATACACTAAGTTCCTTCAAAGCAATGCAAAATTTCGGTAAATATTTTAAACTTGTATCTGTAAGCATTACACAACGTCTCAGATACAAATAAATCAACAATGGACAATTCTTTATGATTGTTTTCAATCCAATATCATCAAGTGCTGCACAATCAGTTAAATCCAAATATTGCAACAACAATTTTCTCGGTGTGTCTGTTCCAGCATTAAGACTTATACAAGATATTTGATTACATCCAGTGACGTCAAGATGTTGAAGATTTGTGCACTTTGTAACTACGTTAAAAATCGATTGATTTGTTAATGAATTACAGAATTGGGTTTGAAGATGAGTAATATTTGGGCATCGTCTAATGATCGATTGAATTCCTTTTTCTGTTAACTTGCAACCTTCACTCAACATCACTCTTTCTACTGTTGAACTTTTCTCACCCGACTGGTCGATTAATCGTCGTAAAATGCAATTCAATGCTTTGTCGCCGTTGACTTCATCACCTTTCAATGATATCGTTTTCCATAATAAAGGATTCCAGATAAGTTTCTCAAAACGACGACAAACAGTTGCAAGTACCAGTAGATCGTATGTATCAAGCCATTGAAGTATTTTTATGATGACATCATTGGAAAGTGCATCGAAAAACATTTGCCCTTTGTTCGGGATTTGAAGTTTTGTGCTAGTAGGAAAATAACTTCCAACTTTTGTTAAGCTACATAAGCTGTTGCTACTGATTGATAGATTAGCAACTTTGTGTGCCAATCCAACTGTGTTCATGGCTTGATTTACCAACATTGCTGTGTTGGGTGTTGCATTCATAATATGATGATTGCTCAAAGCTGACTGCGTGGGTGATGACAACAAAGTTGCATAGCCTTGATCAAGGCTTGGTGAGAGTCGATGATGTGGCTCTTGTGGAAAATAACGTTGATGATGACTGTGAGTGTTTTTCTGAAGGAAATCAAATTGATGAACGTCCAGGCTTGAGAGCGACGAACCAAAGTTTTGATGCTGAATATGTTCGTGATCGTATGATGAATCTTAAAGAAAGAAAGGCAAATAAATACGAGCAGCATGATTTAAAAAAGTTAACACTTTTCCATCAAGATTCATTAGATGAAAGAAATATTCACCTTGTAAGTAATCCATTTTAACAACCGGAGGCTTAAGATTTTCAATAAATCGCTTAAATTTTCTTTTTATATTATTTCATCATTTCATCTGAAAAAGAATGCAAAATAAAAATATAAAATGAAATCATTGATAATCTGCGTGCAGTATAACAACACACGATCGATGGGAAGACAATAGAGCCTGCGGTTGTGAAGCAACACGAAAACAGGTTCCGAGAGATTGGAATTTGCTGAGAAGAATGAGAAGAAAATTGTTGGAAAATGAAATATTTAGAAAATCAAATAGTCCAAACAGTATTGAAACAAATAAGTTACACGACCAAATCGTGTTTAATTCTTTTATCTACTCACTTTTCTTTACATTCTTGACTTAAGAATTTGAAAGTTATATTTGGTCCAAATTTTTTTCTCATCACTAAAACATCACAATTTCAATTCAAACCGAGCACACCTTATTTCTACTAGCTTATAATAAAATAGATGAACACAAATTGTAACACGAGATTGATTAATTTAATGTTAATTTGATCAAATTATTGAAAATATTTTACAATGGTCAAAAGTGAAAATATGTGAAAGCTTTTGTGCTGGAAAGCTTTTAATGGTCATGTCCACATGAAAATGATTGCTTTGAAGATCAAACATAAATGAACTTGGATTGTATACCCTGTGTGAATATTACAAAAGATTTAAATGCCTGAAAGATTTCAACGGTTTTTTAAAAATGTTTTCTTAGATTCGATTGCCTTTTTGTCTCACAACCTAATTTTATTGATTCTGTTTGTAATATCTATTTATTAAAACATAAAAATATTCTATTGTCAAATATTATCAAATATCCTATATCTTGAAAATCATATTCCAAAGGAAAAGGAGCGAAGGAATGGTGTCGTCCGGGAACGTATGATGCTATAATTTACTTTTTTAGTTTTAAAATTGAAAGGCTAATTTCCATTAGAGAAATTCTCAAATTTCGTTTTTAACTTACGGATGCTTCAAAAAACAAAAATATTGAGACAGGTGAGCTAGGTAATAAACCCTAAAAAAGTAATTAGTTGTAGGGTAATTAGTAAAATCAAGGTTTGAGATATTCTTGATCTCGATTTTATTGCTCCTAACTGGTCTCCTTTACTCTTAAAAGCCTCCGCTAAGCGAAAGATCGATAATTCCCATCCACATCTGTCTGGTGCTTAACGGGAATTTCCAATCATTATCTCCCAAGGAATGCTAATTGGCAAGCTGCAAGGGGTAAATCATAGTCAAAAATGAGCCGGCAGAAGCACTATTTTGAAAAGAAGCACTAGACAAATTCCAAGAAAAAGTAAACAAATTCTTGGAAAACGGCCATTTTTTTTGAAAAGCACTAGTGATTTTCGAAGCATCATTTGGAGGCAGCCGGCAGAAGCACTACGATGAACAGCTCCTTGGCAAGCTGGTTAGCTGCGAGCAAGGGGTGAGTCATCGTAGTGCTTCTGCCGGCTGCCTTCAAGTGATGCTTCGAAAATCACTAGTGCTTTCCAAAAAAAATGGCCATTTTCCAAGAATTTGATTACTTTTTCTTGGAATTTGTCTAGTGCTTCTTTTCAAAATAGTGCTTTTGCCGGCTCATTTTTGACTATGATTTACCCCTTGGCTGCGAGGATGAATTATTCTCTCACGTAGAATCTCAACTCTCCCTTTTTCCCTATTTTCTCTCCCGGTCTTAACTATATTTAAGTAGCAACAAAAACATGTTAAGCTTAGTTCAGTTTAGAATTTCAAATCGTATCTATTAAAATTTCCAAACAATACTCAGTTAAAATCAAGAATCAGTTAAAAATCCATACAATATTCAATTTTAGTTCAAATAAAAAGTATATTAAAAATTCCAAACAAAAAAAAAAAAGTTAATAAATCAAGCGAGAAAAAGACTCCAGAAATTCCTCTGAGAATTTCGACAATGATGATGATAAAATACCAAGGAACTTTTTTAGTTTGTGTGGTTTTGTTTACCTTCATGGTGGATTTTGTCCAGTCTAAACAACGAAAGCAAAACATATTACAATGTCCACCAACATCCAATTGTACGTGCATGGAGTACAATGAGCTTCATATTCAATGTCCAAGATATGAAGCACATGTTTTTGTTCGTATCATGAACAACAATAAAGTTTACTTTGAGTGTGATAACATGATGGGTAACGAATATGTATTGATCCCTGAGATAGAATTAGATGAAGCTCGTTTTTTACAAGTCATGAGATGCCCCCTCCCACATGGTAAATCTATTGCATCGTATCTGAAGAATATCCGAATTGGTCGCATACGCTTCTTTCAATTTGTTAGCAGTGGTGTTAATCAGAACATTCCAATCGAAGCTCAACATTTCGAAGGACTTGGTGATATCGAGCAATTCGATCTTCGAGGTATAGAGAATGAGATAAAAGAACTTCCTCATAATCTCTTTACTTCTATGGAAAATCTAACATGGGTCAGGATACGAGTTGCTAACATTCACTTGCCCGTAGATCTCTTCGCACCTCTCAAAAATTTGGAATTCCTTGAATTGGGTCACAATAAGCTACAAACTCTTGAACCAGGCTTTTTACGTAATCAACAAAAACTTGTCCATTTAAATCTCTGGGGGAATTCTTTGCGAAATCTAAGTAAAAATTCTTTTATTGGTTTGGAAATGGTAAGAGAGCTCGATCTCAGTACCAACAATATGGAGAAGCTGAAATCTGATACATTCTTTCATCTTGTTAACCTTACGGAAATAAATTTAAGTAGCAACAACTTTTCATCACTTCCGGCAAGATTATTCGCTAACAATAAAAAATTAAAAGCTCTGAAGTTACTTGAAAATCGAGTCCCGCTGAGTCTTCCCAATAAGTGGCTTGCAAATCTCAACAGTCTTACGACTGTTTACATCAAATGTGAGCTGCAAAATATTCCTGAGGATATTTTTGAAGGCTCTCATAATATTGAAATCATACATCTTGCAAACAATGCCATCGAAAATCTTCCAGAAAACTTGTTAGTTAATCAAAATAACTTAAGGGAATTGGATCTGACTGGTAATAGAATACCTGAGCTTTACGATGCTGTTTTTTTGGGATGTTCGTCACTAAAAAAGCTTTCACTGACAAGAAATCGCCTCAAAATTATTTCCAAGTAAGTATTCTCATTCAAAATATTTCTGCAACAGCCTTTTAACAGCACACATTTTCATTTAATTCTCTTTCTTCAGCTACTCATTCAAACCACTCTCGAGACTGACTCACCTTTACTTAAATGACAATCAAATTCTTAAAATTGAGCCGAAAGCTTTTAAAGGGATCACATCGGTTGAGTTTATAACACTTGAGAATAACAAATTGAATTTCCAAAACGGAGAGGAAATAATTTATGATGGTGTTTCTATTAAAACTGATACTGGACCTTTTCAGAGTCTGCAAAGACTTGAATATTTGAATCTCGGAAATAATTCAATAACAGCAATATTCGAAGATTATACTTTAATGAGTTTGAAGACATTGAATTTAAGCAATAACCAAATATCTCGATTATCGACATCAGATTTGGAATCACTCACAAGAAGTGGTCCCACAATTGATCTGACACACAATCAAATCGAGGAAATAAATTTTGCACAGGATATGGATCCTACTATGTCAGCGGTCAACGTTCTATTGGATGATAATCCACTTGTCTGTGATTGTCGTATTTTACATTTTATTAAACATTTAAAAAAGATAAGCGGTAGCAAAATTGAATCAAACAGTAACATAGAAGTGTCAGTTGGGAATTTAAAATGTGCAAATCCTGATAAAATGGCTGACAGATTTGTGCGTGATATAAATCCACTAGAATTGATTTGTCCCTTGGATAATATTCAGACAGCAAAGAGGAGATGTCCAAATGGTTGCAGTTGTGAAGCCAGACCCGAAGATAGACACCTTTTAATACATTGCACAACTACAGTTGATATAAATCAACTACCAATTGCGACTGATACGAACTTTGTGGGGGCTGAATTGAACATTGGAAATGGCAATTTGACAAAATTACCAACAATTTCAAAGTCTCCTGGTTATAGCAATGTGACAAAACTTTTTGCAAACGGGAATCGAATATCATCTATTATGATTGAAAATATTCCAAATCATCTTCGTGTTCTTAATTTAAAAGATAACAACCTAAAGCAACTTAACGATTCAGTTATTAAATTCATTAGTAATAGTTCATACATCGAACAGCTTTTCTTGAGCAACAATCCATGGCAATGTGATTGTAAAAGTCTTGAATTTATGAATTTTGTTCAAAAATTTCGACAAAAGATTTTAGATTACAGCGAAGTTAAATGTAAGGATGGACGAAAATTCAATGTTCTCAAACCCAGTGATCTATGTTCCGATGACAATATCTTTGTTATAATTATAAGCACCATCACAGCCCTTTTGGGATTAATTCTTGGAGGTTTAGTCGCTCTTTACTACAAGTATCAGAAGAAAATAAAAATGTGGCTTTATTCTCATAAAAGTTGTATGTGGCTTGTGACTGAGGATGAGTTGGATAAGGTAGAATCCATTTAAATGATGTCCATAAGCTTCTTTAATTAAATTTATTTTTCTTATTTCATTAATAGGATAAACGTTATGATGCATTTGTGAGCTACTCACATCGAGATCAAGATTTTGTTGCAGATTTTTTGTTGCCTGAACTTGAAAATGGAACAATTCCATATAAATTATGTGTACATGAACGTGATTGGACGCCTGGTCTTGAAATTAGCAGTGAGTGTAACTTTTGAAATATTTTAATTTCGTTTCATTTTCATTTTTATTATTTTTATAGCTCAAATTTCCAACTCAGTCAATGATGCTAAACGTACAATTATTGTAATGTCTTCAAATTATCTACAGTCTAATTGGGCGCAATGGGAGTTTAGGGTGGCACAGTCACATGCAGCAACAGAAAAACGCTCGCGAATAATAGTCATTTTGTATGGTGACATTGGAGACATTAATAAATTAGAACCCGACATAAGAGATTATTTGAAATTAAATACATACGTCAAATGGGGTGATAAATGGTTTTGGGAAAAACTAAAATATGCAATGCCACATGTCAAATCAAGCGAAAGAATGGAAAAATTAAAAGGACTTACGAAAACCTCCATCAAGAGTTCAGTGGATGATAAGCTTGAGTT